AGAATCCACTCTTTCTGGGAACTGGTCGTTTCACAAAACAACTTCTTGGTGCTATTCTTTGTTCGGTAACAAAGTTACAAACTATCCAGTTTGTACATGAAATTACATGACATATCAACCACTAGTACCACTACTAAATGATTTCCGTTGCTGCTCTGCGGCCCGAGGCGCGCCATGCGGCCCAATGCGCAAGGAGACGGTTGGAGACTCAAATGGTGTGGAATGAACGTTGACACCGAAATATCCAGGGTGAGAATGCAAATGATGACAGGGACTGGTTCTCATTTCAGGGATAACCATACAAATCGATACAAATCGTACGTATAATATCGTATAATATCGGTGCATCAGCCAGAAAGGGGTTTTCATCCCTCAACGGAGATCTCATTTGATTGTCACCAAATGTCAACAACCATTCCAGGTTTGACATCTTTTGACGCCCATCAAGTCGTCAGGGAGTTAACTTGGGCCAAACTGCACAGGAAGACACACCACGTCCGCCCATGCCCAAGTAACTGAGAATGCAAAAATGTGGAGGTGGTTGAATGTGGCTGATACCCGATCTTGCAATCAGACAAAAGGAAGACCACCTCCAATTTCTGTACTACTACTACTACTACTACTACTACTACTAGTACTACTACTACTACTACTACTACTACTACTACTACTACTACTACGACTACGACTACGACTACGACTACGACTACGACTACGACTACTACTACTACTACTACTACTACTACGACTACGACTACGACTACGACTACGACTACTACTACTACTACTACTACTACGACGACTACTACTACGACTACGACTACGACTACTACTACTACTACTACTGCTACTACTACGACTACTACTGCTACGACTACGACTACTAGTACTACTACTACTACTAGTACTACGACGACGACGACTACTACTACTACTACTAGTACTTCTACGAATAGTACTGCAACTCACGGTTCCACGGCTGAGCCGTGGACCCGTGGGCCACGGTTCCGGCTCACGGTTCCACGGCTGAACCGTGGAACCGTGGGCCACGGCTACGACTACGACTACTACTACTACTACGACTACTACGACGACGACTACTACTACTACTACTACGACGACTACGACTACGACTACTACTACTACTACTTCTTCTTCTACTGCTACTGCTACTACTACTACTACTGATTTTACTACTACTACTACTACTACTACTACTACTACTACTACTTACTAACTACTAACTACTCACTACTCACTACTCACTACTCACTACTAACTACTAACTACTAACTACTAACTACTAACTACTAACTACTAACTACTAACTACTAACTACTAACTACTAACTACTAACTACTAACTACTAACTACTAACCACTAACCACTAACCACTAACCACTAACCACTAACCACTAACCACTAACCACTAACCACTAACCACTAACTACTAACTACTAACTACTAACTACTAACTACTAACTACTAACTACTAACTACTAACTACTAACTACTAACTACTAACTACTAACTACTAACTACTAACTACTAACTACTAACTACTAACTAGTAACTACTAACTACTAACTACTAACTACTAACTACTAACTACTAACTACTAACTACTAACTACTAACTACTAACTACTAACTACTAACTACTAACTACTTACTAACTACTAACTACTTACTAACTACTAACTACTAACTACTAACTACTAACTACTAACTACTAACAACTACTACTACGACGACGACGACGACTACTACTACTACTACTACGATGCCTACGACGACTACTAGTACGAGTGCTAGCACTAGTACTAGTACTAGTACTAGTACTAGTGCTAGTACTACTACTACTACTACTACTACTACTACTACTACGACTACTACTACTACTACTACTACTACTGCGACTACGACTACGACTACGACTACTACTACTACTACTACTACTACCACTACCACTACCACTACCACTACCACTACCACTACCACTACCACTACTACCACTACCACTACCACTACCACTACCACTACCACTACCACTACCACTACCACTACTACCACTACCACTACCACTACCACTACTACTACTACTACTACTACTGCTGCTGCTACTACTACTACTACTACTCCTACTACTACTCCTACTACTACTACTACTACTACTACTACTACTTGTCGTACTACTAGTACTACTTCTACGAATAGTACTACAACTCACGGTTCCACGGCCTGAGCCGTGGAACCGTGGGCCACGGTTCCGGCTCACGGTTCCACGGCTGAACCGTGGCCGTCAACCACGGTTCCGGCTCACGGTTCCACGGCTGAACCGTGGAACCGTGGGCCACGGTTCCGGCGCACGGTTCCACGGCTGAACCGTGGAACCGTGGGCCACGGTTCCGGCGCACGGTTCCACGGCTGAACCGTGGAACTGTGAGCCGTGGAACCGTGGAAACCGTGGAAACCGTGGAAACCGTGAGCCGTACGGTTTCCACGGTTCCACGGCTCACGGCTGGAGAGTGCCCGTCGCCGCCCTTCTGTAAGGTTGGGCACTAAAAAATCCAACTGATCATGCATATGTAACTTATACTATATACAATTATTCCGTATATCTTTTATACATCCAATTTCTTTGTTTGGAATGGGTAGGCCACATCCTAGCATCATATATTGAAGAGCTAAGTTATATACGTATAAATCCATATAGATATAATGTTATAAAACCCCGATTGGGCAGATTGCTAATTGACAGTTGACACGTTTGTTGCTTGATGCAACTTCAAAATACTTTCACTATACTAACTATACCCAAACCGAACCCCAATCTCATCCAATCTCCACATGTGCCAACCATCGTTCCTTCTTGCTGCCAACTCGTCGGGGTCTCTGTGAATCACATCGGCTTTTCGGGCTTCGGCCGCCAATTTCTCGACCTTCGCCTCTTGGCCTCCCACGCTGGGGGAACAAGTCTTGACCCAAAATGGAGGTTCCAAACATCATCAGCAAAGGAGTGGGACTCACATGGTTTTCATATTGATATTCGATGATACTAGTTCATGAATTCTACTATAGCAAATATAAATAAATATATATATATATATTATATATATAGTAAATATCAAATTGTGTTTTTATCTTCCACAAATAAAATTGGGACCTTAGATGACCTCAACGGTTTTCAACTGGTCCTGGCAGTGGCTCCAAGGTCTTCGGGGCCATGGCAACGGGCGAAAGCACGGCTAGCTGGTGGCAAGTGGAAAAGTTGTGCATCGAAAATTCCCAATTCACCGTGGTTTTTCCCATTCAAACCTCCATTTAGACTACATATATATATATATTATATATATATATAGAAAGTCAGAAATGCCACCTGAATGCCATCTGACCATTCTTAGACCCTGAAAATGAAACTGGGGACTGGATGCAAATGGATGAAAGTGGTGGTTCCTCATAGTTTGTCCAAAACATCCAAAGAACCACGCCGTCATATAATTAGCAGCACCATCTGTAGAATCGTAAATCGTAGGTCCAATGGATCAGCATCACCCTGAGTTGTACAAGTTGCTGATCAACGAATTCTGTTGACTTGTGGTAAGTTAGTTCATCTGCGACATTTGTTATGCTTCTTTGGCTATGAGGCTGGAAACCTTAAGCAAATCTGGCAAATGACCAACGTGTGCATCCACAGTCCAGAACTTGTAGTGTCCTGGTTGCACTTGTGCATGAACAATCTCTTGTTGGCGGCTGGACCCCTGAATATGTGAGTCATTTGGAACTCATCATTCCAGATAGGCATTGAAAAGACGAGAAACTGTCAAGCCACTAGCCAAATACATAAAACCATTACAAGCAATCTTGGAACCCATTACAACCATCACAACATATTAAACACCCCCGTAATGGTGCCAAGAGTGTCGAAATCCCTCATTAAATGGTTTCTGGGGCATGTTTAAAAATGAAATTGATGGGATTACTCTAGTTTATCCACTATAATCTTGTAATATCTTGTAATCATTGTTAGTTGATTATATTCCCACTTGATTTCTGGGAGGTGTTTCCAGCAACCAGGACGGGAGACCGCACCCAGTCACGCACCGGACGGCTGCTTCTCTTCCAGCTCACCGGCGAGGTATCCCGGGCCTGCAAAAGGGGAGCTGGGCTAGAAAAAGAAAGAGAGAGAGAGAGAGGGGGATACACGCACACAGATATCACATGTGTGTGTGTGTGCAAGTGTGTGTGTGTGTGTTATTGTTTAATAAAGATAGATAGATCGATAGATCGATACATCGATCGATAGATCGGTACATCGATCGATAAATCGGTGGGTAGGTAGGTAGGTAGGTAGCTAGCTAGCTAGCTAGGTAGGTAGATAGGTAGATGTACTATGATGTATTACATGCATTCACATATGTATGCTTGTGTCTGGTGTCTTGATAGTGCATGAATGCTGAAGGATTTCTTCATGCCAATAACTTTATGCTGAGGTGTGCATTTGCCTTTAGACAATTGTTGCAAAGGCATGTGGCCGTTTTACCGCATCTGTTTTGCGGGAGTCCACTCTTCGAGCTCCGTCATGATGTGTCACTGAGTCACTGGGTTCCAGGCAGGATCATCCCAGCCTCACCGTCCGGTCTGGAGTTTGGGCGTGATGGCATGCGGTCACCCAAAAAGAAACTAAAGAAAGGACCCAGCCTGGACGGTTCAGTTCTGCCACATGGACTTGTCATCTGCCCATCAGATCCCATCTGCTGAGACCATGGCTTTTGCCAACGTGCGTCATGTTCAGGACCGTCACCTACCATTCTGAACAGGATCTGGTGATCAAACCTGAGGTATGTCTTACAGGTTATACATGGTTATACAGGTTATAATTAGTGAAAGTTCCTGCAATCATTGAGATATCAATCATTATCAATCGTTAATTAATCATATTTACATCATCAGCCTGAATCTGCCTGAATCTGCATGATGCCGGTCCCACAAGTGGGTTGATCATTTGATCATCACAACCCCAGGATCCACCCGGGAAGCCGAACCAGCCTCCGCTTTACCGGTGAAACTGCGGGCCCTTTCCATGACCAGAACGAAACCTCGCACCTTGGAAGACGAAGGCGGGCACGAAGGCTGATGTTGAAGGCACACAACAAGAAACCTGATCCAACTTGCATGGTGATGCTGGATACCGAAATAACATGCACATGATTCAGACATGGGATGCATGTCCTTGAACACGAGCATTTCGGTGGCCAATTTGTTGTTCATTTGGTGTTCCTCCCTTCTGCATCTCTGCATCTCTGGATGGGTTTGAGACAGAAAAAAAATCGATTTGTTGGGCAAATTGATGGTGTCACAAATGTCCACAATCATTTATAAGTCTTCAGTTTGTAGTATTTTGCATGTATTTTGCATGTGTGGGGTTTCGTCGGCCAATGTCGGCCACGTTCAGGTCATGAAAAAAATTCAACCTGTCTGCAGCGCCACCCTGCTGAGTGCCGGCGGATGCCAGAGACAACGGTGCGCGGGTCGCACTGCTGGGGAAACGATGCTCCACCTGGGTATGTTGAGGATCCATGGAGAACAAGTGGTGCCGTGATATGCCGTGATTGATCGCAGTCACTTTTTTCTGTAAAGAATGATGGTACAAAGGGTGTGTAACCCATTTCAAAACCAAGTTAATATAGTCATAAGGGCTTGTAACTTGTAACTTGTAACCCACTTAAAAAGGGTTTAGAACATTTCGAAACCCCAATGCTAAGGGCCTACACCCAAGTTACAAGGAACTCTACGTATTTCTTAGACCCAAATGCCCCAAAATGCCCTAAATGATCAGGTATGGTCCAAGTTTGTCCTTTTTCTGCTCTCAAATTGCACCCTCTCCACAAATCGCGCAGCCTTGCAGTCGCGCTTGTCACGCATCGAGAACACCCAGATGGTGCCCTCCAGATCTGCGGCGATAATCCGAGTCCTGGGAATGCTGGGAACGGGATAAAAGAATGAGAGATATGGTTTTGTGGTGGGCTGAATACCTACAGGACGTGAGCACCACACAGCCCTCAAAGCGTGAGCACCACACTGCTGCGCCGTGTCAGTCACAGCATCCAGCACCCCTGTTCCAGGGTACCTGGAACGATGCCGACTGAAAACCATGGTAAAATTCATCCAGCCAGGATCGTGCACGATCCACCTTGAGGGGCTGCCTTGCACCATGCTACGTCATCTCCATATTTCATCTCCACACAGTGGGGGTTCGTCATAATCGCACATTGACATCATTGACACCATTGACCACCAAAACGACATACAAAGACGCACCAAGTCAAGAAGACTTGTCAGAAGCTGTTTTCAGACCCAACATCACTTTGGTGCCAAACAACTGGCGCACTTGTAGCAGTTGTAGGCGCGAGCCTGGCGCGAAAAACATGCGGAGATCTCTAGTTATGCCAGCCAAAAAACTGGTTCTCTGAATTGGGGGGCCGAACAACACACAAATCATTGGCTTTGAAACAGAAAACCTAGACCTAGCCATAAGTTCCCAAGTTTCATCAATCACAAGAAAAAATGCATGACTATACAAAGCAGTGTCCAGGTGGAAGTGGTTCCTTTCCAATATGGGAGTGGCTCTCATCATTTGAGGCTACCGAGAACATGCAATGCATACCGACGCCATTTTTTCTACACCCCGTCCAAGCTCAATGCGTCCTGCGACTGTGTGCGCAGCTTAGATTCAGATCCGGGTGGATCCATCCCAAATTTCATGTTGGGCAAAACGGATTCAAAGCCCATACTTTTTCATCAACTTCTGCACATACCAGTGGTCACGGGGTCCATGGTTCATAACCCACCTAGGATGTCGTGAGAAAGCATCAAAGAAGGAAAGAGAGTGAGAGACACAGAGCAGACAGGTAATCATATGTCATGTATATATGTGAACTAAATAATAAATATTTGTAACCCAGTTACTCTCTCCTGGCTGCTTCGCCAGCCGCCCTCTTGAACTCCTCATCATATCCACACTTCCAAGCGGTGGAGTAAACCTTAGATTCAAGTAACCATATCAAATGAAATAATCAACATATACCCCCAAAAAAACAATCCAGGTAAAGAGAACATATGCCTAGGAACCGAATGCATCTTCTTCCAAACAGGATCTTTCCTCAGGTCACTATATTTCCCTTTCTTTCCTTTTTTCTTTGTAGATTTCTTCGGCTGTGGTTTTGCCTTGGACCCGGCACTGGGTGTGGGGGATGCCTTTGCCTTGGCTTTGCAGCGGGAAATGGAAGCCTTTGCTGTTGCCTTTGCTGTTGCCTTTGCTTTGGCCTTTGCTTTGGCCTTTGCTTCGGCCTTGGGTCGGGGGTTGGATCCTTTTTTTGAGGAAGCTTTTGCCTTCGGGGCAACCTTCTCCACCTGATCTCCTTTCAGGGAACCCTTCTCCCCCTCACCTCCTTTGGGGCAAGCCTTGGTCTTTGCCGTGGGTTGGACAAAAGCAGAGGGTGCCTTGGGCTCTGGGCTGGGCGCGGCATCAGCAGCCAGGGGCGGGGTATGGCACTGTGGGGAATCCTCATCAGAACCAGCCTCATCATCTAGATTAATGACATTCCCGGGGACATCACAAGTCACACCAGTCTCACCAGAATCCTCAGCAGTGTTCTTACTTCCCAAATCGGAAGCAGTAGGTTCTTCCAAACCACCAGCGTTCAACTTGTTGGCATCATCCTGTCGCCAAGTAGTGGGGCAAGTAAGTAGGGGTGTTTAATATTAGTGTGGGGGATCATGGGGCATACTTTTTATAAGTTCAATTTATATAGTTTGGTTCCGATATAAATATGATGGATCTGTACATGTGTTGATTTTGATATATATTATATAATATTATTATTTTATAGTATATATTATATCATAGACTCAACACTGATAACAAGGAGATTGTAACTTGAACTACCCCCTTATAATCCAAAGACAGATACCGCCATCCAGTGCACTGTGTGTGCCTAGGCTATGCATGGCGGGCCTCTCGAAACAACTCGCGTGGTTCCAGGACTGAGAAATCACGGCATTTCTCCATGCGGCGGAGTCCAACCTCAGGGTCCCCAGTAAATGGGTTTCAAGACAATACATTATGTTGAAAACATGTTGAAAGGGTTCCACCAGATCAAGAATTTCAGCTTAGAAACCCAGCGTTCCCATGACTCATAGCCCAACTGGTTATCAGGCGGAGGGGGTGTCTCATCCAACGATCCTGGTGTCCCCAAATCCACCATGGGGGTCTTGGGATCCACTTCGGTCTCCGCATAGTCCGGATTGGGTTGGTTGGCATCACCAGCAGCGTCATCCCTTGGAATGAAGCAACATGAAAGTCGAATAGCCAATTCTAAACCAACATGAACCATCGTTGATGTATGCCATGAACCATAACCCCAATGAATCAAGTGGCTGTGCGCCATCCATATGCTGATCATCTTCACTCACCTTTGCATGGGGGGGACCTTCAGGAGCATATGGCCAGAATCCGTCAAAGGGTGGATCACCCAAGGTATCCAAATACCGGGGCAGTCTCTCATTGTCATTCTCCTCCACACGCGGATGCTCTCCTTGTTCTTGATCATCAGAATCCCTCAAAACAAAAACCCAAGTGTAGTTTCAAAAATGAATTTCATAGCTAGAAGTGTGTGGCACCATTATTTCCATTTATAAGGTCAGATGCAGCCAGTGCCAAAGCGGAAGGGTTTCCAAAAGATCCGAAACCACCTTTGTCTCCAAAATCCCCTTCTCCATAGCATCCTTGTTCTCGATCATATGCGCAAATGGCAGGGCCTGCAGGATTCCAATTAGATTTCTGGATTAGTAGAGATATCAGACTTGAAACATCATTATGTCTTTGGAAATGGTTTGAAATCCCATTGCATGTTTTCATGTTTGTAGCAATGGGCCTCATCACGCTTTCGGGTTGATGGCTTCTTCTTGGTACCCCGGTTCGAAGTAGCAGGTTTTTTGGATGGCTTTCCACTGCCTTCTTCTCCATCAATCTTCAAGATCTCATCCAGCCCTTCCAGGCCGAAATCATCCCTCTCATCATCATCATCATCATTTCCATCACCATCTGGCAATGCATCATGTTCTTGATCAATGTCCTCATCATCGTCATCCTCATCACACTTTGACTTCTTAGCTGGTTTCTTTTTAAGGTCCTGTCCCTTCCGCTTACTTCCCTTGTCCTCCTTGTTCCCCTTCTTGTCCTCCTTGTTCCCCTTGTCAGCGGATCCTCCATCTGGCGAGGACTCACCAGAAGAGAAGCGTGGAGGCAACTTGTCGGAAGCCACAGAACCTCAGGCAACGATTGCGGCAACCATGGTTGGAAGGGGAACTTTCTGGGAAACTTCTAAGGTGTTTTGGTTCTACTATAGTGATAAACCACTATATCCCAATTTGTGATATAGTGGTTTATCACTATAGTAGAATCAAAACACCTTCAATTTAAACTGATGGTACATCATAGTATATTCTGTAATCATCACTTGACCCTATACTGGAAATAAGAAGAGATAGATACATAGCATAGCTTTTGATTTATATAGGTTGGCTCATCTAAATAAATGTAAGTATGAGAAATGCTATAATATGATCTGATGATATGATGTTATTATTGTTTACAAGTTGCCTCAATACAAACAGATCTGTTGCCCCCAACCCACCCGGATCTTTTGGTAACGAAAAACCAACAGATATTTGGTACATCTTGGTACATTTATGAGGTGTCTTCTTTAGACCAAAACCTTGCGATTAACACAAATTTAAACCCAAAGTTACCCCATGTTACCCCACATCATCCCACATTGTAAAGAATTCCTGCATTTCCATACGTCATGTGTGGGCGTGTAAGCCAACTCTATATGTTCATTGTGCACCCCATAGTCTATCTATTGTATATATCAATCCTTAAATCTAAACAGTGTTATTTTGTTGGAGTTGATTGAAAGCCAGGCGTAATTGTGAAAATATAATGATGTAAGACAGGAAATGATTTCTATGAACAGTCATCCAACTTTGAAATATCAGAATATGAAATGCCATTGTTGAACAATCATACAATGTGAAACCCCATAATGCATCAGAAAAATACCAACTTTCAGCATGTTCCCTGATAGAACGCCCAATTCTCAGGCACAAGACTTGCAGCTGCACCAGATCCACCACTGTTCCGGGAAGGTCGCGTCCCCGGAGTGGTTGGATTCCGGGGTGCTGGACAGCTCGATGAGGAACGTTGTGGGGAAATCAAAGACTGCAAATTAAAGGCCTGGGCAAATGATATGTCTTGTTTGACCCACAAATTTGGTTCCATATAATTGTTTGTTCATTCTCAAAATGACATGAACCAATGGATCCAAGTAACAGGTGCCCGAAAGCTCGGGTTGGCTGTTAGGCACTGTACACTTTCTGAATCACTTTCTTTCAGTGACTCTTTCTTTTTTTGGGACTCCTTTGTTTTCGGAGCCATAACTCCAAACACTCTAATCTACACCTCTGGATTGTGCTTGGGCCTTTTCCCAACACAGCAAGCAGCAAACCATGGGAACTAATTACCGCTGTGTCAAAAATAGAAAGCTATGCTAGGCACTCGGGCTGCTCGACAACCCTACCCCTAAAGCAACATGGTGTTTTCTTTTCCAACAGGTTTCAATGCTTTTCGAGAAATCTCGTTGCCCCAATCAGGCAGAGCTAGGTCCTACTGCATATGTCGTATGCCCCCCGGATTCCTCGCTGAACACTGAGACAAATGATCAAAAGCAATCGTGCTAAGAGGCAATACTATATAAAACATTGGTGGGGAGAATATGGGAAACAGTGCCAGCGAGTGTGTCAAATCGGGCACAAGCAGCAACTAGCTTAGCCAGCCACAACAGCGCAGGCCAGATCACAAAACAAACTTGTGCAGGTTTAGTGAATTGGAAACTGATGAGTTAAGTTAACAAACTTGCATTGCAACTTGAAAACGGCATCCAGCATTCGTGCGCTGACATCGAAAGACCAAAAATCCCAAAGCAGGCTATCAGGTAGCCAAAGGTTCAGAACTCCTTATACCATCTTAACAATAACACTGTCGAGATCCATCACGCCAGCCGTGATCCCAATCGGCCTGATAGGGACCAACATTTTGGTCCCATTGGCCTTCGAATCAAGCCTGGGGCAGTTGGGAACATGAAAACATGCCGCAAGCATCTCCAAACCATTTTGAAAAGTAGCTGTCTCAGCGTGTTCAAAGACATAATACATACTTTAGGGATGTAAAAGTAGATGTTTGGTATCAACAAACCAAATATAATTTGATTGCATTTTTCAAATATGTGCCTCACACGCCATCCAATTGAGATTTTCGAGCTTCCCTTGATCTTGATGGTCTGGACATAGGCTCCAAAGTTTTTGAAAGTAGGACCACCTGAACCCTTGTTCTTTTCACCCCGTTTGCGTTTCTTGTTCTTCTCCTCCTCTTCCGGGTCTTTGCGGTTGTCTAAGACGAACACAAGGGGTTTGTCCGAACGAACGGCATTCTCCTCCAGTGTGTGATGGCTGACTCCGAGCTTCACCTTGCAGGTGTCACTTGCAATGCTGGAATACTAAGCTTCGGCACTTATTTTGGGTTAAAAATCTGATGAAACATTGGGGGGCAAAGAAGTTAAATGATTCAGAATTCAATATTTGGTAATTTGGTTCTCAACCGAGACCTCCCCTGCATCTTCAAGTTGCAAAACCAACTCCCGCAGCGGTGTGGGGGTATCAACAGCAGGAAGCGCCGTCAAGTGGGAAGGAAGGTGCTTCTTCTCCAACAAAAAGACCGAGTCCATGTTAACAGAGAATGAATACCAACGCCCCCCCGTGTCCTGGCAACATTCAGCCGCTTCCTTAGTAAAAACCGATCCGTGGCAAACTAAAAAACCAAGGTTGGGAAGTTGGCTCCAAGAAGTCTAACTGCTAGATTTGCTTTCTTGGTTTCATGAAGCTGCTTTGTGAGTTATGTTTCCATGTTTGATTTCCCTTTCCACCGAATCCCTTGGAATTACTTTTTAATGAAATCTTTATTCCAGAAAAGTATCTGATCCTTCCCTCCACTCTCCACTTCCGAAGCTAAACCTCAGATGCGGCTTCTTGAACATACTAAAAGGCTTTGAGGCTCACTGTGATAGATGCTTATTCTGCCAACTGAATCTTGATAATCTTGAAACTACTTATTATATAGTTCAAGCTTGATAGAGGATGATAAGATAAGAAACATCACAGTCATAATCTTTATACAATGCTTTTGATGAGGGGCAGCTCTCGGGATTGGAGGAACTGAGTCTTCCCAGTAGATACCAGAAAGAGGCAGGACCCCTCCTCATCGGTGACCAGCTCCGCGCAAGAATTGATCTGGAACTTCTTCCTTAGCCATGCCCCCAAAGGGATCAAAATCCAGTCTATTAGAAAATTGTTGGTTCAAAAAAATGGTTGTTGCTCAGGTTATTGATCAGAGAATGGTTGGTTCAAACAATTTGGGTCTCACGGGGCCCCACTTTCTCGGCCAGGGAGCGCTTTTTTGAGAGCGGTGACATCAGCGTCAGAGGCCTTGTCATCGGATTCCAACTTGATTCTTTTGGGAGCTCGTTCTTGGCTGCGATCTTCGGTCCTGTAAAGATGGGTAATGTGGTTCATCAATGACAATTCCTGGAGGTAGAAGGGAAAATAACACTATTGAGAAAAATATGTAGATTATTTTGGAAGACCGTTTTTCTTGAGAACACAGGTCCTGTCTTGAGCTTCCTCCACAAAATCCCCCTCAGGGTTGTACTTCTGGTTGTGCTGTTGAATGATGGCAGTCGCATCCCCCTTGAACTGCTCTGACTCCAGCCATTTCGATGCATAAGACCCCAGTACACACAAGGTGGTTCCTCTTTTGGTGCACACCTGGTATTCATGGCCTGTCGATTCTGGTTTCACATCTTTCAAACTTTGGATGTACTGGGAAAAGTCAGGGAAAGCCTTCAGCTTCAATTGCTTTGAGCGGCACGACTCATACACAGCATTCGCCAAGTACTGCTGGAGACCGTCAGGCCGCTGGTCCAAAACCACCGATCCACAAAGGATGCGTTCTTCGCGGGCAGCCTCCTGTCAGCAGGTGATTGGAGGCAGATTTGGTTTCCAAAGACTTTAATTAGGAGCCTAATAATTTTGAGGGTGATTACACTTCCTCAAATGGGTCTATGGGTCTATTGCTTTGATTGCCCTTGGGAAAACAGTTATATAATTATAATGCTCACCCCATAAATGCGGTCTTTGTGAAGTGTTTTGCATCAATCAACAAATGGAAAACCTGACCATTATCATTAGAAAGAAAAGCATGTGTCCTGAAGGACAGCTAGGGCTGGCCACCCATCGTAGCAGTGCAAATCCAGCATCAGAGTAGTGGACACAGTTTGCGGCTTCAACGAGGCCAAGGTTTGTTCCACGAAGTCTGTGCCCCCAGCCACCTCCCAAGGAAACCAACCAACCAATAGGGAGGGTAACGGATAACATTTCTTGGGACATCTCCGTATGAAGTAAGTAACACCAACAACAAGATTCTGATGATAATACAAATTCTTTCCCCATATTTCCCCCCCACCTGCTTCAACTCCTGGACATCTGTCAGCGCGCGCCCCAGGTGAGGCAAATTGGCTTTGCTTTGCACCGCAACCTGACAGAAGGCAGGACAGAGCAGGGAAAGATCAGGGGATACATCAGGTTTTATTTGAACCTAGACAACTATGTTTGTCAAGCAACTTCGGGTTTGAACATGTTGGCCCTTGGTAGCATTTGGACATTGTCCACTACGCCCTGCTTCCACAGAGAAGATTTGCGGTAAATGTTCCCCTTGTCCTGGTGAACCACAGCAACTCCGGTGATGGCTCCATCTCGACGCCCATAGATGGAATCCTCATGGTGCTGGAGAACATGTTATATCATATTATATCATCATTGTAATGGGTTGTCAGGATCATGGGAAGATTGGTTAGACAACTCCATGGCGGGAACAATTCTTTTTATGTGGTTCGAGCATGTTATGTTTGTAGCTAAGAATATCCCGTTTTTGTGGTTGGAACATCACAATTTATCTGACATTGTTGTGGTTAGAATATGTTCATCTGGAGACATTTTTGTGTGGTTAAAACTTTCCCAGTTGTGGGGTCAATTCAACCCATGCACCTTGGCAAACACCCATGTGACGCTGCGCACAGATAAGTTCCTGTCTTTGGCGCTCAGATCTTTCCTGGGCACCAGACTGTTCAACACTTCAAGTGTCGTTTAGATCACCAAAGAAACCATTAGAAGCGCCAAACATGCTCAACAACTTATAATTTATTATAGCTTTTCCAACCCATATCAAAAATCATATGTTATTTTCATAAGGGAAGTATCTCCAAGTTATAACGGATGTCACGGACATCCGCTTCCTCCTTTGCGTCCTCTTTGTCATCCGTGTCGTCATCATCATCATCGAGGTCGCGCTTGACACCTCCCTGATCATCATCAACCTCCTCCTTGGCGTCGATCTCTTCCTTTTTGGCCTCGCTCTTCCTGCCACGACATTGGAAGCAGCAAATAAAATTTGATCCATGGAATCATTCATGGCATTCCCAAATGATCTTTTTTAAAAATGTTAAAGGGACGACTAGTTTTTGTGAACAAGGGGCCACTATAGTTAATAGACAAGAATTGGATACCAATAGTCAATTGATTCGGTCCTGTTTGGAACCTGAAGTTGGGATGCCCTGTTCGGATGAATCACCACCGCCACACCGTTTCTCTTGTAAAGAGTCAACAGGTTCGTCAGGGCTGTGAGGATAAACTCATATTTCGCAGCCCCCACAATTCCTGCGGTTGTCATGTTGGCCCAAAGAATTAGGCCGTGATCGTCGAACGATCGAACCTCCACCATGTCCAAGAACGTTTCTTGAACCCATGACGATATTGAAGGCAACACAGTAGATTCAGAATCTACTGATCGGCCAGCAAACATGCGCATGTTGCTGGTGAGGTACTCTCCGACAATTTCCCATGCCGTTCGGTGACAATCCTTCGGGGCAACCCTTGTCTTGGTTTATGATGCCGACTTGTTTTTAAAGTAATTGACTGGTCATTTGCATGAAATCAATATGTGCCCCACAAATCTTCCCCACCAGATATTGAGGACTAAATACACTGGGAACCCTACAGAAGATTTAAACATATAGAGTCAAAATAAGTAATAAGTTAAATGTAGCAAACCACTTCCCATGACCAATCCTCCAGCTGCGAAACCAGCTTTGCTCGCCGCTTTGAACTTTCCTTTTCCGTCCTGGGCAGGTGTGTTGACACCAGGATCATTATGTTCTTTTACTTGCAGGCGCTTTAAGCCCGGCAGGGATGGGATGTGAAAAGACCTTACAGGTCATTGTGGTATTTTCTAGCTCCTTGCATCCCCCTACAAAGATGTTATCTTATGAGGGCCCCAGGGGAAAAATTGAAAGGTAAGAATTCAGGGATATTGCTGCTATTACAGACCCCGTATATCGTGCTGAAAAAGCCAAAATGTTTCATATCATATTAGCTATGGTTCGAGATCAGCTCTGATTCAAAGCAAACCTGATCTGCTTTGAGTTGTTGAACCCGACAGTTGTAGGCGGCCTGTAAGCTCTTTGACTGGGCATTTTTCGTTACATCCTGGGCATCGCTGATGTACTTCTCGAGGCATTCACCACGAAGCTGCAGGGAGAAACAGTGGTATTTAAACTGTCAACGCATTCAGGGAATTCCCTACGAAGCTGCAAGAAGACTTGTATCCTTGTAACCCCATTCATGGAATTAGCTACTGTCAATTTCCATTAGTTGAAAACCAGTGGCCTCCAGCACAAAACTGATGCGTTCCCAGTCAAACTCTTCACCAGCTTTCACAAGGCCACCCAAGTCAGAGTCCAAGTTCCTGGGGTGGATAAATATCAGATATTGCAGGGATGATATGGTTTTCAAAATGAGTATGTTTCAAATTGAGGTGCCATGTTCTCCTCTTTAAAGTATAAAATTTTGGGTGGTCAAAAAGGGCACCCCATTTTGAGACATATCTATATTTCACGGAATCCAAAAAAATCTTTGAAAAACCAATCAACCCGGGAAATTTGAGTCGGGCTTGGAAGTGTGACGGGTTTTCTGGAAAACCAATCAAACAAACAAATACAAAAAAATAGTCAATCACATTGCATTTTGAGGGCGAGTATACGTAATTTGATTGGTTTAGTTTTTTCCTTGGGAATTGTGACGGGTTTTCTGGGAAACCAATCACATTTTCTAAGTTGAGCCAGCCAGCCTAAGGTGATTTGGCCGTGGCCATCTTGTAACAAAGAAATGTGACGGGTTTTCTGGAAAACCAATCATAAACCTTATCATAGATTTGGCCGGCGCCAACCAAATCATATACACTTACAATCAAGGATCCCCTTGAAGAACATCTGGTTGTACTTTTCCAGTACCGCCATGGGAAAAGAGGATTTCATTTTCGGCTGCAAGTACTGCCAAACGCAGCAGATGTCAAACAGGAATTGATGCTTCTCCTCGTCGTTCTGAGCCAGTTTCTGCAGGGTAGCTGAACAACACCATGGTTCTACCGAACACCATTTGACAATTTAGCATAATCAGCATCTAAAAGTCGTAAATAAACCCTGTCCTTGGCTTTGTTGCCACTTTCCCTTGACACTTTCCGGCAGAAGTCCTGGTTAGAACGAAGTCAGACCATTAATAGTTGACTTATTGCAACGGGACACCCATAGAATTTCCAAACACCGGTTGTAATTTTGACGACTAAACCAACAAAAAAGCCTTGTATGGTCCTGTGTTGCTCGTTGGGCCCACATGAGACATACATCTGGAGTCACCTGCAAGATTTCCTGCCACTGAGCCTTCCCAGAGTATTTGGCCAAGTCAGCCCTTGATGTACTCCCAGGCACCCACCAATCGCCCTGGAGGACATCCAGTGGAAGGCCTGGCGCGGGCAAGAGCGTGAAAGCTGGGGACATTGAATGGGCATGACATACCCTGCACCTGAAACCTCATGACGGAATTGATCGTAATGAGCATGAATCAAAGCATGTAGCTCATCCGGGGCACGAAGCCTCAATTGTGATTCATGGCCCGGCTCATGGTTTAACATTGGGTCTTGGGAATTTATGTTAGTAAAAACCACCACCAACACAACATACAATTGACAAACCATAGGTTCCATTATTGGCTTAGGAACATGTTGTAAATCAACGCGCGCTTGGCTGTGTCAATCCTGTGTTTTTTGTTGGTGGTCATTTTGTTGTACTGTGCCACCAAGAGGTTCAAGATGTCCCGCAAGGCTTTAGAAGCTCCAGGTTTCAAAAGTCGTTTCTCTATGGACACCGCATTCTTGAAATGTCCGAAGTACTCCAAGGCCGAAGGTATCTGCTTGTCCGATGTCACATGTCCCAGTCCTGAGAAACTTAAAAAACTTTGAATTGCATGGCATAGCGCCCATAAACTCTACCAAACACTGAAGGGTACTATGCCCATAAAAAACAACCGAAGTTCGAAGGGCATGGAGAGCATGGTGGGATGGAACATCAAAGTGAGTGTAGGCACATCGCACATAGCGGAAGGATTGGAGCATGTGGCTCACAGCTGGATCTTCAAGGTCTTCTTCTTGGAATTCCTCAAAATGAACCACACGGGGAAGAACAATTTCAGGAAGTGAGAGGCTGAAAGAAAAAAACAATGTCTAAGTCTAAGATGAGTTTGGTCAGTTCTATTCTCACACCATGTATCCAACTCATGGAGGAACGAAATGAGCGCTATCATGCTCAAGACCTTCAATTGGCCGTCGTTGTATCCCACAGAGAAGTCAATGATGTTTCGTGTTTGGTCCACCCGGGGAAATTTCACCAATACCGCTTCGGCGGATTGACGGTATCCTGACATGAACTCTTTGATGTGCGCGCTGAACTGCTCGTTCTGAGGATAGACTTAGTGGAGCAAGCACAACACAATTAGCAATTAGATCACTAAGTACATTTAGTTCTAAACAAATGCCGACAAGGAAATAACACAACACAACTTGTTGAAGTCATGGGACACCCATGCTTGCCATGGCATGAGATATCAAAGGAGTAGAGTGGGAGCCAGAGTTCTTGTCGTGTGTCTTGTGGTACCAGAAAGGTCTCCGGCTTTACCTCTCCCCGATAGGAGTGAATGACCAGGTGTTCAATCACCTCATCGCCCAGTGAGCCAACGATTAAAAATTTGGAGACCAAGAGGCAAAACAAATTATCCTTACCTAGTACCCCCACCTTCTTCAGTCCATCTGTGTTTGCCCCATAGAGCTGAAAGATGTGGTCGCCCAAGTTCTTCTCAGCAACGACCTGGGTCAACAAGAATGAAGTATTTTATTATGACGGACTGGTATCCCTAGTTCCCATGGTATATAGTTCCCATCAGACAGGATCTCACCAGTGATTTTCGACAAAAGTTGAGCCCTGAACACTTTCAAAGTAGGCAAAGAGCTTCTGCATCCGGGGATTGTCATCTACTTCCATGGCTGGTGGCTCTCACCTAAACCAACCTGGAAAAACGATGCCGCCTTGAAGCTAGGAGCAAAACAACTAACATTTTCAACATGGAGGTAAATGGTGAGCATTAAACAATCTTTCGACATTTACAGGCATTTGTTCATCCATGTCCATCGAACAACGCAAGGTGGTAAACCAGTTTTTCCCCCAGCAATCGGTTATTGCTTCATTCCCCTAAGCACACTGACGGTCATGCCACTTGGCTGACATGTGCACAAACGACCCAGATTTGGCAAATGGGATATTGTTTATCCGCCGCCATGGTGAAAAACAACCTCCAACTTATGGGGTCGGGGTGGTGCTGGTCTTTGACCAATCCTGACATCCCCTACCCTAGCTGATGCCTGAGGTCCATCTTCAACAAATTGTAAACGTTCATAACTTTTTCTAGGCCGACCAGCATCTACCAGACTCTTGTAGTAGCTCACTGCACGGCCCATGGCCGGGAAGTCAGACTCTATTTGGCCAGCAAGAAGTAGGAGATCTTGTGCCCTAGATGGGTCCAGTTCTTGTTGTATTGTTTCAGTAGTGGAGTTCACACAGTTCCAAAAGTTTTCAGTTGTACCCAAAAGGGATTCTGGCCACACAAGAAGCGGTGGTTGTATGAGGGAAGAATCCGCCATGTTCCCCTTCACAAGCGCAAAGATGTCCTTTCGATCACCGGCTCCTCGAAGGCGACGTGGCACCCGCTCTTCAGTCTCCACTCCAGCACCACCGTTGGGCATAGCTGGCCAGGCAGATTGGAGCGGTGGAGTCTTGAGGGTGGGTTGCATTCAGACATATCAAAACATTATATAATAACCAAGTCATGAATACCATCGATGCTTACATTGGGGGCCTGGCCTTCACGAGGGAAGAAAGAAAACGATTGTGGGACTCGCATGTTGTTCTCGGCATCATTCTTCCGGGATCTGTAGCAATTCCGTAGGGTAGAATTGGTGGGCATCAGTTTTGCCCAATTGCGAATCTTAGCAGGGGCAGGCAAACCAGCAACAATGACTTACCGTCAACAAAATGGTGTGAATTTGGACTGGTGCATGCTAGTAACGGTGTCGATAAGTTCCACTTCGAGGACCAAGCCCTTCTTCTGGAATGCAGGTGTCAATCTCCGAAGAATGGTCCTGGGGAATCGGCAAAACAGATGGGATACTGTATATCATATCAAGTCCAGTTCTTTGTTAGTATTTTAAAAACACGGTATATATTATATATATTATATCAAATTCTGTTCAGATATTATGTTCAGCCGGTATCAAACATTCTGTCCTTTGAATGTCCCTTGGGGTTTCGATGCCATTCTCAGCATTCAATGCTGCCGTCACCAAGGAAAATACACCATCTGATCAGGGGAAGCGGGATTGTTCTAAAATAACTAAATTGACCCTAATCCAATCAACATAGTAAGTTCAAACATCAAAGAATGTCAAACATATTTTTTCAACAAAACTGGGCCTATGTCTTCGTGGGTGTGGCCAACCACCATATGGTGGTGGCTCACACCCACGAAAAAGTTCGCTTGTGCCAGTAAGCATCCCCACTTTCCAGTAAACGAGTTACGGACTTCTTTTGGGCAGTTGTCCCCTTGGAGCCACAGCCTCAAGTTGCTCACTCAATCCCTAAAGATTTCATAGATTTTACACAAACCAACATATCACCAATCGATTCAGATTCAACAGTTGGTTCAAAAGACTTGACCCCTAAAATATCGTAAGAACCCAACTCCCAAGGAAAGGGTGCATTCTTTGCCCGAGCTTGCTGGTAGGCTCGATCAATCGACCGCATGGCCTCAGATGAGCTGAGACAGGACTCGGGGCAACTAGTAGCTGGTCTTTAGGTGTTTCATCCAATTGACAGCCATTACAAACAAGTAGCACATTCTATTGTCCAACTTGATCCTGTGCTAAGTCCTTCATCTCCGATGTAAATGTACACGCCAAACCCATGTACAATTGCTCCCGTCAAAGTCAGCGATGTACCTAAGGATCCCGGACAAAACAAAAGGATGAGATAGGGCTAAGGAATCAGTAGTTTACATCATTCTACTATCATGCATTTTTTGGTTAAGATGCGGTTGATGGCTTCATAGATTGGCCGCTTTGGCGTACGACCAAATTTCCACCGTGGGAGGGACATCTTACATTTATCGAAAGAGTCCAGAATCATCACCAGAAGGTCCGATTGAGACCTGGCCCGCTGACGGGCTTGGTAGTAGACCTGGCGGTCCTTCCAAGCCTCCGTGTAGTGACCAAGTAGCCTGTCAGAAATCTCGCTGATCTTTTGAAAGTCCTTGGCGCCAGGATATTCTCCAACATGTGTTGCATCAAAATCAGGCACAGGACCGGCTAATGGGCAGGGTAAGTGTTCCAAAAAAAAATATTGAAATCAAATGGAGGCTCATCTGTGTTCAAAAGAGCTGACCGAAGTGTGCTACACGTAAGGCAAATTTGGTGATGAGTCCGGCGGTGAAATTTGATGCAAACTTTCCATTCTTGCACTACTGCAAAAAAAGTGGACCGTGATGCTGGGGTTTCATTCCTCGATCTGGCATACGCTTTGTAGAGAAGGTACATGTTCATCCAGCTTCCATGAGGGAGTTCCCGCATGGGTAACCTGCTTGGGTCATTGTTAGACGAAACCTGAAAGGTTGGGCCTACCAACCTGGAGTCCACCAGCCTGTCCAGGAGCTCTTGTCGCAGATCATCATCTGCTCCATCGAGAACTTGTTTGGAGGCTATCCTGAATGTTTGCTGTGAGGGCCAAAGAAGAAACATTTTTTTTTTGGTGAGGATCTACTTGGTAGATTATGTTTAGCTGGGTGGCGCTGTTGGCATAGGCTCTGAAGCTGTGAAGTACATGTGCGCCATGAACGCCCGCACTGATGCGCTCTTGACTGCAGGTGGTGCACTGGGTCCTGAGAGGCAACTGCTGGATTGAAAGGAAGAACATTGAAGAACATGTCAAATTCCCACAACAAAGCTGTTGACATTTGGTTGGGGTAAATGTTAAACATGTTCTTTCTTTCAACACTGAAGCCCATTGTGATTGCTCAACATAAAGCTAGGTTCCACCAGGTCCACTGATAGTACGAAGATCTTTTCCCTTGAAAGCTTTTGAACACCTTTTGATGCGGCCCTTTCCAATGCCCATCAAGAACAGCCACGCTTCCTTACAGACAGGATGTCCTGCGCAACGGGCAGGCAATTGCTACACAGAAAATAACCGTCTACCCTTGTGATAAACCCCAACAATTTTAACATATAATAATTTTACAACATTGTTTGGTTCAGACAGGGGTGATCCTGAAAGAAACCACTGCTTCTTCCGGTTGACACCAGCTTCGTGTTGGAGTGACCATAGCAAACTGTCTTGTGTAGGCTTGTTGAGCAGCCAGAATGCCAGCACAATTTTCATAAGAATTTTGGCAGGAACCCGACACTTGCAGTTGCAACAAGGCCTTCGCAGGGCCTCATGAACCCTTTCCTTTGAGGACCCACTTTTCGCATATTCGGACATATCCCCTTCTAACACTGTGTTGGTCTGACTGTGCATTGATTGAAGCCTTTCATAAGTCAAATCTACATGACGTGCGGCGCCAGAATCATCATGGGCTGAACTTTCCGAGCTGGTCTCACCATCAGAGTCCGTTGTTGAGTTGGCATCGTCATTCCTGATGCTAGCAAGATCGGGCAGGAGTTGTGTGAGGCAAGAGACCATTTGAAGAGGCAAGATCTGCCATCGCTAGGTTTCAACATAGTATGACCATTGACCAACAAATTCAAAATAATTGCAATAAAGGTTCTCCTCAGAAGAACTGGTAGGATCATATCTTGGAAGCCCCCCAGATACATCGGAATCAGAGTCCCATCGGCAGAGGGCTGGCATGGCACCCTTTGTTCTGTAAATTGAATCAGCACACTTGGTTAAATATGTTGGTGTGGTCGTCAAATTGAATTGCGATTTTATGAGACACCATCCAAATGGTATTAATTAATCTCACATTGAAGCCAGCTTGATACAACTTCAGAACGGACGAGGTATAGTATACCAACCATGCGTCATGCAATGTCATCCAAAGTGATGAGCAAATCCAGAGTGAGCAGTCAGCACTTTTTTTTAATTCCAAATTTCAGACATGTCAGGCAACATTTTTTCTGTCCTAGGCTAACTTCACCACAAACTTCTTTGGGTCAACGCAGCTCAATGCCAAGCATAGGGCCCCAAGAGCAGGGCGTAAAGCCATCGCATTTCCACCCAAAGAGTGCAATACCTAGGAAGGATTTTCGGGGCATGAGGTAAGGCTTCATATTTGGATGTGTTAAGGCTGCTAAGACAAAAAATCAATGAATTTTCCAAATGATTAATGCATTCAGAAGGCCTTTTCAGGTGCTGTTTCCAGGCCGTGCATTCTATGGATCGGAACCCCCATCAGGGCTAAAACCTCCCTCCCAATCAGAAATCGGGATTGGTCCTCATCATCCTGCAAAACCAGGAACTTGCCACTTGGCCTTAGCAGGGACAATTGGGTATGAGAATGTTGTGGTATGGGAACTCAGGACATCCAAAACAAAACATAGTCTTGGTACCCTCTTGTAACTTAGCCTCGTACGTGAGGCAAGGTAAATGATCCGCGTGCGAAGCTATCATAGGCATACAGTGAAGGCTCTGAGAAATATTGAGGCAAGCTAAGTTGTCCCCATGGTGACATGTCAGCAAATCCAGAGCGTGCATCTCCCTGGCCACACTAACCAACTTTGCCGCTTCGGGATGGGCTTTCCCAAAGGCCTTCATGCTCTTCTTGAGGCTGACCTCCAGGAAAATAAAAAAAACATATAAAATCAAATAGATGCTTCCCACATATAGAATATATGGTATCCACAACACATGTTACTTCTTGAAGTAAAGTATCTATACATATATTACTAAAGACCCAGCCTTGTGTGTTTTTGCCCAATCTTTGTGATGCTGAACCCACTTCTTGCTTTGGTCCACAGGCCTTAGAAGATGAAAAGGAATATAAATTTTACACCGCACAAATCTTGAAGAGAGGGACAGACAAAGAGATCAAATTTAAACCAAGTTAAATTCCCCCCCCACTTTCCTGTGCTTTTCTAGCCAAGCAACTTGTTGGCATTCCTCTTCCGAGATTCAACGCGAGCTGCTTTATCACGAAGCACGGCTGGGTGGGAGGCTGGCAACATCAACTCCGTCCTGAGCACGCTGAGTAGGAGCACGCTGACTAGACTAGGAAATATTTCATAGAAACATTAAACAATACCACACAGCATGCCTAACCTGGCTGATCCTGATTGTAAACATCTGGTTGGTTCTAGGTGATTTGAAGTTTAAGTCAAGATGCCATCCCGGATAGTGCAGGGTAGCAAATTCCCCCAGCAAATCAATAAGTTTCTTCTTCACAACAGTTCCGAAATCTTCAGACGCAACATCAGCTGCCATAACATCTCTGCGAATAAGAAGAATAAACAACCTTCTCCGCGTGATTGGTGTTGCAAAGTGCTTCCTGAGGGCGCGCGTCCCCCCACATTCTAACAATATCTAACAGCTGTCCATCAATGAGCTGGAACAAGCAAAGGTAGCAGGTCCCAAAAAAAGTTGAAAATCCGAAAAACAATTTTCAAAAGCAAGTGCAAGGTAGAAACGGATCCATGATCACACAAGCCGTCGCATACCTTAAAGCGGCGAGCAGGAATGGGTTATGATAATAATCTTAGATCCTGGGATTGCCCATTGCCCATGCCAAAAAAAAGAAATCCCTTAAGACTTATGAGCAAACATCCAAGGGGCTCCGGCAAGTTCCTTTCTATGATGGACATCACATCACTGAGCACAGATTGGAACCCCAACACGTTCTCGAGCAACCCAATCTTAGTTGCAGGACATGTTAGTTACAAATTGTCACATCAGGAAAGGTACAAATAAGGCACATCTATTTCATACACAAGTTGGTTCATGTGGTAAAAGGGCCAAGGTTCCATTGGCTGGGATACCCGCACATTGCGTATGACAGCCCATAGCTGGCGTGAATTGACATCATCTAACATAGCCCGCGTAGAACTCAACAACGAGTAAGGGGTGCATGGAAACCCTGCAGTGTATACCATGACCTGCCGCCGTCATAGCAAGCAGCAAGGATGAAATAAGGAGAACAACTTGGGCAAGTGTGGAAAAACGACATGCACCCGGGAAACCCAGCCTTGCCCAGCAAATCGCTGATGTCACCTTTGATGACGTCGCTGCGAAGCCTTTGTTGAAAAGAAGTTGGACTGACCCCAAATAAAATAAGGTTTTTCTTATTATATGTTCTAAATTATAAATAAAGTCTGGCAGCTTCTGGCAGTCAGGGAAATTTCTCCGGAGCAAATCGCGCTTGTCCTCATCAATTTCCGAGGCAGTCCTCAAATTGGGGTTCAACAATGGTTGGGGACCAAATTAGGTTTATGAATATTTTCATTGAAGTAAAAACATCTTGAGTATTGAGGGTCGGACAGGTGTTTCAAAGCCGAAAGTTTCCCACAGGCTTCTAGAAGCATAGTCAACCCCCACAAAGGTGTATCAGCGCCACTGCCTTATCAACAGAAAGTTTGTACCCACTGTTTGTTTTGAATGCTGCTTACTTTGGATATGCGTTTCACAACCTCAGTGCAGCCGTGTCACAATCGCTTGCGTATGTGAAAGCTTTCCCCCGCCAAGAGGAAAACCATTTCTGCAGCCCTGTGAAGGCTGTGGCTTGGTGTACTTGGGTTTCAGGGTTTTGGAAACAAATCAAATTAAAGATCGGTGCCTTGCCTGTCGACTTCAGCTCCAGGAACAATTTTCCAACTTCTAAGTAGTCGATGATATGCTGGGGGATCTCTGTCTGCTCCTCCCAAATCAAGGGGGAGATGGATGTCTCAAACCTGTGTTGACCTAGTCCTCAACTATAACCCAATATATAACCCACTATGACTATACTATGACCCAGTCCTCAACTTCACCATCGCTTTCGCTGCTGACGCTGAGGTGGGCCATATTTCAACCCTCCTTTGAGCTAAAATAGCTGTGAGTTCCCATACATCAAGCAGTTATATAATAAACAGATGTGTAAAGATAGTTAAGAAACAGATGTGTAAAGATAGTTAAGAAACAGATGTGTAAAGATAGTTAATAAACAGATGTGCAAAGATCGTTAATAAACAGATGTATAAAGATAGTTAATAAACAGATGTGCAAAGATCCAGTTAGGATTTGGAAAAGAGCTGGTTGCAGCCAGACATGGCTACAATTATATGCACCTATTAACTATTACACTGCTCTTATATAATTTGTGCAAGTGGATGGAACCACAAGGGCAACCACGAGCTGCTTCAAAGACATGGCAGGTCTCACCGTTCCCTTCTCGAGGTCCAGCATGCCCCACTGGTTCCCTGCCACGTAGACCACGTTGCCCAAGTGCGCGTTGATGCGGGTTACCTGGGTTGCTCGTGAGCCACATAAGCTCACAATTAGAGACACATGAAGTGATGGGTACCCTGCCCCAAAAGACATACCAGAGTTGCATACAATTTTGTGTTCTCTATTGTTTCTGAGTAAGCTGCATTCAAAGGTCCAATGGTCTGAGTCTGGGGTCCTTGAAACTCAGATCTGCACAGCTCCACTGCTGACTCGAAGCCTCCACGGCGAAACATGAAACCCAGCACACCAGCAATGGCCATTGTCAAAACGGGCCCAAATTATCCCAAATTTAGGATGTTATCTTTTACTTAGATGCCCCAGGCCCAATAAAAAGATATAAAAAGCACAACCACCCAATTTGGGGTCTCAATGCTTGGTCGCACTTGGCTCCTTTTGTTTTCCGTGTGCTGCCACATGCTGCCACCTTCTCATTCTGCTGCCACATGGAGGTATCCTTTGACCTCCACAGCTTCAGCCAGACCGATCTCCGCGCGACACGTCCTCCTGGAACCCATGCCATGATCGCCAAACGCCCGAAGTGGTGCTCACAGCTCAACGGCAGATCTTTCCGGTAGAGCTCGGATGATGTCGGGGTTTTGAGCCTACAGTGGTTTTGAGCCCAGCGTTGTGGAAGAATTGGACGAGCATCTAAGACAGAAATGGATCTTGATCTGTCTTGATTGTTATCCTTGCAGTGGCACCATGTTGCATCATACCATATCAATCCATATCATACATCAGTGACTATGAGATCCACTACGGGAAAAGGGCTGGCCATCTCTACTACTATGACATCGTCTGCTCCGCGCAACACTGAGCCCCACCAATTTCCGTCCAAACAGTTTCAAAACGACATAGTTACTATAGACGGGTTACTATAGTTTCAGAGTGACCGGGTTTTGAAGGATCCTCTGTAGACTTAGACCCTTACGATAGGTGTCGGTCACTTGGGATCATCCGTTTAAGCTGGCGTTGCTTGGCCAAGCCGCAGCCCAAGCGAACCAGTCGTCAAGTCCACCTTCCAAGCGCCAAAAGCGACTGGCCTTCATCCCAAAGACATCCTGAGGCATGGGCACCAGATGCACCAGTGGATCTGGACGAAGGCACCGGAGAATTATTGCTTTGAATATGATGTAATTATAGTTGGATGTAGTCTGCAGTTGGTGAGGAGCTACAGTTGAATATATCCTCAATCTATCCCCTGCTGCAACGGGCCATAACGTTTCCAGCCGCTTATTGACTTCACAGATTTGGATCTTCAAGGTTCATGTCAGTGGCCTTCAGTCTTACATTCTTCCCTGTCAGTGCAGCAGTTGAGCTAAGCTCGGGTCAATCAAAAGAGCGGCGCACATACCTCACTGGGATGCTGCCAGCAGCTGTCATGTTGAAAAATGTAAACCGTTGAACCGAGGCGGCCGGGAAACAAGAAAGAAGGCACTTCACATGCCAGGTTCCAAACTGGAACCCCTGAACCAGCTCTAGAATGAGCCAAGTTAGCCCCCCAAAGCAATGTATGAAACCGCCAGGGTCAGCCACCAACGCTCCTCGCCCAGATGCCGCAGTTGCCACTCGTTCCTCCACGAGTGGAGAAGGTCACAACCTCAGATGATGAGTTTCCAATGGAAATCCAATGGGATCTGCATGGTTTGGAACCCCAAAAAACAGGGAGATCACCGCAAAAACATGGGGATGAAAGATGGACATCGCGCAAAGAATGGCTGGTGTATAGGGGTTCATTTCATCTTTGCAAGTGCCAACGATATCTAAATACTGGGAAATCATAAGAATTCTAAACCCCAATCAACATTTTCAAACAGAAAGGCTTAGCATGGCTTAGCCACTGCTTTCATGATTTTCATGCTTCAGCCCACCATCTCAGCACATTTTGCAACGCTTTCTATTGCCATGACCCGTCCCCAAATGTCCCCACCCTCGGCCTGACAGTCGCTGTCCACGAGTCTCACCAAATGTCTGGACAACAGATCTGGAGCGGACCGAAGGTCCCCGAAACTCATCGTAATGCCACCTGGGACGACTGGAGTCCTGCACGGGAGAAACTTGCCGGCACGTCTCCGTGTATTGTCAAGAGACTCTCAATACTATGTTTCTTTAAATCTACATAAAAATATATCTCATATATATATACACAACAAAACGTTAAATATAGATACTGAACCAAAATTAGACAAAATTAGATACGTACACCATATACATTATCTGTTTCAAAAGACATGGTCGTGTGGCCCGGCTCCTGCGTTCGTACTTCGCCTCGATGAGCTCGCGACAGTCCAAGGCCACGGCAGCACCTGGAGTGGTTGAAATTTGAGATGTTGGCCATCACCAAAATAGGATTATAATGAATAAGGATGGAACTATTCAGATCCTACCAAAATATCCCAAAAAATGAGATAGCAAAATAAAGCGGTTCTACTCTTTTTGGGGTTACTTATAAGATCGTGGAATGGTTGGTCATCCTGCTTGGCAATGGGCGGTTTTAACTCGGCAATGGTTGACTGTTGATGTGGCAATCGTTTGCTTAGCTTGGTTGACGCTTGGTAGTGGCTGATTGGAAGTAAGTGAGGCCAAGGAATCTATAACTGACCTCTTGTTCATTTGTGTTAATTTCCATTAATTTCCTAGTTTCCTGCATTCAAAGATGACTTTCCCATGGGGATTTCCCACTGCCAAATCCAGGATCAAAGGACACTGAACGGTTCCCAGTGCTGACGCTGGTTGGATCTGGTTGGCCTCAGTGCCACTGGCATTTCAGGGTACCCCCTTAAGGATTATCACCATGGGTTGCCCAGCACCTGGTCACTTGGGTAATTGGTTCCAAGCAGCTACAAATTTACAAAGGACAGATAAAGTTAAAGCAATAAACTCAATAAACGGAATGGTCAGCTCTGTGACTCATAAATCCGAACAAGTGATGGAAAGTCTTGTGAAAGATGGCCCGAAACCCAAAGGTCGTCGCCTTCCAGCAACCATTGTGCCAGCTCTTCTGAGGAAATCTCTGGGATGTCATCAGGCACCGAAGAAACCTGCACGTCAAGTGGAGTCGACTTATGGTCGCCGCGGATATCCACAAGCTTAAAACCTCAAGTCTCGAAACCTCCAAACGGTCCCAACGCTTCCAAAGGAAGGCCAATTATCAGCTGCACATCTGATCTCATGATTGTTGGCTACCCGCAATTTGCAAGTAGTTGTATCATTTGGTACTCTAACAAAATCAATATGGTCATTGAAAATCTCCAGCCTCATCAATAAAATCTATAAATGGGGGATTTCCATTGCCACAGCTTCGACATTCCCGATCACGAAGCCTGGCCCAAGTCGTAGTCGTGTTCCCACTGATCCACAGCCCCCCGCACACGAACCTGCAAGCACGACCCTTCCATGGATTCCGTGAAGTTGCTGTACTTACTCATTGGCCAACACATATTGCCGCCATGTTTTTTTCTACCATTATTTTTTCCACTATTTACCTGTTTCAAACTCCTGGTCTTGTTTTGGTTTTGAAGATTCCCAAGTCTACCCTTGCTGACATTGGCAAAGAAATCGTTCTTCGCGATCATCCAAGGTCGACCCTCTGGAAATCAAACCTGGCAATGGGAAATCCCCCCACTTACAAATGTCCCCCACAGCAAAACAAAAAACTCAACTATCAATTTATATCATGTTATATCCATTTATAAATATTTATAAGGGATTTCCCACTGCCACGGTTACCGAAGGGTTATAGCCTCAGCTTCCCATTTTCCGTCCTTGGCCGCCGCAGGGTGCAAGGGCCACTGACGCTCCTCCACCTCTACCAGCTGAGCTCCTCAGCGTGAAGGCCATGGCTGAGATATTCCACTTTTACCAATAGAAATTGGGCAAGCGATGCTGTAGAACATGGAAGAATTTGGGGCACATGTCACACACGCACACACACACACACTGTGGGACACACACACACACGCACATACATATATATATATATATATGTGTGTGTGTATACTTATTTATTTATTTATATTATATAGTTATTTATTTCACTGTTTATTTATTTATAGGTATGTATGTGTGCGTGTGCGCAGACTATACATGAATTCTACTTACATATAAAAACATTGTGGATATACACGATTACAGCTATATTTGTTTAGTTGTACTATGTGTATGTGTATGTATGTGTATAATACCACTATCTCTCTCTCTCTCTGTTGTCTGTCTTTGGAACAGATGCCCTGTTAATTGGTATGATATTGGTATGCTTTATTGAACTTTATTGTGTCCAAAAGGCCTTGGAAGCAAGTTGTTGGATCCAAAAAAAAGGGATAGCTAGGAATCCCTACACTATGCTTCTCCAGTGACGGGCACGCCCTATCCATGTCCCTGTTCAAACAGGAAGTCAATTCACCTCTTACTGCCGGTCCTGGCTTCGGCTTGTAGGCCGCTTCCTCCTTTCGTTTCACCGCGATGAGGCCATCCTCATAGGCCCGGCGGAGCAGTTTGAAGTCGCCATCGCTGCCACCTTTGTCCGGATGATGCAGGAGGGCCAGTTCACGATAAGCTTTCCTGGCTGGCCACTTGGTTCCATGACAATCCATGACATTTGAGGGTTGGGGGATCTTTGTTCACAATTTTTCATATGGGTTTCCTGCCCTTTTTCGTGGGGGGGGGGAATACCAACGTGCCCATCTGGGGAAATGCACAAAAGGAGTGAAAAGGTGCAAAGCGTATCGAATCAGATCACATCAGAGAGCACCAGGTCAAAAGTGTGGAACACAAACAAACACACATTCACTTTTAGAACGATCCAATCATGGACAGAATATCTCCAAAAACGGAAAAGATACCGTGAGTGGTTTTGACTCACGCATACTCACACAGAAAAGATAGGTCCTGGGTCTGGGCGGGACCTAAAGTGCGGCAAGATTCTTCACTTCAGCCGCATCCAGCTGTGTTACTCCCAACACCTGCTGCCAGCTCCCACTTAGAGGTCTCTTGCAATTCTCCACCGGTTGTGTTTTAGGCACTTCTTTCGTGGTGTTCTGGGCTCCATTGGACGGCGCCCCACCATGAGCCGGGACCTTTGGGTTATCAGCTGAGAACTTTGCTTCCAACTCATCCAACTCATCAAAGTCCCAGTTGGTCATCGCGCCAGGCCGCCATGACAGGGGCGTGCTGAAGCACAGCTGATGTGGAAAGCTTTGCGGTAGAGATCCTTTCCAAAGATCCCTCAACGAAGACACTGCCGTTGAACTCACCCACATCCACCACCCAAAACAGACCTGTTTTTTGTTTTTGGCCTTTTCTGCAGAAAGCTTTTTGGTATCTCATCGCCTAATTGGACCCATTGTCAACAGCATCCTTTAGCAATCTGGTCACCCCACAAATTCATACCAAGGTGGTATAAACCACAAGGCCATTCACCCACGGGGACATTTGCTTCACCACTAGCAGTCACTAGCGCACCGCGCACCTCTCGTGCAGCGTCCCATTGCGCGTGAGGACCTGAACCAGGCAGCTACGAGTACGGACGGAAAGCACTGAAGATTTGGAACACGGTTTTTAAAGCGCGCCCTGAACCTCGCATTTTGGGAAGATCACCTTCCAATCCAATCTTTGGTGGCTCTTTGTTACTCTCCTGGAAGGAAAATATTTCCAGTTGGAGGTTGCACTCACTGCCATCGCAGCTGAGAATCAGAGATCCAACCTACCTCAGATCCGGAGACACGGTGGCCGAAGATTCATTCAACATATTCAAAATTAAAAGCAGCGCGCGCGTCCAATAGCAATGCAACATGGCAGTGAGAAACTGCAATTGTCATCGGCTGTCGCATTAGATTGCAGTTGGGTACTTCAGATACTTCAGATTGTTGGGCTCTCTCTGTATTGAATTCACATCCTTCCTGATCTGAACAAAAAGATTCCCAAAGATTTCGGGCTGGATACTGGCTACTAAACAGCTCACAAAGTCATTGCCATTGCCCAATGACATGATTGCATCCACGAACCCTCCACGGCTAAACGATGCTAAACGCATGTGGTCCTAATTTGGCTATGGGTCAAAAAAACTGGTAGCCCCGCCAAAATATGGTGTAAGAGGTTTTGATCCATCCCGATCTGGTTCCAATTTGGATAATTTGGGACTCCAAGATGCTGAATCTCCCAGGAGGAAGTACTTCACTCCCTGGTTGGCAGTCATCACGAAGGCCTCAGCATGCTGGGCTCCCTGGATGAAGGTGTCTGTTTTAAACGAGCCCCATACTTGAACGGAAACTCATAATATTTCATAATATTTTCATGCATTTCCTCCACGACTTCCTTCGAACATCATCCTTGATGTTTCTTTTTCGTAACTTCCCAAGTTTTGTTGGTGAATTCCTCCATTTTTCTCGCTGAACTCCTCACGTTTCTTGGGAAACCCCAAGGATGCCACCGAATGCCCCATCTGAGCTGCTGAGACCCCAGCTGTAAGCTGAGCCCTGCGGCCATCGCTGCTGTTGCCAAGGGGTATTCGAGTGGCCTGCAGGGTCAGTTACGGTGCGTTTGTTTTCCCATGGTTTAACTGGATGATACTGGATGGTTTATTGGTGCTTTTTTGTGGGGCACCGTTTTCTGCAACAAAATGTTCTGCAAAAAAAAACTGTTCGTCTGCCAGGCCAGGTGGAACTGCGCCGTGATGTTGCTAGGTGATCCCAGATGCGTGGAGACCCTGGCAGGAGGCATTTCTGCCATGAATCACTGGGTGGTTTCAACCGTCCTAAGACGCGTCAATTGGGATGATCATCCCAGGGATGGAAGAAAAAGAACTAAGACATTTTGAATCTTTGAAACCACCAATCGGATAGCGACCATATGCGACCATCTTCAAATCCCTCCCAACAAGATCCAGTTCTTTATTCGACGCTTGGCAGCACCAATGTGCTGCAAGAGCTATTGAGCTATATTCTTTACCACTTGCTGTGCAGGGTCACCACCTTCAGCGATGACCGCCACAACGAACCAAATTCTCCGGCAGTGAATTGACCAAAGTCGCGAACCAACGCTGCTGAGGCCGTTTACCAAGCCTTTAACTTGCAGAGGCGGCACAAAAAAAACAGCAGCCCTGGATCGACTGGGCACGACTGACTGCCAGTCCATTTGGAGGTGTGATGGTGGTCCAGCATCCCATTTGAAACGGACGCTTTGTGCCGAGAAAACACGCACCACTGGATTTTGTCTAACCTCAAAGATACCAAGCACCCTCAAGATCAAACCACAAATTTGCCATAAATCTTAACCAAATTGGCAGTATGACAATGTAATTATGTATAATTCCATATAATTCCCGCGGGGTTTCCTCATCTGGATTCCATGGATTTTGGACCTTTGGCTTCACACGCCCCACCTGGATCACTCCGGGCCCGTACCCCGTGTACCAGAAGGGCCCGTCAATGAATCATGGAGTGTCCCACAAGAGATCCCCTAGCACCAGCAATAGGGAGCAACCATGAGTAAACAAGATTTAATGGTGAAAGGGTAACCCATGATTAATGAATTTCGTCAGTGCGAAATTGTTCCCCAGAGGATCCAAGAGCAAATTCTGGGACACACAAATTAGATCAAATTTAGGCACAGCCTGAAAGTATGAGCAACGAAATGTTCAAACGCCACAGAAGGCATCAAAAGAAGCACACACTGCTGCTCTGTTCCTGCATGTGGCACGATGCGGAAGACCATGGGAGATGAAAGTTGAACTAGCAAGGATGAGACCCAGATTGACCATTTTGATAGAAACATCACCATCTAAATCCATGTATGCTGCACTTTCAGGGGAATGAGAAAATGCGGATTGTTTCAAGCTAGCCGAAAGATGCCGAAGCAACATGTTCAAAGCCACTACGGTAAGAACATCAGTAAACAAGATGCCGAAAAACATCAGCATGCTAGTAAGTCAATATTCAATCTGATTCATGCAAAAGAATGGTTTGGCATAATCCAAGTCCAACATAGTCCAACATGATCCAACTGTATAGTATCGCTATATTATATATATATATGTGTGTGTGTGTGGTCCATATATAATATAACTATTCAGCTCTGACCAATGTGCAGCTCCCTTTTTCCGCAGCTCCTTCACCTTTCGAGCCCTAGGTGAATTGGCTGGGAGGTGCATGTACCTTGGCTGCTCTGTTCGCTGGCGCGTCGATGTTGATGCGCTGCCACTGCGGCCAACCCTGGATTAAGGTCCGCGCTGGGATGAGTACATCTTTGCTTGATTCTTGGATGCCGCAGCATATGCCGCATACAGCATCTGCCCAGTAGAAATCAATTATCTGATGATCGGATCATGATCACATCATCAGCATCAGCATCAGCATCAGCATCAGCGCCATCATCATCATCATCATCATCATCATCATCATTCAAACATCCAATCACCAAAGGCCATGTGTGTTTCATCATAACATGGGGGGGTGTTTCATTCAGATCAATTCAGATCCCAATGATCCCACTTTTCATTGAAGTTATTGAAGTCAAGCATAGTCAAGCCGCATCAGGACTGGATCCATGGGCGGCTGGACCTCCTGCTTCTGTCGCCTGTCCCCGATGCCCTCACGCATCTGGCCCGAGGCCAAGTGGGCCTAGCAGCAGCTGGGAGGTTTTGAGTATATAACGAAAAGAAACAGGTCTGAAAATCCGAAAATAGATGAACATGTGGTATATACTACTGTAATCTACTGTATATATGATAGTATATGGTAGTATATGGTACTGGTAGCAGGTGGCATATATGATTTAGAAGCTTAGCACGGTTCAACGTCATTGGGAATCATTGGCAGCATCATCCAGCTTCATCTTTTCGGCAAGGAAATCATCCAACAGCGCTCAACCAGCACCCTCCCCATTCCGCGAAAAAAAACTCCAGCAACCCCACCTCAATCATGTTAGGTAAACTGCCCTCCTTCCTACGTCACTTCACACGGCTGCGCTGAAAAGACTGGGGGTCCTCACTCTTTTGCGGTCGCTGGGTGACAAGGCGCCATCAGAGTCTGGGAGGGCGCCCATCGACTTGCTAGTTTGAAGTTCACGCCTTCATCGACGACGGCTGGGAACTCTGGCAAATCTACCAAATTGACAAAAAGACTGGAGCCGTGGACACTGGTGGCTTTGTGGACTCCAGCTCAGGCAATGTCATGGCGTTTCCAAATGCGGAAAATCATCATCTACCTATAGCGGAGCACTTTCACACTGCCTTCGGCGTGCAAGTTCTGAGGAGGCTTGCTTCCAGGACCTGAAACCGACATCACAAAAGATGTCAGTTTAGGGATGAAGGCCCGAAGGCCCTTGTACCCCTGGATCTTTTCACAAAGTCAGCGAATTTCGTTTTGCAATATCCACGAGTTGCGTAGGCCCACAGATTTTGATCACAAACCTCATGCCCCTCTTACAGATACACCAAGCTTTTAATAACTATAACTGGAGCTTTGCATGCAATCCATTGCAATCCAACAACCTCATGGGGCTGCATCTGAACCTCTTAAGCCAACACTTCCTCTTTGACACACCCAAGCTGTCACCACAAAAGAAATTGAAGTGAGAAAGCAATTGCTGCTTCACTTTGAAAATGACACCAGAATTCTCGAGATGTGTGGGTCCTGGATTGCCAAAACCTATATAAATCATTTTGATGACCGAGGCGTCTTCACTTCTCCTTTGTCCCCAAATCTTCAGTGGCAAAGTTGCAACCCTATTGATCCGCGTTCGCCGTTTCTCAGCTTGAAACCCCCATGGCCATGGGTGAATTGGAAGACATGATGGCCCATGGCAAATGGCAACCCTGGACCATCATCATCCCTTGACAAGAAACGCGGCATCATAGCAGGCGCGTTCTTCCTTCCGTGCAATTGGTGAAAATGGATGAAAATGGGGCGAGCACATAGTGCGACACAGCCACTGCACTACTTTCAGGGTGTCTGTCTCAAAAATTTGAATATGAAAGAGAGAAAGAATATGAAAGAGCTACAATGTGGTCTAATACATTCAACTACCATGCGAGCGGTGGTTCTCCGCTATCCATGTGTACAGTAGATGACAGCTGAGGCTACAATCCTGCATCTGCATACAAATGTTGACAGTGATTTGTGGTGTCAAGATTCTGACCCCAGGTGGAACACCGGCCTGCCGAACTTTCCTTTGCTGCGGGCTTTCCGGCGCCGACCTGCAAAAGCTGCTCGATTTGTACGGCCAGTTGTGGGATGCATCAACTAAGCAATGAATATGTTTAATAAATTTTAATAAGTTGATATAATTTAGAGGCATGATCTGCCAGGGTGTTCCCAACCGAAATGTCTGCTGGTTGTTCATTGGGCCCTTGAAGGAATGAGCTCCGCCTTGGCGACAGGTTTGCAACATCCACCTCAGCCCCCTGGTGATGGATCAAACTTCCTCAGTGCCAACGACTGCAGAACGAACACCAGAAGTGATCAAGCATCGGCAAAATCAGTTCTTGTCGTAACAAGTTTGGACATTCTTGGACTGGGGGTGATGCTTAATATACTTAAAATGTGGTTTGTGTAGCTTGTGTGTGTGTACCGTCTGAATAGACGTAAAACTTCTTATACTTTATATATTTATATATGCGGGGGGTCACCGGGGTCCCTGGGAGGTCGGTGACCATCGAAGACACCTCCCGGGGACTCGTGTAAACGTACCCGCGGGACTGTGGTGACGCACCTGGGCGCAATTGTAAGACGCAGCTGGTGGTCACCATAGTCCCATATATATATATTTCATCCATATCTAAGTAACTAATCTAATCTGCATGTTACAGGACTCAGTTCCTGCCGGATCATATAATGATCCATTCTTGTCTAGTGTGATTTCCATGGTGGCTCCGACATGGTGCCATGGAGCCATTTGAGGCAACCCTTTTTAGGGTGAGTGATGACTGTCCTGACTGCCGAATTAACACATTTTAACTTAGTAATTCGTCTAAGTAAAGGGCAACAATCAGCCATATGGTTATCCAGCCTTTTGAGATTGTCCCGCTGATCTTGTGGTCCCAGGGATCCCAGTGAGCTGCTCTTTCAAGTGAAGCCGTGCTGAACGTCGGAAACCTCTCATTTTCGCAGCTGCTTTTGATGACTCACGACAACAACATTTGCTATAGGAATCAGGCAGGCACACGACTTTCAGGTGTGGTATTCCTTCCTTTTGGTTCTCTGGTGAGGTGAAACATTTTGTGCATCTAATTCGTTGGAACTTGAAAGCTGTTTTATGCCATTGCGGCACGACTTGACCACGGTCCCGGTGCAGGGAATAATCGCACGACTCTTAGGAATTTAGGGACTGAATCCTGTTTGTTGTTTGGTTTTGTTTTCACCAACTAGTTCCCCATTGGTCCCCTATCTCATGCTTCCTTCCCCCCCCAGGTAGGTTGGCTCCGTCGCGTGCTGAGGTTTTTGTAGGTTTTCGCTGTGTCAGGTTGGTTCAGGCGCTTCCGTCTTCCCCCCCCTCCGTTGGTCTTGGTCCGTGTCCGTCGACCCTCCGCTTTTTCTTTTCCCTTGCCTTTTCAGGGTTCGCCCGTTCCGGGCTAGGTGTGTTGGTGTGTGTTTTCTCCTTCCCTCTTCTTTTGCGTTCCCCTCTTCGCGTCCTGGTTAAGTAACTTTCATCTCATTTTCACTCTCATCTCATCTTTCATCCCCTGTTCATCCTCATCTTCATCTCATGTTTACGCGCACCACCCTGCCGGAGGCAGGGTGTGTGTGTGTACCGTCTGAATAGACGTAAAACTTCTTATACTTTATATATTTATATATGCGGGGGGTCACCGGGGTCCCTGGGAGGTCGGTGACCATCGAAGACACCTCCCGGGGACCCGTGTAAACGTACCCGCGGGACTGTGGTGACGCACCTGGGCGCAATTGTAAGACGCAGCTGGTGGTCACCATAGTCCCATATATATATATTTCATCCATATCTAAGTAACTAATCTAATCTGCATGTCACAGGACTCAGTTCCTGCCGGATCATATAATGATCCATTCTTGTCTAGTGTGTGATGTGTGTGTGTGTGTGTCAGTCTGGCCTCTCCAGACCATTCAGGACTAAGTGATCGGCCCATCATCAAGTCTCAGCACTTTTCTGCTTCAATTTGACCCACAGCCAATCGCAGCCAAGAAACCCGTGGTCTCCACATTGGCTCTACCTATCCCAAACATCACGACACCAGAGACACTTCAGGTATGAATTGGAGGTAGCCAAACTATGCAAGGCCCCCGAAAGGCCTATGGGCTATGGAAATATACCTCCCAAATATAGCCTTCTGTGATAGAGTAATCGATTACCGCCATTATCTCCATTTTAGGCCACTAAAACGACTGTACTTGTGCCATTGATCACTGCACCCTGTGCTCGGCCGCTTGGCTGTGCCTTGACGTTCGGCGATCTTGCGCGACTTCTCCGTGCTGGGATTCATCCAGTAAACTCCCGCAGTGTCCTGCCTTGGTCGCAAGTGGTGTGTGAAGGGAGCCGTGGCACAATGATCGCAATATCACGCTCATCATTCCAGCCACTGGCCAGTGGATCATGGACTAACCCATGTAAAATCACGTGACTTCCCAGCATCAGCACACTTTGAAAGATTTGGATTTTCATCCCAACCCATGCCCTGCCAGTCCCTGAGCCCCCGCACAGCTCGCTGCGTCGCGGTGTGCGGGGAGAGGTCTCCACTCTGCCAGTGAGGTCGGTGAATTGGCAGTTGCTGCGTCTGAAGCCGTCATTACCCCCATCACCTCGGTAGGTTGCAGGTCTTCATCTTGGGACTCTTGGGAGGTAATGATCCATTTGATGGGGTGAGGTTTGATTTCTGAATGTCCAAAAAACATCATGAAATTACCACTGAAATGCATTTAACACTTGGGGAGAGTGAGAGAGAGTTAGAGAGAGATAAAAATATAATGTATACTATATTATATATTTATATATTGTTATATATATATACACATACATACATATATATTGGATTATTCCCATGGATTGCCATCCAAAATCATCCAAATAACCCACCCACCAACAACCAGCATATCGCCGGGCCCAGTCACAGAAGGATTTCATTGCAGCGCTGCGGGGGCTGAGGGACTTGGCTGTGGGCGATGCGAAGCCGTTCAGTTGACCTCGCTTCGCTGGGGAGCTCACGAGAAAACAGGGGTTTTAAGACCAACAAATATACATATGTTGATGTATGTACTATATACTTTATATATTTATATATACTTATAAAACCTTATAAAATAATATGTATATATATACACAAGAATAATCATAAGAAATATGCAGGTGCGCTCTATTGTGAAAGCAGCATTGAAACAATCATCACCTGGTGGAAGGCGACACTATTCACCTATTTTTTCTATGATATCCCAGAGAGCGCATGCTTCACGTCCATTAGGCTCTTTCAGCAAGTTGAAACAATGTCGAAGTGTTGGTCTTGCTGCAATCTTTCGGACGCGGTCAACAAGCTCTCATTGTTCCAATCTATATAAATCTGTCAAACTAAGAAAATGAAACACAAGAAGATATAAGAAGACCATTGGGAGCCCCAAAGTCGTTGGTTGGGGCACTCTCTGAGGTCGTCATCTCGTTGGCTTTCTGCTCTCGGGCACTCAAGGGAAGCCTCCAATGGAGCTGATCGGGGCCGTAGTTGGCATGAGCCAAACAAAAACTTGCTTATGTACATGTACCATCATTTATCGTGGGCTGGTCTGTGTGTGTGTGTTTTATGCTGGTTTCATCCTTTTCTTCCTAAATCTCGACCCTCTTGGGATGTCCTTTGCTTCGCAAGTTCCAGCAACCTGCCCCCAGCCCAGCCATCTCCTCGTTTCATGCACCGCATAGTTCCGTGGCGACAAGTTGCGTGGGGACAACGGCTCCGGTGACGACTGAGGAGCCCTTGGTCTCGGGGCCATGCAGCTTGCTCATGGGCCCTTGATGATGGATTGAACATGGAGAGTAATTGAAAACATCCCCAAAAAAAAAATCGGAAACCCACTGGAAGTTGACACGGAAAACCTGAAAAGTTGCACCACCCAAAAGGTCCAACTATCCAATCACCTTCCGATGCTCCGTGATTCGGGTGCCCTGGTTTCAGTTTCACAGTTCCATACAGTTCCCATCTATCCTGCTTAGCCCTTGGGTTGCTAGAAAACTTACCTAAATCATCCTAAATCCAGTCTTTTCATCCTCTTCCAGGTCTATCCTTCTTTTCGATGATAAAAACCCATGGTATTCCCCGTGGTCCAACTCCAACGCCCAAGGGGCCCAAGGTTCGCAGCTTTTGGAGTGCCACCCAGGACTTGTGAGACCAAATCGCGTTGCTTCCGCGCCTCAGGAGCCAGCTGTTTACCTTTTGAGACTATGAGGATGAATGGAAGCTCAAAGGAGAATACCGTTATAAGCCGTTGATGGCAGGTGAGTTCCTTCTCCAGATTTCAAGTTGACCCTTCAACAGTAGCTGGATGCTGCAACGACTGAGGTTCCAACTCCAGAGCTCAGTTGGGTCCAGGAGTCTCTTGCCTCCTGCAGGGTGGAATTCGAAGCCGACGCCCATGGCACCCTGTGGACATCCTTCAACCCTCCAGTAAACTCAGTAAACCATGTCATGACTGTCATGACTCATCCAAATGGATCCAAAGAGTGTGTGTTTCCATATGCCTCCATATATTGCCTATTTCAATATGCTTGAAGTGGGCCAGCGCGATGGCCACCATGGGCCCCATGGGCCCGGATCAGCTCCTTGTTTCGGATCAGCTCCCCCCGCGGATCCAAGGAGCTCATGTTGGTGCTCTGCGTCCAGTACTCGCTGGCAGTTTTCAGATCCACTCCTCGAAAGCTGAAAAAAACATGGTGTGTTTGCTTCGTTGAAAAAGGGAGATCAGCATGGCTTATATAATTCGTTCAATATGATAACAATAACGCTGACTGAGATATAAAACCAGTGGAATAAACAGCAGAGTGGAACAATGTGAGGAAAATGATAGAAAAATGCGGATAAATTCCGATGTTGCGCCATATTTTCGGGGTGCTCACCTGTCATCTTGCCAAGAGTCTGTTGGCCATGACTTCAGCTGGCTCCTCAGTGCCCACAGTTTGGGATGGTCTACCGGGCTGTAGTGCCCGAGGGGCATGTGTTGTTACATGAAACTTGACATGTTATATATGGTAATGGATAAATAATGGGTAAATCATGGGTAAATCCAATGAAACTTGACATGTATACCATATTCTTGTGGGCAAAATGTGCAGGCGCTCGCTGCAAGGATCTTTGATCTGCGGCTGCTGAAATGTCACGGACCACCCACGTGTGTTGAGGGTCGATCCCAGCCAGTCTGCAAGGAAATATAGCAAATAACAATGCTACCCCCAATGTCCATACAACCTGACATGACATCAAAACCAACTGGAGTCTCTGTACAAAAATCTCTTGTGCATAGCTTTGCTCCAGCCTCCTGGAAGATGTTCGCTCATCAATTGCTGAATCCGAAGGACCCATCTGAAGACTGTCAAAAATTGGCGATTCTCAAGGACCATGGCTTCGAAAGCCGCTCTCGCCGCTCCCTTAGCAGCTCTTGAATTTGCAAATGACGATCTTGGCTCAGCTGCCTCACGTAGAAATGGGTGATTCTTGGCCTTGATTCAATCCATTCCACGATGCCACGCTCGAATCTGGATCCACACTTCTTCCACCAGCCGTCGTGAAGGTCCAGGCGGAGAGATTGGAGAATCGGACAGTTTTGGAGGAAGTACAAGAAGTTCACACCACCCCTTTCCGCATGTGCAAAGTTCACACCCTCCAAAGACAATGATCTCAAGCGCGTTGGCAAATCGTAGCCGGTCCAGTAAACTCCGTGAAGGTCAGTGACCAACTTATTCCTTGAGCCTCCTGAATTCACCACGGACCTCGGTCAAGACTGTCTTGGAAGACGACCTAGTCACTACATCAAAGGATCCAAAGGGTCCAAAAGGAAGAAACAAACACAGTACACAGATAAAAATACATAAACGGTATTAGACGGTTGCAGACCTATGCCTACACCTTTGATATATATATATATACACATACATACATACATACATACATACATACAGTATATGTATGTGCACAGTATTATGTATGCTGAGGCAATCCAAGTGACAAATGAGCCAACCTGTGTCCATAAAATCTGATTTTCTCCAGTGGATGAGCTGTGAAGTCAACTTTCAGGGACTTGAGGTTCGGGAAAGTCGAGCGGAGAATGTCTCCACCCTGACTGTCCAAAGATTTGCACCTCCATGTCACATGTAGCATCTGAGATATCTGAGGACATGGGCACTTGTCCGAGCTCAACGACGAGAACAAGTCACTTCTGTCTAGTCCACAAAGGTCACAAATGTCACAGGAAACGCTGGAGACTGCCAAGTTCGAGACAACCAAGCCCAGGAAATCCTTCAGATGGCTCACAGTCGTGCAGGTGATGGACAAATCATGGTCACCTCTGCACCCAACTGCATAGCGCCATCCCTTCGAGACTCGAGCAGCGCCAGCAAGACTGGTCGCTGGAAGAAAAGAAAGCACCCCCATGTAGCCTTCAAACGGAAGTAAACGAAAGAAATCTCCCGCAGAATTTGCAGGATACTCCGACATCTTGCAACCCTTGCAAGGTGCCATGGCGCTTCAAGTTTCTTGCCACAATCGGCGAAGAAACACTAAGGAATGTTGTGAAACCCAGCTTGGTAGATTCTCCCAAAGTGAAATCTTCATGAACCGCCTCTTTTGTTTGTTCGTGAAACAGACTTACAACAGGAACGCTCACTCTCTGTGCACTTCTTTGCGGCATCTTGCTTTGTCAAGTCATGTCAAGTCCATATTGGCTCACATTCTAGAACCAAACCGTACATGACATCTTGGACAGGTTCATAATTCAATCTATCATCAATGCTCATCACTGATCACTTACCTACCTCAATTAAACAATAACAAACAAATAACAAGCGTTTCAGCCGAAGTGTGGCCCAGCAAATGGCAAAATCAGGTTCTGCAGGAACAGTCTTGGTTGGAGCTTCACCTAATCCTGCTTCTGGTCAAGTATTGAAACTAAATTGATTCTTGTTCCATGGTGTTCCATGGGTCAGTCATTCAGAGGCCACTGGTTCTCGAAACTGTGCATTTCATTGGAGGGGGTTATGTAAATTTTGTATCATGTTGCCAAGTTGGACTAGAGTAGATCGTTTCGAATGATATTGTGTAGCTGGGCGCAGGGATGAGGATGCAAGGACAAGGTATACCTCGAACCCTTTGCAGCAAACAATGACAAGCTACTGTGATATGATGTCAACCCCAGCTTAGTAAACGATGGTTTATTCATAAGTATAGCATCCCCACTTAAACTACCGAGGGGGCGGTTTAATACTCCCGCGTTGACATTAACAGCTTCCAACCCCCGAGCGGAGCTCAGGCGAAGCCACATCCTCCACAAAGAACTGCACCGAGGCCTTCTTCTTCGGAGAGCGACTCTCTCCCTTTTTCCTGAGTTTGGAGATTTAAGGAGCAAACATGGGGAGTTGACAGGCAAAAGCAAGGTTGACTCAGACAAATCGCAAAAAATGATAAAAATGAGGGAGATCCTATTTTTGGGGCACAACGCATCACAACGCGGTAAAACATCCAAGAATACTGTCTGTGGTACACTTGGGTGTGTAGCAACCATCAAACTCAACAGGGGACCAGCTGGCCGTTTCTCGGAAACGGATTTGCCGTACCCAACACCCAATGACGATGTCCTCCTGCACCTCAAACATTTTAAAAAAAAAAAAACTGTTTCCCAGCTGGATCGCATCCAGATCAGTCCGCCACCGGGCTAACCTGAAGTCACCAGCCACATCCAGCCACTGGATCTGAAAAACAGAGGAGCACGGGCAAAGCCAAGTATCGGCGAGCCATCTGTAATTTGCACCACTCCACTGCCTCACAAGTCTACTTGCATCGTCTACTGCAGTCAGGTGTTGCAACCCTCTGAGCCTCAGACCTCTTGCAAAATCTTGCAAATACGCCACATGAAACTGAAAATGGCATGTTTTTGCCAATCCAAGTTGGTCTGTAGCTTTAGGATCTTTTGGGATCCTCACGGTACTTTGCTCATCACCGTCAGGTGACACCTGGCACTTATGATTCAAAATGGGTTTTCCCAGTTGGCCACTTCAGTTCAGCATGAAATCCAGGAATCCAGCGTGCTGACCGTTTGCTCCCCAGCCCCCCTCACAGCCTTGCAGTCCCTGGGGCTTGGGATGGAGACTCTCACTTTCAGCGGCGGGCCCCTCGCCTGCATGGCTTAAGGCGTGCCAGGAAGGCCACGCCAATGTGACTCCAAAGGGAGAATTTATCAAGGGCCTGTCTCAAATAAAAGGGCCGGATGCCCTGATCTGACTCCGGGTTTTGCCAAAAAAACACCAAGGGACAGGTGATGTAACAGGATCTGTTGCCTTATGGGTGCGGCGTGGCTTCTTTAGCCAACGTGGTTGAAACACATGTTCTGGAGGTTCGCCTCCTCCCAGGTCCGCTTTACTTGTCTCCTTGTGTTTTTTTTCATTCTTGTTCTTTCGGTTTCTACTCTTCTTATTTGGGGCTTCTGGAAGTTTTGACGGACATCTTGCCGTGAAACGTCTGCCCCGCGTCAAAAGAAGTGCGATTGGTGTCCCAATATGACAAACTCCTAAGCCGCCAAGATCGGTCAGCCGAGGAGTTTTGAAATTCCACCGATACCCAAGTCACGGAAGCCACCATTACCATCCACCCTTTACTTTTGGCAATGCGCAGGTCGTATGATTCGGGTCTTAAAAGTTGCAGAGTTCCCATTTATGTTGCGTTTGCGCTCCTTCGGTCCTTCACTTTGTCTGCCATTGAAGATGCTCATGATGAAACTGGTGTTGCCTGGAACTTTGGGCCCCTATTTCATTTCAAGGTTTTGACTGGCCATGACTTCCATCAACCCTTTGGCCCTTCAGCCCTTCGGCACCTTTTCAGTGTCCGTGCTCACTTGCAATTGCCTGCTTGGGTCCTCAGCAAGCGCCGTGGCAAAGTTTCCTGCCCCCCAACCCTTGCAGCCACCTTGTTGACAAGCCAAGCAACAGATCAAACACCGACAAAGTGCTACCAATTGATTGGAGTCGGCTCAGACTGAATCACGATTCTTCCCAACTTGGGGCAGAAGCCAAACACAAATGTGAAGCCGCTCACCAGACTATGCAAGGATTCAAGCTCATCAAACATGCTCATCACGGCAATCGAAAATCAGCAGCCAGACCCTTGCCTGAGGATTCTTGTGGTCTGCCGTCAAGGACCCAGAATCAAAGGACATGGAGGACGCATAAGCCGCCTGGCAGAGGCTGCGTCCCCACCTGCTTGGCCCCTCAGTGCATGAGCAGCCCATTTAAAGCAGGTAGATGGGGACTACATTGCGGGGAAATCCCTTTTTTGCTTACACTTGCTGGCCATGACTATCCAATATTATCCATACATTTGTGAAACACACAGTGGGAACACTCACAAGGAAAATTAGGTGGAAATGTCTACATGATTGTGTTGAGCGAATTCAGCAAAATCGCATAAAGCAAAACCATTGGTTGCCTTTTCTATTCACCAGCATGTTTTTATTGTTGAACTATGAAGTTGTTTCAAAAACTATACGGTTTTACATCCCATTGGCTCACCATAATTTGCCATGCTGGGTACCCCCGGGAATCAAACATGGCGAGGGAAAATCCCTTATTGGTGACTTCTCATTGCCATGATTGATTACCGAAGGGTATCCCATCAATGGCATGCACAGTTCGTTGTATAATATCATATCCCGTATATGTGCCATAGATTTACTTATTTATTTATCTATATCTATCTATTTATTTATCATGTTATTTATTTATTTATTCGTTAACTTATTCATCATTTTCCGTGTTTATTAATTGATTTATCATATACTCAAACATCTTAGTTGTATCAATGGTGGGCACATCATATCCCAAGATATCCCAAGTATCTCCCGAAAAAACTATCCCCATTGAGAAATGGTGTATCCATGACCCATCTGCAAGGATCCCACAGGCACCTGCTTCCGCTGCTTCGGCGTCACAGGCTCCGGCTTTCTGGAGGATTTGGGGCTTTGCACCTGTGGCATGGGTGGGGAAAGGTCAAGTGTCAAACATAAGGATTTATATAAATATATATATATAAAATTAACCGTAATTAACCAGAAGAACTTGGGATTCAACCGGCACAAAATGGCTTTAGGCGAAAAAAAACGACATTCGACCCAGAAAAAGGACGGACTCAACCAGCAAACATGGGAATCACAACCAAGAAAATGGGAGTTCCGCCCCTGAGAAAAAAACTCAGGATTGAACGGCCTAAGGTTCCATCCAGCGCATAAGCTGCAGTAACAACTCTCAGAAAAATAAAGCATCTGGAACCTAGTATCTTTCTAGCTAAACGAAGGGTGGAAAATGTTTTTGGTCAGTCGGCCCTCCAAAATGGGCTTCGTTTCACCCCGTGACAGGAATCGAACGGTTCAAGAGGAATTATGATTTTTACAAGGCATAAAGCATAAGGCAAACAACCCCAAAATGAAAAAGGTGAAAGCACAACCCCAAAGACAGGGTGGAAATAACATGCTGATCTCAACAAATGATGGATATGGAAAAACCTATGATAATTAAAAAAAAAAATACAGCTGCCAAAGAACAGAGTTGGGCAATTTAACCTCCGCAGGCCAAGCTTGAAGTCCCACCATGGCGGCAGGTTCCACACGGCAGGTGGAAACTCCCTCGAACTCTGCGGAAGCAAGGGGAGTGCTTCAAAGCTGCAAAAGCATGTCAAACATGTCAGACATGTCAAAGCTTAGTTCAGTGACGTCCAGATGAATTCGATTCGAATATATATATATATTCAAATATTAAACTACGAAGTTTCTGAGATTCCTATCCACATGCACTTGACAACTCACCAGGAAGAGGGTTTTGTTTGGAGAAGATCTTTGGGCTCATTGGCATGGCCAGGTATGGGGTGCCAACCGTGCAAGGGTGCACTTCTCCTCCTCGGGATTGGTCACCCTCCGCCTCGGTTGGGATGCTTCCAAGTCGGGGGCTGAGTATTTGGATGAACCAAAATAGGTCAAAATCCCAGGATGATACAGGACCATTACCAAAAGACTATGATGATGCCAATGTTAGTATTAGTAAAGCAATAGGATCCAATTTTACCATTTTTGATGGGTGCTATAAAATATCAACCCATGTGGATGGTTTACTATTGCTTTACTAACATTCTATGTTGCTGATTGTTGATGGCAACTGAGGCCATGGCCTTTGTTCCTGGGGATTCCGTCGAGGACGCACCAGTAGCCGATGCACGCGCATGACTCCCGCCACGTCGGCCGTCCTTGGCATGGACGAATGGAGATGAACCAAGGGATTGCCGGCATGCTAAGCATGCTGCAGCTGGAAAATTTACAATGATCTCCGACAAGTCCTAACCTGACTTGGTGCCGATTTTCCGGTTTCCCCAAGTCAGCAATCATCTATGCTGGAGGTCCTTTGGAGGGATGGAGCTGCTTTCATCATTCTGGGGCCTACAGTACTTGAGGCAGCAACGCGACCACGTACTCGTCCTGGCATCAAAAACCACATGTCGCAAGATACCCTTTGGTAATCGGGCGATCTTACCTGCCAATGGAGATCCCCATTCTTCGTAGGAAACTCATCTATAATCTATAATTAAATGGGTGGTTTTCTCTTGCGAAGTTGCATGACTAGAGGGTATGCAAAATAGGATTCTGGACACTGCAAACTAATTACCTTGCACAGCGTCAGCTGATGCCCCCCCACCCCGCCTGCATGGGAGACAGCGCCAACTGCGAAATGGCCTGATGACATGTACAGATCAACATGCGGAGATGCCTGTCCCTATTGATCTGATCTCAATATTTTTTCCACACCAACTATATAATCCAAATACGAGATAACGATACTGACCCATGCCCAGGTCAATCCCGTTTGGCCGCAAATATCCGCAAATTAATTTACAAGAACATCTCCAGTCAGACTCGGCGCGCCAACCTGCCTGCTTGTGCCCAGAAGCAAAGACGTGCACACGGTCTCCAGACACAGTGTGGAGAAAAATGTCCCCGTCTTCCTGCACCTCAATGTCCAATCTCAGCTTAAATCAAATGACCTAAGCTATATACACTGCTGGAAAATGCCGGGAAGTCATAGTCTCAATTTCCTTGGCATGTGTTCATGCAGCGCGCTTCCTCAAAGGGAGATCTGCGCCCATTGGACTCTGCTACATATGCCAGTGCCGGCGTGTCAGTCTATTTTTTCCAAGCCTTGGAATTTGGCAGGCTGCCAGCTGTACACTGTACACATGGCCTGCCACTGGCCATCTGGTGTTTACAGCTCCTGAGGAGATGAAATTGGCGGCTCAACAGGTGACTACCATCCATGGCTGTGCTCCAGAATTGGGGATCCCAGGTCAGAATATTACCCCTGGCCAGTGCCCATTGATTTTCACACAAGTCTCGTGAAGAAATCCCTTTTGTGATCGCGCGCCGTCCTCAAAAAAGTTGATTTCCATGGGTCCCGGATTTTGGAGCCAGTTTGGAAGCCAAGATTTCAGTGATCTTCCAGCGTCCTCAGCGGTGACGTTTCCAGCTCTGGCCCAATGGAGGCCTTCTTCCATTTCCTTTTCCAAGCCTCATCGGTCTGGATGTGATTGGCTCTCACAAACTTTGCCACCTAGCAAGGCCACCGGAACGGCATGAGATTCAGCACCGAAAATGCCGCAGCAATAAAGTTGTCAAAAAACGGGATGCAGTTTGGATGTAGAGCTCAATATAGTTCAAATTGGTAATCCGAATCTTCCCAAGATTGAGGTCCTCACCTTTATGGACCCTCCCCTTACCCAAGAGTCACCACCCCCCTAGTACTTTTGACTGACCACTAGCTCTGGGTTGGGAGGCGCAGGCTTGTAACATCAATCATTGCATCCCGTTACATCGCATTACATCCTTTTTAAAACCGTACCTACTTTATCCAAGCACACAAATTCATAGAGTGAGTACATATTGAATGTGCACATTAATTATATATCATCACGTCCCTTATATCATATCCAACTGGATAATGATAAATTCATCACATCCCATATCATCCCATACCGGTATCATCCCAGTTGGGCCCAGCCTCATCCTGGAAGGCCTTCTCGTGGATGGCCGCAGAGCGCCGCACGACGAAGCCTCGGGTCCGGATTTTCAGCAACGGCGATATACATATACATACACGCATATTATATATATATATATACAGTACATACATACATCATATTATATATATACATATATATATATTATACGATATTATACGTATATCTCTCTCTCAGTATGGCTCTATCAGCTAAAGATACATATATATATAATAATGCTTTATAGTCCACTGGTCAGCAACAAAGTGGCTTGAAAGTCACATTAAATGTGGGATTGAATCAAGAAAAACATCACATACATCTGTTTACATAAGAAATCATAAGAAATTGGCCTTCTTTATTTGATGTTCACAACCAACAAAAAACGGTGGGTTGAACGGTTGAACGGTTGAATCAGAAAAATGCAGACAAAGTCGGAGATATGATGTAACCAGTCATCATGACAAGAGGGGTCTGAGTGCGCCTCTCTTGATTGATGTCTTTCAACTTCTTTCACCAGGGCTACTCACAGCATATAAAAAGTTTGATCATCCAACACACAGGAGAAACCCATCTTGCCCCTTTGATATATTCTCCGGTTACCGGCTCATCTACAGACACAGGAAACCCATCCATAGCTGCCCCATGCTGCCCCATGGCCTACACAAATCATCCACTTTGCACTGGAAGTTGCCAAGAGGCCCTCTGCTTCGACATCTGCTCCCACTGCGGATTTCTCTGCCTTCCACGTCTCCAAACATTTCTGCAACCGTTCCGGGGAGTCGAACTTGCCACGAAACACCAGAGGGACCTGGGGTCGTGGCATAGGTGTGCCAGCATCATTGCCAGCATCATGAACATAGAACAACTATGTGTGAATAGAAAAAAAAACGACAATTGAACAAGACCTTTCCCATTTTCCGGACACCACCCAACACATCCCAAACCTCAAATAGAAGGTCATTAGGATGTTCTGGTTTCCCTAGTCTTTTTCAGTCACCATCTGCCAGGGCGGGTCACCATGGGCAGCCCCAGGTCTTCGGCCAGCCGTGTGGTTTCATCCCAACTCAACCAGCTGTTGCCCCGCCGGGCGGCGAAGACCTGTTTAGCAGCGAAGGGATCGGCCCTGGGATGGGAATAAAATCATGTAAATCTAATTTAATCAATATATCAACCATGAGGCTTAAAAAATCTTAAAGATGGGTCCAAAATCATCAGCAGCCCAACCATCTAACAGGCAGAAACTGGCTCAAAATCAGCGGGGCCACAATGTCACAAACTTGGATGCTTTTCCATCGTTTCCAAACGGAAAAAATGTATGTGAATATATATATATATATAGATAGATAATGATAGATAGAGAAGCAGCGAACTGTAACTATGCTGACACAATAGCCATTGAAAAATAGCCGAGTAAAGCGAACCCTGAAGCCCTGGAAGATCATTGTCCATTGTTTTTGGGATTTGGCCATTGCAGAGGTCCATTTTAGGATGATTTGATTAGCATTGCCATTTTCATTGAAATCCAAGGCTAGACTTACGATAGAAACGGACGGTCTTGACAGGTCCTAACTCTTGGCTAGCAGAAATGGAAGCACGCAAGACTTATAGCATCTTACAACTACGATGGGGACCAGATGATCAGCATCACTCCAAACAGCCTGTTGCAACCCGAGCTGCGTAGAAGAAACTTTGGAGGTTGCCGTATTCGATGCTGTGGACTGCCTCCCGAAGCCATCAAGTGGATGACTTGGGTCGGCAATTTCAGCTGACAAAAAGGTGCAAACTTAATTAATCCGCATTGTACCAAGTTGCCAGACCAAAGTTCTTCAGTGCGCTGATGTGCGCTGTGCAATACATCTAGGAGTAACAATGCAAGGGCCACCAACTTCTACAATGTCTGGAAGCATTGCAAACCATGTACTGCTGTCCCGCACCTGCATGTTTTCTCCAAACAGTTGGACGCCCTCCAGTTGCGGCCCCAGGTTGGCCGCCAGCTCTTTGACAGCTGAGAATGACTCGTGGCTGGCAGGCTGGGCATGGGTTCGGCCAAAGACTTGTCCATCCTTCAGGCAGCAGTTTCCACCATCCAACCTCAGCAGGATATGTTCAAACGTTCAAACCCAGGGAGACAAAGGAGGCCAAAAACTTGGAAAAAATGGTCCGTAAACGCGGTAAAACCTTGGTCAGCGTGGTGTTTCCAGGTTCGGGGAGACTCCCACATGTGACTGTCGGAACTGGAAACTTGCGATGCTGTCCCCAAGAAAATCATCTTCCAAACTTTCAGGCCAGAAATGGCCAGAATGTATGGCTATCTGGGACTCTGAACAGTTGAGCCACTTTTCAGTGACTACCACTTCTGCTTCCAGTAGGTGTTTGCAGTCTGAAATCCGCGTGTCGTCGGGGTTCACGCCAGGAGAGAAGGGCAAATGAGGCGTCTTTGGGTAGTTCCCCTCCGCAGGAGATTTTGGATCGTCAGCCGCCACGTTCGCGGCCAGCGCATAGCCTCATGACAACGCAGCTGAGAGTCCCCAGCCTGCACAAATCTTACATCAGAAACATCATCAAACCTGGGTGAAAGCTCCTGCCTGCTACCCCAGCCAAAAATCTTGAACTGCATCTCGTCCGACTGGGAGGATATTGGTTTGTGATGCTCACCACCTGAGTTTGGACCCAGCAGCCATTGACATCCGTCTTTCCACCCAACTTCTTCCTGCAGATCGCCACAGCCTGCGCCACACGCTGGGCTTCAGGTCCCTCGGCCGGCTGCAAGTCATCTGCACGTTGCAGAGCCTCCAGTGCCTGCAGATATGATGGCTGGTGGCTGGTAACCCCGCCATTTGCCTATGTTGCTTGTGGTGTGTAGGCCAGTCATTTTGGTGGCGTTTGGTTTGGATTCCAAAAGTTCGCCCACAGCTATGTTTGCTCCATTGCAACAGCCCATTCTCGTTGACTCAATTGACCCAGCAAATACCTTGCTTTTTCCGTGCTCTTGTCATCCCAACTTCCGCCCAACGCCGTCTAGCGGCATGAACTTGGGTAAACCGGCAATTGGGATGGTCAAAAAGCATCCAAAGCTTGCAGCAAAAACTGGTGGCAAAGTCATATAAAGTCAAGTTAGCTCTCTCCCCAGTTCTGGTGATGATCTCCTGCGCGGGGCCATCCCAGGGTCCCAGGGTCCCAGAGTCCCAGAGTCCCAGGGCCATCCCAGGCCTCCTGATATCTCTGCAACATCACCAGCGCCAAGCCCCTGCTGCGCATGGCCACGGCATCGTTCCCGCTTAGCTCCAGCAGCTGATCCGCATGGAGCAGCACCTGCTGCGGCTGCTTCTGGCGACCGTGGTAGGTGCACCAAAGCCTCAGGGCCTGGACCTTGGGACACCAAAGGTGGGGACACGGTGAAAATGGCGAGGTGGGGTTGATGTCAGGGACAAATGTAAGGGGAACCCATGGTTTTCACCATCCAAGATGATCCAAATATCGCATTATATAGGCTGTCTTTTGTGGTAATGACTGCACATCCAGCCATGAGGGCCTTGAAGGATTCGAATTGCACCACATGAATCCACATGATGCCTAGTGACTAGTGAGCCCTCATGAGCCCAACTGGTGTTCGAAGTGGACAAACATCCAAGCATCATAATCATCATACGCATCACATACCAAAAGGTTCACCAGGAACAGACATTAGTGTCCCAAAAAATGTAGCAATGTAGCAACGCCACCTGCATTTCCACATCCATCTCCCCTTGCTGCACTGTCTCCAGCATCTGCTCGATGCTGGGCCCGAAGGACTCCAAGTCGGGGATGAGGCGCTGGGCCAACTGAAGCAGCTGTGGAAGGGAAGCCACCTCTGGAGATCTGAGGGATGCAACACCTTTGGATTTGCTGTGCACATCCTTGGCGGAGCCCGCAGGGAATGACATGACCATGATCTTGGTATATCTTGGTGGATGTTAAACATTTCATGGTCTGGAGAGACCTTGCAAAGCAATGCAAATTCTTGAAACTGCGTTGAAGAATGTTGAAAACATCATTTCCCAACCCCCACAACAAGGTCTGACCATATCACAATCATTTGCGCTAAAGTGGTGAAGCCCAGGTTGTTACAAACGGATCCAGATTGACCACTACAAATCCATCCCAATCCAAGGCACTGCATCGTGAAATCCCAGGGTGATGTGAAAATCCTTGGGCGGCAGCTCCAACCGCTCCCGCCATGCGGCAGCCGCTGGCCACAGCACCACACGGAAGGAGGCCTCCCCGGTGGCGTCTTTGCAACTGCCGGTGCCCACATCGACCCAGTCCTCACTGTGGGAATTGAAGGACTTGAGGGCTGAAAGCCAAGCAAAATATAAACAAATCCTAAGTCCAATAAAAACAATATGGCATGAGTTTTCGTGGTTTTATGGGTGTCGTGTTGTTTGAAAGTTGAATGTTGAACTTCAGGGTCAGAAGCGTACACTTCGTACAAGCTTTGAAAGCGGCCGAGATCTGAAATATTGAGGGACATTCACAGAAGTTGTGGGCATCTTGAAACATGACCCTGCCTGTCAGATTGGGGAGCTGACCACTACGCCTGCGTTGGAAAACTCACCAACCCTTGATTTATTCTAGTATATTGTTGTGCAGTAAGCAACGTTACCGCTACCAACAAGAGAGCTGGATAAACCAACAAGATTGAGGAAATCACGAACTACTGTGTATCCTGACCCTTGGTTCGAAAAAACATAATTCGAATGAAATCAGTACAATACAAGGATCCTGCCTCACCAATTGCCACAAAATCTTAAAGCTGGTCTATGTAAGCCATTATAGATCTCCTTTGACCAGGTTGAGCCTGTCAGGAAAAAAAAACAAATGAACTAAAGGAAAACGACTGAGTTTACCCAGAGTCCCATGTACAGCTCATCTTTCCCAGCAGGGCAGCAGCAGCTTTGGCTATGCCCGTCATGTCGGCATCGGGGGGAACTTCTTGGCACCAACTGGCGCCGTCTGCCATCCGCTGCGACAACTGTTGCAGATCCACCTTGCCTTGGAGGTCAACGATGGCCAACGGCGTCTCATTGCGATGGGGGAAATTCAGAGAAACTATATAATATATATATAATTATATAAATATTATATAATCCTCCCCCAATCATCTACTGTCATGATTGTCCATTGATCTTATCTAATAGCCTCAAGTGCCCAAATGGGAAAATGAACGACCCTCAAATTCTCACATCACAATGATCTCCGAGCTGTCCAAGTTGCTGAGTAGGGTCAGGTGATGCTGCGCGCCATCTCTCTTCTCACGCTGCTGGACCCAGCTACCTGGCACTGCTGCAAGGCCCCTCGATGAAGCCTGGCAGAGAGGCGTTTCTTTCATATTATCAGGTCCGTGTGAGGATGTGAAGGAAACCATGGTTTTACCATTAAACGTGCCTTCCTGCAGATTTCCCTCGAATTCTCTCTCTCTATCTCTCCATTTCATGAAATTGGACTGAAAATGACTCATGACCCTTGATATGAATGTGGAATCATGTGGGATCCAGTGGGTACGGATACGACCCAATATGAACATGTAACGCCAGTTGCTAGTCCGTGGGGCCAAAGGTGTTATGTTTTTTCAGCATGTCTCAGCTGCTCGTCGGACTGGCCCATTCGCCAGTGGTGCAAGTAATTCTGCACATGTCGATGAGGAAGGGAATTTGAATGTGTCAAGACGGTTGCAAATAGCCTGCATCCATTCAGGCGACTCGCTGTAGTTCTTCCAGAACTTGATGAAATGACCAACTCGGCCATGGTCAATTCGTGGCAAAACATGATCAGGTGGTCGTTTGTCTTGGGCCTCCAAGAGATCGCAAATCTTTTCGAGACATTTGCGCCAGTCTGATGCGGTAGACTCGTTGTTGCAAAGTTCAACGGCATTTTTCTTCGTTATCCGAGTCCCATCGAAGTCACAATATCCCGCCTTTTCAGTTGGGAAGATATACCATATCCAGCAGGACTCCTTGGCACCGTGATCTAGTTCCTCCAAGATCTTCTTCATGTGGAGCTCTTGGCATTGAACCAGGGCATCGTAGGCTTTCTGATCCTTCTGATCATCAGATACCCCCCTTCCAGCATCCAAACTGCCAAAACTCATAGCTCGCTTGGGCTTAGGCCTTGAAGCAGTGTCGGAGGCCGACTCGAACGCTGGCACATCGAGAACTGTTTCGACAGGGCCGCCTCTCACCTCTTCCATTGCCTCATGATCGTCCATCGAATTTGGAAAATAGCCACAGCCAAAGGTTGCCAAAGTCTGCACAGTGTACCTTGCTACCTTTTAAGGCTTTGAGTATCTTTGAGTCTTGAGCCAAACAGGAACGAGCATCCCAAGGAACAAGATGGAACAAGTTAAAACCGCACCTATCCCCTTCAGCCGCCAGGTCTTCCTGCCTGTTCCACTGCATCACCCGTCACAGCAACCACGCCGCAGCAGAAAGTTAGCTGTTGACCGGAACCAATCAGCAAGGCAGCCATGGCAATTCTCGGGGAATCAAGGAGGTGGAAAGATTGCCTGGGTTTCATTCAGACTGGGAAAACCACATATCGCCAACAGAAATCAAAGCTATGACTCTATGACAATTTCTGTCAACATCCCCAACCAAGCCAAATAGTTATGTCCCTCTAGTTACCTCCTCGACCGGTGGATTCATTGTAGCTTGGCTGACGTATGCTGACGTGGAAAGGACTTACCGGTGATGACCAACTCTTGGGCTGCAGCCACCAAAAAAATGACCAGCAAAAGTCATGCGGTGGACAGGAGAAGGCATCCCTGGTTTGTCCGTTGAAAAGAAAGGTGGGCTCAGAGGCATCTGATCAAAGAAAACTTCAAATGAAAGTCAGTCAAAAACTTTGTTGCGGTTTTCGCACGTGAATGTTGCTAGATTTCAGCATGGGAGTTTCATTGCTACATGTCAGCACTGAGAAAATGTCATGGGTGGCCTGGATCGTTCCCAACGAAAACTCCTGAAGAAACGATCTTGCTTAACATTGTTTGGATATGTTTTAATCATGTGTCGTTCCAGCTTCAGATACACTAAAATCAAAGGCTCTCCTCTGAGCCCAGGACTGTGACCACCAGCACAGTAGGCATAGCAATCTGCACATGAAACTGTTCACTGTCACCCCTTGTGTTCGACTTGAAAACGCAAGTAGGAGGAAAGTAAGCATAGATCATATTGACAATATAGAGAGAGAGAGAGATGCATGTGATTAAGCTGATGATTTGACATTGGATTCTTTGGAGCAGGGACCATTTTTCATCTGATTGTCCCACTCAAATGATCTTCCTCTGGAGTTTCTGGCCACATTTGGCTTTGCAACCCAGTTTCGGTCCATTCTGTGGGTTAGATCTCCATTTTCATCGGTCAAAATTCAATCTTCGGGTGGTCAAATCCCAGTGATTGATCATGTTTGCTGCTCGAGGTGCTGAGTTTGACGTGTTTTGGGATTTTAGATGATTTGAGCGATTTAAAATCTCCATGTAGTCAAATCCAAGTGGTTGAGTCATGTTGAGTCCCCATTTTGGGTTTGTTAAATCGGTACCTGCGAGGTAGGCGTGGGCGCTGTGGAGCGGTGGTTACGCCTCAGGTGCTTCCATGGCCAGTGGTCCACGGATTTTTCTTCCTGGGCCCTTTATAGAAATCACCAGGTTTAGGAGATAAGATGACTGAATATATATATAGAGAGAGAGAGAGTATAATAGTGTATAATATAGTTACAGCATGTTACAGCAAAACATGCGTTTTTGTCGATCAATAAACAGGCTTTCCTTCATTTTGGGGGATGAAAGATCACATGTTCCTCTACCATCCTCTACCCTTATATGTAGGACGGTTCAACATCGCTTGGCAAGGACATATGACATGTGAGGACCATGATTTTTGGGAGGTACCGTTTTAAACACCGGTTGTCATGGGGGGGGCACATTGCTATGTTGGGTTGATCCTCCAGCTTGCCATGGAAATCACTGCCCAAGTTGACATCACCCCGGGGAGCCCAGGTTTGCATCCCGTGCGAGGCACAAGGGCATCAGGCCCAAAAGAGTTGAGGCAGACCTCATGGCGCAATGAGATGAGATCACTGATGGTCAACCATGGTCAACCCATCTTCCACCCTAGGATGAAGAAGTTCTTTTCTTCTGAAACACGTTGAGGTTTGCATATGTTTGCATGATTCACCTTCAAAATCTTCAAATAAACATGTCGGAAAATGATAAACCTTCTAACTGAAACAACGTGGAATGCCCAACTGAGCTTTCCCAGCTCTTGCGGCACCACCTCGGCTGGGGCACCAATGGTATCCCATTTATTGGGAGAGCCTCTATCCCAACCAAGCTACTTGCTGGAGTTTTTTTTGGAAAACATTGCAAGTATGTGATTAACAACTATTTAAAAAAAAAACAAAAAGATTGCCAATGGATTTGTTTTAGTGATATTCCACTCCAATGCTACCCATCAGTCTAGTACATGTATATGTTAGTACCCCCATTATTCCAACCCCCAAAGTTATGGAAAAACAATAGCCCTCATGGCGTCATGAGTCGGTGAGGCTCCCCACTGCTTTGGAGATCACAAAGTCGTCCAGGGCAGCGGCCGATGATGTCTTGCCTGCGATACCACGAGGCTTCTGCGACCAGCTGCTGCTGAATTTTGGGTGCAGTTCCTTAAAACATGATACAAACAGATTTATAATGATTTATATAAACATCTTAAACATCACCCAATCAATCAAAAATGAATCGAACAAATTGGAAAGACCTAAAGAACTCCAGTCATCCACCCTTTCCATATCTTTCCATAGTCTTCTTTGTAGGCAAGAAGGGGCTTTCCCATCCTGCTGACAGCGCCATTCCCCGGGCACCTGCTACGGGCTCCACGGCGTCTTCCTCTTCCTGGCGGGCCATAGGTTCAGATGATGCTCCTGCTGTGCATTTACCCTTCCGTAATCAAACATGGCAATGCTAGATCCCTTATGGAGTGTTTCATGGGAAAGTCGTCTATGAATGTTGGATTTTCTATATTGCCATGTTTGATTACCGGAGGGCATGTTACACACATGCTTGCTGTATCTCTGTGAATGAAGTGAACACTGCCGATCTTGGTGTAACTTGTTCGCATGTATTGCTAAACCAGTGGCTAGGTTTTCGTTCAAAAATGATTTGTCCTGTATGTGTACATGCATACGTACATATGTGCATATAATATATAGAGAGAGAGAGAGTTCAGGAAGAAGCTTAAGTTCCGGATAACATTCAAGCGGGACCACATATCCATTGCAAGTACTCACTGCTTGGTAGCCTACTCTCGGCGCTGCCATCTGCCCATTGCAACTTTCTTGCCGGGCTAGGATCCAGCTATCTACCCAAATCTGCACGACCCAAATCTTCAGATACCAATTTTCTGAAAAGGTGATGCTATGTTATGGTATATCTATTTGATGGTATGGTTTGCATTTGTTTACCCAAGACTGTTGCAATTCCCGATGAATGGACCATCATGTGCCCATCCTGACAATTCCAGCAATGCTTACGCCACCACTAATCACCTTCCCCCTCCAATCCTCTACAGTCGATCGACTGGGAGGTGCCTGGTCGGGTCTTGATGGCCATGGATTTTGCAGCGAAGCTATTCACATTCCAAACTTTCGGATGGCTTGGGTGTGTGGACATGTTGCCTGTTCTTAGATTTCGGCCAGCTTGTTGGTTGATATGACTTGGAGAAATGTCCCAGGAGAGATTTAGGTTGGTTGTCTTGTCATCTCGGTCATTCTCAAGATATCTGATCAAGGTATGTATAGCCGATAATGCAGTACTTTACTTGCCTGTTGGTTTACGTCTTGCCGACTAGCAAGTTCAAAAACCCTGAAATCTCAACTCGAATCAGCTGCATCCCTTCAACATTGCGGCGCTCAAAATGGTGCTGTTGAACTCACCAGTCACCGGTCACCCTGTTCCCCTTCCAGTCTTCCAGTCGCCAAGGTGCTCCACAGATCACCTGCTCCGACACGAGCGGTGCTGCTTCCAACAAGGCCTGTACCTCAGTGAGCTGTCGGAATCACTCAGACTCAGGAATCACCGCAATCTGCGGTGTCGGGACCCAATTGGATCTAATTTTTGGATGCATCTTTTTTGGGTGGTATTCCAGTGTCCGGTCACACAGGAATGCGACAGCAGAGGCACAAACGAACATATGTATACATATGTAACATCAAGGTATTCCTGCTCATTATCCTGTTGGCTCGCTGCCACCTGTTCCACTTGGCAGAAGGCACTGCATGCGACCGCATGCTCCCCGCTTGGCCGCTCTTTTCCTGGCAGTTGCACTCAAATTGCCATTGCTCCAGCAGCTGTTGGTGACGATCCGGACTATCAGCCTGCAGAATGGCTGGAGGGAATACATTTTGGCAGAAGAAAGAGCAGAACAAAGCGCCAATGAATTCGACATGCTTTCTGGCATTGAGCCAAGGAGCCACATATTCGATGGTCACCTGAGACTGCTGACCAAGTAAGGGAATGTGGGGGGCGCCAATCCTGCTCACTTCAAGAAGATCCCAGCCCATTTTCCCACCATCTCCCTGGATCGAAATTCCATCGGCACCTCCTCTCCTTCCTCCAAATCTCGCAGGGCTTGAAGCACAGCCCAACCCCGCAGTTCAGGCATCGGCAGGCATGATTGCAAAGCACCTGACGAGCCGTCAGAATCACCAAGGGTGTGGATGGGTTTGGATGGGTTTGGGACCAGGGGGAACTAGAAACTGTGAAAAGTTCATTGTACAATGTAGGAACTATGTTGAGCAAGGAATCCTAGCCAGTCAGGCATCCGATTTCAGGAGGCGTCGGTGTGCTTGCCTTCAACTCAACCCCACACACTCTAAGCTCTTGACAATTTGGCTTGCAGTCATGGTTCCTCAGAGCGATTGAGGGCATGGGAGCCGCTAGGAGGCTTCAAGACCCATTGCAGAAGTCGTGCTCATGCTACCCACATCAAACACAAGCAAAGAAATCTATAATAAATAGAATGCAGCATCTGATTGAAGCATATTGAAGCCAAATCAACTGATCATCAGGATGCAGTGCTTGACAGTGTTTGAAGTCCCCAGATTGGAACCCTGTCGCCTATATAGTTCTTCTAGCAACTGGCCCAGAACACGTTCTAGTCCAAATTAGACACCACACTCAAGCACACAAGGATAAGGATGGATCTTTAGGAACTAACATTGCCAGCCACAACAACAGAAATTCACCAGAAATATCATATCCATTATGTTCATATATGTTCCAACTTTACCCAAACAAACAAGGGGATTGCCGTGGGATTCCCATGTAGGTCTTCTGCTCCAAGTCTCACGGCCGATGCCACCAGGTACAACGCCAAGCCCCGAGTTGTGGGAAGCTCCTCATCTGTCACCTCCACCTCCACGGCGTTCCTTGTGGTCTGAATCGAAAAATCCACGGGGATGAACGTTGAAACATGTTTTTGGGGATGTCCACAAATGGTCTGAAAATTGGTGAGTTCTGAAATCGATCAAGAACGTCAATAAATATCAATAAATCAGATTTCGGGACTCGAAATGAACAAGTTTGAATAACATATACATATACAGCATTCTTGGAAGGTGTCTCCCAGTACATCTTGCTTTGCCAATCACATCTATCAAAAGAATTCAAAAGGTATGGGGAAACATTCAAAAATGGAATCTAAAGAAATATAAAAGAGTGCATGTGGATGACCAAAAGGGAAAACCAAAAAACCTTCCAGCTGGCAAGCTACATTCGCACCCGTCCCACTAGCATCGCCAACTGCTGCACGTCGAAGCCGTGCGGCAGGGGCAGCAGGGTCTCCAACAGCTCCAGCACTGTTCCAGTGATCCCTTCGGCCTCCTGCGCCAACGGCCCCTCAAAGCCCGCCACGGTCTGCCACCACGGGGCCCCTACCAAGCCATGAACCAAGGGATAAATCGAGGCATCCACGGCACTTTTGGCCAGCACCTTGGCGCTGAGGCGGAAGGCTTCTCCCACGTTGCCCAGCTCTCGGAGAAGCTCGTCCAGTTGCTGAGCGGCAGAGGTTTCGCCGCAAAGGAAGGGGTGCCCTGAGGCCGTGGCATCTGCCATGCACGGCTGGGAACAGAAGGAACTGCAGCCGCAGTGGTGGTGGGTGGAACCTGGGAGGGGCTTCAAACCTGAGCATCACGCTGGTGACACTGACGGCTGAAGGAAAACTTCTAGAACTGAAAATTCTGAGTGGGGAAACAATCATCCATCCACAATGAATTTCCGTTCCAGGCTGAGGTCTCCAGTAATTGGAACTCAACCCTAGTTTCGGCTTCATCTTGCAGTAGCCTATCGATGTACGTTCAGTATACTGCCCAAATTCACATGACTCACATGCAAACTGTGGATGCAACCTGTGGAAGTGTGTCACTTGTCAACTTCAAAGCTTCACTGAATTTCACTGAAGCCTAGCCAAGGGAGCAGTGCCCACAGGCGAATGTTTCTTCTTTGCTGCTCTCCAGCTGCAATAGCACCAATGGCGGTTCAGCTAGCAGGCAGCAGCCTGCATCGATGGAAGCTATTGTCCTGTTTAGTTCCGACCCTCAGAAGGCTGGTCACCACCCGTCCATGCAAGGCACAATGGTGGTAGAACATCTTTTTGATCCAACCAGGACCATGATAACATCATAACCATCTAAGTTCTAAGGTACTAGGTGGAGAGCTCTCCAATGGACATGACCCTTTGACAACTTTGCCCTAAGATGTCACAGGGCATGCATAGTTTACAGTTACCACTGGAATGATCATCCAAGTAGCCCACCTCCGGATGATTGCTCTCAATGTATCTCAATGTGGCATTCAATTGACTTCCAAACGCAATCGTACCTCAAATTCTCGTTTGACCATGTTTGACCCTGTTGCATGCAAAGCCCCATTGATATCCACAAACATCTTCCAACCCCAAGCCTCACGCCGTAGCCTTGGCAGGGAGAGTGCCAAAAAAGGCAAGCCGAACGAAAATGTGCCCTTCCAAATCTTCCAATCTGTCTCCGGGGAAAAGCGTGGTTTCCCATCTGCCATGTGGGGTCAGTTCACCCTCTCTACCCTACAGCACTGCAATTGAAGACTCCCCGAATTTACGGCGAACTTTCCCGGGCTTTCTAAAAACATTTCTCGTTGGCCACAGCTCCCCTGCCTTTGCTTGGCAGCTCCACCAACTCCAAAGATGAGCTCTCAGCGGCCACGAACTCCGCACGGTGCCTGCAGCACCAAGAGTTCCATGAGGTCCTTTGAGGGTTCAAGGCTGGGTCCAAGGTGCTGATCTGGTGCTGATGTTTGTTGATTTTCCCCATATCTCTATTGTTCAATGGGTTTAATGCCCATATTTCTCATAGCTCTCCCTCTCTCTCTCTCGCAAGCCTGGCCATCAATCAGCCATCCCACAGGAACAATCGGCTGGTGAGAACAGAATGCCAACCTCAAAAAGTCTGCTATTCGTTTAGGCGTATGTGTTTATCCCCAATTTTGCTGCTCTCTCTATCCATGCTTCTCCCCATGTTCGAATTTTTCATAAACACTTAAGGAGATAAAGTGCTATCGAGCTCGAGCTATGCCAATAAATACAGCGGCGTGCCTCCCAAAGGTGTCCCAGGTCACCCAAAAACATCCAAAATCATCAAATCCGCTAGTCCCCTAAATTCCCTAAATAGAAGATATTGAAGCCCACTCAGATCCACTAAACTCCATGTCCCCAGCTCGGACCCTTCTCACCTTTGCAAGGCGCTGGGTGTGTCAAGCGACATCCGCCAGGCACTCAGGCACTTGGGAATCGTATCAAAAGGTATGACCGGTATGATTAGAACTAAAAGCCATCACAGCATCTGGGTTGAAAGAAAATGCGTGGCAGTTGGTTTTGAAGGTCAACAATTGCTTTACGTACCAACAGGCTAGGACTAGGACCAAAAAAAACGGTCATTATTGTTTCCCTTTGCAAGATGCAGCAGGCTGACCGCCAATGATTCATTCTATTTTGACCAGATGGGCCCACTAGAGCCTGCAATCAGTTGCTGGCCCAAATAGCTTCAATAGCTGGAGCACTGATGAGACCTGGTTTGCCTGATTGCTCGATGCTTGATGAAGTTGTTTAAATTGACTTGAGCCAAACTCAAGCTGCATCATACCCAAGTTGAGCCCCACCCATGATGCTGAGCTTCGTAGTTGGCAACGAACGACGGCTGGGGAGTCTCAGGTTGTTGCATTGGGCTTGGGAAGATGTCGCCCCAGACCAGCATGAAGTCCCCGCTGTAGATCTTCCAACAAGGTCAGTTGCTTGTGGTAGATCCTGCAGCGCAGCCATTTTCTCAATGCGTTTTTTTTTCCGAATCGGATGCCACTGGAATTCAACATGTTCGGCATTGAGTCGACATTGTAGCTATTTCAGAAACCCAACTTTTGCATGTCTGCTTCGAAATCCTGCTGACTCCATCTCAAGCCACCTGTTTTTGGGGATGGTTGGGCGCTGAGGCCCCAGCTCCGACAACGCTTCTAACTCCAAGACTTCCTGCTCGATAAGGGACCTGAAACCAGGGGTACATCAGGTGCATCCATACATGTTCCTGCAGATTCCTGCAGTTTCCATCCGTTTTTAAAGTTCCTCATCTGTTTTGCCGGGGCTTGGCAATTGAATCCGCAAGAGTGCTTGATGATTTGTGTCGATATCACAAGATTCAGCATACCCATCAAAACACAAACGAATACAAATGAGGGCATGATGCCGCCAGGGAAAGTATGGCAATGCCTAGGCGATGCACATGTGTGGTATGATGTGGTGTGGTCTTGTGCATTTGTAGTGCGTCAAACCCATGGGTATGTAAATTGGAGCATTGATCAGTCCAGCCAAACTTTTGAAATCTGAGTCGTGAGCTTGACTGCACCTATTGCAGGTCACCAAACACATCCAGTCACGCTGTCCAGAAAATGATCCGCAGAGAAAGAAGACAAGGCCTTTGAACATCCAGTCAACTCTCTATGAACTTTCGATGTAGTTAGACCAAAGAAAAATGCGACCCCAAAGAATTAGTGTGTTCCGTTGCAGAAACCAAGGGCCACTTGGTGACGCTAGTGGATGGCACCTTTACGACGAGAGGGCTTGGGGTCATCACGCAAAACCTGCAGGCAAGGCTGGCGTTACTGTGGCGTTCAAGGGAAAACTCGGATTACCCCGTTCCAGCAATTCTCCTGTTCTTTGGGCAGCTGCAACTACGGAAGGGCCAAAACCCGATCACATGCTAGATGCTTTAAACAGGGCCCACATCGAAGTGACCTACCTGAAAACTGCACATGCTGTCGAAGTGACCTACCTCCAGATGTCTTCATGGCATCTTTCACCCCCTTTGCCTTCTGCTGTCTCGCATGTCTGGCCGGTCTAAGCGACTCGCTGCACGTCCTTGGTTGGTGCAAACTTTGGCCTCTCCAGGTTTGTAATCCACAAGTCGTAGAAATAACATGAAATAACCCTCAATCCTCAAACATCGGGTTTGATGCAAAAAACATGGCGATTTACTGATTTACCAACAAAATACTACTTTAGGTTGAACTATGTGGTACCGAAATCACAAATCCCCTCAGGATGAAACCCATCAGCAGCACAACTTTCATCCGAGGCCACTAGGCCTTGGAGCACGGAAAAAACTCACAGCACCAAGAAGGTCCAAGATGGGCCAAGGGGCCAAGGGGCCAAGGGCTGAAACAGTTCCCCTTTGTTTGACCACCAGATACCACCAGCTCAGCGGGTGGCACAGCTGTATTACCAGCAGAGCTAGGACCTGACACCGAAAGAGCTGTTGCATGTCGAGGTGAAACTGTTGCTGGGGGCCATTGGCTGAATGTGGGCAAGATTATCAAGATGAGGGAGGAAGAACAATCAAACATGTACAAAATCTCATTGAGTCACTGGTGACCAGTAAGCACTGGCCTGTGCAACTAGGCGCCGCATGCACTTTGGCTGCAGCAGCCGGATGCTGCCATGGCAGATGTTTGATGAAACTTCCGGAAGTCTTGTGGCTCAGCGACGTTGGGTTTTGCAGCTTGCACGGTATATGGTCTTCTCTGCAGTCGAGTATCAGTCAACTGGTTCTTGTTGTTGGGACTGCGGGAGGAGTGCAACATGTGTGAGCGATGTGAGAGCGTCGTAGGGCTGGCACGTTCGGCGCTTAAGGCCAACTGATTTCTATGTTCTTCCAACATCTTTTGGCTGTCTCTTGGTTCAGTGCTGGTCACAGTTCCTTGGTAGCTCTGAACCGATACGATGCTGGAACCAAGGCCAAGTCCCAAGATGAGCTGATCATTTTTGGATGGTCTTCCATCATCTTCCTAAAGGCCAGTAACATCACGATGTCGGGGGATGTACAAGGACCCTCCCACGTAAGTGGCCATCTTGTTGATCGGATGTATCAACAATCTGCTTCTTGAAGGCTTTGGGAGACCGGATAAGAGTTGCCTCAACAAGTTGGAATTGGCTCAAGTTGACTCCAACGATTGCTGAATGCTAAACGTTACCCAAGTGCCAAAATCATGGCCCCTTTTGGTATGGCATGCTTGAGCCTCTCCCTGACTCACTGCCTCTTTTTGTCGCACGTTGGGTGCACGTTTCTGCATCGACCCCAAACGCCACTTCAGCAAAGGTCTTCAGGTAATTTCAGGCAAGTGTGAGAACCAACGCCCTAACAACTTGGAGAACTTTGAGGGAATGATTGTGATTTTCCACGTTTGATTCCTGAACATCCACCTGGTGAAAAAGAAACGTGCATCAATCTCAAACTGGAAAATATAGTAAAATATAATATGAAAATAATGTAAAATTCATGTCGTGTTTGGGTGTTTGGCGGGGTACTTTTTGTTCACCACCAGCATCCACCAGTTCATGGCCCAAATCCATGGTTTGGACGCTGCCAACCCTTGCGCTGGGCTCAGGTGGTCCGGGGTTTTCGGCAGCTGAAGCATCGCCATATCGCCACCTGGGCATTGCGTGGTTCATTTGCCCCTCTACCGTGCTTTACCCAAACAAGCTTGCCAGAACACATGGCATGATTCTGGCATGATCTACATGAGCTGTGGATAGCTGTGGTGCAAATCTTGATAAATCATGATAAAACTTGATAATCCGTCAAAACCTCCCACATAAACCATGACTCCTGTCAATCCGGCCGACACTTTGTTGGCTGGTGAGAACCGTCTATCACCGAAAATATTGATTCACAGCAAGACAGAGCTTTCGTAGCCGTAGCCACTTGAAAATTGACAGTTGAGATGCTGGAATGCCTGCGGTTAATTAGGATGTCCATCAAACACCCTGCAATCAGAGAGCAGGCATAATCTGCATATACATATAATTATGCACATTATATGCGTACAGTGTGCGCACAAATTTATGTATATTATATATATATATTCTTATATATTGCAATATATGGGCGCGGGTGTATGTGTAGAAGTGTAGAATATAGATATGCAAAGAACTAGGTTGCTGATGGTTGCTGACACGCACAGCTGGCATTCAATTTGATCGCAATCACCCCTCTGAGCGCACGGCCACCAGCAATCCTATGATCACCAGCACAGGCCAGGCCCTCAAAACATGGCGGATTATACGAGGTTCGGTGCGGGGCGGGAACCTAACAAAGCTACCTAGAACTCCAAATAAAAAATATTGAAACAAAATCGTAAAATAAATTACAGTACTAGATTTCGAAGATGCGATTCCTACAGAGAGAAACCATTTTCCATCGGCTATTGTAGCGGCCATAGATGCGCCATGTTCCACCAACCTTGAAGCGAATTTGAGGCCCCCGGCATGCCACTGCCTCGTTGCACATCACCGCTGGTGACATCCGGCAGCCCCACCTCCGGCAACGCCACGATAGCTTCGCTGCCGGGATAGCGGGCCTTGACCTCGCTGCCGTCGTATTCGATGAAGGACATGGCACCACCATAGGCGCTGGAAATGGCAGTGTCTCCTAGGATGATCTGCCCATGGCACTTGGAATGCACCTGGAAATCTCGTTGGATGGTGTGGCCCACCACCATCCGATCAGCATCCACCTTCTGCAGGACCTGTTGGGCAAGTTGGCAAATGTTGCTGCGACCATAGGCATAATCTCTGGCCCACACGGGACCGTGACCTCCCAGCAGCTTGGGTTCATCCTTCTTCATATGCTTGGAGGTGCTCGCATGCTTCAGGGCCCCATGGAAGGCCACATTCAGCTCTTCCAGGGTCCGGTGGTCCAACATCTCAGGCAGCAGACCGGCGTGGACGAAAAGGACCTCAGCAAGTGGCTGTGCTAATACCAGGTCCACAGGGGCCGAGATGCGCATCACAACCAACCTGAAAATCGTCATGGCTGGTGGGCGAAAGTAGTTTTTCTTGGGTCAATCAGGGCATCCTTTTCTATGTTTGCTGCTACATCGTGCTAATATCACATCATATCACATCAGTCACACCCTGCAGCTCTGTCCACCCAGCTGCTCTGTCCACCACGACTGCCACTGGAAACTTCTGCACTTCGGAGCCCAACCATCCGTCCCAGGCCCAGGCCTGTTTTCTCTCCTGCTGTCCAGAGGCTGCAGCGTTTACCCTTCCCACTTTTTGTGGAGGTTACATGGGAAAAATGGCAAAATATGCCAGCCAGAATCCGGAACCCTCTCAATTTTGGAATATCAAGAGATGCCATGTATGCTATACATGCCATATATGCTATATATGCCATATATGCCATGAGTATCCATAAGTGATCATCAAATGGTCGAATATGACGATCATCACCTCCATTCCGCCGAACTCGTCGACATCGCCCTGGCTCACCTCGGTGGATCGGCCTGAAAACCCCATGGTTGAAAGGTTGAAAGGTTGGGTTAATCGGTTAACCAATCAAAAACCAAGGTGATTGATTGGAACTCACAATATGATAAATATGGATAAATATGGGTGATACAATGAATCATGGATACTCTGTTTTTGAGCAGTCGCTGGAAATCTGCCACAGTGTTTTTAGAGTAGGGTATAGACTGGACATCTAGGGCTCGAAAGCACAAAAGAAACCAAGAATCCAATGCCGACACACAGTGCTAAGATCGACTCAAATCATAGTCCAAAGCCGTTGTTGAAACACCGTTGGGGAAGCAACGCAACCATATGGAACGCATGTCAGATTGCTATCGGTTTCTGATGGTTTCTGGCGATGAGAACCATCTGGAACGTTCGCTTTGAAGTTGAAGAAGATTTTAAGACGCTCAACACATGAAAGTCTGGGCCATATTGGCAATTTGCAACCCATCCCCAGCAGTTCTGTTGGACTGCGATTGTCATTAATTGTCATTCAATTTTCCACCATTAAGGATGGCAGTTTTGGGTCTGCCCACCATTTCTGAGGGGTTGCCGACGAATCTGCAGACTTCACGACTGCCTCAGGGGTCTGAGGTAGCCACGTAGCGCCAGTCACCCTGCATGTTCATGACCTGGCGCGTTGAATCATGCTGAACTAGATTGCTGGGTTGCCAGATGTCTCTCTACCATGAGATAGATAGCTAGACTACATACTGAGATTGGATTGAGCTAGATTCAGTAGGATTAGACTAGTTATACATATGGGCAAAAGGAAAGCAAGGAGGCAGGTACAGTAGGTGTACAGGTATACAACATTATACAACTATATGATACAGCAATGGATGGAAAAATCATGATAATGATTGATGCAAACCTGACGTTAAAAGTGTCAGCAATCCACAGATTTCGTCGCCTCATGATTGCCCAGCACGTTGATCACGCGGCCCCCAACCTGGCAGCATCAAGGTCCATCGGCCATTTTGGAGGATCGATCTACCATCAACCAGTTTTAACATCCATCAAGTGCCGAATGAAGAGGATTTCATAGAATTTCCGTATCGTTTTCCAGGCATTTTCCAAGATCTACACCATTCTGCACCTCCTCAGCCTCCTTCCGAAGCCGAAAGAACAACTCGTAGATCTGCTTGCAGTGGTCTCCTCGGTCCTGAGAAGTCGTGAGACGTGGCATGGAGCAATCGGCAAAATTCGAGATGCGGCTGCCTCAAAATTCTCAGTGTGGGGATATGTTCTGATGATGTTAAGACATGTTAAGACATGCTAAGACTTGCCGGACTTGCCATGGGTTTGGCAGGTGCCTGTAGCTTGTCACACCAACCTAATGACCTGATGCTGTATCATCGGCACTGTTGTCTGTTGCGGTCGCTGCAGCTCAGCTTCGGTGATGTCACCCGTCTGAACGAGGGTCGCATCCCCACCAATCCATTTGTGAGTCTCCTGCAGCTGGTGGGTCAAACTTGGTCACATGAGCCTTCCTAGTTTCCAGGGGTCCACCGTCCACTTGTTAATATCTTATCACTTATCATGATCCATTCACTCGTAGCAGCACCATCCTTTAGCTCTTCCGAACCACTCAGGCTCCTGGATCTTTGGTTTTCTACAGCGCCTAAGAGGCCTCTACATTGACTCAGCCAATTTAAGTTTGACTCATCAATATGCATCAGTATCATCAAGTTGGGCCTGGCAGAAACAACAAACCAACACCAAAGCCTTGATTTTCAGTCCCTCCATGGCCCTTCAGCCTATCATAGCCTATCCCAAAACCAGCACCAGCGGCACCTTGTCGATCAGTTTGGCACTGCTGAGGATATTCACCGCGTGATCAAAGTCACCGTGCAAATCGGCCACGGACACCAATCGTCCCAGGCACGGTCCGCAGAGGCAGGCCACCAGCAGAGTCCAGACCCGACTCGGCGCCATTTCGGTGAAACGTGGAAGTTCCAAAGGGTATCGAGATGTATCGAGATGTATCGAGATGTGTCAAGGGTAGAAATGCGATGAAATGTGATGGTGCCCCTGCTGGCTGATGATTATTCAACCACTGCATGGCCACAGGAAGCTCCACTTGAATCCACTTGAAACATAAGGGTTTCGCAAGGTTCAGCAAGTGTCAAGGGAACTCTGACGCTCTTTGATTCTGATAGGCTTCAGACTGACTTGCTGGAAGATGTTTAGAAGTAGGTCGGGCCATGGTGCAAAAATTCGCGGTAGTTTACTAAGTTTACTAATTCCGCAACTAGCTTGGTGCGTCTTATCAACTCTTCTCCGTGAACGACTGCTGGAGCTTGGATGGCTGACAAATCGCAGGCTTCAGGTTGGGTGATGTTGGATGGTAATTTGCATGAATTGGCTGGTACAAGAGCCATGAGCTCAAAATTGTGCAAGCCGGCAAGGACCGGATGTTTCACATCCACAACTTCACACCTGTCAACACTCAAACACTTGACTAATGGAGGAAACGCCCACCATCACCGCGTTTTTAGTTGCTGACTCGTAATTGCTGACTCGCTTGGTTGCTGACGCGGTCAATGTTCCTACGAGTACCATCACCCACCCAAGAAGCTTGGAGGCAATCTGGTGGCACCTGCACCTATCTCATTGACACTGTGTAAGGGTGTGAAAGGAACTCATTTTTCCATCTGTGCGCAACGTAGGAGACCTTCTGCAACGGCCTCTGACATTTCAGCCTTGGCAGCGTGACAGCGGCCGCTATGAGCCAGAATGCTGTCAGAATCTGCCATGACTAGATGACTTAACCGGTGGAAAAAATAATTCAAAAGCAAAGAATGAAATCAAGTTTGGAGTTTTTGGACATCTTTGAACCCTTTTGCCTCTTTATATCCTTGCTGTGATAATCACCGCAGTTCTCAGCTAACAGCTATAACCCCCTTTGCTTGATGCACAGCCATGTCTAACACTGACAATCGATCGTCCTACACCGCCAGCGTTTCTATTCACCATTGGAGATTTCAAGCGCTAGCTCTTAGACTACTGGAGGCCAACTAGGCCAACATTCCAGTCACAAAACTAACTTGAAGCCTTGAACTCCAAAAAGTGGCTCTGGAAGATGATTCCCCTCTTGGGAGTCATAAACTCTCGTTCCAAGCTGCGCAAGCCGAGGAGATCTTGCAACCTCTTCTCCTGGCCACGTCAGCGAAGATGGTTTAGGATGGTTTAAGTGACTACCAGTATGTTGACAGTATGTTGAAGTCCTTGAAACATGACAATCTGCAAGCATCCAGAGTTGCACCGAGATCATCTGCAAATGTTCTCTGAGATGTCCTATCGCCACGAAATAACGCCCAGGGCCAAGGCCTCCCGGGATAGGGTTCCCACTTGGGAAGATGGCCTGCCACGTGCAGGTCCAGCTCGATGGGGTAAGCACACAAACCCATTTTCTTCAAGATGGATCTACTCGGAGTTCATCTGAGATTTGTTCAATGTGAAAGATGTGAAAGTCACCAATATGACGATGTAATTATGCCTCTTGCATCCTCTTGCGACATCCTTTGACCTCTTTGACCAGTTGGATGCTTCGGCACACCTGCCCACTGTCCGAGAACCCCGGGATTGCTCCAGATTCCTGGGCTTCTGGACAGAAAAATGATGAGCACAGCTGGCACAACCTCCAAGGCTTGGAACGCATCTTGAGGCTCTCCCAAAATGTGCCGAGTTTTCATGCGTCTGTCAAACCACTCTAGCTTCATGCGGATTACAGGTGCCAAGTAAATTAAACTATACACTACAAAGCCAGTTCTCTCTTCCACTCAAAGACATGGCCATCAAAGGTTTCAGTTGTTCGGGGGTAGCCCATCTTTTCACCAAGCATCGAGTCAAGTTCACCTTGGTGCCAATAACACCAATGCGAGCGACTGTATATGGAACAGAATGTTATAATATATGTATATGTGTATATATATATATATGTGTGTGTGTGTTGCTTAAACAAATGTGGGCATAGCTATCGTGTATATTATACCTGCAAGGATCCTGGTGGAAGTGCTAGCCGTGCCAAACGCTCTGGTGCCAAGGCGCTAGATTCACCGTCCACAGCCTGCATTGGGGCACTTGGGTGAGATTCCCAGGGATTGACCAATCTCTGACCACGGTGAAGTATAGGAAAATCAAGGTTTTGAGGTGCCTCTAAGCTGACCGCGGATCCCATTGTTTGCGCCGTTTGAAGCCTCGGCCACTCGGCAGCCGCAGGATTTGGCTTCCAACCCAGGCACCGTTGACGTGGACTGGCAAGATGCGCAAGGACCTCCAGTGCAGCCAAGTATCTCTGAACCTCTGAGGCCCTGCCCAGGAAATTTGTCAAAATGACAAGAGTCAACCCTGGGTCCATTCCATGTAGAACATACGAAGGCATTAGTGTGTCCTAAAGCTGCTTCCCCTCCTGTCCACATCATTTTCCCGTAAGATATGCCTATTCCATCCCCCAGCCCCACCTTCACGGAGGAGCCTTGGCTTTGGGGCTGAAAGATTCCATGTGTGAACCTACAGAGGTCCATAGAGTCAATAGATATTTGGCAAATTTCAGCAACACAAATAAATGATAACGCTATTGTAATCATAGTACTCATAGTATAACAATCAAAGTAGTCATACGAGTAATCATTGTTATATATTGCAATACCAATAGTATCACCATGATTGAAACTGATGTGCATATATATCTATCTATCTATCTATCTATCTATCTAATCTAATCTAATCTAATCTAATCTAATCTATCTATCTATCTATCTATCTATCCTATCTATCTTTCTATCTATCGATCTATCCATCTATCTATCTATCTATCTATCTATGTATATATATATGTGTGTGTGTGTGTATGTGCGCGTGTATTACAACTAAATGGTTGATCATCATCGTCACAATCATAACAATATCTGTTGGAAGTGGGATGAACTACTTGCTCAAGCCAATAGTGTTCCACCTAAGCAAACAGGATTTGGTGACATGTTGGTCGGGGTTTAGAAGCGTGTGGAATAAGCTGAACTCCTCAGAAATTGAACGGAGGGAACCCCCAAAAAAAGCTCTGGTTTGTCATTACCCTCTGGTAAACTAACATGAGTATGGAAAATCATCATTTTTCATGGGAAAATTCACTATAATTGGTGATTTTCCATAGTTATGTTAAATTACCAGGGGGTAACCTGCCCTTCCAGGATGATTTTCCATCACGTGTGGTGATAGTACCAAACTTGTTGCAGCCAAACAGCTAAGGGCCTCCCCTCCCAGATTCAACATGTTGGTACCGCTGGCTACTGCCTTGATGGCTGCCGCTTCCTCGTGGGACCAAAAGAAATGACCTAGCTGTGGCTCCTTAAAGGACCCATTTCCATGTATATATTATATAACTCATTATAAATCATAAGGCCACTACCTCATTATATAATCCAGCCAGGCTGCAGGTCGTAATAAATCATAATCCTGCATCATGAATTTCATGAATCATGTACATCAAACAACATACATCAACCCTGATGAATCTGATGAATCTGTTGATTTGTGCGTCATCGTCAATCTGCCATCACGGTTGGCGTCCTCTTGTCTGGAGATGGCATCCTCCACAGTGCCGGACTCCTTATGAAGGGCAGCTGCCATAGCCTTCAAGTTGTCACCTTCATCCTGCAGAGCCATGCAGAGCCGGGTCGAAAACCCAGCTGACGCTGGAAGATGCACGTTTAGGGCATCACATTCCTATAGGAAATGTGAGCTTGTGAGTTGCATGAGTTGCTGTTCTACACTGAAAGGAGGGTTGTATATCTCTATCTTTGACAGCTTAACCCCCCAGTTGCCTCAGTTTCGTGGCTCAATCCGACAAACTCCCTTATTCACGTAAACAAGTTTCCCATATTTTCCCATTATATAAACACATTAAACCAAGGGCTTCTTCAGTCGTGTTTGAGCACCATAGGGACCATAGGGCCGGCTATCTCTCCATAGGGACCTTTTGGTCATCCGGTCATCCCATCCTCCAAGAGCTCAGCGAGTTTGTTCAGCCTTTTTTGATGCTCCTCGGTGCAACTGGGTGGCTGCTTCACATAGCTTGTCGGCTTGTGCTCTGACGTTTCGATGGACAGGTATTGGTAAAGAAATAAGGGTACATATTAGGGATCATATGTGTACAAATATCTTGAATCCTCTCTTTCTGCTCCTATTCATCTATTTATCATACATTAATGCCATACGTGCCAGTACATACATGTACAATACTTGTATATACTTGTGTATAACATACGTATGTAATGGTAATGTGTGTGTGTGTGCCTGTGTAAGTATGTGAAACATTATGATACCATTATTATAAGATTATGCTGCTTCCCGAAAACAGAGTTTGACCTTGTGCCGCCTGAAGTGCACCTGCTACAGTACCCAGTCCCACCCCAGCCACTAAGGAATGCGCAGCCTCTCCGTACACATGGCTGAACAGCATGATCCACAGGATGCAAATTCTACGTGCCATGATTTTCCACGCAGAAATCAGATGAACTAGTTTCCCACCGTTGGGGCGCGTGAGTTCGCTAAGCTGAGCCAACGTGGCTGTGTCAGAAGAGCAAGAGCTCCTGGCCCCACATCCAAGTTGAAGATGATTTTCTGGTCAGAAAATGGCTCACAGATGCCACAGCTCATCATCAGATTCCAGGTGTTCGTCCAGGTCCCGGGTAGGGTGAGTTGCCACGGGCCTTTTTTCTGGCGCGGATTCTCATGCGCTAACCTGGCATACGGCACCGGGTGAGAGACAGTCACCCAGTATCTATGGAATTGACCACCTATGCCTGGAGATAATAAGGATGATACCCCAAACAGAGGAATCATCAACTACTAACTACAGTATGGGTTCTTATTGGTTCTTCAGCTCATCCCAAGAATATTAAGCATCGTCAAGTCATCATGTACTGCTGGAAGGATGGGAAGATGGTCTGTAACCACTGACCACCCAACTTAATTTACACCACCCAACTTTCACACTATTTTAGAAGTCCAGCCGGCCTTCGACTATACCCCACTTCTGAGTGCGTCCCAGTTGGTATGTGGCTTATGTCTTTCTAACATCCCATATTGAATCCATACATCTACCTGGAGATGTTCCATACATTGTACTGGGACGCTGGGGATATTCCATCTACAACTGGAATGTAGCACGATATTGATGTAGTTTATACAGCTGGGTAATTTATTTATGTCATTTCATGTTATTTCATATGGCTACGCATGGCTACTGTACAAATCTGCCAGCCCTGGGCACCTTCTCCATCCTCACATTGACGCTATTGCAGAAGGCCGTCTGGCGCCCCTCGTCCCCGTCCCAGTCGCCGCTGTCGTCTTCGGTGGTGCTGGGTGCTGGCATGTCGATGAGCTTCGACAGGGCCAAGCAACCCAGGGCCTGTGTCAGCTGCCTATGGCCATCTGAGAGATCATCTGAGTAGCTTCACTCGTAACAACTGTAATAGCTCCAGTGTCTTTATCGATTATAGATATTATAGGACCAGATACATCAAGATACTGTGTTGATATTGACTGATATTGTCGAAATGGTAAGTAGGGATAATTCTGTCAGAATCTACGGCTGTCAAGAATGAAAGTATGAACAACCAAGTATAGCAGTAAGGCAAACTCCGCAGCAGCAGTTGGACGTTCTGTCATGTTTCAACTCAACCCCGTTTCGGTACCTCATTTTGCGGTGGATAGGCCGGAACAGAGACGCCCAAATGACCGTAATAACCACCGCGCAGCAGCCGCACGCATTCCGAGCACTTAATTTCGGCATCAATCTGCCGATCGCGGCAGTTAAGCGACGCTTGCTGTCCCTCGTTCTGGAACCCGCGAATTTTCAGAAAGTGCCCGAAATCGCTGTAGTCCTGGCTTCGGAAGATCCAGGTCTCCAGCCGCAGATTGGCCTCACCATTTCCAGTGGCCTCCGGGTTTTTGATCAAACATTCCGTCCATTCGCTCCTCCCAACGTCGGTGTTCAGCGCCACATCCGGTGGTCGCGTGCGCACCGGCGGCTCCGCAACAGCCCGCAGCCGACTCAGCAGGCGGCGCCCAGAGCTGGGAGCGACCCAACAGGAGCCCAAGGTGAAGAACACACCCCAAACGGCAAGGCGTCTGACACCTGGGCTGGGCAACCCAAACATGACTCTGCTTTCAAACATGGTGATGGATCCACCTGCATAATAACCTGGCTAAAGGATTTTAAATGGATAGGCTGACATCTAAGAATCTAGAAGTCCCTGTCCCTGTACCCAGATTTTGGAAACTCGGCACATGTGGGCACGTTCACTGAGGTCCGCGCGTAGGTGCTGAGCCTTTTCCATCTTTTCCAGAGAAGCCATGAATGGAGTTGTCTAGTGATTTTGGGGGCAACTGTCTCACGATGGCGGCTGGTTGCTGTTGCGCTTCTGATGATCTAGATTTATCTGATCAAATCTTGGTCTTTAATTGAGTCTTGAATAAATGCGCCTGCCCTAGGGAGAAACATGTTGCTTGCTTCCCGTGTGTGTCCACATCAATTGCTTTCTGCAGCGTCCGCTGCTTGGTGTGGTGGCTCCAAGTCCAAGGCACCCGAAAAGTATCGGTCGTGTGGGTTGACCACCTCAAATGGGATGGAAGCTGCCAACAATCATTATGTTCTTTCATGTTCTTACATGTTCTAACCTAATTAAGGTGCTTCAGTCTGTGCGAATTGTGTCTTGGGATACGTCTGTTGGACATCTCCGTCCTCCCATCCCAATCCTTCTAAGATTCTAAGCAGTGTCTTGCGGCGGGCACATCAAGGCCAGTTTCCTAAGCCAACGTCATGCCTTATTTGTTCTCAGGCTCTTCCAAGGGAAACTTTACGGGAAGCCATCCATACTCAGACTCAGATGGAAATGCAAGGTTTTTCCTTTTCATCAATCCGGTGACTTCTGCGAAAAACACTAGCGCCTTCATCTCCTTTTCATTTTCGAGTAACATCTACACAGGGGCGCCATTGGCCCCGATTCGCAGCCCATTGGCCGGGAGCTGTATCCCATGGTGACCATGGGTCGGACGGGCGTGAAACAGGCTGTATGCTCGCCACACATCACACCAATTTTGAAAAAGATCCGCTCATCTGTCCCCGTTCTCGTCAAACGCAGCAGCACTATCCACATAGAGGCTATCATTGGACGATGACCTTGCAAATGGGTTTTCATGATTGATCTGCCATCAATGGCAGCAGGGAAGGACATCGCCAACCACGGGTACGTCATCACAACACATGTGCAAAGGTCGGTTGATTGCCTCAACCGTGTTGTTGTTGTTGTTGATGATGATGATGATGATGGTGATGATGATGATGATAATGATGGTGGTGATGATGATGATGGTGATGGTGATGATGATGATGATGATGATGATGATGATGATGATGATGGCGATAATTGTTATTGTCATTGGTGGTGATTGTTATCATTGGTGGTGAATGTTATCATTGGTGGTGAGTGTCATCACTGGCGGTGAGTGTTATCATTGGTGGTGATTGTTATCATTGGTGGTGAGTGTTATCATTGGTGGTGAATGTTATCATTGGTGGTGAATGTTATCATTGGTGGTGAGTGTCATCACTGGTGGTAAAAGTTCTCATTGGTGGTGATTGTTATCATTGGTGGTGAGTGTTATCATTGGTGGTGGGTGTTATCATTGGTGGTGAGTGTTATCATTGGTGGTGAGTGTTATCATTGGTGGTGAGTGTTATCATTGGTGGTGAGTGTTATCATTGGTGGTGAGTGTTATCATTGGTGGTGAGTGTTATCATTGGTGGTGAGTGTTATCATTGGTGGTGAGTGTTATCATTGGTGGTGTTATCATTGGTGGTGAGTGTTATCATTGGTGGTGAGTGTTATCATTGGTGGTGAGTGTTATCATTGGTGGTGAGTGTCATCATTGGTGGTGAGTGCTATCATTGGTGGTGAGTGTTATCATTGGTGGTGAGTGGTATCATTGGTGGTGAGAGTTATCATTGGTGGTGAGTGTTATCATTGGTGGTGAGTGTCATCATTGGTGGTGTTTTATCATTGGTGGTGAGTGTTATCATTGGTGGTGAGTGTTATCATTGGTGGTGAGTGTTATCAGTGGTGGTGAGTGTTATCATTGGTGGTGAGTGCTGTCATTGGTGGCGAGTGTTATCATTGGTGGTGAGTGTTATCATTGGTGGTGAGTGTTATCATTGGTGGTGAGTGTTATCATTGGTGGTGAGTCTTATCATTGGTGGTGAGTGTTATCATTGGTGGTGAGTGTTATCATTGGTGGTGAGTGTTATCATTGGTGGTGAGTGTTATCATTGGTGGTGAGTCTTATCATTGGTGGTGAGTGTTATCATTGGTGGTGAGTGTTATCATTGGTGGTGAGTGTTATCATTGGTGGTGAGTGTTATCATTGGTGGTGAGTCATTGGTGGTGAGTGTTATCATTGGTGGTGAGTGTTATCATTGGTGGTGAGTGTTATCATTGGTGGTGAGTGTTATCATTGGTGGTGAGTGTTATCATTGGTGGTGAGTGTTATCATTGGTGGTGAGAGTTATCATTGGTGGTGAGTGCTATCATTGGCGGTGAGTGTTATCATTGGTGGTGAGTGTTATCATTGGTGGTGCGTGTTATCATTGGTGGTGAGTGTTATCATTGGCGGTGAGTGTTATCATTGGTGGTGAGTGTTATCATTTGCGGTGACTGTCATCATTGGTGGTGAGTGTTATCATTGGTGGTGAGTGTTAACTGTTATCATTGATGCTGTCTGGTGATTCCCAATCTTCATTGTTCATCCCTATTTCTTGCTGGTCATCTTTACTAATTCTATTCCGCTATATCCGTAGATTCTGCGTACTTTTGCACAGTTTCAAGATCCCTTGAGGCACCCTTCAGCCCCAAAAAAACAGCCAGCGTATGCCGTGCCTGGACAACACCTCAGAAACCTCCGTGGGAGTGGTGCTGCGGCTGCTGAGATGCGTAGCCTGGCACTGGAATGGACTGGAAGACCTTTCCAGTGATCCGAACAATCCATGGGCGGTCAACTGCGGTCAACACTCGTTTCCACCATCCCGAACTGTTTCAAAGTCAGGTGGGTCGGATCGCGACCATTATGGACTCAAATAACGGCCCAATGTTCCCTAAAGCCTACAACCCCCAATCCCTGTTTCTTATCAGAGTGGAGCATCGTTGTGATTGTACTCCAGGATGAATAAAGTTGAAATAGTTGAATGAAGTCATATATACAATGTAGTGTATGCACATGCATACATATATATATATAGAGAGAGAGAGAGATGATAAAGCCATATAAAGCCCTAGTTTGCCATTGAAGTTGGTCCCCACAAATCCCACAATACTCATCCAATCATCACCTGTGTGGTCGTACTCAGGGCATCTCGTGGACGAGCCCTGACAGGCTAAGTGAGTTTGGGCTGCCAGAACCCCCTGGTGTATGCGAAAATGCTCATATACATTTATGATTTATGATCATTTATGATCATTTATGATCATGTATGTAAAATTCTGTGTATGTATCTAAATGATTTTTTACATAGAATCATACATCTAATGTTCTAAATAGTGTTCATACTTCTCATGGAAACCGACAAATCAAATGGGGCCCAAAAACTCATGGGATTCCAACAAAGCAACAAGCATTTGCTGCAAACATGAGTTCGTCAGATCGTTGGAGATTCAGGAGCAATGCGGAGCGCATTGGACTCGACTTTCCAAGGCCCAGACCCTCTTGGATGTCGCGGCAACACCTTTCATCGTGCTGGGTGATGCTGGGTGTCCATTGGGCTTGACTCCATTTCAGTGGGTCGTAGTGCGCTTCTGCCCCGTCTGTTGGTGAAACCCGTGCATCATGTCCGCAAGGCATCCACCAAGCTGCTTCATGGGTCAGAACGCCAATCGTAGGCTGTCATACAAATGTCTCACTCCATCTATTCGCTCAAAATCTAACCAGGCCATTCCGCTATTTATATAAAGACCAAAAATAAAGGCAGTCACAATTCACAATAGCATCAAAGTATATCAAAGTAATGTTCAAAGTATATAATCTACCGAACCCTCAGGGGACAAAGGAAACCTTCCTGGCTTCCATCGACAGAATTGCGGCCTCAGCAGCCCTTGCAGGTTCCTCCACCTGAGATGGTACAGGGCAGGTAGCTAACGAACTTTAAGATGCTTTAAGGCACCAGTGATATATATATATATATAAATGGGACAAATCCACCTTATGTTATGTTCTATCTATGTAACGCTACCGGCCCTACCGGATAGTCACGCAGTCCATTCACGTCCAATCAACTAATGTCAACCTAAACATGGTCTACTGCCTGATCATGTGGCCCATTGCTGAGCTGCTGGCATCTGGACGATGGGCCCCTGGGACTGAAAATGAGCCACTGATGGCACCCCCCAAGCTGCAAATTGCTACAGCTACAGTGTGTTTGTGCTCAACTCCCGTCCTTCTCGGTGCGGGTTGTCAGACATATCTTCGAAAAGTGCCGTGAGCAACTGGCCGGGCCAGTAGGGGTTGTGAGCAGTGCGGGTGGTCTGAAAATAGGGGACAGCCATGTACCACCCCAACGTCCCCGGCATTTGATGGCCCGAGCTTGTTGAAAAAGGTCATGCAATGACATGCATACAAATGTGGAGATGATGACCTAATTGAGCAAGAGTTCGGACAATGGGCTGCTTGGGCCAGAAAGTACTTAAGTATAGTTAGTCCTGCGCACCCTTGATGACATTGCGGATAGGGGCACGCCCTAAGTTGTAGAGAAAATGCATTTTGCACGTCGTTAAGATAGGCACTACCACCATGGATAGACCCATCCGGATAGACCCATTTCAAAATCAATGCCTCGGCAAGGAATCGAATAGGTGATCGATTCTGCGGAATTGCTTGCTGTTCCACTTCGTTCTGATCAGTATCGTGCCTGTTGGTAGAAAGCATTCTGCGGCTCGTATTCCAATGCCTTGGAAAGAAACCTCTCTTCCCTTTCAAACTTGCGCGCCAAGCACAACCGCCACTGATCTCATAATACACTTAAGGCCAACAGCAACAGCAACAACAATAATAATAACAACAGCAGCAGCAGCGCAACAGCAACACCACAAGCAACACTAGCAGCAACACTTACAACAACACTAACAGCATGCAGCAACAGCAACACCTCTAAGGAAAATTTCCCGTTTCACTGGTTAAAGCTCCCATTTTTCAAATGTCCACTTGTTTAAATTCAAAGACTTCGCCCCGAAAATTTCTACCGAGGCTGCCACAGACATCAGTGCTTCCAGTGCTTCCTGCTCTCGGCCCATGCCTATGCCGCAATGATTGCGTGCAGCTCAGCTGAAAGCCCAAAAAAGTGGGCACCACGACATAACATCAATCTATGGCAACCCCAAAAAGATACAAGAGTTCAAGCTTGAAAGTTATGTGTGCCAAATTATGACTTATCGGAAAAGTTCTGATAACGCATTCCTAGGGACAAGTCTACAAATCAAAAATCGTCGTGCCGATGAACTCTATTGTTGATGTCACAGCGAAGACAATGCCATGCTGAACGCCTTTTTGCCTGCAAGTCAATTGGAATCCTTGTGCCTTCACGGCGGCGTTTGGGTGTGAAATCACCTATATGACAAATGGGATGCATGCCGCATGACTTCGTGCAATGCAGTCACAATTGCATTCACACTGGTTAGGGTTCAATCTCCCAGTGTGTGTGCACTTGGCGCAATAAAAGGTAAAATTAAGGACCCATCACTCACTGATGCCCACCATGCAGCTGGCTTCATCTTCTTCGTCAACACATCGGCCAGCTGCTTGTCCGTAGGGACCCAGTGAAGCGGCGGCTTGCATGGTTTGTCCGGCCGCACTGACCCGTTTCCATAAAGCCTTTTCCACTGATGCTTGGCCTCCACCATGAGAGATTGCCGAATGGCAGCTAAGTCCAGCGCCAAGCGTCTTTCAGTAGGGGGTTTTGGCGTCCCAGCTTTATGAAGATGATCATAAAGAGATTTACAGTCAGTGCAAAGGTGAATGTCCATGTACTTACCAGCATCCCTCTCAAACACCAAGTGGCCATGCAAGAAGGAGAGCAAAAGGCTCCTCAGATAGAGGCTGGTTTCCAGTGCTTCACCACAAGCCATCGTCTCACCAGCGAAAGTTGACCTGCAAACTCGGGAACTGGCTTTGCTCCGCCAATCAATGAAGGAGGCACTTCCACGTTGATTCTTGACCACGCGTTCATCAGCTATCATCACCAAAGAGGCCAGCTGAGAAGCCTTTTTAAAAGCTCCATCCCACTCCTGATCTTGTTCACCTTCAAGTTCAGCGTTGGCCCATGCGGCGTCATGATAGGCCAAGAGGATCATGTTTTCCTCCGGGATACGTTGCAGCTTGATGCCCTCATGCTTGTGCTCTCGCGCAGCATTGATGATATGGTTTGTTTCCTTGACATCTGCCACTGTGGGATTGCTTTGCACTCGTTGAGCTTGAGCCACCTGAAACTGAATGTCTGCACGTGTTTGTTTGGCCAGCCATGACAAACAGCCTATGGCAGTTCGATTTCGTTCTACCAAGTCAGGTGGCGCTGCATCATCATTTTGAAGATGACTGGGGACATCTATTTTCTCCAGCCGACTTTCCACATACCCTGTTTGGGTGATCGTGATCTCCTCGGCCGACACATTGTATTCGCAGCCGATGTATTCAAACTTGTCACTCTCCCATTCATCCACTGGAAATCTTTGCGAAATCTGCTTTTTGACTTCGTCATGCAGCCCAGGTTGAGCCAAGACAAGTAAATCATCGACATGCGTAAAAATCATGCCGCACACCTTTCTCTCTTCATCCATGATGCGAAAAGCGCAGGGGTCTATTTCATTCTGTTCAATGTTGTAAGCCACCCCCATGTAGTGCACCTGCAACCCCAACAAATCGCCTGAAAGCTTCAACCACCACAGCTTTGGCGAAGTTGAAAGGCCGAACACACCCTTCACAATCTCCACCAGTTGCCCGCTTTGGAGTCCGGGAATGCCTCGGACGGGTTGCCTAAAATAGAGTTTCCTGGGTGCTTCTACCCCGTTCAGGAACGCCGCTCTGATGTCCCCAATTGCGATGCACCACCCACGGGACAGCGCGATGAGCAGTCCCAGCAGCACCGAGTGCCGATTTGCTGTTGGAGCATCCACCGACATCTCAATGTTCCCCAAATCGGGGTCTTTCTGTCCGCCCACACACAGGCGTGCTTTGGCCTTGCAAGGCACTGTTGGGTCTTGCCGCCGCTTTGCCCTGTTTTTGTCTCTATAAAGGAAACGGCAGTTCAAGACGCGGTCTCGACCCACCTCCTTCTCAACTTCCAAGCTTTCTTCCACTGACAGAGGGCGGACTGCGCCGAAGTCTAGATGTTCTTGCCATTGTTTGTGTTCGGCTTCAATGTAGAGTCCTTTCTCTGCCTGATCAATGAGATTCCAAGGGATCTCTTTCTCCAACGCCTTCTCCAAAGCCTCAGGGCTTTTGACCTTCTTGACAAAGAACTGTTCTTGTGGGGCCGTCTCAGCCATTGCTGCAAACTGGGATTGCACCACTGGTCCCACCCTCCTTTTCACAGAGGCCGGTACATCGTCCAGAAATTGAGCTTTTCTGGTTGCAACCCTGTGGCGCTCTTCTGCTTGCAACGCTCTGGCAAGGCGCTGCTCATCCAATTTTGGAAATCTCGCACTGGAAGAAGCTGTCGAAGCGGGTTGGCCGCCTCCTTCATCTTCGTCCGGCTCGGCCGCAAACATGGTCTGATCTTCCACCTCCATCTCTGCGATGGCATCTTCGTCCACCGCCTCCTCAAACTCATTGTCCATGACATTCTTGATCTCGTTCAACGCTGCCTTGATGCGCAGCGCTTCACTCACCTCCTCGTGCTCGGCCGGTCGGAGATGTTCGCCTGCAGCCAACAGGCACCTTCCACCCCGAGCAACCCAAAAATTGGATCCCTCGGGACCGATAATTGTTGCAGGCCCCAGCCACTTGGACGAAGCCTTCTTTCCTTTTGTCTTGACCTCTCAGTAGACATAGACCATGTCGCCAGGCTTAAATGTCCTTGGCTGTACTCGGGATCGGTGATGTAGGGCCTTTTTCAGAGCATCCACCGAATGGTGATGGAAGAACGCCATCTTGGCGCCCACTCGTAGTGCTTGCTTTCTGGCCATCTTCTCATCAGAGGTCACTTGGCTCAGGGAGCTGAGCTGAGTGTCAGAGCTATCTTCAGGATCGGGCACTAGGCGTCCATTGTTGCCAAATACCCACTGCCGTGGTGAAAACCCAGATTTGTTGCGCAAGGTGTTTCTTGCCTCATTGACGGCCGACGTGGCCTCCCACAGCTCAGCATCCATCACCTTGTGCTCCATGCAAAGCTTATCCCACACGGACTTCCAGGCCCCACCATAGCGCTCTGCTATCCCATTTTGCCAATGAGCTTGGCCCGCCGCACACCTCATAGCGATGCCGTCTCCCGATGTGAGCTCCCAAAAGCTATCTTGAAAGCCAGTGTCGAGGTCCAACACCAGCTTGGCTGGAACCCCAGCCCATGACGTCCAAAACTTGTAGAACGTCTCAGCCACCACGTTTGCATGCCTACTTTCTAGAGGCACAACCACCTGGTAAGAAGACGCCACATCCACCATGTTGAGGGCAAGGTGATTCTTTGACTCCATAGTGTCTATGAAGATGATATCAATCGCCACCGCATCGTTGAAGTCCAGCAAGGCCGTGGGCTTTGCAACCCGATGAGCCTGGGGACGTACACATCGAGCACATGTGCTGCACTTCCAGTTTTGTGCAGCCGCCACCATTTCCTTGCTAGCTCCACCCAAAGTCAAATGACGGGCCAGCTCCCGGTTGGAAGGGTGCCCAAGATTTTGATGCAACCGCCTCAAGGCTCCTGCCACCTTGCCAGAGACGGTTCCCTTGAAAGAAATCTCAGAGGCACCGCGTCCTGGTTCTTCTTCCACCTCAGCTGTAGCATCACCCTGGCTAGAGCTCACCCAAGCCGATTGATGTGGCAACGTCTCTACCACTTTCACCACCATCTCTGCAAACTCCTTTGGGTACACACCAGACCTTTGTGTATCTTTCCCTTGTACTCTTGCATGTTCATGGCTATTCCCACACCTTTGCTCGAGGATCTCCTTGAACCTTGCATGAGTGCTCAAGAGGGTCATGGATTTGCGGAGGTACTTGTCGGGCTCCACCGCTGACTGCAGCCCATAGGAACACATGTCGAAGGAGAACTTGTGGGTGAATTCATCACTACTCCAACGCTTGATCTCCGGTTGTTGCCACAAATCTGATGTCGTGGGATTTTCCAATACCACGTGCTTGCCGTTGAGCCGCTGGAGAAGGAAGACTTCATCAACCATGGCAAGGAAATCCTTCTCCTTTCGCCTCAGCCTCCGACGCTCTTGCTTGGTGTAGTTGATGCGGGAAAATGCGCGCCATTTGGTGCAGGGCATGCCGATCCATACCAGGTCGGGCTTTTCATCTTGTATCTCACGATACACCTCTTCTCGCACACTGGGGTCATGAAGATCGTCCCCATATTTGATGTCTCTGGGACGTAGGACTCCATGTTGGTGGTGCGCAAAGGCTTTGGAAATTTCCGCCTCGCCTGCAAAGAGCTCCAAACACCTTGCAGATGAGTGTGTTGTCTGGTGCGAGTTGGACACAAAACATGTCCAAAGATCTTGAGCCGGCTCCACGAGGACCTCTTCTGCCAAACTGCCGACAGCCGCGGCACACGCCAAAAGCACCTGGCAAAGTTGACCCCCCATGTGTTGAAGTTTGCGCCGCGTGCTGGAGTTCATCTTGCGACGACGTTGACCGTCCCGAGCCTTTTGGAGAGGTGACCTCATATCTCCTGATCCCTCATCCGCAGAGCTCCAAAAGTCTATCCACTTTCTCAAACCACCAGGATTGACGACCTCGTCCTCAAGGGTGATGTCGCTCTCAAGCTTGCCAAGCCCGACCGTCTTGTTATACTCAGTCACATCCCCCTTCTCAGACTTGCCAAGCCCGATCGTGTCCTTATACACAAGCACTTCGGTCACCGCCGCCGTGCCAAGCCCGATTGTCTCCTCATACTCAGTCTCTTGACGCCGATGGGCGCCTTTGCCCGCTGCCTTCACTTTGAAGTCTCCTTTGATTGCTGGTATTTCTGGCGGATCAATGCCATCTCGGTCTCCAATCGCAGCAGCTCGCTCTGTGCCTCCTCGGGAAGCTCCAAGTCCATCACCGCCATCTGTGCAGGGTCCATCGCTGCTGCATCTCTCTTGGGAAATGGTGCACTCCTTCCCCGTTGGCTCGTGTATGCCGAGCCCACCACAGACCAGCTGGCCGAGCTGGCTGCCGCACTCATCGGTGGCGGCGTGATGGTCGCCTTCACTTCGGGATCCTCCTCCACTGGCAGAGAGCCCCTCACACGGGCTAATGTTGCCCTCTTCTCCAACTCGGCCTTGGCCCAATTTGCCAGGCGCACCAGTTCCTCCCCTGAGTTGGGGTTTGCCTTGGTCTCCTTGATGGCCCACGTGAGGTAGGTTTCCGGGACCTCTTTGTACATCCATGACTTGTACTTCCCGAACGTGACCACCTGCTCTCCATCCGGCTGCACCTTCTCGCGAAGCAGCTTGATCATCAAGCCTCGCGTGGGGCTCTCGGGCAAGTTCACCCCCTCCTCGGCGCAGCGGCTCTTCAGCTGTGACACACTCAGCTTGCTGATCCCTTTCATGGCGGTGGGCGTCTCGTCCACCGACGCCCGAGTCTGCTCGATCAAGGTCTGGCGGAGCTCGGGCAACGTCCACTTCGGATGCACCGGGATCTGCAAGGCATCGAGAGCCACCAGCAGCTCGGCACGATTCATACGCCATGGAGACAGCGGCTGGTTGGGCATCACCAAGGGCAGGGTGATGTCCCACTGGCTGGTCACAGCCGCTTGGGTTCCTCTTGGGAAAACGGCTGCGTCCAATCCACAGGTCACCAACTTGTTCAAAAGGTGATGCTTCGCACATTTGTTGCCATGCTTCATCAAAAACATGTAGTTGAAATCCTTCACCGTGGCATGCAATGGCTTCGGTAATGCGCTGGTTCCCCAGCCTGCCCAAAAGTTGTTCTTTCAAGTCGCTCAAACTTGTATTCCACAAAGAAGCTTTTGTTGTTGTAAAAGGTCTTTGAGTTTTTTTAAAAAAACCTCAGATGTGGCTTTGAATCAAACCAAAAAGTTTTTACTTGCTCACCATTTTTTCACAATTTGTTCTTTCTAAACTTAAACTCTTAGGGTTTGTGTTTTGTTTTACTTGCTCACCGTTTGTTTCACAATTTGTTCTTTATAAACTTAAACTCTTAGGGTTTGTGTTTTGTTTCACTTGCTCACCATTTTTTCACAGTTTGTTCTTTCCAAACTTAAACTCTTAGGGTTTGTGCTTTGTTTTTGTGCCTCCATACAACATTGCCCCAAAATGCACCTTTACCAAAATGCGCACGGTCAGGGCTGGCAAGTAACAACCCATGTGTTTTAATACAAAAACACTGGCTTAATACTTTAATATGTCCACCATGCTACCAAAAACTTAAACTCTTAGGGTTTGTGTTTTGTTTTTGTGCCTCCGTTTAACATTGGCCCAAAATGCACCTTTACCAAAATGCGCACGGTCAGGGCTGGCAAGTTACAACCCATGTGTTTTAATAGAAAAACACTGGCTTAATACTTTAATATTTCCACCATGCTACCAAAATCAAAAGACCTGCAAGGTTCAAGGGTTCAAAGGGAAAGAGTTGACACTGTGATAAAGAAACCGTGTTTAATGATGTCACAAGTTGATGCCTGATAACTACAAAATGCTCATGGTGTGAAAAATGCCACCTTAACAGTGACATGAGACTACGACTCCGACGACGACTACCACTACGACTATGCCTCAGCCTCAGTCAAAAATGATGCCTTAATGGTGTCACAATGATGCCTCAGTGGTGTCAAATAAGTGATGCCTTAATGGTGTCATAATGATGCCTTTATGGTGTCAAATAGGTGATGCCTCAATGGTGTCACAAAAGTGATGCCTTAATGGTGTCACAAGATTGATGCCTTAATGGTGTCAAAAAAGTGATGCCTTCTTGGTGTCACAAAATTGATGCTTTACTGGTGTCAAAAAAGTGATGCCTTCATGGTGTCACAAAATTGATGCTTTACTGGTGTCAAAAAAGTGACGCCTTTATGGTGCCACAAACATTGATGCCATGATGGTGTCATGCATTCATGATGCTGTGACAGTGCCATGCAACAGTGAAGATTAAGATGCCCACCAAGTCCATACCTCAGCATCGCGCGCTGTCAGGATGGAGTTTCTACCCTGGGCTTTACATGGGTATGGCCAAACAAAATGTTAGTTTTTGGGCCATTTTTCTGGGCTTGAAGGCTCCCAGGTTCAAAGCTAACAAACACCAGAAAGAACCATTCAAAGTCTTCAAGAATATTTTGTCTCATAGTTTTGGTCCCCATCTAAAACTATCCATACAATACTGATTGGTTAGTGACAGTGAAGTGCCAAACCCCACAAAACATGTTTGCCCCTGGATGAAACAGACCCCCATGGCCGTTTTGTTTTTGGCACCATCACGGCGCCAGTAAAAGACACCATCACGGCATCTTATCATTTTCATGGCACCATCACGGCGCCAATAAAAGACACCATCACGGTATCTTATCAATTTCATGGCTCCATCACGGCGCCAATAAAAGACACCATCACGGCATCTTATCATTTTCATGGCATCACGGCACCACAAGAAACCAGGTTTATAGCCCCCATTCATAATAGATATGACTGTTATCTAGGATAAACATTAGTGAACAAATATATCTATATATAGTTTTAATAGATTAGGAATTACATACATGCCAGTATAAGACACCATCACGGCATCTTGTCACGGCGCTAGCAAAAGACACCATCACGGCATCTTGACCGAGGCCCGGATTCCTGCCTGAACTTCGTGAAGCGCATGCAGTTGTGTTCCCTGGCCTTGACCGGATGCAGCATGGTGCCAGGGAATCCATGGGCCAGATCGTGTGTTTCGGTGTATTTAGCATGAAACATGCAAGAACATGTATGGCTCCATTCCACCCAACCGCTTGCTGGCTTGTTTGCCACCGAGCTTTCAATCCGATGGAGGCATGCTGGGGATGAAAGATGTTGACAAAAACCAAGTGGGTATGGCTCAAAATGTTGAATCTGACACATCCATTCCTCATGACATTCAATCATTTTGATGATGATTGCGAACTATGACCTTTCAAACTGCTAAACATCAATCTCCCCAGGCTAGACTTGTCAAGCAGGTTTGAACCGGAACATGTTGGAACTCAATCAATGTAAAACTGGTTTTATTTCGCTATCATGTCGTGTCAACAGATGGAATTAAGCACATAGGATGTTTTGCTCATATTTTTCCTTAAATTTCAAACCTGCTTGACATAAAAACTAGTACACGCTGCTCGGCCACCATCAGATGTTGCAAAATGTTACAAACAAAAACATAGAATTATCCAGAAATAACCCGGAATATATTGGAGGATAACATGAACAAGCAATGGGTTAATTTCAGTTCAAACTGTTTGCAACACCTGATGGCGGCTACAGCTCCTGTGCGCTGGTTACAGCTTCTGTGCGTTACCTGCCATGATCTGCCATGATGTCCTATGATGTGGTGTTTTTTGAATTGTTGATGTCTGCCTGTCTGTCTGTGTGTGTGTGTGTGTGTGTGTGTGTGTGCCTGCCTTTGTGCAGCGCAATTGCAACTTGAAAAAGATGATGGAGATAAACCCATTGGAAGTGGAGCGGCGCATGGCAGAGGCAATTCGGCACTTTGACGTTGAAGTTGCTCGACAGAGGGCGGCAAAAGGGCGGAAATTCCTTTTGGAACATCCTTCCAGCGCTTCATCATGGAACTTACCAAGTGTTCTGCAGCTTTGTCAAGAGATTCCAGGGTGCCGCTTTTGTTGCGTTGCCCAATGCCGCTATGGGCTGAAATCTCCTGGAACTAATGGGAATGAGAAAACTCACCAAGTTCCTGACGAACAGTGATGCCATCTACCAGGAGTTCTATGGCAAGAAATGCCTGTGCAGAAGCCAAGGCCTTGTACACCAAAAAATCGAGGGTTCCATCAATGGTGTGAGTTTGAGCAAATTTGCTCAAATCTATCCAGCTCCGCTGGTACAAGCGGTAGTGTCATGCTACCAGCGAGAGTTCTTGAACCCCTAAGATCAGGGTCAAAAGGCATCTCGTTGCCAGGGTTGAGCACTCAATTGGTGCAGCCCTTTGTTCATGGAAAAAAGTCAAAGCGCTTGATTCATGTGGTGCTCCATGTTCAACGGATGTTGGAAAAAAACAATGGAGTTTGAAGAACAAGTTTTTCGACGGATTCCTGAACAAGAGGGAACCAAAAAAAACCGCCGGATTTTCTAGACGAAGGGCATGATGGATTTTCCGACGGATTTTGCAGAACAAGATTTCCGACGGATTTTTGAACGTAAAGGAAAAACAACCCGTCGGATTTTCTAGACGAAGGGCATGCTAGATTTTCAATGGACGGCCCACCATTGATTATCAACAAATCCTTGATGCTCAGGCTCTTGCGTGGGAGATCTGTTGAATAAAATTTTATTCTTTAGATCTTGGCCCAGGGCCCTGATAATCCTCAGATGTCTGCGTCTAATCTCCGCCAGGGCCAAATCCCATGGATCTCAGGTCCCGCACAAAGACCCGTTGAATAAAATTTTATTCTGCAGATCTCCCACGCAAGAGCCTGAGCATCAAGGATTTGTTGATAATCAATGGTGGGCTGTCCATTGAAAATCCAGCATGCCCTTCGTCTAGAAAATCCGACGGGTTGTTTTTCCTTTACGTTCAAAAATCCGTCGGAAATCTTGTTTTGCAAAATCCGTCGGAAAATCCATCATGCCCTTCGTCTAGAAAATCCGGCGGTTTTTTTTGGTTCCCTCTTGTTCAGGAATCCGTCGAAAAACTTGTTCTTCAAACTCCATTGTTTTTTTCCAACATCCGTTGAACATGGAGCACCACATGAATCAAGCGCTTTGACTTTTTTTTCATGAACAAAGGGCTGCACCAATTGAGTGCTCAATCCTGGCAACGAGATGCCTTTTCACCCTGGTCTTAGGGGTTCAAGAACTCTCGCTGGCAGCATGACACTACCGCTTGTACCAGCGGAGCTGGATAGATTTGAGCAAATTTGCTCAAACTTACACCATTGATGGAACCCTCGATTTTTTGGTGTACAAGGCCTTGGCTTTTGCACAGGCATTTCTTGCCATAGAACTCCTGGTAGATGGCATCACTGTTCGTCAGGAACTTGGTGAGTTTTCTCATTCCCATTAGTTCCAGGAGATTTCAGCCCATAGCGGCATTGGGCAACGCAACAAAAGCGGCACCCTGGAATCTCTTGACAAAGCTGCAGAACACTTGGTAAGTTCCATGATGAAGCGCTGGAAGGATGTTCCAAAAGGAATTTCCGCCCTTTTGCCGCCCTCTGTCGAGCAACTTCAACGTCAAAGTGCCGAATTGCCTCTGCCATGCGCCGCTCCACTTCCAATGGGTTTATCTCCATCATCTTTTTCAAGTTGCAATTGCGCTGCACAAAGGCAGGCACACACACACACCCACACACACACAGACAGACAGGCAGACATCAACAATTCAAAAAACACCACATCATAGGACATCATGGCAGATCATGGCAGGCAACGCACAGAAGCTGTAACCAGCGCACAGGAGCTGTAGCCGCCATCAGGTGTTGCAAACAGTTTGAACTGAAATTAACCCATTGCTTGTTCATGTTATCCTCCAATATATTCCGGGTTATTTCTGGATAATTCTATTTTTTCTGTTTGCAACATTTTGCAACATCTGATGGTGGCCGAGCAGCGTGTACTAGTTTTTATGTCAAGCAAGTTTGAATTTTAAGGAAAATATGAGCAAAACATCCTATGTGCTTAATTCCATCTGTTGACACGACATGATAGCGAAATAAAACCAGTTTTGCATTGATTGAGTTCAAACATGTTCCGGTTCAAACCTGCTAGATTGATGTTTAGCAGTTTGAAAGGTCATAGTTCGCAATCATCATCAAAATGATTGAATGTCATGAGGAATGGATGTGTCAGATTCAACATTTTGAGCCATACCCACGTGGTTTTTGTCAACATCTTTCATCCCCAGCATGCCTCCATCGGATTGAAAGCTCGGTGGCAAAAAAAGCCAGCAAGCGGTTGGGTGGAATGGAGTCATACATGTTCTTGCATGTTTCATGCTAAATACACAGAAACACATGATCTGGCCCCTGGCACCATGCTGCATCCGGCCAAGGCCAGGGAACGCAACTGCATGCGCTTCATGAAGTTCAGGCAGGAATCCGGGCCTCGGTCAAGATGCCGTGATGGTGTCTTTTGCTAGCGCCGTGACAAGATGCCGTGATGGTGTCTTATACTGGCATGTATGTAATTCCTAATCTATTAAAACTATATATAGATATATTTGTTTACTAATGTTTATCCTAGATAACAATCATATCTATTATGAATGGGGGTTATAAACCTGGTTTCTTGTGGTGCCGTGATGGTGCCACGAAAATGATAAGATGCCGTGATGGTGTCTTTTATTGGCGCCGTGATGGTGCCATGAAAATGATAAGATGCCGTGATGGTGTCTTGTATTGGCGCCGTGATGGAGCCATGAAATTGATAAGATGCCGTGATGGTGTCTTTTACTGGCGCCGTGATGGTGTGCCAAAAACAAAACGGCCATGGGGGTCTGTTTCATCCAGGGGCAAACATGTTTTGTGGGGTTTGGCACTTCACTGTCACTAACCAATCAGTATTGTATGGCTAGTTTTAGATGGGGACCAAAACTATGAGACAAAATATTCTTGAAGACTTTGAATGGTTCTTTCTGGTGTTTGTTAGCTTTGAACCTGGGAGCCTTCAAACCCAAAAAAATGGCCCAAAAACTAACATTTTGTTTGGCCATACCCATGTAAAGCCCAGGGGGTAGAAACTCCATCCTGACAGCGCGCGATGCTGAGGTATGGACTTGGTGGGTATCTTAATCTTCACTGTTGCATGGCACTGTCACAGCATCATGAATGCATGACACCATCATGGCATCAATGTTTGTGGCACCATAAAGGCGTCACTTTTTTGACACCAGTAAAGCATCAATTTTGTGACACCATGAAGGCATCACTTTTTTGACACCAGTAAGGCATCAAGTTTGTGACACCATGAAGGCATCACTTTTTTGACACCAATAAGGCATCAATCTTGTGACACCATTAAGGCATCACTTTTGTGACACCATTGAGGCATCACCTATTTGACACCATAAAGGCATCATTATGACACCATTAAGGCATCACTTATTTGACACCACTGAGGCATCATTGTGACACCATTAAGGCATCATTTTTGACTGAGGCTGAGGCATAGTCGTAGTGGTAGTCGTCGTTGTAGTCGTAGTCTCATGTCACTGTTAAGGTGGCATTTTTCACACCATGAGCATTTTGTAGTTATCAGGCAGCCAGGCATCAACTTGTGACATCATTAAACACGGTTTCTTTATCACAGTGTCAACTCTTTCCCTTTGAACCCTTGAACCTTGCAGGTCTTTTGATTTTGGTAGCATGGTGGAAATATTAAAGTATTAAGCCAGTGTTTTTCTATTAAAACACATGGGTTGTAACTTGCCAGCCCTGACCGTGCGCATTTTGGTAAAGGTGCATTTTGGGCCAATGTTAAATGGAGGCACAAAAACAGAACACAAACCCTAAGAGTTTAAGTTTTTGGTAGCATGGTGGACATATTAAAGTATTAAGCCAGCGTTTTTGTATTAAAACACATGGGTTGTTACTTGCCAGCCCTGACCGTGCGCATTTTGGTAAAGGTGCATTTTGGGGCAATGTTGTATGGAGGCACAAAAACAAAACACAAACCCTAAGAGTTTAAGTTTGGAAAGAACAAACTGTGAAAAATGGTGAGCAAGTGAAACAAAACACAAACCCTAAGAGTTTAAGTTTATAAAGAACAAATTGTGAAACAAACGGTGAGCAAGTAAAACAAAACACAAACCCTAAGAGTTTAAGTTTAGAAAGAACAAATTGTGAAAAACATGGTGAGCAAGTAAAAACTTTTTGGTTTGATTCAAAGCCACATCTGAGGTTTTATTTTTTTTATAAAAACTCAAAGACCTTTTACAACAACAAAAGCTTAAAGAAGGATCAAACGTTCTTTTGCGTGGCACCACATGCACCCTAATCAACTCCGCAGCAGTCTCTATCCAAAAATCCCTACTTTGATTTGCTCGCTTCCACCACAAGAAAAAGGAAGATGGAGAGAGTTCCGGGTGCATCAACATGTTTGAAACCTCCGAAGCAATCTTCTTTGGGAAGAAAAGTGGTGTTTTGCAGATCTCAAACCCCGCCCCAATGGATGAAGAAGCAGCTATGTATTGCTCAATGCTCGGTGCCTCCAAAACGCGGACCTCTGGATCAATTGTCCAGCTATGTCCCGCGGGGCAAAAGTCTTCTGGATAGTCAGAAACGACAAAGGCTGGGTGCCCCGTCGCAGACATCTGCAACTTGATGTTTTGCAAGCGCAGGCGCAAAAGATCTGCTCTTTGTTCTTCCACTCGATAGACCATTCCTAGCTTCGCCAGGACCCCACGGCTGAAAAGCAATGGGACTTTGCATTGCACCACAGCCACCTTGACAGCAATCAGATGGCCACCCAATCCAAGCCGAGCCCACACCGCAAAAGGCGATGAGTGAACCCTTGAAGCTCCAAATTTGAAGCTGTCCTTCTCGTCCACCAGCTCGACTTCCACGCCATGCGCATCTGCCCAGGCGCAGTACTCCTCGTACCATTGGTGGCCTGCAACCGTCTTGGTGCAAGCCGTATCAGCAATGGCAAGCATCGATGCCAACCTCCGAGCCATCGCCCTCTGCCTCCTGAGTCATCCAAACCTCTCTGAAGCCAGCAGCACTCTCGTTCACCAAGTTGCCATAGAGCTCCTCAGGGACGATGTCAATGTTCTGGTTGTAGTGCTCCTCCAGGGTGACGCCGCTGCTGCCCACGTAGTGCTCCTCCAAGATGATGCCAGTGTCAGAGACGTAGTTCTCCTCCAAGACTGCGACGTCGTTGTAGGGCTCCTCCAAGACGGTGCCATTGTCGAAGACATAGTGCTCCTCCAGGGTGATGTTGGTGTCAGAGTCATAGGGCTCTCCCGAGATGATGTCGCCAGCAAAGGGCTCCTCCAGGAAGTCGTTGGTGTCCAGGGCAAAGGGCTCTCCAAAAGCGTCGTCGACGGTCGGCACATAGTCCCCATGCCCCACCATGTAGCACATCTGCACGTGGTGCGTGCTCATCTGGGCATGCTTCGTCTCACTGGCCTTGGTGGCAGATGCACCATGTAGAGGACATTCACTTTGTGCCAGTGACCCCGCCTTTTGCAAGCGGCGCAGTAACTTCTGGCCTTGGCCAGCTTCAGCCTCTCCGCATTCCTCTTCTTGAGCTCCTCTTTGTCAAAGCCACGGCCCTTCAAAGCTTCCCTGTATTTCGACTTCGCGTCCTGGAAGGCCATGTATGCGCTATGCATCTCGGATGCAATCCCTTCCTCCACCAGCTCAGCGTCAGACTCCTCCTCCTCGGCATCCTGAGGGTCTTCCTCCAGATCTGACTCTGTCCCCCCGGTCGCCGTCACATGCACTGACTTCCACCTACCAGGAGTACGTTCCCAAGTCTTCTTGGCCACAATTCCACGGTCTTGGATCATGGCCGCCTGTTGTAGAGCTCGTAGATCATATTGGTTGCCCACTGAAGCCAAGAGCGCAACTTCGTCGTGCTCCGAAAGCTTCAGCCTATCCACATAGAGCCATGCCTTCACCAAGTTCGGTAACTCACAATTGAGTTCTCCCAGCCTAAGGAGCAACCGTTCAAACTCCATGTTGTAGTCGCGCACCGTCTGGTCGGCGCGCTTGCGGCACTTGCGGAAGAGCTCATTCATGATAGCTCCAACCTTGTTGATCTCGATCTCCATGAAGCGTACACGCACCCACTCCAAGTAGTATGCCATGCCGTCCCATGAGCCCAAACGATCCACATCCAGCTCTTCAGCAAACAGCCATGCCCTGCCAGACAAGTGCGTGTAGAGCGCCAAAGCTCTTTCCGTCTCTGCCAGCTTCGTGCACCTGTTCCACGCAGCAATCCTGCGCATGTAAGACCGCGCAGAAGTGCCCAGCTCCACTTCGCCACCTTCACCGTCAAAAGACGGCACTGTCATCTTCTCCGTCGGTTTCCCAGCTCTGCCCTGATCTTCACTGCCGTCAGCGCCACGCCAGGAGTCATGGCTATTGCCATGAGTGGAACTACCTTGCCATCTTCCATCTCTGCCCCATGTGGTTTCTTCGATTCTAGCCACAAAACTGTCCCTCCATGTTGGGGGGTTCCATCCATCATTTCTATACCATTCATGCCAACCAGAATCATTGGACCAGCTTGCAGGGGTAGTTCGCCACCCCTGATTCCACCATGACTCACCTTGATCCCCATCGTCATCCTCAACCACTTCTAAAGCTTCCGGGCGGTCACGCCCCTCACTGCCCACAGCCCCTGTCTCAGGGCTGCTCTCACTATCAGCCGCGCCTCCTTCGGGTTCAGGTCTTTGACGTCCAGAACCACTCCCACGGCCTCGGCCAGACGCTCGCCAAACCTGGCCAGCCACCATGGATGCTCTCTAAGGGGACAAGGAACAAGGTGGATTCAGCGAAGTAGGAAGATGCCCAGGACGTCCCAGTCCAACCAATCGCCAACTGTTCCGCCGGAAATTCCGAGCTCCGCTACCAATGTTGATGTCACAGCGAAGACAATGCCATGCTGAACGCCTTTTTGCCTGCAAGTCAATTGGAATCCTTGTGCCTTCACGGCGGCGTTTGGGTGTGAAATCACCTATATGACAAATGGGATGCATGCCGCATGACTTCGTGCAATGCAGTCACAATTGCATTCACATCTATATATATATATTTATATATATATATAGATATATCATGATATATCTGTGTGTGTAATGTGAATATATAGTTATAGGAGGGCTGATGAATTCGTAATCGAATGTTCATTTTGTCCATGGCTGCGTCATGTTGAGTGAGTTCCATCGAAACTCTGTCAAGCTTTAACAAAATGTGCGGTGCCTTGAAGTGCTACACACCTCAGTTGAGTTGCTGCCTCTGATCTATTTTTCCGATATTGACTGAAGGACAAGTTGGAATGCATCAGGATTGCTTCAAGATGTTCAAATTTCTAGTTCTAGTATTTCTAGTGTGCAAAATCAGAGTGCCACAGTGCCCAACTCACAATTCCTACGACAGCTATATACGGATGGTCACCCTCCACCGGTCTGAGGCCGCTGCTGCCAGTAGTAACCTCGGTGGTCGATGCTCGGTGGTCGATGCATCAAATGGGTGTCCCCAATGTGTTGAAGCACGGAATCAACCAATGGAATGCGGAATGATAGTTAAACATAGTTTAACATAGTTTAACATAGTTTAACCTAGTTTAACATAGTTTAACAAGTCCAATTTCACCAATGGGTGGTATACACCCTCCAAACTTCAATGTCTACTATGGGGTTTACCACATTGCTCATTGAACGGCGTGCTTCCAAGCGGCCGTCTGCACAGGTTGGTTGGATACCACTCACCTCTTCGGCCTTGGAACGTCAGTGGTTCATCACATGTCACAACTATTCATAACTAGTGGATACTAATGGCTGATCCTCAAGACTCACGTCAACCCATCTGCGGACAACGTTGGACATGGATTGCCAAACCATAAATTGTAGTTTCCCATTGGTGACCATTTCTGACCATTTCTGAATTCCGCCACCAGCCACCAGGTTTGACACCTCTCTCCCAAGGCGCAGACATCTACCAGCGCGTCGGCATATTGCTGCATCTGGGCATGGGCCTCAAAATCACATACAACCCGTCACATCCTCCAAATCCATAACCCGTCACCTAGCGCCACACACAATTGGGATGTCAAATTGAGAAACGCCTAATTTCAACACCTCTCTTTGCGCAAATAGTTGAATCTACACATGGGCCATTCCGTAATGGAGCTGCGAATGCCTGCAACCCACGGACTCAAATAAATTTGACCCACGTATTGATGTGCACGGGCAACTGCCGGTCATACTAAGTGTCTGATACTCTCATGTTTCTTCGCTTTATCAACAGTGTTTGTTGTTTTTGTGCCTCCACGTTCCGAAGTTTTGATCATTTCAAGGGGTCAACTGGCACCAACCCTTTGGCGCAGCGACACTGGCTCGCAGGCAGAGGAGATCGCACCTGCGGGAAACAGGTCGACTGCCTGTCTGATACTGATCGTCCCAAAGATGGAACCATTCAAAAGATTTGATGTTAAAAAAGAGCCAAGCGGTAGGTAGCTGGAATGTAGCGCAAAACCCCCAAATATATCAGTCAAACAGGGGGATCTACTTCAATCGAGGTGGAAGTAGCGAAAAGACATGAAAAGTCAAAGCTTCAAAATTCTTCAAAAGTCCGAACTGATCTGTTTGGCACTTTTTTTTGTGGGGGGGTGGGGGGGGAATTTTGAAGGACATTGGCACCTCTCTCCCAACACTCCATGGGGTGCCCGGACAATAAGGTGGAAGATTCGTCTGGAACCAGCACGTCTCCGTGGACGCCCTGGGTAAGGCACAGCCCAACAGCACGTAGAAATAGTCTACCCAAAGGGTCACTATCAGTCTCACTCCAAAGATTTTACCACTACTGTACACCGTCCTAGGTATTTTAACTGTCGTGTCCAACTGGGATCTGGGCTCTCCAGATGGCGGCAGCTGGAGCCTTCAGCCATGGCAAACTAGTAATTCTGAGGTGGAAGATCCACTTGACGTTATTCAATGCTTTCAATGCTTCACCCAAGTGACCCATGCAGCAGAATTAATCGAAATTCCCCATTCAATTGGCCGGTCTTGGTCGGAAACTACTCCTTCTGGGTTCCTTTTTGGTGAGAATGCAATTACAAGCAGCTAAATTTCAGAGCCGGAGTCAATCCAGGGGCCAAAGCCACACAATAAAATGGTACCTGATATACCGGAACTGTAGGCACTGATGAAATTGAATCAAAAGTTCACTGATTAACAAAAAACGTCAGAATGTGTAAAAGAATCATGTCCTGGACATTTCAATACCTTTGCTCTCAGGTGGTCCCAACGTGTCACCATTCAACCGCTTTGAGTGCAGCGCTGGTGCGGAAGATGAGCTGCTCGCCACGCTCAAGGAACCTTGAGATGCTTCCTGATTATATAATTCCTTCGTCCCAAACGCTTGGGATGAAAAAATGCAAACACATGCAAATACAACCAAGATAGTTGGCATCTGTCTATCAACTGTTAAAGAGATTGTTTTTCGATCGGCTGGGTCGGATGTTCTACTTTTCGCATGTGTCCAGGATAAGTTCTGCAGAGCAAGACAAGGAAAAAGGGAACCCTCCCGAGATGAGCAATATGAGAAACCCAATAATAAACCTACCACTTGGGCAGGCTTCTGATCACCCATCATCTATGAATATTGATGAATCTGGGATGGTTTCTTTTGATTAGGATGACCAGGGTTTGCCATCGAGCACCACATCAACACTTTTAGGATCAAATTCAAAAAGTTTCAACTGGCAACTTGGCCCCCGAACGACCAGTGGCAGGTTGCCTTTGGCGGGGGAGCTGGGCTGGGAAGATTTGACACCAGGCCAGATCCCCTGAGGCACCGTACACGGGGCAGGAGCAAAGCCTCAAACATGCTCACAGGGGCCCAAGATCACCAGACTCTCCACTTTTAACTTTGCCCCGCCCTGGGAAAACTCGATACATTTTCCCCAAACAGCGTGGCCACACCTGAGGGGTTCTTACGGTAACAGTTAAGGCCCGGTGTTCAATCGAGATGGTATCCGGGGCGTTTGGCATTTTCCCTCTAAATTTCCGCGCAAAATGCCTCTTGTGGCATGTCCATGTGCATTTCGACTGAGCAGGCTCGCACAAAATATGCTGGCCCCGGGATAAGCGTCCGGCATTTTCCCTGTAAATTTCCGCACAAAATGCCTCTCCTGACATGGCCATGTGCATTTCGACTGAGCAGGCTCGCACAAAATGCTGGCCGCGGGATTAGCGTCCGGCATTTTCCCCGTAAATTTCCGCACAATGCCCTTCTGACGTGTCCATGTGCATTTCGATCGCGCGGGCTCGCACAAAACGCTTGCCGCGGGATAAGCGTCCGGCATTTTCCCTTTCAATTTCCGCACAAAATATGTGTTGTGACATGTCCATGTGCATTTCGGCTGCGCCGGCTCGCACATCATCATCATCATCATCATCATCAGCATCAGCATCATCATCATCATCATCGTCGTCATCACCATCATCATCATCATCACCATCATCATCATCATCGTCATCATCATCATCACCGTCATCATCATCATCATCATCACCATCTTCATCATCATCATCACCATCATCATCATCACCATCAACATCATCATCGTCATCATCATCATCATCATCCTCACTATCGCCACCATCATCCTCAACTACAACATCATCATCATCATCATCATCACCATCACCATCATCATCATCACCATCATCATCACCACCATCATCATCATCACCATCAACATCATCATCATAATCATCATCATCATCATCACCATCAACATCATCATCATCATCATCATCATCAGCATGAGAGAGAGAGAAAGAGAGAGAGAGAGAGAGTCCTGGTGTTTTTCGGTCATTGTCCTGGGGTTCCACGCTTGGACCAGAGCAGGTCTAAAGCTTCAGTGCATAACTCAGATGCCTGCAAGTCATTGAAAGACACCATGAATTGCTGCCGGCAAATTATCAGCCCATGGTGGCTTTCCGAAGATCCAGCCCACCTGTCGCAACCGCTCGCTTTCTGCAGCAGCACGCGCGGAGGCCAGCAACTGCTCCGGGCTTCGCCTGGGCCGCTGGAGAAACCAATCTGAGCAAAGCTAGGGGACAAAATGCTGGGAGGAACCTGCATGCGAAGCATTCTACGATCTGAGGTTGCATCCCATGTTCTTCTGCCCAGCTAGCGAGGCTGGAAGAAAGGCCTCAGCGCTGCTATCAAATTTGCTTGGATCTTCTGCAGCCCACTGCTATCTCAGAGGATCTTCGTGAGATATATTTTGCAAGAACAAGATTGAAAAATCATTCGGTTTATGACGGTTTCCACAGGTTGGGTCAAGCTTTCTTGCCTTAAACCTTTGAAGATTCGAAAGGTCTGGACACCGCAGGGGGCCCAGCCAGGGACAAGGCCAGCACATGCATCCTCTGCCAAAGGCCTCAAGACACACATTGCATCACTTAAGGCGCATCGTGGCGCATCTCTCCTTACAGCATCCTAGTGTGCAATTTCATATTGATCTTGGCGGAAAGCCATTGCAATGGGTATCATTAACTCAAGTATTCCACGAAGGGTCGCCAAAGCCACGTCCCAACTCGGTGGACAAACGTGGTAATATAACTGACATTTACTGGCTAGTTAAACTAATTGACCCACGTCTTCTCCTGACAAGCAACATATAATCGAAGGAAGTTTGGAAGTCAAACTTCCGACAATATGGACAGACGGAAAAAAGCAGAGGTGGTAAGAGCCAGAGAAGAGACGAGAAGCGAAGAGAAGAGAAGAGAAGCGGAGAGGAGAGAAGAGGAGAGAAGAGGAGAGAAGAAGAGAGAAGAAGAGAGAAGAAGAGAGAAGAAGAGAGAAGAAGAGAGAAGAAGAGAGAAGAAGAGAGAAGAAGAGAGAAGAAGAGAGAAGAAGAGAGAAGAAGAGAGAAGAAGAGAGAAGAAGAGAGAAGAAGAGAGAAGAAGAGAGAAGAGAAGAGAAGAGAAAGAGTCAGAAGAAAGAAGATCCAGGTGCGCAAAAAAGTAGAAAAGTCGCGATTCACTCTATTTTTTCCAATGATTTGTGGCTCCGGAGGGTCAGATGAGAGATGAAAAGTCGTTGTGGCGCGAAACACATTTCCAAGTCAAAATGCGCAAAGCACACCAGGTTCGGAGCATTTTTGGAAGTTGAGATGTCGAAAAAGTGCACGCCGTTGTGGCGCGAAGCACATTCCAAGTCAAAATGTGCAAAACACACCATGCTCGGACCACTTCTGTAAGTCGAGACGTCGAAAAAGTGCACGCCGCTGTGGCGCACATTTCGAAGTCAAAATGTACAAAACACCACATGTTCGCGCCACTTTTGGACGTTCAGATGTCGTTTCGCGTGGCAGGCGCAAGGGACTGTGCACCTTCTCAAAAGTAAGCAAAACGTGAAGGTTTTGTAGCATTTCAAAAATGATGGCAGGCGTGGGACATTTGAAGAGGATCTGCAAAGATGCATTTCGCGTGAAGGCGCAGTACAGAAGACATGTTCATCACAGATGTTAGGAGGTCAGGGCGCTGATTTCCTGAGAGGGGCTGCATTTTGGCGCATCAGATCTTCAGGTTTGCCAAGATGATTTTGCATGACAGGCGCAGCACTTCGTATGACCTGGCATCCCTTTTGCCTGGCAGGCGCAGCACTTTGGACAGATGGAGTGGAACAATCGCAAAACGCATTGGCACGAGGCCGTCAGCTCTGCACTCAACTTTCCATTATTGAAGGACGTCTCGCAGAATTGCTTCGTTTTTGATGTTGCCAACTTCGAAAATTGAGGAAGTCTCGCATACTTGTTTCGTTTTGGATGTTGCCAAGTTCAAAAGTTGAGGAAAGCTCGCAGAATTGCTGAATTACTTTGTTTTTCATGTTGTCACCTTCGAAAATGGAGGACGTCTCGCAGAATAGCTTCGTTTTCAAGCTTGCAGATAGACAGACAGACAGACAGACAGATAGATAGATGGATGGGTGGATGGATAGATAGATAGGTAGATAGATAGATAGATGGATAGATATTTTGATAGATAGATTGATAGATAGACAACTACCACTACCACTACCACTACCACTACACTACAACTACACCTACAACTACAACTACAACTACATTACGCTACGCTAATTGCAGTAAAATACATTACAACTACAACGACGACGACGACGACAACGACGACGACGACGACGACAACAACAACAACAACAACAACTACTACTACTACTACTACCACAACCACCACTACCACTACCACTGCCACTGCCACTACCGCTGCCACTGCCACTGCCACTACCACCACCACTACCACCACCACTACCATCACTATTACCACTACTGCCACTACTACTACTACTACTACTACTACTACTACTGCTACTACTACTACTACTACTACTACAACTACAACAATAACTACAACTACTAATACAACTAGAACTAGAACTAGAACTACAACTACAACACTACATTGCACAACACTACACTACACTACACCACAACTACAACCACAGGACGCTGCATTACTTCACACACACTACACTAGACTACACGACTACACTACGCTACACTAGAGTACACAACACGACAATACACTACACTATAGTATTTACACTACAGCACACTACACTACACTATATACATTACACTACAACTACAACTACACTAATTACACTACACTACAACTACAACTCCACTACACTACAACTACAACTGCACTACACCACACTACATCCAGCAGTTGTGTGTGTGTGAGGTGACCACTGCAACCATTGCAACCACTCAAAAAAACACAACTCCAACCACCTTTCGGTCCATCAGTGGACTCGCTTTGCCATCTGTGATTCACAACAACGAACCTCTCCTATAGTTTTCCTATTTTTGAAACTTCCGCCACCGCCTTGTGCGGTACTACTGGTAACATATATGAACAGTGCGTGGGCATGCACGAGCATGACACCACAAAGGCATGCCACGAGCTGCAAGCAGCACTCTTTTCACAACTTCACACTGTCGGCGCTGTTGGCGTGTGATGTGTTCACACCTTTGTGCAGTTCGGATTTATTGATACAGAAAGTGCAAGCAAGAACGCAACCACTGAGCGATGGCACACCGGTGTGCCTTCAATTGCGAAGGCTATGTACAGTGCGACTATACTGGTTTCTTGGTCACCGCATGGCTGGAGCAGTTTCGCGGTAGCGTTTGACCACGGTGAAAAACAGGGAAACAAGGAGCGTGCAAGGCAAGCAAAGTCCATTGAAATTGGGCATGTTCGAGATTCACGCGTTGTGCCCGGGCTTCAGATATGGAGTCATTGCCATGGCTTAAATATGTGTGTGTGTGCTTTTTTTGTATTGGGTGGGGGGGAAGCAAATGACAGAAATATGACTGAAATGACATGGCAATGCGGCCCAATGGTGGGTAGCCGCTACCTTTTGCCGAAAAAGTCCGTGCACAACGTTCCCAAGCTGACTTTGCTGCATTAACTTTCAACAGGTGCCCTTCTGCAGACCGACAGTCGCAGCACAGGCGTTTGGCAAGGATCAATTCAATGCAACGAATACCCTCGGGGCAAGCATGGCAACGGGAAATCCATGGAAATCCCCCTGTTTTTAGTAGGAGCAACATCTATGATCATCCACAAATCAATATCTCATGGGGGGTTTTCCGGTGCCGTGTTTGATTGCCGTACAACGACCACATCATCTGTGAAAGTGCCTGCATTTCACTGGCAGTTTCCAAACGGCCGGTAATCAATGCGCAAGTTCTCAGGACGGATCTTTGCTACTTGGCAGGCTCCCGAAATGTCCTGCAACAGAAAGAACCTGGTAACCTGGTCGTGGATAAAAATGAAAGTAGCTGACAGAGGTTGAAAATATAAATCATTGGGAAAACAGTTGGATCATCCGAAAGACTGAAGGGTTCTCTTGCCACAATTCCACCCAAAAATGCTAAGGGCCATTTGTTTCTGACGGCTAAGGATTGAACTGTAAGTACCCACAGATTACCTACAGCAACTGGTGCCAAAAAAAATAAGCACATGGATACGTTGCAAACTTGTGACCCGCCAATGTCCACAGAACAGTTCAAAATGGTCTCACAGAAGGCCAGTAGATGATAGTAGAAGCACCGGAAATTGATGCATATTCATGCAATGTATGTCTAACAGCCATTTACAGCCCCATCCCGTATCCTTCAGCCCTTCAGCCCCGTGCCAGTCCAAGATAGGCAACTGCACGTTGTAGCGGTTGGTCTCTACATCAAATGATTCCACCATGGCTGAGAGGCCATTGAAATGGGGTGCGTTGGTCAGGCCCTCAAGTACGACTGGCATCCCTGGAGAAATGGAAGGCATCTGCCACGGTGTGGTGCAAGGGTTCAGTGTGGCATCTGGTCCACCACCTCCACCTGCGACTGGGTTGGTGCTGAGTACCAGCCCTGGCACAGCTGGCCCGCCACCGGTCTGGGGCTGGGTGCTGAGGAAGTTAGCGCCAGGGGTGGGGACAGCACTCTGCAAGCTGGAGTTGTTCAGCATCCACGGGTGGGAGCGGACCACGTTCTCGTCTACCAACCCCACCCCGTCCACATGGAAGAAGGAGCCTGCCGATGGCGTTGCATTTTTCGTAGCGGCAAAGTTGTTTTACAGGAAATCGATTGTCAACTTAGCTACCTTCACTTTCCGGCTGGCAAACTCCTATCAAAAATTAACCAGAACCCTTCCACCAAGCCCAGCCTGAGACGGCATGGAGTTCCTGATCTTTTGGTGCCTTGCTCTTGTCATCGCGCTGCACGGCGGAGAACAAGTCTTCTTCATCCACCGCGTCCAAGGGCTCCTCATCTGCTGCACCTCAGTGAAGGGCGCAGGGCATATCTGCTTGGGAAGCACCACTGGCATCAGCGACTGGTCGAAGTTTCTTTGGAAAGTCACGAAGTTTCAGGCCATATCCATCTTTTGAATTGGACACCAAGCTTATTGATCAAAGCTGGCATGCTATCTTTGAATAACCATTTTCTACGATAGACATCGATAGACTATAGACATCCATGACGAGGTGTCCATCAAAATCTGAGTACTGCGTAAGAGCTTGGTTTAGTCACCAATAATGAATAATCCTTTCAGTTGCCTATTGCCTGCCTTCCAACAATATCACCACCTTCAAGACTTACCATGTTTCACCACGTGGTTCTTCTCACTTCCCCAGGTGACCCACATCCCAGGCTTCATTTTCCCATCCCAGCCTCGGCAGCACTGGCGCAGTTCAATCTCCTTCGCCACGCGCTCGGCCTTCTTTCGTTGCTTCTCTGGGAGCTTGGCCATGTCGATGGTTGTGGAGTACTGGGAGAGGTCGTCCTGCAATACTTAGGCCATGGTGGACCCACCAAAAACTGAAATAACATATGCTACCGTATGCTATAATGTGCTATAATGTGCTATAATATGCTAATATGCTATATAAATACAATATAGAGTAGAAAAAGATAGAGAAAGACCCCGAAATCTTGGAACATCTCCTTCCAACACCTTTTGGGGAGCGGGTTCATGGTTGAGCTTCACGGGGCGTGAACCAGCAAGTGGTCGGGTCGGGGTTGGCTCCTTTGCTGTGAGGACGTGCCCACTATAGTAATAATTTGGATGAAAATGACTCACGACTGGTACATTGTCCACCTGTTAGTGTATCACAGGTTGGACACAGCGTCCCCACTGGGCCTTGAATGTCGAAACATACCCGAAGAGCTCTGCATTCGCCTTGAACTGGTCCCACTCGCCTGCGACAAATGCGGACTCCGAACCAAAAGAATGACTGTGACTAGCATCATTGAAACTTTCGACCAACCTTACCGGATGAGTTACAGCAACGTGCCCCTTACGAAGCATGATTTGACCTCATTGTGAGGTTGCTACAATTCGGCGAAGGCCTTGCGACTACTTCATGACTTCCAATGCAACATGCAGAACAGCAAACCCCAAAGGCAAGCCTCTGTTCGAAGATGATAACTCCTGGAAGAAAGCAATGGGCTCAAAAAACAGCACAATGGCAAGATTCCTCCCACCCTCTAGAAAATGAAAATGAAACTGATGGACCATCAACCTCACCCTCAGATTGCACGACATCTGCCCCGCTTAGATCACGTACTACAACTCTAGAATACTTGAACTGCAAGGCTGGAAGACACAAAATGTATGCCCCATCGAATTTCAGGGGAGACGTTGTGACCCTAACTCTGTAGGTTACACAAATTATTCACAAGCTTGGGGCTATAGAATGAGGTAGGTGAGTTCCATTTTTTCCCAAAATGGCCTTAGCTGCAAAATGCCAATTCATTTTCAACAACCTTGAAAAACGGACGAGCTTGAATACTGTCATATTCTGTCCCTATGTCATGAAGTTCATCATGTTTTCTTATAAAATGCCACTGCGATTTTTATGATGGGCTAACATGATTAAAATGATTCCTTTATAAAATGAAATTCACAAATTTAAGCTACAAAATCTTGGGCCTGGATTTCGTGTCACGTTTAGCCTGACTAAAATGGAAGCCTCTGTAAGAGGCACAAGGCCACAAACTTTGTAGCTTAAATTCGTAGGGGAATCAAAATGTCGCAATGGCCGTCCGGAGGATGATTTTCCCAGTCAACACGTCCAAGTCTTACCCCCTCTGATCACCCGATGTAATTGGCCACTGTATAAGTTCGCCGTTTTGGAAACCAAAAAAATGGCCGTCTTGGATTTCTGCCGTCCTCCAAAGTCCCTGAGCAACCGCCAGGTTCGACCCAGGGCTGGAGATCCCTCTCCTGCAGCAAATCTGGCGGTTCCATTTTAGCTTACAGCCTTTTTCTAAACATTCCAGCCATCCTAAATCATCTGAATCCTTTGTTGTTTAAAATTCCACTTCGTGCCGGTGAAAGTCGATGAAAATCATCCTAAAATCCCAGTGGTTTTGCCTATGTTTAACATTGTTTAACCTGGTTGTTGCCGGATTCCCCGCGTTTTTGCCTATGTTTCATCCGGTTGTTTCTGGATGGTGAAACCCTTGGGGCCCCCCTGGGGCCCCCTTCCATCCACCAGGGCTCCTTGTTGGATGTCACGCCACTAATCTCCTTGTCCGTGCGCCAGGTCTGAGGTGTGGCAGCGGTGGTCGCCTCCTATGCGGCCACCAGGGGATGAGAAGTTGCCATCTCTGGATGGTTCTGATCCCAACCAATTAGCCATATAAATCCAAATGTGTATAATAGTATGTATGTATGTATATATATATATATATGTGTGTGTGTGTAATTATTTACTGTAGTTAGTTCTCTTTATTAATTTATTTATTTTTATTTATTCATTTAATTTCATTTATTTGCTTAATTCATTGAATTTATTCATTTATTTACATTGATTTCTTATTTGGTGATAAGTCCATATAAATCCCAGCCAATACATGGACATATGTAATGATATATCTACATATGTATTTTGTATATATATATATATTATATAGTTATATAACTATAATATATATATGTGTGTGTGTGAGAGAGAGAGAGATAATCTTAACCAAAATGGGGATATAGCATAGCTGATATAACTTATAACTATAACCTATACATGAATGGAATATGTTGGAAGAACTACATGCCAACAAATGTGGCGATGTTCGAAAATTTTGCTGCATCCATTACACATTTTTGTCACACACCCTAGATCCCAGGACCGGAAATACATGGAAGTACTACATAATTACATTCTACACCACCTATCACCACCTGGCTTTATAGCACTGCAAACATCACAAGCCACAGACCAAAGAATTTGGTGATGTTGAGCATGTGACTATCCAACTGGCAAGGCACCGATTTCTGAACCTATACTCACTCGTTCAGGACAACCCACTGCACGGCACAATACCTTCCGTGCTTCAGCCGGCCCTTCCTCAAACATCTCAAACCATAATTCGAGAAAGGTCCGCCACACGCCTCCTCACTTTGGGTCATATATGGTATACCCATGTATACCCAGTAAATCCGTAAGTTAAGTTGCGTTGGTTGAATTCCCATCTTTGTTGAATCTCCGTGTTTGTCTGCTTAACTCCCCATGAATCACCTGAATTCTCCGTTCATTATCCAACCCCATCAGTTATGGAATTTCAACGGTCTATTTTGGTGGAAATAAATGTTCTTATTGTTCCCCACATCACTGTGTGGGGTTCTTGTTTTTCGCTTGGATCCCGCCGGGGCACCGCCTCCCCTTCGCCTCCGCCTGCTCCTCCGCCGCCGCCTCCTCCTCACTCACTCATCACTCACTCACTCACTCATTCACCCCAGTCACTCTCACTCACTCACTACGCCGCCTCCTCCTCACTCACTCATCACTCACTCACTCAGTCACTCTCACTCACTCACTCACTCACTACTTCTCACCTCCTCTCCCTCATCATTCACCGGCTGGCTTCGTCACTCACTCACTCACTCACTCATTCACTCACCCAGTCACTCTCACTCACTCACTACTTCTCACCTCTCCCTCATCATTCACCACTCTTCACTACACCACTCATCACATCTCACTCATCATTCACCACTTTTCACTACACCACTTATCACATCTCACTGCTCATTCCCCACCCTTCACTCTTCACATGCTGCCTTTCGTGTGGCAGGCGCAGTGCAGAGACCTTCCTGGCTGCCTTTCGCGTGGCAGGCGCAGTACACAGAGCCTCCTGAGGAGCTGCGGCGCGCGTGGGCGCCGCTGGCCCGCGGCTTCGTGGCTGCCTTTCGCGTGGCAGGCGCAGTACACAGAGCCTCCTGCGTGGGCGCCGCTGGCCCGCGGCTGGCTTTCGCGTGGCAGGCGCAGTACAGAGAGCTTCCTGGCTGCCTTTCGCCTGGCAGGCGCAGTACACAGAGCCTCCTGGAAGAGTTGCGGCGCGCGTGGGCGCCGCTGGCCCGCGGCTGGCTTTCGCGTGGCTGTCGCGTGGCAGGCGCAGTACACAGAGCCTCCCTCTCCTCTTTCGGTTTCGGTACTTCATGGTACTTCGCTGGTGTTGCAGCTATTTCGGGTTTCGGTCTGCGCTATCATGACGCTGTTTGCAAGGTTTGGAGCTCAGTAAGTCTTTGTCGCATGTTGGCCGTTTCGGTTGGTAGTCATTGTCGCTTCTCCACGCGTTCATGAGAAGTTTGGTGTGACATTGTTGCTGGTGAGCTTGGACCTCAGTCAATCTTTGCATGTCAATTCTTGGGACACATTGGCGATGTTTGCATACTTGGTCCTTGTGTCGTTCGCGGCTGGCTGCAGGCCGATGCTCCATGTTTTGAGGTCAGCACCTGAGACTGACAATCAGTGAGTCCGAATGCTTGCACACTTCATCGTCTGTACGCGATACTTTTCGCAGCTTTTGGCACTGTTTGCTGTCGCTTTCACGGGGGGGACAGAGGCCGTGCCCCATCAAGTCAAGCTACGTTGTGCCGGTCCTGCTTCGGCGGTCAACTGGATGCTCCGAGCCCAGCCTGGTCAAGTCTTTCAAGTCGTGCTTGGTCAGACGGAGAGTCTGGGTGAATATTCGGTCTTGTGGCATGTGCCGGTCGCAGCGGAACGGGTGCCGGCTGTGACGAGCTTTTGGAAGCACATCAGCATCACTGAATCTCAGGAGGACGGTTTCGAGCTTGACAAGGATTGGAGCACTCCGTTGAAACGCCTTCGTGGCATGAGAGACGGCTTACCGCAAGAGGAACGTGACAGCGCCGCTTGGCTAGGAGACGCGTTCATGGCTTCACTTCTTTTGGGTGTGTCCGCATGTCGTGGTGATGCGTCGGTGTGACAATATCGCCTCCAATTTTGATGGTGACGCGTGACTGTTTCAAGGTCTTGCACCAGTCGACTTTACTATACAAACCTGTTCATCGTGAGTGTTTACGATGGATCCAGTCTACATGACCAAATCTATTGTCCTTGTTGGAAATACTCTTGGGTCATTGTGTTGTGGTGCGAGTCAACAGAAAGGATTGAAATTGCCGTCTCTCTTCGGACGTGCTGGCTATGTGTGAGTCGCTCTGACAAATTGTTCAGAGCATGCCCTGATCGTTCATGCAAAAAAAAAACTTTCTTTTCTGGTGGATTTGTTTTGATATCTTGTGAACCTGACGCACTTGCGAACCTTGTGTAGTCACATTGCAGCAATGACACCTCCTTCAACTTTAGTACCTTGTTGTTTGCACGACAGGAGCCCGTACTCACAACACTGTTGTGGCCACGAGGCGCCACCGCTTGTCTTTGAAACTAGAACAGCCACTGCTAGATTTCGTTTGCCACTGCTAGACATTGTTGCTGGTGAGCTTGGACCTCAGCCAGTCTTCGCATGTCAATTATTTGGATTGCTGTGTCGGATTGCTGTGTCCAGCATGAGCCATGTGGCGACACATTGCTGATGTTTGCATACTGGGTAGATCTATCTGTACTTGCTCCTTGTGTTGTTTGCGGCTGGCTGGAGGCAGATGATGCATGTTTTGAGGTCAGATCCTGAGACATAAATCTGTGGCATGCAGAAGTTTTTATGTTGACCTGCGCAGGCTTTGTTATTTATGGACACACAAGCCGTTACTTCGTGCTTATCACTGCTGATGGCTCAGATCTGGCGTGCAGGAGTTTTTATGTTGACCTAGCATTCCTTTCTTCAACAGTTATGTTAACATTGGCATGGGAATAGTAAACCAAACTGAATTATATTATTCAGAGCGGTTCAAACTACCAAGCTGTGAATCAATTTGGGAAACGCTTCTGTTCGACCTTTACGTTTAACAGGGAACATACAGACGACAGCGCATCACTCCGCTACTTTCAGTCACATAGACTCATCAGTTCATTTCATATTTCTTTTACCTCATCACCTGTGCCAGGTACCCTACACTGCCCAGAATGATGACGCTTGAACTTGCACGGCCTCTCTTGAAAAAGAGCTCGTGTGCTGCATGTATCATGTGCCGGGCTCTTGTTTTTCACTTGGATCCCGCCGCTCCTGTTCCCGCCTCCGCCGCCGTAGACTTATCATCACCACTCATCACAGATCCACTTATCAGATCACAACTTCTCATCACAACTCATCACAACTTATCACATACCAACTCATCACAGCTCCACTTCTCACACCTCACTCATCACAGCTCCACTGCTCATCACAACTCATCACGGCTCCACTTCTGACAGGTCCACTTCTTATCACAACTCATCACAACTTATCACATCCCAACTCATCACAGCTCCACTTCTCACACCTCACTCATCACAGCTCCACTGCTCATCACAACTCATCGCAACTCCACTTCTGACAGGCCCACTTCTCATCACAACTCATCACAACTTATCACATCCCAACTCATCACAGTTCCACTTCTCACACCTCACTTCTCACAGCTCACTTATCACATCACAACTTCTCATCACAACTTATCACAACTTATCCCATCACAGCTCCACTTCTCACACCACTTCTCACACCTCACTTATCACATCAGAACTCATCACAGCTCCACTTCTCACACCTGACATCACAAGTCCACTTCTCACACCTCACTTCTCACACCTCCCCGAAGTTCACATTAAGCTTAGATACATAAAGGCTTGACATGTGGGGTTATCTTATCCGGTCCTTTTATTCCCCCACTGAAATTCACATGTCTTCCAACTCCCCAGAGCCAGGTGGCAGAAGGTGATGTCTCAGGAGTTACTTCACGTGGAGTCAGACCTGAGGGAGTGGATGTGGGGATGAAAACTCAACGAAAACCCTTGCTAATGGTAATTCATGGGCAAATCGAGCCTATTTTCAATTGCCAAGTTTATTTACTAACAGGTAGATCTTTTGGGTCATTGAAGCTTCTGGGAGATATGGGAGGAACCAAAAGGTGGATGGAAACTCGTCGTTTCTTCCAAGGGTAAGCAAACTTTGGAAACTATCTTTAGGCGTGAGCATGACACTTTTCCATGCAAGAGGCAATTCACAAGCAAACAACGCAAGCAAGGGTTTCATAATCCCAGCCTTGCCCTTTACTACCGCGCTCTAGCATCTCTTGCAAGGTAAGCTGTTGGCATGGCAGTTGGTGTTTGCATTGGTCTTGGCCCTTGAATCCACGAAAAATGTTTGAGGCATCGGTGTGGACCCGCAAAAAAATGGCAAGTTAAAGAGGGTTAAAACTTAAAACATGTTAAAAGTTAAAAGCCTCAGTTGCTCCCACAGTGCTTTGGATTCCTGTGAGCTTTGGATTCCTGTCGAGCTACTGCGCGTGGATTCGTGAGAATTCACACCGGAATCATGAGTCGCTGTTGACAAGCAAGGGCTCGATGGAGCTGCCAATTGGCTCTCGACCTGAACATGCTGGAAGCGCAGGCACCCATGCCATGTTTATTGGGTGCTCATGGGCTTTCTAGTGTGCCTTGTGTACAAAGGCTCAATAATGTGTTGATGGATTTTGGTGAGAGCCCAAAAACACTATGTGGTTTCGCCAGGAGCACAGACCCACCTTCTTTTTGATACTCTCGGTGATAGCGTGCGTCTTGCTGCTCCGGAGTTCGTGAAGCTTGGTCAAGAGAGTCCTGGACTCCTGACGTTTCAAGGTTTTGGGGAGTCCAGTCACCCCAGCTTGAAGGAGCAACGGAACTTGGTGGATATAACTATAACTTCCAGGATCGGACGTACGAGACCACGTGATGAGCTTGGCAAACGGTAGAAACGCAAGCATCTTCGGCTGAGAAAAAGATCAAAAGATATCAAAAGTGTGACTTCTTGATGGAGATGCGCCAAAATTGCAATAATTTGCACAGATTGACACATTGTATCAACACACCAGGGCATGACCCATCGCCCTCCCAATCACCCGGGCCATCAGAAATTCCCGAATCTCCCCTCAGCCCCCAACTGCCACGTGATTCCCGGCGGCTTTCATGGATGGCCCTGCTCCGGCTTCCAGGAAGGGAACAAGTTTGACCCCCAAGAGTTATATACTTTGCTCAGGTCTTTTGTCCATCCCCAGATTTCCTTACCATGACTGGACGCAAATGCACACATCCATAGTACTGCATATTCACAATGTATTCAGTGTGGAACCCTTTTTTCCTGTGAGAACTCTGCAGGGAGGCAATCGGATTTGAGTAAATGAGGAATAGTAAACCAAGCCCAGGAGAGTATATCATGGGAAGCTACTGGAGAACCATGGCAACAGGAAGTTATACATAATGAATTCAGAAATGTAACACCACAACACCACCATGCCTACATACCTTTCTTGTTGGCTATCCTCTCCAGGCTGACTTGTCATCTGCACCCAACATCACCCAACATAGAAGAACAATCGCCAAACCACGAGGCGTTTCATGCCTCGTGCAATTTGGACTTCCACAAAATCAAACATTCAATAATCAATCATGTCATATCATTTCTATCTATCGCATAAGGTATCATAAAGTCATCTTCTCATTCCTTCTCCAGAAACTTGCGGTTTCTCCATAACATTTGACTGTGTATTAGCACTTGGGTGTAGCAGCGTAGCACTGGCGTAGCACCATCCCAGGGCATTCCATTGCACAATCGCCTTCCATCTTTGCTGTCGCTCGCGAGGTCCCTTTCACCCGCTCGCGCAAAGTTCTTTGTGGGCCGGAGCTGCGGGAACGGTTTGAAAGGAAACTGAGCAACCCACACCAACCAAATTCCACAAATTCCACAACAAATATCCGAATTTGAAATTCAAACAAATTGAGACCCATTAAAATAGGTTTGCTCTTGACAACGATTGCTCTTTTCAGGCTCCACTCCTTCAATATCCTTCAATAATCCTTTAGGGACCAGAATCATTGCAGAATCATTGCAGATTCCACAAATGAAATGAGACTTGCCACGCAAATCCTGGGTAGCCCACTGGGAAGCCATCGCTTCATCTTTAGGCACCTGCATCACGTCATCTCCAAATCCCACTTGATTGCAGTGCAGGCACCATTCCAAACTGGAATCCCATCGGAAGAATGTGCCAGTCTCAGGACATAGTACTACAACTGACGTCTCCCCAACAACTTTGACGACTGCAGGCTGTGAGGCCTCCTGGATTTGTTTCTCCTCCTCCTGGGCCCAAAATAACCAAAGAGTATTCACTGCCAGTTGGGGTTGTAAACCAACACTTTTGAGACTCTTGAGTTGAGACAAACCAACGAAAACGTGTCTTTTTTGGATTTGTTATGCTGGCCCAAACACCCACCCCCAAGGAAAAAAGTAGGGTGCTGCCAGCAAACATCTGGAGTGGTGAACCCGCAACATCTGGGGTGAGCCAATGCATGTTGGTGGGGTGTCCTCGGCGATATGACCGGGTGACACATCCTCCACCGACTCCATGCCTGACAGTGGGCTGCAAAAGGCTGGCCATTTCTATAGGATGATACCATCCAAATTCCAAGCTATGGCGCTCAAATGTTGTGACCAAATACAAATGGAATACATGCCCGGCATTGACATTCATTGACTAGGAAAACAATGAGGGGGGTTGAGAAACATATAGTCCCAAATGTTCACTTACCTTGGGACAAAATAAATCGCTATAAGAAGTTGGACAGTTGCTTGTTCCATCAATGACCAGCCAGTCTGCGGGTCCTCATCCACTAAAACATCAAGCCCTTTCCTTTCACATCCCACTTCTGAGCATCAACGGCTGGATAGGATTCCCTACCAAGTGATGATTTTGGATGGATTTGGATGGATATATAGGTTCCAAGTCTTTCCATGTTTAGCTGTTGGCCCCTGCGGGGGGGGCAACCTGAGGTGCCAACCCCATGCGCTCTGCGTACCATGCATCAACCTGACACAGCGGCCTTACCGCAACTAGTTATCTGCAGGGAAATCGCTTGGCCTAAAAGCATGTCTAAGACTCTAAGATTGCCTAAGCACCAAATTGTTGAAAGGCTTTGACCCTTCTCCATAAATCTCCCTGCCATTTCCTACCACTAGGTCACTAGGTGCAACATACACAGGCTCCATCTGTTCGCAGCGTTGATCAGTGTCTGCGAAACTGTAGTTTCACCATACAATTCTGTGCCAAAGCCAGTATCCCAAATGCCAACACTGCCATGGCTGGGACCAATCTAGTCAAGTGACTGCTTCCAGGTGGTGTATCCGAAGTGGAAGAGCGCGGTAAGGCTGTGACAACCTGAGGTATCCAACAAATACCAAGGACCAAGGGGTGTGATGCAAGGGGTTGCAGGTTTCCCATAACTCTTGACCTACGATTCTGTCAAGAGATGGGCACGCTCCAAGTGCGGCAGGCATAGCTCATCCCCAACAATAATTCCCAGCCAAAATCTGGGTACAAAATGGTACAAGGAACTTGCAATTACAAATGCTTGATCCAGCACAATGGAACTGTCTTCACCTCCGGCTGAGCATCTGAGTGGCATTGGGAGCCCAAAAATCTCTCCACCCAGCCAACCCAGTGAGATGCTTCACCAGGAGCCCCCAACGTCCGCTCATACCAAACTCGCATACCTTGCGGTGAGGGGTACAACCAACACCTCAAGTTGCAATCACCAACCAATAGGGGGTGGATGATATTGCCAAAAGATGCCAACAAACATGGGATAACAACCGGGATAGCCAAAAGAAATAAAGGGTATGACGGTATGCCGCTATATGCCGGCTGTACCCCTCTCAATCGAACAGGTATGAGCCCTCAGTTTCTCTCATGGATATCTGCTAGGGCCCAGTCCATTGCCCAGCCTTGTGCACCCACTGGCCCAGCAAATCCCCAGACTCATCGCTCTTGTCGTTGTGTGTGGGCAACACCTTAGTGGCCATGGGGTGTCTCTCAGAAGGCATTGAGGCCCCTGACGTGCTTTGAACCGGGATGTGAGTGGGCTGGAGAACGCCCATGTCCCAAGAATTGCAGCTGGCTTCCAAATCATGTTAGTAACAATTGGAAGGGAAACCTACACCCTCCAAAGGTAAGCCGCTCAGCAATGCTGAGCCTCCGCGCTGCCAGCCCGTCCGCTGCTGCTGCGGAATGTGGAGGCGACCCTTCGCTGCTGGCAGGGGTCGAACCTGGGCCACCAAGTGGGGTACTGTAAGACCATCTGAAAATTGGGGACTGGCGTTGGTTGGATCAGAATGGGGCATGGGCCTCCTGATTTTCGTCAATTGAAGGGATGGACTCGGATAGACCAGTCAATTGTTGGGTGTCCAATCTTGACCCATACCCATATCTTGCGCTGCAGGCTGAGGTTGATGTGGGGGTGCCACAGCCTTCCAATCTTCCATGGCATCTGGGTGTGACTTGATTCTGCCAGCACACAGGACCCCAACAACAAACGCCTGCCAACCTGCCAGTGGGAGAAATCAATCAAATAAAGTTACACGACAGCTTTCCCAGAGCAGAAATCAGTGGGGAACATCTACAGACCACCCAGCCCAACCCCGGTTGGATCTCTTTTTTGCCTCAGCCCAAGGTAAGTTTCATCTCCTCGTCGGCCAGGCGCAGCTTCAACTCGCGCATTTCCATCTCAAAGGCTTTGGCTGAGGCAATCAGTTTCACTTCGGCTTCCTGCGCGGCCAAACTGCCTTCCAAAAAATGCTGGAAAATGATGCATTTGACCCATCAAGATTTGGGTTTAGAATCAGTTTAGAATGCTTTAGAACCCGTTCGAAAACCATGGCTACTATGTGCTGCACCCAACCACTTCACCTAGGACCGTGGCGCCACGTCCTGTGCCCGTTCTTCTTCCAGCTTCGCCGCCGAGAGATCTTCCCTCAGCCGCTGCGCCAAGGTCTGCTGATCCAACAGCCGCTGCTGCATGGACTCCAACAGGAGCCGGTGCCCATGGTGGCCATCGCTGCCATCGCTTCTGCAGGGAGAAGGCACATCCAGTCCAACACACTCCAAGAGAAAGAGTGAGTCAGAGTGAGTAAGCAGCAAGAAAAAGCGAGAACATCAAAAGACCGAAACAATCGCTTCCTTCACAATGATCAGTGTGAAGAGAGGAAACGATCACGATAGTGGTGATTTATACGACATATATTCAATATTATTCAATCATAATCATAATAATCATATTTTGGTTCGGGCACCTGCCTCTATCAATGTTTTGGCACACGTCCAATGTTGTCCTCGATGTTGTAAGTGATGTTGTGAATTTCTCGTTTTTTTTTCCACGTAAATTTTGATGTTTTAAATTTGGTGTTTTTTTTTTCTCACGTAAATTTTGATGTTGTAAATTTGGCGTTTTTTTTTTCTCACGTAAATTTTGATGTTTTAAATTTGGCGTTTTTTTTGCTCATGTAAATTTTGATGTTGTAAATTTGGCTTTTTTTTTCTCACGTAAATTTTGATGTTGTAAATTTGGCGTTTTGTTTTCTCACGTAAATTTTGATGTTGTAAATTTGGCGTTTTTTTTTCTCACGTAAATTTTGATGTTGTAAATTTGGCGTTTTTTTTGCTCATGTAAATTTTGGTGTTGCAAATTTGGCGTTTTTTTTTCTCATGTAAATATTGATGTTGTAAATTTGGCATATGTTTTTCTGATGTAAATTTTGGTGTTGTAAATTTGGTGTTTTTTTCCTCACGTAAATTTTGTTGTTGTAAATTTGGCGTTTTTTCCCGACGTAATTTTTTATGCTGTAAATTTGGCATTTTTGATTCATTATGATTATGAAGTTTTGATTCAGTATTCTGATAAGTGATAAGGTAGGTTAAAGTATGTGTTTTTGTCAGCCCACCAGTTGAAAGGTTAGTAAGTTATCAATAAGTTATCCAGTTATCCATGTCAATGATGATAAAATTACATGTTTAAAAACTAAGTTCAAGTTAAGTTCAAAAAATATAGAAAAATATTTGAAAAAAAAAACATTGTAAATTTCTGGTACATCCGAACGGTTCAGAACGGTTCAGGCGTATCAGTTTCTGATACATCCGAACGGTTCAGAACGGTTCAGGCGTCTCCGAACTATCCCGAACTATCCCGAACTATTCCGAACTAATCCGAACTAATCCGAACTCAGGCCTCCGATACATCCGAACGGTTCAGAACGGTTCAGGCGTATCAGGTTTTTGCCTTAGATTCTAAGCATAAAAGTGGGCAATTTTTACAACATAACAAGTTGAAGATGCATGACTTGTAAACAAGTAAAGGTTTTAAGCTATGAGGTTTTAAGTTAATTAGTTAATATAATTACAAATTATAAGAGGAAGAAAAGTTGTAAGACAAGTGATGTCAGTTGCAAGTTGTGAGTTGTAAATTGCCATAAGTCAAGGTACTTCAAGTAAAACTTCGGTGAAGAAAAGCATGTCTGAAAGTAACTTAGGCTGTGACACAAGTCGTGGCAGAATGTTTTCCCAAAGAACGGGGCTGGAAGAAACTTAGGCTAAATTTCACAATCTTCTGAAAAGTATATGTCACACCCAAACCCGTCTAAGGCAGGCAATCTTGTCACGTGAGCGGTCAGTGGTCCTCTGGGATCCATCCTGGGGGCAAGGATGAGGAAAACGAAGTGACACCTGAACCGTTCTGAACCGTTCGGATGTATTTCACATAGTTCGGGATAGTTCGGGATAGTTCGGGATAGTTCGGGATAGTTCGGGATAGTTCGGGACTGTGCCCATGTTAGGCACTGGCCTCTATAATTTGCCTGTGTGTCACCACACATTTGCCCATATTTTTTTTTTCCCCCCCCAAACTCCTTTTTGCTGCGCGTCAGTGTTCGTGGGTTAAGGCGGCAGCCGGCTGGGGACAGGGGGGTCTTCCCAGCGCGCGTCAGCAAGTAGGGTGGGGAGGGAAGGGGGGGGCCGTCCATCGCCTCTTCTCCGTGGAGGGGTAGCTCCATGAGGCTGGCGGCGTGAGCCTCGAATTTTACCTGGTTTCAAAACGCATACAACCCACATACATACATACAGACATAGACATGCATGCATACATCCTGTTATATCTTTGCTTTATTGATCGGACCTGCCTTTCCCGCAGGTGAGTCTTGTCTTGTTACCTGCCGTTACCTACCAATTTTACTTGCCACAGCCTACCAGGATCTACCAGGTTTAAGGAAACAAATTAGTTCATCATTTATTCAGCATTATGTATTATGCAACACTTACACGCAGGAAGTGACGATGTGACAACGCAACCATGTACCAATGTGTGACAGTGACCTTTACACAATGGAAGAACCACAGCCACAAGCACGGTTATCACCAAGAACCGAACAACGAGAACAAGAACTGGAAAAACGAAGAAAAAGAAGAAGAAGAAGAGCAACAACAACAACAACAACAACAACAACCACGAGGACGACGACGACGACGACAACGGCAAAACCAACCAATGAAGGGCCAATGAAGGGACGAAAACAAGTTAAACACACCCACCAGATTCAATGCCAGCTGAGTTTCAAAAAACAAACCAAAACCCAAACTGTGAAATCAGGAGTGTGACAATACAAAAAAGAATTGACCCATCTCAACATCAAAACAATCATTGCAATAACGACATGAACAAAAATGGGCGCGCATAGTAAATCATGAATCATGACTCATGACGCAAAAATCACAGGAAACAAGAAATACAACTCACAATGTCAGTCATGACTTTAAGCAAGAAAAGTTTGGGGTTGATAACATCAATCATGACATGAACAAGACTAAAAGTGGCGTTTACAAGATCCAAATTTATGTAAGAAAAAAGAATTTGGCTTTTGTACAGCGTCAAAATGTACGTTAGGAAAAAAATTGGCGTTTACAACGTCAAAATTTATGTAAGACAAAAAAAATCGGCGTTTACAACGTCAAAATTTACGTAAGACAAAAAAAATCGGCGTTTACAACGTCAAAATTTACGTAAGACAAAAAAAACCGGCGTTTACAACGTCAAAATTTACGTAAGAAAAAAAAATCGGCGTTTACAACGTCAAAATTTACGTAAGAAAAAAAAAATTGGGGTTTACAACGTCACCGACAACGTCAACCAGAACGGTACACGTCAGCCGAAACACAGAGGGGCAATTATAGAGGAAGGTGCCTGAACCAAATCATATTCATAGAGTATGATATTAATCTTAATGGTGATCTTCATAGACTCATAGATTCCATATGATTCCATCATAATCATATATATTCATATATAGATTCTCCCAATTCAATCCCCCCTTGAGGTTCCCCCAGCCTCTCGTTGGCGCTGTTGGCTTCGTGCATCTCGGCCTCCCAGAGCTCTGCGAAGCGATGGTCCATGGCTTCCAGAAGCTCCTCGAAACCCGCTAGGGCGCGCCAGATCTCCACGGATTTCCTGGGTAAACGCTGGAAAAACACCGTGACATGGCCGTATCATGCTGTAAAATGGTGTGTATGTTGGATATATTTGGAATTATTTGGATATGATCCAACAAAATCAGATGTTTTCACTTGCAAACAAAAAGATGCAAAAAGGTGGAAATCAAAAGAATTGGATGATTACATCCACAATTAAATCGTTTGAGGGTGGTTGTATAGCCATCGAACATCTGGAATGAAACAACAAAACAGTTCCAACACCAAGGACGGATACGGAGCGGCTTCTTGAAATTAGGTGAACACAATACTGTACCCCAAACATCCCCAAACTTATAGGACCGTGATCTATGCTCGGTGATCTGCTTGTTGGAAGCCAGATGAATGAAATGATGGGATTGGCAAGACTGCGGCAAGACACCTGTTAGGGGTTGAACCGCCTCAGCAAACATCTATCAAAAACCTACACATGAGCTGCCCAGCAATGCCCAGCATCTCTCTACAGCTGGTGGCATTTCGCAGGCGATGCTTCTGCACCAGGTCCTTGTGAAGCGCTGCTGCCGCATCAGCCTGCTTCCAGAACTCATTTTCGGAGGCAGGTCCGCCCCAACTGGAAAACACCGGTGGGGTCGCTCCGGCACCGTGTGGTCTCTGCATTGCCCAGTTGAAACCCGTGCTATGGCCCGGGCGCCCCCCGTGCTGCTGCTTTGCAGCGTTTCGGTGGGCGTCAACTATGGCTGCGGAGGCAAAGCATGGTGGATCGTTTCAATCCGAGTTGGAGAGTTCAACAGCCAACTTTTCTTCACCAACTTGCAAGCTACAGAGGCCTCTTGCTACGAATCAGCCCAACTACTACAAGTACCAAAATCTGATTGAAGAGTTTTGCGGTGGCTAAAGTCCAACCTCCCAAGCCCCAGTCGCAGTTGCCAACCGCCTTCCACACCGAGTCCGGCACACTGCGAGCCCAACACACCAGCTGCGTCTGGAACGGTGTACACCACAAAGGTTCCATCCTCAGGACACACGGTATGGAATGAAGATCGAAGTGACCAGCTTCCAAAAATGGATGTTCGTGTCATCCCCATATAGAAGTAATCAGTCTTCACTAATTACTAATCTAACAAGATCTAACAAGATAATTGGAAATCCACTATTCTTCATGCGAAAATAATCGATAAAATCATATCAAACGGATATGTTCAATTGGTCAATTGGGGTTATGTCCATTGCCATGTTAGATGACCTTCGAAGTGCCAGCTGTTCGCCTCATTGCAGGAAATGGAGACGCGAATAGTAGGAGATCCACCTGGGGCCCAAGGAGGTCATTGGAAACTTGTCCTTGAGGGATGTGTCAAAAATGGTCCGCCCCAATTGGTATAAACGGCATAATGCTAGAAGTTGAACCTCAAGGAGAGCTTGATAGCTTTCGCCATTCGCTTCCAAATTTCCAAATGCTTGAAACATGATGCCGTATCCCCTGCTGCTGGAACCTCAAGTGGCTCTGATTTTTTACGTCTCAGTTTGGACAGATGTTTGCCATGGGTTGCATATGGTTGCCATTGAACTCCCCATGGTGGGAACGTTGCATTGGAGAGTTGCCATGGACAAATTTTGGAAATGATAGCCATCCTTATGAGCCTCACAGGTACCCACGCCATCCCACTCCGCCACGAATGGGGTTAACCCAAGTTTGAGAGACACCCATGTTCGAGGGCTATGTCATACACATAGATAGAGTACATCCCGTTCACTGAACATCATTGAACCACCATCAAACCCAAGCCCATTTTGGTTCAATGGCTACCTTTTATCAGTCAGAACAATCCAAATTTGATAAGATCCATCCCCATTTTTCCCATATCCTCTGCTCCCAGCCCCGGCCCCAGCGCACCCCAACCTGCCGCCGCAGAGGCGTGATGATCCGCCATTCGCCTCGGTCACCGGGAAATGCTCTCTAAGTTTAAGTGATAACTGAGGCAGTGTACCTGCATGTACCTGTATGTCCATTTATGTACCTGTATGTACCTGTATGTACATTTTTGACAGGGTACATGTTTCAACTGGCGTACGGTAAAGGTTTAAGAAGTGGGGTGAACCCCACCTGCCGCACCGCCCTGCTGAGGCCCTGGCAATTCACAGGTCAAAGCGGCCAGCTTTCCGATGTCGTTCTGCAGTGTCCTCAGCACAGCGGATAGACATCATCACTACAAAAGGACATCACCTCGTCATAGTCGTCGTTGTGGTCATCATGATCATCATCGTCGTCATCATCCTCGTCGTCGTCGTCATCATCATCCTCCGCCTCCTCGTCGTCGTCATTATCATCGTCGTCGTCGTCATCATGATTTAATCTTCCTCCATAATCATTGTCGTTGAGAGTTGAAAGTTGCAGGACCTGACAAGGCAAGCCACACGCTATCCCCAAACTCATGGTGTGAACAAACCTCTGCATCTAGAACTACTGACCGATACGGATGCAGCCAGGCTGAGCCCATAGCTTGATGATGTGCAAGTAATTTTCGAAACGTTGTCGGATCATTCCTTGCAACTTCCCCTTGAGATGCTCCCCCATACCTTGGCGTCCGCAGTTGGGACACTTGAACGTGTTAAGAGTTTCTTCTGATTGATGATGGTTTAAGTAAAAAATAGGTGCTAACCGTTTGCAGTCATAAGTCCCATCAGGGTTTCTATCTGGTGGCAGTCTGGATTGGGATATCCTGGCCTGTCTGTGGATGGACCGCTTCAACCGGCCAAAGATATCCTCATCCATATCTTGCTTCTTCCCATCAATTACCAAATAGCAAGGCTATCTCGCTTCTTGATTACATAAGGCGACATTTGACTAAGTGTTTTTGGGTCTGATGCTGAAAGGTGGGGACATTTTCCATCAAGAACAAGGGATTTTGTATATACATATAAACACTTTTTGCCCAGACGAATGGGACACCTGGCATTGTCCTGAAAGGACAAGATGAACAAGAGGTAAAAGGTAAAAGTGTCTGTATTTAACTATTGTGTGTGTGTGCAATCTGTGCGAACCAATACGCGCTTCCATTCCAAAAGGAAGTGGATGCAGTCCAAAAAAAAGCTCATCGAAACTCTTGCTTTGAAGATTGTTTGGCAAAGTCATTTGCTCCCAACAAGAAGAATCCTTGAATCCTTGCATCAAACGACACCTGCAAGGAAATATGGCCGGTGACGCCTTCATGGCCTTGGTGTGGAGCGAGTGAGCGCTTTCAAGACTGTCTTGTGCATCGTCCAACTCCACAGCAACAGAGCCCATCAATCACTTGAAATATTTTCGCTTGGCATGTTCAAGTCTCTTGCTTTGCGCTGTGCAGCCCTGTCATTTTTTTTTACATCAAAGCATGTACGCGAGGATTGGTGAGACGGCCAACATTTCCAACCTTCTGGAAACGGATATCGTGGGTTCAATAAAGGCAGAAGTGGATGACTTCCTGAACCTTAGAAATGGATAGAAATGGGATGTCCGATTTCTGGAAATATGAAAATGGTTCCAAGTATAGAACGGAAGTTTAAGTCCGTCCCTCATATCCAAATCCTCACTACTTCCTGGCAACATCAAGAAAATTCACTGGACTTCTTGTGAGACCTGTGCCGCTTCGTTGCTTTGCAACTGTTTTAATTGAGCCGCGAAGGCAGGCTATATTAAAAATAGAGTTTCTGACCCGTGCATGTGCTCGTGAAAAACGCACAGAAGAATAAGACGATGACAACAAGTAAGCAAATCAGAATCAGCCATTCTGGGGTCCCACGCAAGGCAACCTCCTCCTCACCCTCGCGTTTCTTTGCTTCGGCATTTGCTTTTCTGGCTTCTTGTCTCATCTTGTATTCCCATTGAATCACGGAAGTGTTTGCCCTTTTTGCCCTCCGCACTTTGTTTAGCCATTCCAACTCCGCTCGCCGAAATAGTCGGCCCTTCCTTTGGAAAGCTCTCATAGCAAGGTCGTCAATACTAAGCACAAAGCTTAGAGCAGTACAGTCCAAGACAATGTCTTATGGTTGCTTTCCGAAGTCGCAAGAAAGAAACTGCCGATAACAAAAAGGGCAAGGGGTGTGAGCACTTTGGGCATGAGGATGAACACCATGGTGGCCAAGAACTGGAAATAATCTTATAGCGTGAGCGCCACAGTGCGATACAATTTGGCGAAGCTAAAAAATCTCCTCAACTTCCCCCACCATCTGCAGCAACAAAACCACTATCCCTGCACAAAGCCACCATGAATCAACGGTCCCTGTCTTGCACAATTCACCGTGCAACCAGGAATTGGTCATAGTCTTGATGTTGCTCCGGTTCTGTCCGAACAGTATCACTATCATGCACCACTCCAAGACAATGCTGACCCAAAGAACGACAATGCGAGAAATTGAGCCCAGCCAAAAACTCCTTCTTTTTTTCTTGTAACTCCTCCATCATTTTCTTCTCTCTTTCTTTCTTCTCTTGCCTTGCTTCCATGCTGGTTTTGCTTTCGCCTTCATCTAAATGCATCTATACCGCTATATATTTATTTTGGCGCAGACTCCCATGTTGTTGTCTCGTCTCGTCATTCACGTCAACTGTTTCTTTATGTTCTTCCAGGGTCCAATAGTCTACACAGCCATCGAAAAGCGTCACTGGTGGGCGTCTTCGGATCATGCTCACCAACGCAATCCAGGCCACAAAAGTAACCCTCTGCACGGCCGGAAACCTCAAATTCCTTCACTTCTTCCATCTCTTCATTCTTTGTGGCTGTGTACGGTTCATTGCCCCTCTCGAATGCAGAGTGATACGGGGATGGCTCAGAGGCACCAAGCTCAGAGGCACCAACTGGACTACTTTCGAACAATGGTTCAGATTCAAGAGGAAGTGCAGAACGCGATGCTCCCCTCTCAGCTTGCGTGACTGGTCCGACATGGGGCTCTACAATGCTTGTTGACGGTCGACTTGAACCAAAACTTGCAATGCTTCAGACTTTGCTCAAATATGGAGAAGAAAAAACGGGCCAGCTTGATGTTGCAGTCCGCAAACATCCAAACTTGTCAAACTGGTCTTTTGAAATAGAACCTAAAGTTGGCAGCCGCATCTGGGAGTCCCGGACTGTAAAGTGAAGAGCATGATGTTGAGGTCAAAGCAGCGGTATGTAAATGGCCGCTAAAGGTGGAAAACTGCCAATTCCGGCATACGAAAAAACGGTTAAAAAGGTGTGTGTTTTTAAAATGTTCAAATTGCCTCCATTTGAACTCACATGAAAGGCGACAGTATGCACATGCGATGAAATAATTTCAAAAGTGACATAGAACTCTGGCCGCTGCAAGAACACATCCAAACCAAATACCATGCAAATATCATCAGTGAAGGTTGGGTTCAAAAAGCACAAGAAGCATGCATGCAAATGAACATACCGTGAACAACAACATAAGAACAGAACGGCCAACATATAACCATGTGTAAACCATTGTTGTCCCAGCTTGTGCCGTTCCTCTTTTTGAGGCCGCAACGCATGATGAGGGGATTGACCTGCAAGCATGCACTGGGCGACTGTTCAGCTGTGGCAAGGTCGCGGGCAAGGTGGGCGCACCGTGATGGTACCATCTCTGGCAGTTCCAGATGGAGCCAATGATGATGAGGCCTAAGGTGGCAGAGGTTCTTGCAAGGCCATTGTAACTCATCAGTTCTCAAATGGCAGTGTGACTTTGGCACAGCAAACCCGTACAAAATTATGGGCTCCTACGGCCTACCGGCACCCCACATGCTCAAGATTCCGGCATCATCATGCCAAGACCTTTGTTGTGCGCAGCGAAGGCCACCCCCGACCCCCACAACTCCAGATTTTGAGGCTGACATATTTGGCCCGAACTTTGGACACATCGTAATGATGTTTCCTGTGCCGAGGAATAGCCACCCAACAAAGGCCCCAGCCCAAGGTGCCTTCCAGAAATTCCACTCTATCAATCTCTATGACAAGAATGGAATTTGAGGAATGCTTCGAAGATCACTGGACCATACGTATTAACCATTACCGTGCCAATACCCAGAAAAATCTTGGTTGGTGGCCTAAACTCATCCCAAAACTATACTTTCTACTCTACTGGAATCATCGCTAGGGATGAAAACGCTCAGTCACGACTCACTTCCATGTGTGGGCTCAACGTTGCAATGCAGCCCTCGTCCTAGAGGTTGTGCTTTCGCATAAGCATATGTTTTATCAAAAGAACCGCATCCAGCATTTGGCAAATTGGTAATGGGAGGCTTGATCCATGCATTCACACATAATTTATCAAGTATGTTTAAAATGTGTAGCAGCTCCTCGGTAGGTTTGAGCTTTATCGATCTTTATCGATCTTTATCGATCTTTATAAATTGTGTATGTGAGCGATGTTCTTCCTCATCTTGATCTTCACCCCAAACCGAGCCATGCCCCGCCCCACTGGGTGATGCACGAGAACTCCGAGGGCCCATCGGACGGCGCCTTTGACCGCGCCGGGGACTGCTCCAACCTGGTGGTTCCACTGAGCCATCCGTGCCCAACGGATATCGGATATTACGGATATTAGATGATATAATTTTAGAGATCTTTAGGTGATATTAGGTGATATTAGGTGATATTCGATTAGATCACATGATATATTCATTGGATAGTCCAACTGAGCTGAGGCACAGGATCGCTGGTCCATCGCTGGAAGAGGCGCCGCCTAGAGCAGTAGAGGAAGCTTCGATAGGTAGATCCTATGTGAAGTTCATCGAAAGCGGCGATTTGTTCAAGGATCAAACATTTCTCTGCGCAAGTCGTTGAAACCATCCGCATGTCCGTAGTCAGTATAAAATCAACATAAAATTAAATCCGCCCACACCGCTTTGGCGGTGAAGGCGTGCTTATTGGGGGGAAACAGCTACACTAAATGCTCAATCACATTTGTTAATATAGCAGTCGCTATATCAGTTTTAGCTGGGGGGGGCAAAAACGGTTTCGCACCGAGACCAGAATTCGGTGGTGTTTTCGACATTTTTCGAAACTTTTTGGGTGTCTGAGCGCAAGAGGGGATTGAAATGGAATTTTGGGTCATTTTGGTAGCTTTCCGGCAATGGAAAAACGGCCAAAAATGAAAAAAACATTATAGCCGATGCAATGGAAAACACTGTCAAAAGCAATGTTTTGGAAGGATTTACTGCCTTTATGGCAAAAAACGTGTAAATTACCGTCTGTTTGACTGGAAACATTGGAAAAACACTGTCAAAAACAATGTTTTGGAAGGATTTCTTATATATATGTTGGAGTTGGCTACCGGCATTGGAACATGGAAAAATTGAAGAAAACACTGTAAATAGCGGTATTTTCAACGGTTGGGGAGATAAGGGAATTGGGGGCGTTGTCGGACATGGTGTTTTCGACCGGTTTTATGGCGACGAAAGTGTAAAGTACCGTGCTTTGAAGGAAACCATTGCAAAAACATGGAAACACATTCAAAGAACACGGGATTTGGGGGACTATCTAGGCGTCGTTGTCTAGCTATTTGAAATTCCGCAGCTTGGAGAGCCTCCAAGGGAGGGAAAAGTGAAAATTCCCTAGCTTGGGAAGCCCCCACGGGGGGGAAAAGTGAATTCCCTAGCTTGGGGAGCCCCCACGGGGGGGGAAAGTGAAAATTCCCTAGCTTGGGGAGCCCCCACGGGGGGGGGAAGTGAAAATTCCCTAGCTTGGGGAGCCCCCACGGGGGGGGAAAGTGAAAATTCCCTAGCTTGGGGAGCCCCAACGAGGGGGGAAAGTGAAAATTCCCTAGCTTGGGGAGCCCCCACGGGGGGGGAAAGTGAAAATTAAAAAAATATTCACGAACCCAGCAGTTATGTATGTCAATTCTCCTGTGCTGCTCTGCTCCTCATATTCCACACCACCCTTAGCCCCTCTCACGGACCGAAATAAACCTGCGGTGTGGGCGGCCACCCCACGCGAAGCGGGGTGAATATAAATCACATTTAAGTCATGTTTGGGCATCTTTTCGGCGATTTTCTCATGGCAGCACGCCTGGATAGCTGAAGGCCAAGGGATGGGCCGAAGTAAGCGACCTGGCAATGAGCTCCGTGGCCCTTGAGCCAACAGTGAGATAAGAAATGAATGAAGCTGAGATATTGATACGATGACAAACGTGCGATGTCTGCTGCAATTGGATATTCCATTCAATAACATATGTATATATATATATACATATTAATATATGATATTTGATATTTAAGAACAGCCTGAATCTGGTGATGGTGATGCTTGAGGGCCCCTAATTTGATGAATCATCTTGGTGCTCAATCTGATCATATCATGGAATCGTTGAGCATCTGCGGTGGCTTCCAGCGGCCTGTAAGCCATGGCATCTTGCCACTAAAATGAGCTACAGCTGCTTGCAGGTTTTGACAGCCCTATTACGACCTATTAGGACCTATAGATACTTGGCGGAGAGCAGTTGTTGATCGCTGTAGTTCATCCTATGGAGATGGGACTGATTGTGAAGGACTGAAGGGACTTTAATACTTTGGCTTTCACTGGCACCTCGAATTACTGTGCTAACGAGCCAAAATTGCCACCAGTGCAGACTGAAAGTATTAAAAAGAGCGCAGCAGCTCTGAAAGGGGTGAGATTTTAAGCATTCAGGACACTTCCACTAGGAGTCACTACCAGCAACATCCCACATCTGCAGCGAATCTGGACTTTTCTCAGCGCACATCTGGCACCAACTGAGACCGCGTGCTGCCCCTCAGTTGCAAGAAGACCTGGGTGCCACCAGCCACAGCCGTGACAGGTTCACGGCTCACTTGGACGGAGCCCTTTTTTCACACTCCTTATGTGTCACAGACTCATTGGAAAAATTGAAAATGTAATGAACCCAACCACTCCACCATCCATGACCAAGCCACGCTTACCGGCACCTGGCTGCCATCCAGCGCAGCTAGAGCCTTGCAACATCTTGCAGTGAGGACAAACCGACTGGAAAAGTTGGGGACATTCTTTATATAATGTTTATATTGTTTCTATCTTTATATTGTTTCTATCTATGCGCACCCCACAGAGCCTCTCGAAGTCCTTGGATCTCCTTTTCTCGCTTCTCCTTGCGCTCCTGTCAAGCATCTTGGTGCTCAAAACATTGGTATGTTGGTGAGCAGGGTTCGTGTTGGAAAACCCACCCATACAATGGTGAATTGGAAATCCCGTTTCATTGTCACCATATGGCCAATCATCGGCCACAATGACAATTTTTGACCATCCAAACCCCGGTGATATCCAAAGCCACCGCAACCAGCATTGGCTCAAGAGCGCCCCTGCGATCCTCGTAGGGCTCCGGTTTGGCCACGCACTGATCCTGCAGCTTCGTCATGTACTCCTGCACTATGGCAGATGGCAACTCTTCCACCATGTAGCGATAAGTAAGTCTGCGTGTGGCCCATGTGCGGGGTTTAGTAGCATGGGATAGCCTTGTCCATCTTCCGGCCAATGAAATGTATGCCACCTCCTTAAAAAACATCTCTGGTTGAACCTTGTTTGGCCTCTTGAAAATTGATTGTTTGGAAAGTGTAGGGTGCCCCCCATGGTTTGGAAGATAATGTGATGCTTGTTGGCTTTAGAATGGGGGGTTGTACGGCTGGAAGATGGGCAGGCTGTACCTAGCTTTAGTACCTTGAGGTTTGCTGCCTTGTGAGATGCTGCCAACGAAGTTACAGTAACGTGGACTTCATCGGACTTGTTGCGGTGCATCCCAGCCATACTGCACCGGAACTGTCCTGAAGGGCATCAAGCTCCTCTTTGGCACTGATGTGGTCCGACTTCAATTCGTTCAACAACTGGAGCTGATGCCCGTTCCCACACCGGCAGGAGCTTGGGACATGCACCTACGAAATAAAATCAGGCTGATGAGAGAGGAAAGAACATGCTGCCAACTCAGACAGGCCCAACTGCTAGAAGTTACTTGAAAAGCCCGGAGAAGGTGTCTCCCCAACCATCACACCCTGCCTGAAACGTATGTTGGGTCATGGTGTGGCGATCTATTTCGAGCATTCCAAATCTTACGGGGAGGGGAAGGCAGAAAGCGAAACTTTGCCTGGGTTGTCGGCTGTTCCCGTGCCCATATCCGCCATGCCCACCATGACCTATGAGGTTCCTGGTTTTCAGGCCTTTGACAAGGCCGTGGCATCTGCAGTGTAGGTATCCACCTCACGCATTCACACCTACCGCAAAAAATGAGCTGTATACTTTGAGTTGAATCAGTTGAATTCCCACAAGGTTGGAAGTAAGTGGAATGAGCAAAATGCTTTGTGTTTCAGCCTGCCAAGACATGCAACGATAGCAAAACTGGGCCACTCGCTTCATGCTGTTTGGTCCCTTGCAGCACCGCATTGTGTTTCGAGACTCGCCTGAACCAATCCCAAAGCCCTAAACCTCCAAAGGTCATGCTGCCGGGTTTGCCCAAATTTTAGGGGCCAAACCCATCAAAGTTGGAACCCAACCTGTGTCACCAAGGCCATTTGCAATCCCAGGTAGCACCAGGCTGAGTGCATGGCTGGTATTCAGAGACAGCCTGCTCTTCCTCTCCAGTCTGGGCATCCAAGCGAACGTGCAGAAACCCCAAGAGACAAGGGCTGGATGGCTACGACCCAGTTCGAAGTCATCAGAATTTGGGTTATGTTTTGCAGTAAATCGTCTGATTTTTGAATGTACGTGTTTGATATTAATAATGTCCAGCCATGAGTAGGTGACAACTATATTGACGCACATGAAGCTAAATAACACAAACGCGCAAATAGATAGAATATTATATTATAATATAATAAAATATAACATAATGTAATCCAATAAAATATAATATAATATAATACCAGTAGTACCGCACAAGGCGGTGGCGGAAGTTTCAAAAATAGGAAACCTATAGGAGAAGTTGGTTGTTGTGAATCAGGGATGGCAGAGCGAAGCCACTGATTGACCGAAAGGTGGTTGGAGTTGTGTTTGCTGGAATGGTTGCAATTTTTGCAGTGGTCACCTCACCCACAACTGCTGGATGTAGTGTGACTGCAACTGTAGTTGTAGTTGTAGCGTAGTGGAGTTGTAGTTGTGGTGTAATGTAATTAGTGTAGTGTAGTTGCAGTCATATGGTTGTAGCTGTAGTTGTAGTTGTAGTTGTAGTTGTAGTTGTAGTTGTTGTGTGGTTGTAGTTGTTGTGTAGTGTAGTTGTAGTTGTAGTAGTAGTAGTTGTTGTAGTGTTGGTCGTTGTAGTTGTTGTAGTTGTAGTTGTAGTTTGTTGTGTTTGTGCTAGTTGTTGTTGAGGTAGTTTTGTTGTTGTTGCTGTTGTTGTTGTTGTAGTTGTTGTAGTTGTAGTTCTAGTTGTAGTTCTAGTTGTAGTTAGTTGTAGTTGTAGTTGTAGTTGTTGTTGTTGTTGCTGTTGTTGTTGTTGCTGTTGTTGTTGTTGTTGTTGTAGTTGTTGTAGTTGTAGTTCTAGTTGTAGTTGTAGTTGTTGTGTCGTTGTTGTAGTTGTAGTTGTTGTAGTTGTAGTTGTTGTGGTTGGTGTGGTTGTTGTTGTTGTTGTTGTTGTTGCTGTTGCTGTTGTCGTCGAAGTTAGGGTAGTTAAGTTAGTGAAGTTAGTTAAGTTAGTCAAGTTAGTTAAGTTAATCAGTGTCTACTTTTTCGACATCTTCACGTCAAAAAAAGGCTCAAAACCCTCAGTTTTTTACACTTTTGACTTCGAAATGTGCTTCGCGCCACAACGGCGTGCACTTTTTCGACACTTGTTCGACATCTGAACCTCCAAAAGTGGTCCTTTTTCGACATCTCAACTTCCAAAAGTGGTCCGAACCTGGTGTGTTTTGTACATTTTGACTTGGAAATGTGCTTCGCGCCACAACGGCGTGCACTTTTTCGACATCTCAACTTCCAAAAGTGGTCCCAGAATGGTGTGTTTTGCACATTTTGACTTGGAAATGTGCTTCGCGCCACAACGGCGTGCACTTTTTCGACATCTCAACTTCCAAAAGTGGTCCGAGAATGATGTGTTTTGTACATTTTGACTTGGAAATGTGCTTCGCGCCACAACGGCGTGCACTTTTTCGACATCTCAACTTCCAAAAGTGGTCCGAGAATGATGTGTTTTGTACATTTTGACTTGGAAATGTGCTTCGCGCCACAACGGCGTGCACTTTTTCGACATCTCAACTTCCAAAAGTGGTCCGAGAATGGTGTGTTTTGTACAGTTTGACTTGGAAATGTGCTTCGCGCCACAACGGCGTGCACTTTTTCGACATCTCAACTTCCAAAAGTGGTCCGAGAATGGTGTGTTTTGTACATTTTGACTTCGAAATGTGCTTCGCGCCACAACGGCGTGCATTTTTTCATCTCTCATCTGGCCAGCTGGCTCCGCCCCCGCCGCTTTAGCGAGCCTACTTTTCGACCCTCCGGGAAAAACATAGTGAATCGCGACTTTCCTATCTTTTCGCGCATCTACCTCTTCTTTCTTCTGATCTTGTCTCTTCTGACTCTTCTCACCTCTGCTTTTCAACTGTCCATATTGTCGGAAGTTTCACTTCTAAAGTTCCTTCGATAATATAATATAATATGCGATAATATAATATTATTAAAAAATAAATAATATAATATAATAAAATATAATAAAACAAATTACTTTACTTCGTGTGATCCCCACCATGACATTTATACATTTTCTTACTGGCAAATCTTCTGGCATTCTATCTGACATATCTTCTGACATTCTATTTGGCATTCTATCTGGCATATCTTCTGGCATATGATCTGGCATATCTTCTGGCATATCTTCTGGCATTCTATCTGGCAAATCTTCTGGCATTCTATCTGGCATATCTTCTGGCACTCTATCTGACATATCTTCTGGCATTCTATCTGGCATATCTTCTGGCATATATTCTGACATATCTTCTGGCATTCTATCTGACATATCTTCTGGCATATATTCTGACATATCTTCGGGCATATCTTCTGGCATATCTTCTGGCATATCTTCTGGCATATCTTCTGGCATATCTATCTGGCATATCTTCTGGCATATTTTCTGGCATTCTATCTGGCAAATCTTCTGGCATTCTATCTGGCATATCTTCTGGCATATTATCTGGCATTCTATCTGGCATATCTTCTGGCATATATTCTGACATATCTTCTGGCATTCTATCTGGCATTCTTTGGCATTCTTCTGGCATATCTTCTGGCATATCTTCTGACTTCTGACATTCTTTCTAACTTTCTTCTGCACATTCTTCTTCCTACATGAGGTCCGGCAGGGAACACTTGGCGTGGATACTCGCGGTTGAGGTCCGGCAGGGAACACTGGGCGTGGATGGTCGTGGTTGAGGTCCGGCAGGGAACACTGGGCGTGGATGGTCGTGGTTGAGGTCCGGCAGGGAACACTGGGCGTGGATGGTCGTGGTTGAGGTCCGGCAGGGAACACTGGGCGTGGATGGTCGTGGTTGAGGTCCGACAGAGAACACTGAGAACACTGTGGATCGCGGGTCGCAGTTGGACGAGGAGGACGACGAGGAGGACGACGAGGAGGACGACGAGGAGGACGAGGAGGAGGGGAGGAGGAGGAGGAGGAGGCAGGAGGAGGCAACTGACATAAAATCTAACAACCCTCACCTGGCAGGTGGGGAAATATAATATAATATTATATTAAATATTATATTATATTTTATTATATTATATTATATTATGTTATATTATATTATATTATATTATATTATATTATTCATAATATTATATTATCGTATATTATATTATCGTATATTGTATTATATTGTATTATATCATATTATATCATATCTTATCATATTATATTATATTGTATTATATCATATTATATCATATCTTATCATATTATATTAAATTATATTTTGTTATATTATATTATTTTTTATAATATTATATTATCGTATATTATATTGTATTATATCATATTAAATCATATGTTATCATATTATATTATATTATATTGTATTATATCATATTATATCATATCTTATCATATTATATTATATTATATTTTATTATATTATATTATATATATGTGTGTGTGCAGTCAGTAATATATAAAACATCAAACCATATCATTGGTCATATACTGCAAGTGGAAATTTTGGTGGTTTCGATGAATTCTGACAGGGGCTGGGGTACCGCACCAAGATCGTGACCTGAGGGGGGGGGCAATTGTCTTAAGGAATTTTGCAGAGTCCCTAAGCGCTTAATGCCTCACAAATTATGGCATCAGACTTTATAGGCTTACAGTTAGATGGCAGCACTTCGTTCGGATTGGCAATCGGCCCGACACTTCGTGGCACTTTTGCAAAATGGATGTGTTTGGAACCTGATCACGGGTCGTGATCTGGCCACCGTCCGTTCTACGCCCAGCGCTTGCCAGTTAGGCAAGGGGCCAGCAGAAGAAAAACCTGCAATTCCTGCGCTTGAACTAGGAGAGCAAATGACTTTGGATAGGTTCCAACTCTAGTCATGGAGTTATCCCATTGGAACAAGTTTCAACCCTTTCAAGCGACTTGAAACAAAAGGCAAAATCTAATCGATCTGCATCGAGCAACGGCCGAAACCTGAACTATGTACATTATGAATCAGTATGACAGCAACAGTAGAATCATTGAATTCTCTGATATTTGCCGTTGATGAGGCAACCCCGTCACCAAAAGAATAATCCCGCAGTCCACGGTTCCATTCACACTCTGTAGGGATAAAATGGTAGCAGCTGGTGCCCAACCGTCCAACCTGGGCGACTTTTTATTGGCACACCCAGGACAGTTTGACAACTTTCAGGAAATCTAATTTCATCGAAGATATTCGAAGATGCTTCCAGCCAATCTGGGATTGGACCCTCCAAATTCATCCAACTTCAGCACTGTTCACCTTCCAAACTTCTGTGTTGGAATCTGGAAGACACATCCATCCTCTGCAACACTAACGCAGACTGTCCTGAAAAGAATGAGAACCAGAGAATCAGCCCAACCGACGGTGTGTGACCTTTGGGTCGTTCTTCAATTCGGGGGTTACCGGTCATACATAAGCACCCGCATATGCATACGCAAGGGCACGCACACACACACACACTTGCTCAGAACAATCTTTGCGAATTCTGATGTGGAACGCATCGTACGTGCAAAAACACTCCAATTACACCTGACAGGAATGGGTCTGTGAAAAGACCCGAGAAAGTTCGAAAAGCTTCCATCCCCACGACTAGTGCCAGATGCAAGAGCCAAATCATTCCCACCTGACATTGACTTGAAATTCATCAGTTCGAGTTTGGTTTGAAAACTGTTTGAAAAGCGGCCATAAACAAATGACATGAAATGAAATGAAACGGCTTGGTGGTTCTTGGGTTAGCCACATCCCATGTCCGAAAATGGAGCAGGTACGTGACAAAGGCGTCCCTTCGTCATATCACCATGGAAAGGCAGTGTCTTCGTTGGTGGATGACTGCCAGACCATGCATCCACCCCCTGCTCTAAAATGGAAATTGAAGTTGAAACCGGCAGTTGAGGTTGGTAAAGCATCACGAAGGAAAAACGACAACCAAACGAACAGTAAAAATCAACATCATCAGGTAGAAGTTTTACATCTGTTCAGATGTTCCACACACACACATGTGTATAATATATATATATATGTGTGTGTGTGTATCTATGTCATGTAATGAATGCCACTCTTGCAATGTTATGTCATATCATGTAATATATATGTAATGTCACGTAAAGTAGCGTAACGTATGGTATGGTATTGTAGGGCATTGCATTGTATTGTTGCATGCATGCATGTAGGTAAGTAGGTGTGTGTGTGTGTGTAGGTATGTATGTATTCATGCGTTCATGCGTTCATGTATTCATGTATTCATGTATTCATGTATCCATGTATCCATGTATTCATGTAGCATGTATGAATGTAGTGTAATGTACTGCAATGCAATGGAATGCGATGCAAAGGACCATGTACAGTAATGTGGAGCATACTTTAATGTAATGTAATGTAATGTTATCTCGTGTTATGTTATCCTTTGTTATGTATGTAATGTATGTAGTGTAATGTGATGTAGTGTAATGTAATGTTATGTTATGTAATGGGTGTAATGGATGTACATAATGTGTATATATATATATATATAGTGTATGTGTGCGTGTGTGTTTTTTGATTGTATATGGCTATACAAGTGTAGATTCCGGATGATTGAGGTACAGGCGATATTAGATAGATACCAACCGACATCGATGGCACACCACTGGAATCGGTCACTGCTCTGTGCAGTGTTCTATTCCTGTGTCCACCCAGCGGGGTTCACTCAACCATCTGGCGGACCTCAGGGAAACACAAGATCTAGGGCACGAGCATCGATGGGAAGTTAACACAAGTGGTCTCAAAATGCACGGAGAAGGTCTACCAAGAGGCTCATTCCAAGTTGGGATGCAAAACATAAACCCTTGAAAGAGTTTGAAATCGGCCTTTTACCATCTATATACTGTATGTCCATCATTATCCATCCATCTTTGTTCGTGGTATCTCCAAGTTGTGCTGACATCTTTCTGAATTGGTACCCAAGAAGCGCTGAAACACTTTGTTCGACCATGGGTCCGATCTCACATCAATTCGCAGCCTTGGTCATCGCGGCGACCCAGGCTGAACTGTTTATCCCGCGCCAGCTATGGTGACCCTATGGCGTATGAAGATTATGAAGCCTCACAAGTGGAGAAAGAAACTATCTTGCACCATCAGGATAGCCAAGTTCGGCTCTGAACGTGCAGCTGGAAAGGACTTTGGAAAACAATGGTTCTCTGTGCAGCCCATTGAATACAACGGCACATGCGCCAGTCCAACCTACTATAGGCCTTCAAATCCTTTCAGGGATGGCTGGGAACAAGCCATAGAACTGCTGGGTATCATAACCTACCTGGAAGTGCAAAATGAACGCCTATATATCTGTTTCTCAGTCTTGCATGTCGCGCAAAATTCTGCAGGAAATCAATTCCTTTCAGCGAATCCGACAGTGAACTCAAAATGTCGCCAATGGGCGGCCTATGGGGAGGGTTGCAGGATCGTTTTGGGGGTTGAATCTGTGAGGGTTTTTCCTCAACCCCACTTTGATTCAGCAAAGGCACCAGCTTTTCTGACGCCTGCGGGAGCAACCGGGGGCAGCAAGCATCACCACCACCATCAAACTTCAAACCCAGGTTCAACATAATCAAAATGCAGGTGCTGGGGTTCTAGATCACACTCTATCACCTGATGAATCATGGCAACGCCCTCTCCTGCTGCACAGCAGCCTTCCTCTAGTTTCCAGGCGGCATCTGGCACTCCTGGAGGCCGGGTGGGCAAGAATGTAGTAGGCCAGGGGGTGCCTAGCAACTGCTTGCGACTTCAAGTGCTGCAGCAAGATCTGAAGCCTTTCTTCAGCTTCTGACCCTGGGGGCCCAGATTTAATGCCGAATCACACACAGGTTTTGGCAATCAAACGGAATTGTGATTGTGGGGTTCCATCTCATACTTCAGAGGCGTGATCTAAAGTTAGTTTTGGAACACATCTTCAACAGTGCAACGTGTTATACATATCCAGCTTTTGGCCTTCCCGTGATCTCTCCTGCAAGCTGTCGATGCTTATGCAAGGGGATCAGAATCAGGGTAATATCGTCCTTGGCAGCCAGCTATGAAAGACCAGCATTGGCTTCATGGCATCCCCGTGCACAGGAACTTGGAACGGTCATGTGAGCAACAAAGACACCATGTCTAAATAAGCCTCCCCCATCAAAAATTGATTAACATGAATACAGTAAAGATCCAAACGGAAAAATTAGTCTGTGATCAAAGCGAATCACCAAACCAGAGTTCTCACGGAAAGGCTGGACTCCTGACAGCTTAAAAAATAGCTTTGCATGTATATAGCTTTTGGCGGTGTTGCCAGTGCAGGACAGGAATTTCCAGGGCGTCTGATCAAATCCACCGAATTTGATGAATAAAATCTTCAGGACAAGGGTCGCAGTACCACTCGTCGTATTCACCCCATTTTTCTTTGGCAGCTGCCAACAGCTTCAATGTTGCTTCCTCCAGTGTCCCATTCGCCAAGCATCTCAAGACCTGAGTCAAGGAGGTTTCTGGTTCCTTTTTATGACGGAAGCTAGAACAGAATATGGAATTGCGTCGCGCAATTTAGGATGAACCGGGTTGCTGGATGGGAAAGGTATCCGAAATCTACCAGTTCGGGAGATCAATTTTGCGCAAGAGCTCCCAGAAAAGATTGGTATGTTTGACTGTTTGACCCGGAGCCTTAAAATTCCTTTGCTATCTAATCTATCTATACTCCTGTCACTCTAAGTTTGAGCCACCCAAGATCTCTCTATCAGTTTGCTGCCATGGCTCTATGTCGGACACCTCATCACATGACAGGAAATCCCAGACTCCATCGCTGGCCACCAGCATGTAGCTTTCAGTTTCCCGAATTTTCCAGGTTACAATCTCCGGCTCCGCCGTGATGCCGTGCTGTTTCACACAGAGATCCCCCAGGGATCGGGTCATGCAAAGGCCCGGGAAGTCTTCCCCGGCCACGAAGAGGCGCTCCTCCACGAAACCTCGGTGAGCGCCAGCTAAGCCCTTCCCGTCGTTTTGCCTTGACGCAGTTAAAGTGTTCAACTCTACAGTCTTGTCATGTCTTGTCTAGACCCTCGAGATCTCTCTCTCTCTCTCTCTCCCTAGACCCTCGAGATGTAGATTGCGACTTTTCAGCACAAGCATGTGAATATTAATATACGGTAATTGTTTGATATCTCATCCCCCGCACCCCAGTTCACCCAGCATTTTTCTCATGGCCGCCGTGGCCGCCATGGCGCCGTCCTCATGGATGGTGGTCTGCAGCTCCAAGCCCAGGCGCTCCACCCGCTCGCGCTCACTGTCCAGCGAAGGCTTGTGGTCTGTGGTCTCAGCCACCACGCCGGGTTCACCTCAGCTGCTGACTGAGTAGAGGTGTAGGTACGGTATGTGTAGGTTTACCTCCATGTAGTTAGATGGTGGGTAATATGCAGTTTTTGTTAACCAAGCTATGGCAGAGATAACTTGGTAAGGTAAGTTTTACCCCCATGTTTACCCCCATGTTGAAGTTTTTCCTGGGCTTCCAGCTCCTCCAAAGCTATGCCCCTACCCCCCCAACGTGCCTGGCACCAACATCACCGCCTTGGAATCGCCACAGTTGGCCACCCAAACTTTGTCATAATCTGGATGCTGCAGGACACACACAGCTGTGCAGCCGCAGACTTGCAGCGGGATATCCTCCTGCAAAGCTGCTGGGCTTCAAGTCATCTTCAAAAGGTCGACCCTTGAAAATTGAAATCCATGTGTTCAAATCAATTCAAAGCAGAATAGCCAAACAAAAGCGAATTCAAATACCCAATGTCTAAATTAAATCATGTGCGCCAAACAATGCCAAACCTCCCCAGCTACCAAGCAACCCATCCATCCACACCTGCAGCGACTGCTTCACCAAATCCATCTGCACTTTTTCGAAGGCATGGAGCACGGCGGCCTTCGAAGGAGACATCTTGTTCTCCTCCTATCTTATGGTTCCCAATGGCCCAAAACAAGTGGAAATGCTAGTGCCCGTGGATTTTTGGGGGCCTTGGCTGTAAACTTCTTTCCTTCTCATTGAAATTGTTCCTCTCTCTCTGTCTTTGATTCTACACGATTTGCAGTAAGACCTACGAACGGGGATAGTTTTACTTTTAAAGTTTATGATCTTTGACTCCTCAGGACCAATTCAAAAGCTGCCCTCGCAAGTGCCAAAGTGGATTGAAAGACATTGTTATAAACTGAGGCTTCGAGCTGGACCAATGGTGTCAACATCCTACTTTGGTGACCATCACAATTCAAAACCGATTTGCGACCATTGCCAGACTCCAAACTCTGCCCAAAGAAATGCCTTTCCTTTATTCAAACTGGCTACCACCCTTCAGGTAAATACCTCCAGGCTATCCAATCCATCCCCATCCATATCCCCCAACCGATACAGCATATGCTGCAGCTATATATATATATACATGTGTGTGTGTGTGTAAATATATATATATAGTTAGAGTTATAGTTATATATTTGTAGTTATATAGTTATAGTTGTATCGTATATAATGATTGTATAACCATCACTAGAAGACACGACCATCGAGTCCACGGGCCCACCATGCCTTGATCTTGCCCTGTTTCAGCATGGTGCTGCAGGAGCTGGACGCCTGCAGGAAGTATGGCAGCGTCCGGGCGGCCCTCTGCGCCGGCCAGTGCCCCGAGTCGCCGTGGCCATCGAAGAGACAGAAAACGGACCAACCTGTGTGCCATTTTTAGCCCTCCCATGGCATACGGAGTATGCGAGGGTTGGGAAATGTTATAGAAAAAACAGTTATACTTGGCCATGCCAAATATGCAATGAGATATAGCTGTTATTAAAGCTGTTGTTGCTCAATTTTATCCAAATGCGCCGGAGTATATATGATGGGGTTATGAATACAGTTACACGGGTATTTGGAGAAAAAACAGCTCTCCCTGACGTAAAAAGGCATTGGAGGGTGTTGTTGGGGAATTGTGTGGGCAGGGTCTGATCTGCGAGTGCATGCAAGTGCAATGCCACATTTGCACACTAGTAGGAGCAAGTCACACCAATTTGCAAATCAATCCACCTAGATAACATGGCCAATGACCACTTATTAAGCAGGGGTACAGTATGTGATCCAGTCCATGGCATCCCTGTGAAAATCAGACCGAGCAACCGCTGGGCAGTATGGAAATGGAGCAACAGTCCTGTCCGATAGACCGATCTCCCCATCCCTTGCAGCCCTTGGTGTTCACCGCCGCAGCGCCAAATCTATTCCTCGGCGCCAACTGAGCCCATTCTCGGTGCGCGCAGTTGTACCCCCTGCCAAAATTCATCAACCACACCAGAACCGTTCCCTCTTTTGCAGCAGCTAGTCAATGCTATTCAGGCTCTTTAAGGAGGAATCCAACACCCCCAGCTCCAAAAGCCTCCCACCCCGCGTGCCAGTCAACCTTGGCCCAGCTTCAACAAGCTCGCTCCATTGGCGCCTTTGGGAAGGACCTGCCACCGCCTCACTGCATGAGCAGATTCTTTGTTCCGCGCCGGCATCTGAGGGAAGATGTGCCAACAGCTTGGCGTCCAGACTTTGTCCTCAGCCAAGCACCAGTGGAGCCTGGAAGAAATTCTGGAGGACAAGTACTCTACAGCCGGGGGTCTGAACCTGGTTTCTTGCAGATTTTCCCTTGCCCTAAACCAATCCAGCAAATAGAGAATTAGTTTTTCTGACATGCCCCTGAGCCTGTTCTGTAGAACAACCGCTCCATCACCGTGACAGCAGGGCGCTATGGCAGTTTCACTTGTGTCTTCCAGAATGTTGCAAAGATTGCCCTCGGCCTGCGCGAAGCACTGCAATCAAGTCAAAGGAGCTATTCGCTTTCCATTCAAACCTTTCAACATCCCTATGGAACGAGCTTGCAAGGGCTGAGAAGCCTTGGGTAGCCAAACACGTTTGGGGGAGCAGAAGCATCAAGCCACGCAGTGTTGAACGAACACAGAACAAGAATAGCGTAACATTCTGTCTAGCTTTTGATTTGGGAATGCGGGGATTGAAGGTTCAGCCAAATTTATTCACCTTTGATGGCCCTTCATAAATAGCCAGAAATGGGGCATACATGGGAATCATTGCTAGAGGGTACAACCAATTTTGGTGAGATTGGGGCTGGGTATCCTCCAGTTCTTGGATAGACATCCTGCCTTCAAGACTGCACACCCAAACCATTCTCCCATCTTCACCCATCTTCTCCCCGTAAAATCCAATAAATATCGTGGAATATCTTGCACATCCCAGCGGGCCCCATCAAAAAAACGTTTGGAGATCGCGTAACCTTGAGGAGCTCATGCATCTTGTGCATCTTCGCCAAGCCATCAGGCGGCACGGACATCCTGAGGCCATTGTTTTCCCGGAAGTTGCGGGTGACATGGCCGGGTGGGAGGACAAATTTTATACATTTATTTATATACATATATAATTATATAATTATATAATTTACATTTCACGTCTTACGGATCTAACCTGATCCCAAAATCCATCAAAAATATCAAAATCTATTTGGGTTTCCCAGCTGGTTTCACCTTCACTTGGTCTTTCCGTCCTCATAAAGCGTTTGATGGCCACTCTGGACCAATCTCCCGAGGGATCGGTGGCTTGCCGACCGTACCTGCAGCCAGTTGGTCTTAGTTTGAAATGGGGGGAACTCATCCCATCTCCGTAAGATTACTTATACCCCCCATATGGGCCCCCAGTCATGAATGGATCCAATACTAATCAGGAGTTTCGTTCGGGAAATATGTGACATAGGGGGGAATGGATTACAATGCATCTAAATTATCATGTGGTTGGGAGAGTCTTAGCAGCTCCTTGGCTTCCCATTTCATAAGGAATATGGATGCTCATAGCTCCTTTGCTCCTCCTAACCTCCGGTAGTAAACGCAATGGCATGGGTCAGAGTTGGGGAATATGTTAGTCTGAGGCTCCTGGTTCATGACTTTTTTTTGCTTGACCCATGCGCATTCCTTTTAGATCCTTTGAGTAGGCTCACCCAACGTCATAACACATTCCGTGAATCAATGGAAAGAAATGGACACTCCATCATTGGCATCATACAGAATTCAGACATGGCCAACCATTCTGGATATCCAAAGGCCCTTTGATCATCAAATGGAGGTTTCCACGGGCCCTGTCATTTTCCCATGCCATTCTGTATCATATATATATAACTGCTTACGTTGGGCGTAGAACCCGGATGCATCATCTGTCGCCTCTGGTTAACCTAGCCGCCTAGCCCCCTGGAGGATTTACAAACATGCGGGTGTGTCTCATGTCTTGACTGCCTCTCAAATTTCCGAAATGTGCCTTTGATGGAAATCATGAAATCAACGGACAGGTTATTGGGCCTATCCGTCTATCTATTTGTATATTGCATATATACATTATATATAGATGCCTGTGTATGTGTGTGTGCGTGTGATGTTCTCTGTGTGTGTGTGCATGTGTGCGTGTGTGCAGTGCACACGCATATGTGTGTATATCTAAGTACGGTCCCTGAGAAAGCTTCCCACAACCACCAAATATCCGTCATCTCAGCAACATCTGGCAGCAAATCTGATATTATTACATGGATACAACGAGGTGGCCAAACACCAGCAGTCCAAAAAGCATCTTAACTTTCTCCGAACTCTACCCATAGGTCCATAGGTCCTCTCAGAACGACAGCTGGGCCACGGTGATGGTAGATGTTTCACCGCTTCTTCCATATCCTCTCTCCTTACAGAGGACTCCGTCAGCCGCCTGTCAAATGGATTTAAATGGGATCTTTCTGCAAGTCTTCCTGGAGCATATCCCAGTTGGTCACTGGCTAATGGCCATTCTTATAAATAAAATCGAGGTAATTCATATCAATTTATCTTAATTGGGGATAGTGGGGGTGGTGCATACTAATCACCATGTTCCTGTACGAAGCACTTCCTCAAGTGGGACAAGAATTTGAGTAGCAGTATCTGGCAAGCAGTGCGCGCAGGAGCTTCGAGTCTTTACTTGGTGGCAACTGACCTGTACCTTTGAGGCCTCTTGTGGTTTCTGCTCATTGGCACCGAAAGCATTGCTGGGCTCTCCATCAGCAGCGAAGGCACCAGAAAAAATACAAGGCCGAATTTTTGCACCCGGTGCTGGGCTGATATGCGCTGACAGGAATGAAGCCCCAAGTAGGTGAATGGTTGTGGGTAGCTGAAAGTATGATTGCCACAACATTGACGTGCGAGTTGGATGAACTTTTTGGTAGCTGCTGTCTGCTTGTAACGGCAAAAATGTGCAGACTCTGACCAGGAAAGGTGCTGCGATGCCAGGGCAAGTGATGAGCCTCTGTTCCCTGGTCGGGAATCCACCTATTCCCAAGGTTTGATTTGATGTAAAAAACAAACCCGGACAAGACCACCTCGGACGCCACAGCACCCTTCACGGCTCGACCTGGGCCTTTGGGTCTCCCAACACGGCGGTGGATGTCAGACTTGGCATACTCCAGCATCGAAACCTCAACAGATTTGTTGGCGGGGACATGTGGGGATGCGAGGACCTGGTACTCAACGCCCTTTTGAAAAAAATGGCATGCTAAGGCTGCTAAGGGCATCAAGGGGGTAAGTAGAACTCACACTTTCACACAAAACGTCCACCCCCAACGCTTCGGAGCCATGCACTGAATCCCTGTAAAAGAACTGCATCATGTTGGGATATACCCCAGTGATCCCCAGTTGCTAGCAAGTGAGCCGAACTCACTGCATTCCCCCAAGGACCAAATCTATCCTTGAGTGGCGCACCACTTGCTTACCTCGGCCTAACAAAGCACAAGCTGAGGCAGGTGATGCTTGGGTTCCAAATGATTCCCGATGGACATATAGGATATGTGTATGTGGTATATACATGGATGCACCGAAAATGACCATTCGAAATTCAAACAGTGAAAATTATGTTTGATCCGAATATTTGAAGGTACCCCATATAAACAAATCTCTTGAGCGAGAGTTTGGGGATCTCCAGGTCACATCCGAAAGGATTCTTCCTTTGATGTCATGGGCATAATAAATCCCCCGCTGCCTGCAGGGTCCCCAAGTCTCGAATAGTAGCCGCGCCTTGGCCGCCATTACACATATGGATAGACATAGCTACACACTGAGTTCCAATATGTGCGCGGGAGCGTACGTGCTGCAACATCTGCCACTATACATCTATAATTATATAATATAATAGGTATTCGGTTCACTTCCTACATGAGATGATCCTCTGAGCAGCTGCTTAGCCAATCCCAGTGCCCAAACTCTCTTGGGATCCAGCAACACCTGCAGGGCCAAGCGCAGCCCCTCCATGGCATCCTTCGCGTTGCCGTCGGCTTTGTCGAACAGGGCTTTCTCCTTAGTTCTCACCTGGCTCATTCATGGTGGGCTAGCGGCTAGCCATCCTTGGCTGACATTCTTTCCCGATTTTTTGGGAAGATAGTGAAAAAATAAACCTGGCTCCAATTCGAAAATCAACCAATTCTCTTGATACAAATCAACCAACTCGATTTTTGGAACAAAAAATCCATGAGAAAAATTGAGAAAGGCTTGGGGCAGCTCGTCGCTTCCCAGCCTCGTCCATTTCCAGCTGCGTCTTGGCCAAGTCTGTGAGCTCCTGGGCCATGGCAGCGCCTAGGGAGATGAAACTTTGGAGCAAGTTTCCATCAGTATGTCATGTAATGTACTGTCATGGTATGGTGATGTGATGTGATGTGTGGTGTGCTGCGGTGTGGTATTTATACTTGTTTATTCATGTTTTTATTTATCTATTTAACTAATTAGCATTTATTTATGTATTTATTTGTTTGTTTATTTATCTATTTATTTACATTACACCGTAGTGAAAATATACGGACACTTGGATTTGTAAGCCGACCATTACCTCCTTTCAACAAATATGAGGCAGGCCGTCTTCCTGCGTCTACCTGCTAGTGAGGCGACCTAACCCCCTGCATCAATGGCTTTGACTCACCTTCACTTCGGCCAGAATCTCAGGGTTGCATAAATTCTAATACGTACGTTTTAAAAATCGGGACTTCCCCTAGCTGACAATGTTTTTCACGCATCACTTTGATCCCTGCTTCAGCGAATGTGTTGCCTCGCCCACCGCATCCGTGCGGATCCTCCCGCAGCGTGGCAGTCTGCTCAGTCAGATGCGTCAGTCGCGCCTGGCCCTGTTCGATCTTGGTCCTGAGCTCCAGGGTAAAGCCCTATGTAATCCTATTTGTATGCATCCTATTTATTACCAAATAGCAAATCCCAGCCCTCCAATGATTATATGTATATATATATATATACACACTTGTTTTTTCTATATAGTCTCATCTTGTACTACTATTGTGTAACAAGAGATAGATCAAATACTGAACCGGAGTTTTCTGGTGGTCGGGTTATTGTTAGGGGAAAGGGATTGCGATACTTAAATATACTTAAAACATCTTAAAACAAGGTTTGAAAGCCATAACTATCCTCAGAAAATGGTATGCTTTGGGCGATTTGTGTCAGAGCATCTGTGGTAGCAGAAACAACTTCGTCCAGAACAAAATGTCAGGCGGATTAGTCAGAACATCTCACAACATCTCAGAACGATCCACAACTCTCACCTGTCTCTGAGCTGTCACGCCCCAGTTTGTCGACATCGTCCTGCTTGTCCGCACCTGCAGATAGTGCAACCGAACCAAGGACCACGGAACTAGCCACCAACGTCTATATGTCAGCCCTCCTTTCAACTCAAAATAACTACACACAAGCTCTTAAGATCTCGTAAGTCTTAAACCATTCATTAATATCGTAAACCCATGTAAACCCATGTAAACCCAGCAATGAACCCAACAACGCACTACAAATTTTAGAAAATTTGTGGTTTCCAAAGAAAGGAACTTTGTGGCATTGCCGGCATTGCCACTGACACCGGGATCACCGGGATCACCGGGATCGGATTTCTGAGTTTCGAGCTTTTGATGCCCGTCACAGACATCTCTTTGTCACAGAATGCCTGGCGTTGCCAAGGTCAGAAGCCGAAAGCCGAACCGTTGAAGCCATCCAACATCTCCAGTTCAACAAGGATCAAAAAGTTGGATGTTTTATGATGTTTTATGATGTTTTCAGGTTATAGAAATCTGTGCCAATTTTGTGGGCGACAACAAATTCAGCTCCTGTCAGTCCCATGCCGTGGCACCTGGTGATCCGCTTCTGCTCGAGCTTCGGATTGAAGATGGCCCTTGAATCAGCGAAGTGGATGGCTTGTCACTGCTGTCACTGCTGTCACTGGGTCCCAAAAAATAGGGAAACCATGGGAAACCCAGAGTCCAAAGTGGTCAAGTAAAAGTGGTCAAACTTGATGTAGACAAGCATGCGTGCCATTGAGTGCCTGCATGTGCATCTATTCGCATGTTTGTTGAAAGCAGCATTTCGAGGTTTCATAGGGAAACCTGTGAATGTTCACCAAGAATCCACTTTTCCAGGTGTTCGCGTTGGTGATTCAAATAGACACTCCCACTGTACACACTCCACTGCGCCCACGCAGTTAAGGTCACAACAATCATCCCTTCGATGAGTCCTGCAGCTCAGTCTCAAGGTGCAAGGAGATGGTGAGAACATAAAGAGGAATCCCATTGAAGTAAAGCAGAATTGCAGGAGTGTCTTAGTCTTTGAAGTACACTAACTAGACTCAATGCACAGTCTTTGCATCCCCTCCCTTCACAAACTTTGCCACCAGAGGTCTGTATGGCTGTCATACTGGGAAAATAGCTCGCCAGTTTTCTGTGTTTCTGGGCTTAACCAAAATCATCAATCGCAACATGCAACACCAAATGATGAACCATGGTAATGATTCGCATAATGGACACATTCCATCCAAGACATCGTACCGGTGTTCCAGGCTTCCGACATCTTCCGACATCTTCCGACATCTTCCGACCCATCACTATACCGGCTCCTCGAACTTTTTTAAATGGATCCTCACCACCTCAGCAATATTGGCCACTTTCCCAAGAACCTTGCGCACTGCCATGCACGGTCAGGTCGCAGACTACTGAGCCAAGTCCGGGGAAATCATGAATGCTCAGGCTGCAACAGTGCAACAAACTGTACAGTAATTTCCATCATCAGGTGCCTCCTGCACCGCGCAAACCCTGGGCTACCCTGACCGAAGCGCGCTAAGTGACTGCCTGCAGCGTAGTCCAAACGCCCCGCCAACTCAACTAACCTCAGTAGGCTCTGACCGTGCCCTAGGCCATGCCACACCCATTCTGGATGTTTTCGAAACTGGGACCACAAATTTGAAGGGTGCCTTTGAATACGCATTTGTCCTCCGCTACACTGCCGTTTTGTTCCCCTGTTGTTGTTTCAACCAACCCTCTGATATTTCTGGCCAGGTCAAGGCCAGCCCAGTCCATCCCAGCCGCCCTCACCAAGTCGCACAGGTGAATCCAACTTGACGGCCAACCGCCTCACCGATCTCGCTGCAGCCGCAGCACCGCTGCGCTCTGCCTGGGCTGCTCCGCATGGATGGTGGAACCAAGAAAGCCTTTAAGAAACCTCCACGGTCTTTAAAGAAATCTATAAGAGTCTACAAGGCAAAGGATCCAACTATAGAAAACTATGGTATAGAATTATAGAAAACTATATATAGTAGAAAACCTCGTGATATCACTGTCTCTCATCCTTTTGTTGGGTGATGAATCCGATTGGGTGTTCCCAATCCATGGATATACTGACAGAATGGCAGAATGGTAAAGCATGCCCCAATCACCATCCCAATAGACTCCTGTCCCCTGAGAAACACTATTCACCTTGCAGCCACCTAGACAACTTCACCAGTTCCACCAGAATTATCTTCTGCGAGAACCCCCCGTGTTCCCGATTTGTCGAAGGTTCTTTGTTGAATCCAAGGCACGGATTCTGAAGCTGCCTCGACGCCTGGCAATAGTGACCCTGGAAAATCACCCACGAAAATATCTTCTCATCGCATTTCTACATCATGAGTCAAATGTCAAGGACACCCATCTGCTTTTCTTCCGATGCACCTTTGGGCAAGGAACGGATCATAACTTGTCATAGCTCTAAGGGTGAGATGGTGAGATCTGCTTAGCCCTTGGCCAAGCGCGGCACACAGGGCAAGTGCTCCGACTTTTCGCTGAACGCAGCCATTGGATGAGGCACTGCGAATGGAAGACATGCTCGGCTGGACATGGGAAGCACATGATGAGATCCGTGGCCTCCAGGCGGCCCAGGCAACAAGGGCATTCCTCCCCCACACAGCGCGGAAAACACGGCAGCGGCCGCAGTTCCACCACGCTGGGCTTTGGATCCTTTGGCTTGGCCTTGGCTTTGGGCCGGCTTTCAGATGGCAAACTTGCAGCTTGGCATCTGGCTGCATCCTCCAGAGTGGAGACTGAACTCCTGCCGTCTGACCTTGCATCTTCCAAGCTAGCATCACGTGTCCGAGCAGGTCGTACCTGACAGGCCTGTGCCAGAACAGCCCTAGTCTTGGCCACTTCGGCCAGCTGCCGGTCCAAGGACGACATGTATTCCTCATAGGCCTTCCGCTCAGTATGCCGCTGGGCCAAGCTGGTCCCCACCCCTCGCAACTCGTCAGTGGCCACGAGATATTTTCGCAGCTGCTCAGAACTGCTCAGGGGATCATGGAGGAAATCCTTCTGCACACCTGCACCCAAGGAAAGGACAAAGGTCACACTCCCCATGCATCCATGCATCCATGAGTCTACATAGTTGTCTCATGTCGTCTCTACCCAAAAGGAAAGCAAACGCCACAAACACATCCACATCCACATGGCTGTAATAAATGTGCCCATCGCCAAACATAAAAATGAAAAATTGAAAAAAACCTGGACCCAGAACCCCAAAATGACCATAATCAATGTTCCAGGCCTGGCACCCGCTGGGACTGGTAGACTGCCCTGCGCCCAGCATCTTCGGCACGCTTCAGCACTGCAGCCACCCGGTCCCTGGACAGGGACAAGCAGCAAAAACGACGGTACAACGGCCATCTATTTCTTGAGAGCTATCCATTTCACATCCCGTTTGTTTACATGTGTAAATGATTATAAATGCAGTGAGTCCGCAAAACATATTGTGTCCCCTTTTCTGTATCAATTTCCGATGGGACATTGGTAGAAACCTTCCCTTCAAAGAACGCACTCTGCCTGCGCGATGCTGCGCTCTCGGTCGGGTGCCGCGGCTGCCCTCGGTTTCCCATGGTGCTTAGTGGCTTTGGTGTGAGTGATGCCCCAAAACATGGCCTGCAAGGAGGATGGCCTTTCACCATCCCCAGTGCCATAGAACACAAATGTATCCGATACCAATGTATCCAAATGTGAGGGGCTTAACCACTAAGAGCTCAAATTCGGCAAAAAAAGACGCAATAAGCATACAATGTAATCAGCAATTCAAAGTAAAACAAAATCCTCCACCCTCCGCCATCGTCTGATCAAGCTGCGAAATGCCATGATGTCCACATTAAAACGTGGCCCTTTGGGCGGCTTGAGCCAACCAGATCGGCGACCGGGTAGCCATCAAGGAAAAGTTTGGCTAACATCAAAAGAGCTTGGTCACAGCCTCATTGCAGCTTGGGTTTGCAGTTTGTATCTACACAAAAATCATCAAAAATCTGAATTCCGTAGTTCGTCCTGGGGCCATTTTCTGCTGGAAATCTCCGGCCTCGGGCACGACACACCTGGAGGAAGGACACGTCACCTGGGTCCAAAGTCTACAGATCGTCGGAAAAAGGCCAATTCCTAGGCCAACTCGAGCTCCAATATGTACATGTGCATGCATATGTATATGTATATGTACATGGACATGTATGTGTATATACATATCTATGTCCATATACATATATCATATATATATATATGTATGTATGTGTGCGTGTGGAAATAAATAAATATATATGTGTGTGTGTGTCACATGTATGTATAAGCGTTTCTGAAGTGTAACCCACGTGCTGGTGAATTGCAAACGCGCTCATGAATTGCAAATGAAGCCCTGGATCACTCTCTCAATACCGTTACTCCTTGCTTTCATCTGATTTTGGGTCATCCGACGGCCGCACATTTCCCTGGGCGTCGCACTTCCCATCTTAGATGAAATGGCATTCTTGGCCTCTTGCAGCGCCTGTGCCAGCGAAACTGGATTGTTGGGACTAAGCAGGGGTCCCACCTACATAGCGCAAATAGTTCGCCCAAGTGATTGATGTCCTTACTCTTGTTGGTGGCACCCTCATTTCCAATCATTTCTATTGATGATTGATGTGCTTCCCTTTTTTCAGGAACACCCTGGATGCCATGTTGGCAAACGAGGCTGAAAAACAGACTTTGCGCCTGGACCTCTTCTGCCCTGGCTTGCATGTCCTTTTCAAACTCGGACTCAGCAGCGCCAGGGGCTCAAGGGGAATGTTCACCGGAAAATGATGGGAGCCGTTTATCCGTTTAAGGTGTTTCACCTTTCACATTGGGCCCTACCAGCTTTAAGCATAAGAGGCACGGTAGAACCTGCCGCAGTAGCAAAAGGTCAAAGTACACTTTCCGTAGCTTTGCTTTGTTTCTTGTGCAGTGTCTATGTGATGCCTGCACTTTTTCCCAAACAAATCAGCAACTTCCAGCAACTTCCAGCAACCCACCAGGCCCCCCAACAGCTTTTTTCAGGCAGCTCTCTTGCAGGTCCTGAAGTGCACCAGCCTCAGGTCTTACCAAAGGTGCTCAAGGGATTCAGAGCCTGCACCACCAAAGCTTCGAACCCGTTTAATTCCATGTATGATGTCTACAATGCCAAAGTTGGATGTCATTGGTGGTTACAGTGGTTATATCATCCGTATCATCATTTTCCCACTCAAGACAGCCATTGTACAAAACCCATTTTTGGTGTCACAAGGCTCACCGGAGCATTTCACCGGGCACGCGGCAGCTTCGGACATGCTCTTCTTGGCCGCCTCATAGTTTTTCTCCTTAGAGGCCAGAGCCACGCATCAAAGCACCAGACCCATGGGCAGCATGGTGCAGAAACCAACTGTCGCAAAGGCCCAAAAAGTGGCTAGAAAAGCTACCCTTCCATGATGATTTGCAAGGAAGCCTTTTAAAAAAGAAGATAAAAAAGAAGCAACAACCACCAAGGAAAACAAACGACGACAACAAAAAAGAACAAACTCAACATTGAACCTGGGATATATCAATGGGTTATAAACCAAACTCTGGGAAAATTTTTGGGGAACCCCTCCAATCCAATGGTCTATCATCATGTTCCCCATGACATGGCCATTCCCGACAACCGTTGCAGCCTTGGGCCCCCGGACGGCCGTGGCCTTCTTTTGTGAGGCTTCGGTCTGCAATTCCTGGGCTGAAGCCTGGTCGAAAGCAGGAAGCAGCAACTGATGGGGCAGAAATAGTGGGAATCTCGAAATGTAGTGGGATATATATATATATATATATACACATGACATATGATATACGATACACACACATATATTATATAGACTTATTTTTTGGTATATAGAGATTTATATATATATATACGTATCGATATATGCTATAATTCGTTGGAAATCCAACCAACCAAAATATAGAAAAATGGGGTTTGACCGACCAAAGTATACTGACGTGGAGGTCTTGGGATTTGTGGGAAAAAGGGAATTGACTAACAGAATGGATAGATAATGATAGATATGATAGATCGATAGTGAGTACTCCGCTGCTGATTTTGTACATGTTGGACACAGTCTCCGCGAACAAATAGCCAGGACCCACCAGGAGCAGTGTCATTCCTAGTGTGGGGGCCATTCCCCGAGCAAGGCATAATTGCAGAATAGACCCGTGTTGGCCATCTTCGCCCAACAGCATCTATCAGATAGAATCAAATTGATTTCTTCGGAATGATCATGGAATGAAGTTTCTTCCATGTCTGTGCCAAGTAGAATGTCGTGTTACCCATTCCTGGCATCCACATCAGCCGGACCCCACACCATATCACGGTTCAAGTACTTCATCTTGGACTCCAGGGACCTCAGATCAACGCTTTCCTGTATTGCTGGAATAAAGATCATCACATATCACCAAAATGGTCATTGGTGTGGCTAACACCAATAAAATATAATAAAATAATCATCACCAAGAAGAATCATCACCAATAATCATGATCATTAACTGATAAAAAACATTAAAATAATCAGTTTCATGATAGTTTCATTGGATTTTTTTTTGTTAAGTCATTTCTCGGGGGCTCGCCCGGTTCCTCCCGCTTTGCCATCCGAGGTTCTGCTTCAGCAGCTGGAAGCTGTGGAGCTTCTCCTGCTCCTCGCGGCGTAGCTTCTCGAGCCTGGGCAGCTTCGTCTCCAGTGTTTTGAATCTTTCACCCTTCATACCGTTTCTGAATGAAGGAAACCAGGAAAGCCTCAAAAAAAATGTGGGCTCCTAGTTTCTGGAACGGACTGTCGAAGTGGCTCTTGGGGGTTCCAGGAGTTTAGAAATCAAACAATGGGCAGTTTCCTGCTCCAATGTCTCCGCTTTCTCGTGCCACTGGGGCCCCAGCTCACCCTGAGCTTTTTCCAAGACCTCGTTAAGTACCTGCAATTGCAGCACGGTGTCGAAAGATTTGGGACCATTGGAGGTACTGGAGGCCCATTGAAATTGAAGGTGCTGACATTGCGAGCAATTTTTCCTCGCAGCGAACCACAAGGAATTAGCAACCACAGCATTTCCCCTTTGATTCTCCGCCAAGTGACTCTACATGACTCTACCAACATATGCACAATTTAACTTGATGAATGATGATTCCCAATTTCGAACCAAAGGGCTAAAGCGGCTAAAGTTTTAAAGGGTGAAATGCAGTGAGAGCTGTCGTTAAACATCCACCTACGTCTTGTGCAGGCAGAAACTAGCCGTGGAAGGACCGGTCCCTCGACCGCCAGAAAAAAGGTTGAGCGACAGAGGCCGAAGTGCTAAGGGATTGGCTCAAATTCAATTCAGGTACAGGCTGTACAGGCTGCCCAGCTTTACAATTTTTGAAATAGGGGACTTTGCCAAAGCAAGTCACATGGTAGGCTTTCAGTCCCCAAAAGTCTCGAAACTTGTTCTGCTCTTCTGGTAAATGTCCGCCAATATCGATGTACACTGATGTACACCTACATACGAATCCACGTAGATCTAACGAATGATTCCCTGTGCATTACGTGCGTACACCTTGATACGCATTGTGATGATAGCAATTATGTAGACGATAAAGGCAATAATAATAACAACAATAAGACCAGTTGGTAGTAGGAATTGTTTATAATGTGTATATATATATGTGTGTGTGTGTGAGAGCGACGAGAGAGAGAGAGAGAACTTCATTGTTGTTTACCTCTCAGCACTTACAATGTCTGCCTTTCTTGGGTAAATTCTGATCAAGGTTTTCCAACGTTTTCCCACGTTCACTTCACCTCTTGGCCCCGTTGCGGCGGGTGAAACGCGGCGCTGCGCGCCGCATGTTTGGTCCGGTGGGATGTCTGCGTGCCCCGGCTGCAGGCATGGCCGGGCCGGCGCAGGTAGCTTTCCAACTGATGCTCCTGGAAGCGGTTTCCCCATGACGCAGGAGGTTGGGAAAAAGTTTACTCACTTCATCCAATTCATTCAATCCAATCTTCAGCAACACCGGCAAGAAGAAAGCAAGATGGAGGTTGTGGTTGTCTAATGCTTCGTATCCTTTTATCGGAAATCTGCGGGGTGCTGGGTAAGTTTCTCTATGGTTGGTTTCCTGGATGGTGCGGACGGACGTTAGGTATGATTGTACCCGTATTCGGTATTCGTGGATAATGTTTGAACCACATGCTGGTGCCAATGGTGCCACATTCCACATGTTTTGACCTGTGGAGGGGCCTGGACGCCAAATTTCATGCTGAGCCTTTCAGCTGCTGCTTTGCCCTTCAAGCGTTTCTCCGGGGTCGCAAATGCCTATTGCTATCTATATAGTGCTATGGGTGCAGATAGGGAAAGATCTTCCAGGATGTCCAGGAGTTTCCTCAGCAGTGTGAATTTGTCGGTGCTAAGTTTGATTGGCTTTGTATGCTGTCTGATTATGTAGATTTCACAAAATGTTCCCGCACTAGTAGGCCCGGTTTGGTCAAAACGCAGCCCACATGATTCAACTTCAGCCACTGCACAGCCAGTTACTGGCACTTCCTTCACCCAACGTATGTACATCTGAGATGGCAATGGACTATATCCATCCATATCCTTGATTTGGGGTGCCTTTAATATCGCCACTGCTTCCCACATGGTATCCCAACGTTTGTGGCTCACATCACGTGTTCACTGGTCAAATCGCGGTGCTTATTTGCTACACCAAAAAAATATCCAAGTTGAATTTATGATAATTTACGTAGACTATTTCCATCCCATGGAATCCTCAATTTTGGTGGCTTGGTGGGTTGCATATGCCATCCCCAATGTGCGGTTGTTCATACCCGGTAGGGAACCTCCTTTTGAAGGTCTCGCAGCTCCGCCGCTGCTGCTGCAATCTTGCCGCGCAATGTCTGACACAGAAATTGGGGGATGCACCGTGCGGTTGGGTTAATCTCTGTAACTAAGAAATTGGGGGATGCACACCACTAAAGTTCACTAAAGTTGATAAGGGTCCGGGGGAAAGATCGAAAAGCTATCCACCGAGATTTCAATCAAAAAACAAACTGCACTTTTCTATCTGCTTGGAGATAGCTGTGCGGGGGATTAAAGGTTGTAATTTTTGGCATGCAAGCCGCTGATCATGGAGCTGTGGGTAACCAGTGAAACACTCTTTACATCTCTGATCATCGATTTTTTCTTAAGTCATTCACCACGATGAGCTCTGATGACTCTGATGAAGAGGCTACAAAACCCTGGTGCTTAAGGGTTGGTCATGCCGTTCTGCCAAAAGACATGCATCTAAACCAGAAATGCAATTTCTAGGAGAAGCCTGAGAAGCCTCCTTTCAGGATTCTGTCCAATGCCTTTGCATTCATGAGGGAGATGGCAGCCGGACTGATCATCCAAGCGGTCGTTTATTTTGTTGGTCGGGGCATCTCCAAGGACTAAGTGGAACAGTCGAGACAGATGGGAATTATCACCACATCTCAGCACCAATCCGAATCCCTGTCATCATTCATTTCTCGAGCCCTAGTGACCAACGAAATGATCCCACAAGATCAACTGCAACTTCAGTATCAAACCTGTACCAATTGACCCAATTTTCGGTGCCATTTTTCAGCCATCCCCCGTTCGCCTCCACGGACTCACAGGCCGAGTGCAGGCTGGGCAACAGCCGTTCCGCGAGCATCGTCTCGTTGCTGATCCCCGGCTCCGGCGTCCCGTCCGGACAGTGGCGGCTGCGGCGAATGGAGGCCCGTTTGTGGCGCTGTAGACCGCGGAGGTGCGCGTCGAAGGTGGACCTGGAGCAGCAGTTGCGAATGAATTTCAATGACTTCACTGATAGATTCTGCGAATGTATACTAGTGTATACTGGAGAAGATTGGAGAAGTGGATCGAACTGATAGATTCTGCATAATGTTCTGTTTTCTTCTGGACCCCCCTCATAAACGACAAGTGGAGAAGGGGAGGCATCTGTTTGCGGCACCTCAAAACATCCTCAAGGTGTGGCATCAAGTCACCACAAATATCTGTATAATATATATATATACGCATACATATAATATAAAATAAAAGACCGTTCCACAACTGGCCAAGGCGCAGTTTCTCCACGATGTCTTGCTCGCATTGGTTGATCCCTGCAGCATAGGTCTCCGGTACCTTGACACTCAGCTCCTTTACCCTTTGCTTAAACGCCCGCGTGGCAACATTCAGGTCGTGGCGCACGAAGACGGGGTGGAGGGATTTGTAGGAGCCCCTCATCCTTGGAATTTGTCAATTTGGAGCCCGCAAAAAGATTGGAAAAAAACATTTAGAAACACATAAAATTAACAGAGACGCAAGCTACCTCCTCTGATCTTACCTGTGGAAAATCACCTTATATCCATTTATGTGTGAGCAAAAGTGTTTGGTTATATTCATTCATTCGAATATGTGTCCAATCAACAATGGTATATTATATAAATATGTGTGAACTATGATGAACTCTCTCTCTCTCTCTCCATCGCCTTCAGACCAAATCTGAACTATGTGAATACATTTAAATCCATTTGATAAAGAGATGTGTTCAATTGTGTTCATATGTTTTCCATATCAACAGTGGCTTTTCGCCAGGTTGGACCCGAGGCAAATCGGCCAGGCATCTGCAACAAGCCGCGTGCCAGGGCCTGGACATCCAGGTGCCCCTGCGCTTCGGTGGAGATGATCTCGTAGAGTTTGGAGGGCTCCAGCTTGATGGAAATGCCATACACAGCTAAGACATGCTGAAACTGAAGATCCTCAGAGACAGATTATGATGGATAATGAATTATATTGAATTCTCTGATATGAAAGATCTCTTTACACCGGCATCATTATAATACTGGCATCATCATTTATCTAGCTAATGAGTTCGTGTTTTAGGGTTTTTGTTGGTTATCTGGCTTATTTCATCAGTCTTTGAATGAGGAACGATGGTAGAGCTGCAAGAGAGTGTATCAGAAAGAAAGTCTCCCCACAGTGGGTGTCCCAAACTTTAAACAATCGAATTGGTGCCCCGGTGTACCTGGGAGATAAAAGAAGCAAGCAACACCGTTCTTTTGTCACCCAAACATAAACAGCCATCGCAAATGGCAACGGGTATAGGTATCACATCCCTTTCCACATCATGGACTGGATCAGCAGAGGAACTGACAACAGGACCTCAAAGCCCTCCGCGGTCAAGGTGGAATCGTCCTTCCAAATCTCTGGCAGTTTCTGTTCGACGAAGTCATGGATGGCCTTCATGAAAGGAGCTTCCTCGACCAAACGCTGCTGCCAAGTCCAGTTGTCTTCCCGCGCGTGTTCCACCACCCCCGTGATGATGAGACCCGTGACCAGGTTCACCAGGGTCAGGTTCGTGAGGATGATGAAAAATAAAAAGTAGACGGCCCAGACCGGATTCACCTCCCAAAGTTGGGACAGGCTGGGAATTTACCTCTGAATGCTGAATGAACTAGGTAACTAGGCATCCAAACATGACCGGGTTCCTCCATGCGGGCGCCTCCATCGCCAGGTTGCAGATGTCCACCCATTGTTCCAAGGTCATCAACTTGAAATGGGAAAAGATGCTGATCCAGATGTTGCCGAAGACACCCTGCAGACAGATGGAACGATTGAGCACTAGCCAAGGGGCAATTGAAGTAAGTATACGAGCGAAAAGGAAAAGGCATCTGCGAGTTGGCCAAATGCAAATGTTGAAATAACTAAAAAATTGTCAAACATCTCGACTTTGATTTGTCTATACACAATGGCTTTTCACCAACCGGTGCGGATCTCTCAGTAGTTGAAAACCACGCCTTCAGCTTTTGGTCGTGGCCCAACTCACTGGCACAGAAGAGTGCCCCAATGTAAATCAAGGTGAAGAGAAGTAGGAAGACCCAAAACACGGCCTTTAAAGACCTGATGGGCCGTGCATGAAACCATGAAGGCCTATTGCCCCATGGCTAAGAAATATCAAACAAGAAGAGAATCCTTTCCCACCTTTCTCAAATGTTCTCAAATAATGCAGGTGGCGAAGGAGTATAATATATATATATATGTGTGTGTGTGCGTATAAAATAGAAATAGATAGAAATAGCAGGGAAACCGAGGAAACCAGTTTCTTTCACCTGACATTCACATTCAGACATTCCTAGAAAAGGGGTGGTGCTTTGACTGGGACTCTGTGGCCCGAGTAGACTCAGTAGACACATATTCGGGTGTGGTTCAATCCCAACTTTTCTTCCGCATCCCCATTCTCGCGTTTAATCCCATCCATCCACATCATCCAACATCTTCCAACATCAGCATCCCAACCATCCCAACCATCCCAACCACCGAATGATTCACCAATTCACATGGCCAGGTTGAAGGCCAAGGATGACAATTCATGGGACAGCCGCAGCAGCTGAAAGATCCGCGCCAGTCTGAAGAGCTGCAGCACCCGGAAGGCGCTGAAGGCCGCACTGCCGTTGGCCGCGGCGCGGGAGTTGGCCATGAAATCCATGGGCCGCATGATGCACAGATCCACCAGGGCGGCTAGGACCACGAAGAAGTCGAAGACGCCTCGGGAAAACATGCGGAAAACCGGGTGTTCGGGAAAGGATGAAAAATGAACACAAGATTCTTGAGTCAAGACCGACACCAATGTTTTCCAGAGGGTCCTGAGGGCCCGAGGGCTCAAAAAAAACATGTTTGCGCCTTTGCCAGCACGCTTGTCAATTAAAACTTGGTGACGCCCCAAGTGAAATCTCTAAGTGCCTTGGAACTGGATCTTGTAGCCAACTTCGTTCACCACTTCGGACACGCTGTTAAAGGTCACCTCAAGGATGTTTGGTCATCTCCACGAATTAGGCATTAAGCATTTGGATGCCGAAACGAAAGCCATCAAACATGACGTGCCTGCCCAAAATGGTATGCCCTTCGTTGGCCTTGCAAGCCTGTAAGTCCAAGTTGCATGACCACCACGTCGGTAGAAGAAGCTCAATCCATGGCAGCGAATGTTTAGAAACAATTCCACGATGAAGACAAGCAAGAAGAAGATTTGAAACTCGGTAGATGGCAAGACCGGGTCTAGGTGGGCCAGTGTCTAGTCTTTGACTGAAGCTGACTATATTCATATGTATGTATATATATATATTCATATATATATATACATCAGGGTCAGGATCAAGGTTGGAAGCCTCTGCTCATGGTGCTACCATCCAAGCCACATTGAGGCTGGTCTACCCCACCAAAATCCACGAAATGTTGTCCAATTTGTTTGGGCCTCCAATTTTCGTTGGATTCTTGTCTCAATGGATTTGATAAAACAAATCACAGGAAAGGGACCCCGCTCCTCGGACGTTCCAAGGCACGCCATACATCGTCAGACCCAGCACAGAGGACCTGCCATACATTGCGTGATGTGAGACCCACAAAAATGAAAAAGTGAAGATAAAAAACTTAGAATCGACCAGATATGGACGACTTTGAGATGTTCAACTAGGTTACCATAGGTTACCTATCTTTTTGGGGTGCCTAAGGCTGATCGAATCCAAACCCAAGTGGCGGCTAGCTATGGGGGCTAGCTATCTCACTGATTTTGAGGTAGCGAAAGTGACCTTCTCTCACCCATGAAACCAAGCGATTGGTAACAAAAGTTTCTTTGCGTTGATTAAATCGTTCAATGCGGCGGATTGGCATTCCCAAAAATTGAGGACCTTTCAACCTGAAATGATTTTGCTGTCAAACTATATTGGGTTGATTCATGATTGAAAACTCTTAGTGGATTTGGGAACTAAGCACATGCTCCCGTTCTTGTAGATGGTACCCCTTGTTTTTGCTGGCTATACCCCCTGCATCCCCCTGCAAGCCCACTAGTCACGCAAATCACAGCAGGTCACAGCACCTGCCCAGTTGAAGCTCTGCTTCAACTTCCACGGTCATAGCAGCTGCATTGAGGAGAACCGCAATGCCGATAGCCAACCTTGATTGTAGCTCATCACATGACCAACCATGGTGGAGAGACGAGGATGCACAAAACTACAAGACAGGTCAATGGGTACACATCTGAAAAAATAACAAGAAATGCAAACCTTACAAGGCCAGCATGGTCCGCATGCTTCAATTTTGACCCACCCAAAGACCCACAGCCGCACCGGGGACGGTGGACATGCAACGGCCCATGACATGAAGCTCTACAAACTTGAGAATTTTGATCTAGTAAATTTGGTCCACTACCAGCAGAGATGACGGCCAAGCGACTTCGCCCGCTCTGTCAGAATAAAGGGAACCTCCAAGGGCCTCGGCGCGAGGCAGACTAGGAGGGTTTGCCTGGGGCAGTTGCTGCCCATGGTTGTCATGTCTTGTTGCTTCCACATCTTTGTCACATCTTTGTCCCTTGTTGTTCATAAATTCGGCCCTTCACGTTTCTTCCATCTTTCTGGGTGCTGACTTTTTGAAGTGATCACAATCCAGGTTCACCCAGGGCTACGACTCATCGGCCCCGGAACTTCCCGGAGTGCTGGCGTAGCTCAATCCACTGGCACCGCGTTGCAGGTATGGCCCGGAGCCTGGAGCACCATAGATGTACCATTCGTGTTTAGATGTGCTTGCCATCCATGGTAATATATGAAACGTTGGGATTTATGATTTGGGTTTACCACATTACATATGTGTGCATATGATTTGCGCATATGACAAGATATAAACAGATATCATGCTATCCTACTAGATCATCGCGTATTGTGCCCTCCGAGCTTTTGCAGTTCATGAGTTCTCTTCAACCAACAGCCAGGCCAACTCAGAGAACTCACTTGAAAATGCTGCCGGGCTCAAAAGTTGCTGAGGCCACGGCTCTCCTTGGATTTGGGCCTGCAGAACATAGCACCGTGTAGGCTTCGAGCTAGGCTTCATGCAATCCACATGCCAAAATGAACCCTTTGACTGCTGACGAAACCTTTGACTGCTGACTCTTTTTTGTCTTTGCTATCTTGGATGCTCGTACTTATTGCATGTTTAATGAATTTATATTTATATATATATGTGTGTGTGTGGGGGGGTATATTCATGTTTTTATCATTATATATCTGAGTACGTTTACTCACAGGCTAAGACTCAGTTGAAACACCGCTTCCAGTGTTTCAGCAAAACCATACATAACCACCATTATATAACAGCCATTTTGCTGGCCTCACACTTTGCTTCACTTCAACCTCGCTCTCAGAGGCTACATCCTCATCACCCGAAAGAATGGAGCGTTTCCAACTCCTCAGGCGGTGGCACCCCTGGAGAACGGAAAGCCAATGGATTCCCATCACTTTACGACATGGAACACATCAAAGACTGACAAAGACCACAAAACATCACGAATCACCGTAAAGGGCCCCTCCAGAAAACTCACGCGAACTCCTGCCCTCAGCAGACATTGGTTGGCTCGGGCCCGGAGAGGATGCATCCGTCTCTTCGAATTCATCAAAGTTGAAGTTCGGGCTCTGCCGAAAGATCTGCGGCAGCAAAGGGCGAGCGGCAATATGAGGGGCTGGGATAAAAGTCACGCTAAGAAGTAGGCACCGAGCAACAGGAAAAGTAAGGCAGGACACACCCGAGCGCCTCCCGCGCCATGGCACGGTGGCACCGTCCATCACTTCATGGTGGGCCGTGGATGTCACGTATGGAGGATCCGAATCGTGAAATTTCATGAGTCACCGAATCTTACTGGTCACTGAGAAATCTTTGGACATGCGCTGGGCATCTTTGGGCCAACCAGTGCAGTAATCGGTGTGCAAGGGTGGCCAATCACGGAACACTATCTGTTTAAGACTTTAAGATCATGCTGAACTTTCTGAACACGGACAGAAGCAGTGACAATCTTCGTATGCAAAGTAGTGAGGATCATCTAAAACACATCATTTTGGGCCCCCTGTCATGCAAATGTGAGAATTCTTTACGTCAAACCTGCTGTTCAAGGGTCAGCAATGGAGGTGGTGGAGTTAGGACGGGAGTGATTTTCTTGGGGTTGCCACATCCTCTCGTGTGATTGCGATTCATTCATTCTCTTTGGGCCAAACAATGATCTTCAGACAGGAAAAATGCAATCAGCATGCCTGTCAAGGGCTTTCCTCACAATCGATTGACCCAAGTGCACCATCCCCAACCTGCCAAGAATTGGGTGCTGCTTCCGGAGCGGCGCACTGCCACCAAATTTCCAGACTTGGAGCTGTATGCAACAGGACTGGGCTCCACCCCCAGGGCGGCGTCCACATCTGCATCCTCTGCATCCTGCAGCCAACGCCGAAAATCCGAACATCCCAGACCTGGGGACTTGGGGGTGTCCCAGCGTCCCGGCCTACTCAGCCCATCTCAGCCCTATCAGTGGTATTGGGAATGATGAGGCCCCTTAGTCTGGTGAACTGCAATTCTAAAGGATGAAGAAATTTGCTAGTTCTGCACTTTTTTAACGGTATCTATCGTTCTATGGTTTCTGCCCAGCGGTTGGGATGCAGTCCCAAAACGTCAGTCACCCCGCCTCCGTGGCCACAGTTGTTTGCGAGCCTGGGATAGCTGCGAGATGCCTCTAAGAGCTCTTGATTTCATCGTAATCAGTTTGGCGCAGGCGTCCAAAATCATTTCCCTGAATTCACATGTCTGATGCATTGCCCTGCTGTTGCTTCTAGGCTTGGCTTCTAACGAGGACCACGTCACCTGGGCTACCCAGCTCTGAATCAAGGCCTGCAAACGCTGGCGGTCTGCCGCGCCCACAGCCGATGCCTAACGTGCGCAAGGCACCCCGACAGCATGGCCGAAGGCTGCCCAAAATTTGAACCTAGCAGGCTCCGCCATGCTCCACCGAGCCTCCACCACAGCCGACAAAGCTTCGACCAATGGAGTGGCAGTGCTCTCCATCTGCAGCAAAGCTTGGCTCTTGTAAACCTTTCCTTGGACCGTTGCACGGGTCAACCCACATGGAAAAACGTGCTGCCGACGAAGAATCCTTGCGGAGTTCTTTGGCACTCACCGGCGCTAAAGAGAATTACTGTAATAATTCCCATTGTGCTGTCAATGGAAAATGCACCCAATCTCAGCAGCACAAACACTGAGTGGCAAGCTTTGCTCGTGACCAACGATGGCCAAGGCCCGGTCCAAGGCATCTACAGTGGACATAAGGCCCTCAGTTTCAAGGCATGGTCTGGGCATGGGCGGGTAGGCATCAAAAATGACCCATAGGTAGGATGATTCACTGCCAAAAATGACCAGCATCTGTGGTTTGGAAGGCCCTCAACTTTGATGCGCGCACATCTGACAGTGGTTCATGAACCCGTACCAGCCCACGAAATGCCTGTGAGAAAAGCGACTGGATATGTAATAGAACCTCGAACTAATTCACGTAGTTCAGGACCCACGAAGCGTCCACCACGCGATGGTCTCTTTTAATTAAAAACCCTTTTGAAATTCTTGTGGTTGCATATGCCTCCAGCAATCGGGGCTTATCATTGAGTTTGCCACATCGGCGAAACCTTCCTGGGTTTGCGGTCCTGCTCCTCCTTCACAAACACCGAAGCCTCCTCATCTCGAAGCTTCTGAGCCTCCTGTCAACCACCGCAAGTCGGCGGCATGCATGACAACTATGCTTTGGGAACTTGTTGTCACTTCTACTTGCACTTCCTGTTCGCCTTTGCGCTGCAAATCCCTGTCATGGTCAAGTTCTTTCCTAATTAAAGTCTTTCCAAGCTCAAAGCAACCCTGATTTTGAATATGCCAATGCTTCGCAAGTAAGATTTTGACAAGATTTGAAAGGATACCATGCCTTTAGCTTCTGTTCATTCATGCACTGTTGTGGTTCTAACATTGTAAGACCACCAAGTGGATCTCCAAATATCTCCAGCATAGGCATATACTCATCATAGCTTTATTCTCATCCCTCTCCGGCATCAAGGCAACTGCCTTCAGGTCGTTCTCATCCGACGCGATGGCCACAGCCAACTCCTGCCATGGGTCCCACAGGTGATAACCCAGCACCAGGTCACCAGGGAAGCTGAATTCGCAGCCTCGATCTTGGTGCTCATGGTGTCAATCCTCAGGCCATTGAGAAAGATGACGTCTGGAAGAGGGTGATCAGCGATATCAGGCTAGAATGGAGAGGAATGATATGGATCGATATGGGGTATATGGAGGATGTTTTTCCCAAATGATTTGTCACCCCTTGATTTGCTCGCACAACAATAACTCTTACGCTCATTGCGCACACCACATCACTACAGGAATGAATAGCTTAAGGTTGCAAAATTACCTGCCGATTTGTGGGTCAGTTGTGGCAGTGTCAAACCCGGCTGAGATCCACGCTCAATGTTGGCCTGTGCCAGTTCCGCATCAGACTTGGCCAGTTCAGTCTTGACACCCTCGTGGCTATGGCGCAGCTCTCTGGACCTTCCATGACACCAGGCCATGCATGCATGGCGATGGGACACAGGACAAACATGGAATAAGATCCACAGAGCCACCATGGTCCATTGGGTTAATCAGTCTACAAGTCTACAAGTAGAAGTCTAGCAGCTTGATGATGTTGGAAGCCCTCGTGCAGGTGCCTTCCGCCTCCTGTTTTTGGACGGATCCTGTAGTAGTTTCAGTGATGGCAGTGACACCCTCGCTGCCCAATGAGGGCCTTCCACTGCAGAGCTTCTTTTCATCATCGAAGACCTCATTGTGTCAGATTATGTCTTTGGTGACTTCAGCCCGCAAGACCACAAAAAAAGAGAACAGCAACAATGGCTTGCATTCATGCCACCAAACAAACGAATACTGGCAATACCAGTGCGGGAAGAAAGATGGTGAAAGCCTTCTGAACGGTCAAAACTAAACCCCAGGAAAATAACGCCTCAGCTTTTCACCCTTTTTGCTCGCCGGCATTCATCGGCCATCACAACATACCACAACCACAGCATGTCCACCATGACGATGGTGCAGGTGTCCAGCAGTCATTCCTTTTTGATGCGTATCCGGGTACCGTATCCGTATCTCCAAGCGCACTGTCCAAGACCTTGGTGTGGCACCACCTTGAAGCATCTCCAGGCGAAGAGTTCAACCCACAGCATCTCTCATCCAAAGCTGGCCAGGCGATGACCCAAGGCGACTGCGGCCTCGTCGTAGATGGAGAACTCCCGCAGCTCAGGGGTCGACTCCTGGAGGGTAAAAAATTGGAGCTGGCCCGGTGGCCCATGACATCCTATGACTATGGACTAGTTTCTCTTCTTTGGGGCTGAAAAAGTCACAATCTCAATCTCAACTTCTCTTTTGTTGTTCTTAGTTTTGTGGCACATCTAGACTTACAAGCGATCATGCCCGGATTTTGGGCCAATGGTCATTTCCGACTTCAAGCTACTTCCATTCATTGAACCCCACAAGCCTCAACACGGAAGACCACTGAACGGCCCAGTAGCGAGACGTAATGATTGGCACGCCACCTCCAGGGATCTAGCCTGGCGACCAAATCGACAGCAGGGAAATGGGAGCCACCCTCTTTCGGTGCTGAATCTTGAGTTCAAAACAATCAAAAACAATCAAGAACAATCAAGAACAATCAATCAAAATGGAACTCGAAAAAGACTGGAAATGGCCACTTCAATCCCATGTTTGGATCATTTTGAAAGTTGCCTCAGGTGACCCCCCAGCTCCACGCCTTCGTTTCAGCACCGAAGGCGCTGAAAACTCAGGCCCCACCGATCTGCCGGGGCACGGCTCCAAGGGCTCCAACAGGTTGGAGCGGAGAGGAGCTTCCTGCCTGCCAGTGGTTTTCCGCAATTGTGATGTGGAACTCATTTAAAAGCTGGGGATGAAACCGAAACGCCATTGGACCAGTGGTTTTCTCAGTCCAAACTCTTTTTTTTTTCCAGGCCTCACGACCACCTCACCGAGCACCGCACAGTCCACCAGCCGCGGATTCGCGATGACGATCTGCTCTTCCGTGCTGAGCAATTGCTCCGGACGAATGGAGGGATCATTGTGGTAGGGAAAGCGGGTGAACCTTAACCAAAGACAAGCAAAGTCTGAGCTTAAACTATGTTGCTGGCATCGTCATCTGTGACTGTTTTATGTACTGCGCACAGCGATTCTGATTCTGAGAAGGACATTGTGCTGATTTGCACATTGGTTCAAGCTGAGCATTCGGCACGTTTGAAGCTTCAGCTGCAGCCTGTGCATCACTGAAGCACTTACAAAATGGAATGGTACTACAAGTCGCTCACATGTTTCCACCACATCTATAGCAAATTCCAAGATATAGCAAGTCCTTAGCATGGAGGCACACATAGGATATCGGATCAATGTCAGCTTGCCTGTATCTGCAGGAAGGTTCCAAATTGCCCAGTATATAATACTTCATATGTCACACTTCAACATTCAACATACCATTTTATGCTTTATGATTGTTATCCATTTTCCAAGTTTCGTGTTCACCTTGAAGGGCACACCCATCTCTCAGTCCACGCCTCCGCATCCTCCTTGACCCCATAGCGCACCCCCAGGACGTAGGTCACCTCATCGGGTCGCAACTCCTGCGGAGTGCGAATAGAAAAAGATGAAAGTGGGATGAAAGTGGGATGAAAGGGTGATGAAAGGGTGATGATGGTGATGTACCCAATAGTCTATTTCCATCTGGGAATACCTGCTTCTTTGCATGGACAGAAAAATGAGTCACAGGCCCGCTATGGCTCAAAGTGGTGCGTCAAATTTGCGAGTTTCTGGTTTCTCGTTTACCAAAATTGACCATTCAACCATGAACCATCAAAGAACAAAACAAAAGCGGCCTCGAGGTGTCAGGCTCAGCACCTGGATAATTATGTCCATACTAATCTCTGCATATGCTGAATTGACATGAAATCAACCAAATCAAATCATCTTAAATCATCTTAAATCATCTAAATTCTAGGAATCCTATCCTTTTCTCCCCACAAGGGCCGTCCTGAAGCAGCTCCGAGATGGTCCCCATGGACGGGGAGAAGAGGAACATGTCCCAACCATGACTCACCGAAATGACCTCGTGGGATGCTGGGGGTGGAGCACCCCGGGTTTCCTGGAGACCCATTGGATTTTGATCCAAAGTTTGGCCCTTCATCCCAACAAATATGTATTTGTTCATATGTGTGCATATATCTATCTCTACATACATACATACATACATACATACATACATTACATTACATTAATACATACCTAACTACCTACCTACCTACCTACCTACATACATACATACATACATACATTCATACATACATACATACATTACATACATTACATACATTACATACATTACATACATTACATACATTACATACATACATACATACATACATAATTACATAATTACCTTACATACATTACATACATACATACATACATACATTCATACATACATACATTATACATTACATACATTACATACATACATACATTACATTATTACATACATACATTACATACATACATTACATTACATACATTACAACATACATTACATACATTACATACATTACATACATTACATACATTACACACATTACACACATTACAACACATTACACACATTAACACACATTACACACATTAACACATTACACTACATTACACACATTACACACATTACACACAGTACACACATTACACACACTACACACATTACACACATTACACACATTACACACATTACACACATTACACACATTACACACATTACACACATTACACACATTACACACATTACACACATTACACACATTACACCCATTACACACATTACACACATTACACACATTACACACATTACACACATTACACACATTACACACATTACACACATTACACACATTACACACATTACACACATGACACACATGACACACATGACACACATGACACACATGACACACATGACACACATGACACACATGACACACATTACATACATTACATACATTACATACATTACACATACATTACACATTACATACATTACATACATTACATACACTTACATACATACATTACATACATTACATACATTACATACATTACATACATTACATACATACATACATACATACATTACATACATTACATACATACATACATACATTACATACATTACATACATTACATACATTACATACATTACATACATACATACATACATACATACATATATGACCCACTCATGTTTGATGCCGTCTACCGGCTGCAGAGATTTGGCTTGAATGCTGTGGTTCCTCCGATCTCTTACCTGTCGTTGTCGCCATAAGCGCTCTGCATCCCCACATCTTGAGCCGGTTGAGTCAGAACGATCAGCAGAAGAGTCAAGTGACCATTCTGACACAGCGTCCTCTGCATCCCAAGAGTCTCTAGGTCGTGAATTCTCTGTCTTACCTCTGCAACCGGTGGGGCCAGACAGTGCGAGGATTCTGAATTTCTACGACCAAGCCAGTCGAGGTCCTTTGCCTGACATTAGTGCTGGATTTAGCGATTTGCGGATCTACGTTGTTTGGCAGTTGCCGAACGAGCCTGGTGACGCTTGGTCTGGAATTCACTGGAGTGACGGGTTAAGTGCCTACTCTGCAATCCTGACCTTGAACGAAGGCGAATTTGAGCATCTGAGATTTCGTAGGGTGCCCAATTTGATCCGGGGTCGTGAGCTATTCAGGGAAGAAGCCGAAAGACACAGTGTGAGGCCTGAGAAGGCGCTGGAGACTTTCAGGTGGAGATTGATCCATGGCCCCCCGCCAGGGCTCGGTGGGATTCCTGTGGCTGAGTGAAAGTTTTGGACCTAGGCGCTGGAGGGAGGCGCTTGTGATAGGAGTGAAAGATTCATGGGTGCAGACAGTGGTGAAAGCAACAGCAGAGGAGATTGCCGCGAGCGGTCTTGCCAGCATAGAAGTAGAAGGAAAACATTTCTGCTTGGTCGAAGCGAGAGCATCGCAGGTTCGGTTGGGCCCGTCAGCAGAAGGCGAAGATGTAGTGCTGCTGGAGACGGACAAGAAGGCACTTGCACGTGCTGCCGAGACACTGCTGTCTTCGGAAGAGGAGCTGGTCTATGCTACAGCTTCGGAACCAGTTCAGTTGGAGCCGGCCAAGACTTCGAAGCAGAAGGGTCATCGCGATCCAAGCCTGTCTTCATCCAGCTCAGCGAGTGGCTCGAGTTCAGAGGAAGAAGATCCTGTGAGCTTGATGCGAAAGAAGTGGCTAGGAGAAGATACTGGCAAAGAAAAGAAAAGCAAAGACAGAAGGAAGAGCAGCCGAAGACGGCGCAGTCACAGCCGTCGCTTTGCCCTGATCTCAAAAAGTCGTGGACGCAAGAAGTCACGAGAAGAGAGAACTGTTCAAGAAGAACTTCTGAAGGCAGTCAGCTCTTCAAAGGATCCTTTGCAGGGCCTGCTTGCTCTGCAGATAGCTCAGTCCATGGGAAAAGAGAAAAAGGACAAGAAAGGCAGACGGAGACGTGCCAAAGACCGGAGTGCCAGCAGCAGCAGAAGCTCCTCGAGCTCAACCAGTTCTTCCTCCTCCAAAGCCCGAGGTCATGCTCGTGCTGTGGAGAATATGGAGGCCAATCGAAAGAAGATGTTCAAACATCCCATTCGGCATGTGAAGAAATACATGAAGTCCATCGAGAAGGAGATGGGCGCGGAGGACCGCGCATTTCGCGTGACAGACTACACGCGCCGCATCAACTTTGGCAAGCAAAGGAACCTGGCCAGATGCCATCACTTGTTCGGCATTGTGCTCGAGATGCTACTTCGGGAAGACTATGCCGAAGCAGCTCTTCAAGTGACTCTGTGCCTGCAAGCGCTCCACCAGGCTGCCATCGACTCAGATTGGACAGTGGCATGGCTGTTGACTTGCACTCAAGATCCGTACGAGAAGAAGCAGTGGGGAGGAGACGCCACTGCTCTGCAGCACGTGACTGCGTATGTGCGGAGCATGCAGGACCTCAGCAAGAGCTCCGAGCAACTGAGACGCAAAAGTCAGCATCGCGAAGAAGATGCCGAAGAGGAGAAGCCGAGAAATCGACCAAAGGGAAAAGGCAAGAGCAAGACCAAAGAGGCCGAGAAGACGGAGGCCTGAAAAGTGAAGCCAATCTCTGCACGGAGACACCTTCGAATGCGAAGCCGTTTGAAGTAGATTCGTGCCTCAAAGAGGCCTATAAGAGCTGGGGTTCTTTTGGCCGGTTTTTGAAATTAATTAATATGGAGAAGTCCCCTAACATAGATAGTTGTGATAAGGGGTCGGGGCCTAGGACACCCTTAGTTGACAAGGGATGCACGTCGCTTTTTCCGTCCTTGCTAGCAATTCCGGATACACTCCGGCGGTCTAGAAGTGCGCGTTGTCGGGCACGAGGACGAGGCCATCGAGAAGCATGGGAATGGGTAAAGGTGCTATGGGCATTATTTACTTTCTTTGAGGGTGGTAGTCCGTTCAAAGCAGCTGATCAGAAGGAACTCGTTGCACGAGCTAGAAACACCACCTGGACGTCGACCCATTCGGAATATGCTGGCTGTTTGCATAAACAAATTAATAGGTATCTTCGCATGAGAGATCAAGACCAATCCCTCAGTCGCGGAATACTGAAATTAAGCGAATTAGTAAAAATTGTAAAGTCCTCAGCTTACCAAGGTCATAAAGTAGATGGTACCATGCAGCAAGTGGCCAAAAATGTGAAACCCGACCGCATGTCATTACCCAGCAAGGCCGGAATCATCGAGCCTCAAGACTTCCTAAAAGGCTCCCAGCTTGAGCAGTTTAGGACGATGCCTGAACATATTCCAATTGAAAACACTAACGAACCTCCAGTCAAGGGATGTTTCAAAGTTCTAGGTGAAGATTTGCCAGGAGTCTATAGGAAGCTTCTCGAATCCGGTGTAGCCGTTCTCTTGCCAGAAGAATTGGCAGTGCGAGGCGAAGACGGGAAGATTTTGACGGGCGGGCTGTTCGCAGTGAATCACAAAGAGCATAGCGACCGTATCATTCTTGATAGGAGACCATTTAATCAAGTTGAAAGACGGTTGGTTTGGGCAAAACTACCTCATGGTTGTCTTCTTACCCAGTTAATCCTTCCCAAGAGTCATAGTATAAGGGGGTCGGGCGATGACCTTTCAAATTACTTTTACTTGCTCAAACATAACCCCAACTGGCTTCCTAGAAACGCTATTGGATCAGTGTTTGATGGTGAGGGTTTTGAAGCTTTCGGGGGAGTAAAGGGTCGAAAATATCTGCTTTCATTTTGCGTGGTAGCAATGGGTGATTTGAATGCAGTCGACATCGCTCAGCAAGTGCATGTCGAAATCCTCCGAGATTGCCATTGTATGCAACCTAGCGAAGTGTTAAGCTATAAGCATGTCGTCCCCGCTTCCCATTGCTATGAGGGTTTGTACATAGATGATCATGTAACCGTTCAGATATTACCCAAAAAGAAAAATAGAAAAAAGGGTGAAAAGTTTCGAGACGAGACCATAATCGCCAACAGCCGAGCCCAGTATGCCAAACATGGAATTCCCACGTCAGCCTCCCAAGCGTTCGAAAAGTCCGAGAACTTTGTTGCTTGGGGAACAGAGGTCAACAGTGCCTCGGGCAGGGTTGGCGCCCCGCTCAAGAAGCTGTGCCAGCTAGGAAGAGTCATTTTAGAAGTCTTGAAATTACCAAGAGTGTCCAAAAAGATGTTGCAACAAGTAACCGGCCTGTTAATACATCCTTTTATGCACAGACGTAGTTTGATGTGTTTGCTTCAAGAAACTTTCACATGGGTTGAAACTCTAGATGATAAGATTTCCAAACCTCTGCCCCCAGCAGTTCGAGAGGAGCTCATTTGGTGCACCTTAGTTTTACCGGTTGCAGAAGCCAACATCCGGTGGGAGATCTCCAACAGAATAGGTTGTAGTGATGCATCACTAAGTGGGGGAGGGCGAGCGGCTGCATGGACCACAACGCCGCTTGCCCAAACCCTTTATCGCTTTGCAGAGCATAAGGGCGAACATGTTCGACTTGACTGGACGCATGGAGGTCTCATACCGGAAAGCTCGATGTCTCGTGCTCCCAGTGAACTTGAAGCGATTCTTGGCGATCACCCTTGGGTGAGCACTGAAAGCTGCACCTTTGCACACAAACAGCATATCAACATACTTGAAACACGCATGATATACCGTGAACTAGTTGACATTGTACATTCATGCCATCGGCCACAAAGATGTGTTTTAGTTGTTGATTCACGTGCCGCTGCCGGTGCATGGGCCAAAGGCCGTTCATCGTCGAGACAGCTAAATCGTTTGCTCCGGAGAAGCCTTGGATGGACAATAGCTGGCAGAAAATCAATCCATGTCATATGGGTTAGATCTGAGGCGAATCCGGCCGACCACCCCTCAAGAGGCCGGGAGATTCCCAAGCCAGTTGACCCACCTTCGACATATACACAGGAAGTGCTCGGTCCTGATCTCAAACATGTTAGACAACACAGATCCGTGAAAGACATCTGGAAGAAGATCCACTCCGAGCATGAATGTGCGGTCGAAGGAGATAGCCATGCTTTGCGCCGTCTCAATGGCCAATCTGATGTGAGAAGCGAGACCTCGAGAAATCACCCTGCAGCAAAAGTGTGGAGCTTCCGTGAGATCTTTGCAGGCACAGCTCATTTGTCTAAGGCTGTCAGGTCCCAAGGTACGATCAGAGTTCAGGAGCCTTTCGAATTGATGCATCAAGGTCGACCGTTAAAGGATCATGACATCTTGGATGATAACGCATTTGATAGACTTTGCAAAGATGCCACGGAGCCCAATCAAATTTGGCATTTCGGGTTTCCTTGTGGTTCATTTAGTCAACTTCAGCACTTAAATCAAGGTACCCGCACTCATGACAATCCAGCAGGTGATGGCACTGTGCAGAGAGAAGTCGTTGGAAATGAGATCATGAGGAGGACCCTTTGGTTGTGTAAGTTGTTGCATCAAAATGGATCTTTTTTCACGTTGGAAAACCCTGGTTCGTCATATGCATGGAAAATGCCAGAGTATATAAAGTTACGCAATGACACAGGATCACAGGAGGTAAGATTAGATCAATGCTGTTTTAATCTTTTGATCCCTAACGGAGCTGGTAAGTTAGAGTTGGCCAAAAAACCCACAGTCTTTGCCGGTACGTTGCCCTACCTTGACAGGTTGCATCGAAAGTGTGCTCGCAATCACCAGCATGTCGCAGTCATGGGAGGGGTCAAGCACGAAGGCAAATGGACACGCAGGTCCACTCTTGCCGGAGCCTATCCGAAGGCTCTTTGCAATGCATATGCCAAGATCATCTCACGTATGTTTGACTAGCTGAATCGTACCATCACTGACCACCACAAAGCTCTGCATGAATAGTTTTTTATTGACATAGATGTACAGATAGTTTTTTCAATTACTGCATGTCGCCGCCATGGAAGATCTGCCAGAAGTCACCCACCTCCGGTGGAGCAAGTACAGCGCAGCTTATCGAAAGAGGCTGTTGGAATCTGGAAAACTGTTAGGCATATTTCTGTACAAGCACAATGCCAGTTTTCGAAAACTTTCCAGAGCAAAAGCCAGCCAGGTGGATGAGCTTGCTTCAGCGTTTGTTCAAGAGCTTCATGAGAATGATCCGAGCAAGATGCTTAGGATGGCAAAGCATGCCGTGCTCTTCCTTCAAATCTGGCAACCAAGGCTCCGCAGGAACTTACCTGAGACATGGAGTCACCTGAATTCCTGGGAAGAGCTTCGGCCAGCAGGCTTCCGGGCTCCTCTGCCTATCACTTTACTAGTAGCCATGATATGTCAGTCAAGAATTCTGGGATACCAGAGCGAGATCGAGCAAGACAAGCAGCTGTGGTGGATTTTTTCAGTGCTGATAGGTGTAGGCTTTTTCGGCCTGCTCCGACCTGGAGAGATCTTCAACATGCGCTGCGAAGATGTTAGCTTGCCTAATGCTATATCTCTTGGAAGCCCATTTGCCGTTTTGAGGATCCGCTCACCCAAAAATGCAAGACAGATGGGGCGTCACCAGTACACCACTGTCAAGCACCCTGACGTAGGAGACTGGCTTGTTTGGTTGATCCATGATCGAAAAACAAGTGGGAGCGCAGTTTGGCCCGGATCACAGCAGAAGTTCAGGCGATTTTTCAAGATATGCTGCGACAAGCTAGGCATTGCACACTGTAAGTTCAGCCCTGCCAGTTTGAGGGCAGGGGGCGCAACATGGCACGTGGATCAGACCTCAAGTGATATCGGTCGCTTACGGTTTGAAGGTAGGTGGACCAATTTGCGTTCCTTAGAACATTATGTGCAAGTGGCCCGATCGCAGCAGTTACTCCTTTCAATTGAAGATCAGACGTCTGAAAGAATCTCACAGTTTGTTAACCAACACGCTTTCCTTTTGTCACTGCCCAAGTTTCTTGAGCTCAAGCTTCCCAGTGCTCAGCTAGTTAGCCTAGCACCCCTTGCAGTCGGGCCCAGAGAACATGTCAGCCGAGCCTGTAGAAGATGGGGAGAGCGCACTGGAACTCAGGAAGCAGTTCAAGAAAGTGGTGATCGAAGGGGGCAGTTTGAAGGGCGCCCACTACACAGATGTTAGCAATGCAGACCTGGTCAAGGCGGCTCGAAGTTATCGAGGCGACGTTCGCTTTCAGCAGTTTGCCAAGAGAATGATAGCTGCTAAGACCTTGGCCATCGGAAGTAGTGAGCCTTCAAGATATCACCACACAAGTGTAGCTGCAGTCCCCGGAATCACCACCAGATTTTTGTACGGTGGCAAAGCCTTTGCATGTTGGTTGTTCACCAAGATGAAGGGACGTGTTTGCATTAGCCTGTTTTGTTTTATCATAATGGGTGTATTGCTTAGTAGGCCTAAGTTGTACTACGTTTTGAATAAGCTTATGGTCGCTGGAATCAAGAAGTTGATCAGACATGGCGTGGGCACCATTGCCATGGTGTTTGATGCAGTGCTTGAAGAAATTGCCGATCAGCTTGATTCCACGCCGTTGACCACACCACCCGAAAACCGAGAGGTGCCCATAGCTTATCCAACGAACAGCCCCTACATAGTGATGCCGTCAAACAGCATCACTGAGCTGACTGTTCACCTTTTATGCATCATCATTGGCACAATTCTAAGTCCCTTGCTTGGCCAACGATGGCCTCGTGCTCAAATGCCACCACGCGATTCACGTCCATGATTCGGTTGTTTTTCACACTGGATAAGTTGGGAAGATTGGGAATGGGGCAGTTAAACAGTAAACCTGATAAACAGCCCCTTAGCTTGATGACATAACCACTCAATTCCAGCGTTTGAACAATTGCTTGACTTGAACATTTGCTTGACTTGAGTGGTGGCAGCAGACTCAGCATAGCGGCCATCGTCACCTTCAGGTGTGCCCCGCGAAAAAGAAGCGGGGCGTCTTCTGCAGCCGTTGAGAAATGAACATGACCCACTCATGTTTGATGCCGTCTACCGGCTGCAGAGATTTGGCTTGACCACCACCATCCCCAACCACCACAATGGGGCAGTTAAACAGTAAACCTGATAAACAGCCCCTTAGCTTGATGACATAACCACTCAATTCCAGCGTTTGAACAATTGCTTGACTTGAACATTTGCTTGACTTGAGTGGTGGCAGCAGACTCAGCATAGCGGCCATCGTCACCTTCAGGTGTGCCCCGCGAAAAAGAAGCGGGGCGTCTTCTGCAGCCGTTGAGAAATGAACATATATATATGTGTGTGTGTTTATATATATATGTGTGTGTATATTTATTTATATATATATATTCATATATATTTATATATTTATATATATATATATATTTATTTATTTATTTATTTAATTAATTATTTATCTATTTATTTATCTATTTATTTATTTATATATTAGTAGTAGGTGGGAGCGAATTGGCATCCCTCGAAATGAAAGCACTTGCGCATAGATTGGTACCTGTCCGAATGTGGAAGAAGCCGCTTCCCCAGCACCCACAGATGAAGTCAAAGGGCCCAATCTGCGTTCTGTCTGGCCCGGTGCCAGCAGTGTTGCTGCACCAATGTCTGGGCCAGGTGAGTGGTGGAGGTTTTGTACCCCGCGAGCTCAAAGACCTTCAGGGATTTTGGCTCTGTTTTGGTCCCACTCAGACTGTTAAAGGGCCCGTCTCCCCCGTGAAAAACCCTGCGGCATACCCCATATTTATTTGTTTTTGCGAATGTGTACATTGATCATGACATGACACCAGTCTGTATATCTGTATGATACATGCACACTGCATGCCACGGCAGTCAGACCTCTCGAAGTGGGGGGATCGAAGCAATCGAATCCTCGTAGAAAAGTTTTCCCCTGCTCCGCAGCTCCTGCACGATCCTGAGATCCTTGTAGGATCCATCCAAGTCGTAGAGGTAGATCTCATCAATGCCCAAAAAGTCGGCATGATATCGAAACCAGAATTCCGCATGTTTGGGCACCCGCTGCTCCAAACCCTCCAAGTCCCAAACCTGTTGGGTGCACATCGCCGTCCTCGGCCGCAGCCTCCTCGGGGTGGACCGCAACGGCACCCGCAGCTCCAAGCCGGGCATGTCCAACGAGGCCCGTGCCGAGCGCCGCAGCACCACCGCGCTCGGCACGGCACGGCCCTCATCGCGGTCGGTGGTGAGGCTGCGGGCCAAAGGCGCAGGCGCCTGGCACTTTGTGTCTGATCTGTGGTGTGCCTAACAATGACAGATATCCCATCAGCAATAGGGTGTTGGTCAAGTGTTGGTCCCAAAGGAAAAATGTGTTTAAATCAAAATCTTGTAAGTCATCCCCGTCGCACCTCGCAACGGACAAAGAGCGTCGGGGGATCTTTGGTCCCCGGCAGCTCCGCCAGCATTGACGCACTGAAGACGTCTCCACGGCTGTTGAGGACTGCCTCACCCGCACCTGAAAGGAAGAGGCAGTCGAAGTCCCAAAGTTTGCCTCACCAGACAGGAGTCATTTCACCACCCAAAGCGCTGACTTATAGGGTGCGTTCAAGGTTGATTTAATATGAAAGTAGAATGGAAAAACGAAACGTGCAATTTGGACACCTAGTCTGCGAGTGATGGCGGACACTATGCTGAGATATGGCCAATTGCAACTGAGTCGGTTCTTCCTATCCGCTAACATGGAGAAGTCCGGAAGTGGAGCAAAAAATATCATGTACAGTACTTTGCCTTCTGGCGCTGAGGGTTGAAGACACGCAAATGGTAGACAACTGGTGGCTAAAGACCAATGAATGCAAATCAGCCGGTCTGGCAATACTTCCCGTCCTTCCATGTGAGTGTTTGCCCATTCTTTCACTAATGTGCGCAAAGTTTATTTGAGTCCTAGACTCCTATTTTGCCATACCATGCCTGAATTTCCACGAAAATGTGCAACCCCCTGGAACATCATTTTCTCAGTGAAACTGGATGAACGGTTTCCACCTCCCCCTATTTAATGATTCGCTCCAAAGCCTGCAACCTGACCTCGAAGTGACACCCTGACCTTCCGTGGGCACGCGGAAGTCAGAGCTGTCCTTGGCTTTGATGTGGTCCGTCATCTCCTGGGCGTTGGACCCAGGGATCCACCTGATAAAATGGGAGGTTTGGATTTTTTGGACCACCCCAATTTTACATGAAAATGAAAATGGCAAAAATGCGAAGCCACGAACCTTTTTTCCAAATTGATCACAATCTCTACTCCACTCAACTCTGAATTTGGGACGAGTTGCTTCCTCAACCCCCTAAAAACGCCTCCTCAGCAAGCCGCACCCTTGGTGCCCAACCATAACAGTTTCCCCACCAGGCGTCCCAGACGTGCTTGTGGAACTCCAGCATGCCAGGCGCATCTAACTGCCATGCCACCAGCGAAATCTCCAAGGAACAAAAAGCACTGTCCGTCTCCAAGGCTGTGACCTGGCAGCAATTCGTTTCTTGTTTGGGTCTTCCAAAAAAGATTGGGTCTGGATCTTAGAATTTTCATATCTATACGTATTTATATACATCCATATCTATCTCTATCTATCTATCTATCTATCTATCTGTCTGTCTGTCTGTCTGTCTATCTATCTATCTATCTATCTCTATCTCTATCTACCTATCTATCTACCTATCTATCTACCCATTTATCTCTATCTATCTACCTATCTATATCTATATATCATTATACATGTATGTTATATATCTATCTATCTATCTATCTATCTATCTATCTATCTATCTATCTACCTATCTACCTATCCATCGATCCGTCCATCCATCCATCCATCTATCTATCTATCTACAGTATATCATTCTATATCTATGTCTACATCTACATCTCTATCTCTCTATCTCTATATCTATATCTATATCGATATATTTAGATCCTATATCTATGTCTCTCTATCACAAGATTCGCTCGACTGCCAAGGCACGTTGTAGTTGCCATCCTCCGTGACGGTGCTTGGGAACTTCTGCGCTCGACTGCGGTCCAGTTCCAATTGCCAGGAGCTGGGGAAGCAGCGCGGGCGTGTCAGGCGTTGGGCGGCACGATAGATCTGGACCTGGCTGTGGTGGCTGAGTCGTTTCACTGGGTGGGTTTTTGATTATTTTGCTTTTAATTGCGTTGGCTGGTTTTTATCGTATAGTCAGTAGTTTCACTGGCTTGGTGGGGAAACAGTGTCTGTTGTGCCATCCGAAGCTGGAAGGATTTCTGTTTCCTGGAAGTGCTGCCTGAAATCAATTTTTGGGAGAGGCAGCCCGGCAAGGGTGCAACTGGACCGGGTCCAGGTCTGATCAAATAAGCATGCGGTCCTACTCTCTCTCTCTCTCTCTCTCTGTATATATATATATATATATATGCACAACTATAATTATAGACATCTATAGGAGCTGGACCCTGGTTAGGGGACGGAGCGTCATGGAGCGTCCAAAGATTTGAGACCACCAGCCGACATGACTTTGAAAGACTTGTCAATCTCAAGAAGGCAATGCCAGCACTAAGGTCCCGACGTTCTTCTCAGGATTCCTGAGCAACACCAGTTCGATAAATCTTTGAAATCCCTTTCCAGTGTCTGAACTAGTCAGTTCGTACCAGCATAGAACAGGTCAAAGCGCTACCCTACCAGATCGACCAGCACGAACATCGGCCCAAGACTCCTTGCAAGGTCCTCAAAGCTGGCACCCTTCAGCAGGTCATAACAATTGCCCAACGTCACGCAGGGCGATGGGCGGCCTGGACCAGGCTCCGCTAGTTCCCATTGGTCAAAGGAAGATCTAGAATTAGCCATCTGCGGCGTGCAAAGATTTGCACCGGTTTTATATATTCTGACGACCAGCAAGTCCCCAGCACTCACCCATGGCCTGCAAGGACGGGAGCTTTCACCACATCGTCCTCTCTGCCTCGTTAGCACCATCTGGGTCTTCAATCATCGAATCAAGAGACCTCCATCGGAAAAGAGTTGCATCCCAAAATCTGGTCTGCCAAATGTGGACTGGCAACAAAGCTAGTAGAGTCACTAGGCACAATAGTGCAGCTTCCCTCCACAAAAACGGAGGAGCAACAAAGAAAGAACACACCGTTTGATGCAGCCAAGGGACACTGGGTGGGGCACGCCTGTGGAAATGCCAAGCAGGTGGCCTGACAAGTCAAGGGTTCTGTATCCCGCGGCCATGGCCAGGCCTCCCCCTTCAGGACCAAGAAATCTGATGGTTACCTGACCGCATCATGAAAAAATCTCGTGTCTGATGGCATCTTTACAGGCTAGGGTGCTCCAATGAAAGCATAGTTGAGGATCTCCTAAGCTTCGAGGCACATCCCAGCCTCCACCAGGACCTGAGGCTGGGGAAAACCACTGAAGATCTGCACGCAGTTCGAAACTGGCGAAGGGTATCATGGGCTTCCAGGTGGAAGTGGCATTTTGTGTCGTTTAAACGGGACCCCTGGCATTCTGTCTTTTTGTGTATCGCCATTGTACTTCAACCATGGAACAAAATATCATTTATGCACTGTCTATACACACAAAAAAGTGGCGGCAAAGTCCGAGTCCTAGAAATCCAACCCTTACGGCCATCATACCACAACTCCTGCACATTTCTGTGGTGCACTCTCCACACCCTGAGTGTCTGAAAGAAACGAATGGGTCATCACCTATGGCCTATGATATACTCACCAACTCAGGCCAAAGAAAATCCCCCATGAGCACTTGGATGCGCATCCAAGCTAGCAATTGTCTCACAGGCCTGGTGACTTGTGAACCCAACTGATAAACATCTGGCTGGTCGCCCTCAACACCTGCCGAGGCACCACGAAGACCAGATGTGCTGCTCCCACATCATGTAGCTGTTCCCAGGCGTTAGGGGTCTCGCTGTCCAACATCAGGATATGCCGGATGGTACCGAGGACCTCCCAGTCGTTTGACCGTCACAGCATGTCACAGCTGTGGGCTTCAAGATGTGGCGCCGCAACTTGAAGATGGAAATTCAAAGCTACAATTTTCAACCGGAAGGTCATCTTTCAAAGTTCTCATGTTTAGATGGTTGCACGGAAGTCGTGCCACCAATGCACATCCTCCTAGCCCGATCCCAAAGAGGCACATTTCTGCATCACGATCACCAATCCATCAACGGCCGGTGGTTGCCAACCCCTTCATCTGGTGTGCATCAGGAACTGAAAAGAGTTTGAAACCACCAACTGCATTGGCTCTGGAATAACCCACCGATGTCGTTTTTCCATTAGAGTGCTGGTAGTTTGCATCTCTTAACCATAAATGCCAGGTGGCATCCCAATACAGCAAAAGGTCAACTTCCATGCCTCCCTCTACCCTGGCAAGGCTGCCTGTGTGTAGTAATTCACCAGGACGCTTTCATCCCTGCCCTGCTTGCTGGACCACATCAATTCCCACAACCTCAGTGCAGTTTCGGAACAGGGCAAACGACATCATCATCTTTTGCGAGACCCCCCTGGAATATTGTCCAAGCTTCAGGGTACGACAACCCAAGAGGCCCGTTTACATCGGAGATTACATGGATGGTTCTCTCTTCATACACTTTAGATGATCCAATTAAAAATATCATCATACAGATACATCTCATACATATCATATGTAAACATCACCATGTGAGGGAAAATCGCATCCGCTTCTGCCAGTGCCGCCAAGGAGCGCAAGAATGGAATGGAAAAGATGCCGCAGAGGTCGGCCAGAGATACCTCACGGTGGGAAAGGCACAGCCAGTGATGGTGAGAAGCCTCTGGAGGACTTGTAAATGGAGCTGCTGATTTATTGCTGGTTTTCCAGCTGATATTCTATATAATTCTCCATCGGATATGAGGTGATTTTCCTGTTGATGTTGTTTTTGCACCGCCGCATTGGTCTACCTGAGATTTGTAGCGAGCTGTTGTACGACAAACAGCACCAAGGCAAGCATTGTAGAGAAAGGTCACATCCAAGATACCGTAGAGACACGCGAGTGGTGAGCCAGTTTCGGCACTTAACTTGGCCAGTGTTTCCTCAGCTGCCAATAACGGGTGAAAAGTGGAATCCTGATTTTCCATTTTCTGTTGGTTAATATCTCCTAGCGTACCCTATCCTATTTGCAGCATTTTGCGACTAAACCACCACTCCACTGGTCTCAAAGTTGAAGGCCGAGTGTCATCTTTCGAACACTCATCCACATGTAGCTTCATGTAGTGGCTGTACCTCAGCCACCATCTATTTTGTGAGAAGGTACTTATGCAGAATGCTGGGGCCGGAAAAAAACCAAATTTCGCAACCGATAATACCATGGGTGCGGCGAGCCCTAGGACCAATTTACAAGATTGCTTACCCCCTTTCTGAGCCTGGGAAAACGAGACTTGGGACTTGAGCCTTGCCGTTCTACTTGGTGGGGGATCCTGCTATGCCTTAAGTACCCAGCAAAAAGAATGGTCAACCGTGGAGTCATCAATAAACCTGCAGGACAACACCATGCCCAGATGCTGACTGGAGATGCTGAGTTCACTTCCTTCACTGATACGCAAGATCTCTTCGGGTCGACGTAGCACGTGGTCCAATACCCTGGGATTTCTTGAGGTGGGCTGCAAGTGTCTCACCCCGGACTCTCAAGGTGTCCTAAAACTGGTTCAACCTGGAAGTGAGGTGCACATCAGCACGTCCACAATTACAAAAATGAAGAGCCAGCCCCAAGTACCACCAATCGAACCAACACACACCCAGGACTCAGGGATCCCTGAATATAAGAGAATATAAGCACCACAAGAATTCCCCCCCCTCGGACTGATTCGTCCTGACTCATGATGAAATTATGGAACATGGCCTTCTAGAAGGGATTCTTCCAATGTACAAATGATATTTTCCCACTTCTTCCGGGAATCTACCGTCTAGCTGGGCAGTCTTCATCCCCATACTACGAGCAGACGGCCAAAACTGGGAAACACTTGTACAAATGCTAGCTTCATTCCCAATTATTAAACACTACATAGCACTGCTATTGAACGTCAAACTTCAACCAACTAGATAGCCAACTATTCAACTATTACACTATTTCTATGGCTTGTTCATATATATGTGAAAATCGGGCCCCAACAACTAGATGGCTAATAAGGCTAATACTATCCCCATACCAATCCTTGGAAAACTATCCCAGGCACCGGCCGTGCGCCCACGAGGAGCGGCGGAAGAAGCAGTCCTCGGTCAGGGGCACGGTGGCCACTAGGCGGCAGCCCAGGAAAACCTGGTGGGTACCTGGCGCGACTGGCGCGACTGGCGCGACAGGCGAACATTTGGGGGGGTTCACTGTGACAGCTGGAAACCTAAGATGATAAGACATGATAAGACGGCATCAAATGGATGTTGTGATTTTTTCTGGGATGGTTTCAGCCACCGAATGGTTTAAACTGGGATCCAAGATTTGCAACCAGAACTTGGATTCAAGCAACAAATATGACGGACCCCGGATGATTGGACAAGCACAAACCTTGTATGATTTTTGATCATACCCGCAAATGACGGGGATGTCAAATGACTTGTTTGCCCCCAAAAAACGAAGAAACAAACTGGCAATCTACAATCGGAAACTCGTCTTCAAATCCCATCGGCTCAATCTTCGCTTCGAGGGGGTCTAAGCTGCTTCGCGCCTCCATCCTGCACTTCCTCTCGTTGCCAGTCTGCTTGGTAGCCCAGCTGATGCATGCCTCGCCATCACCCAATGAAGGTACGACGGTATAAGGCTAGTGGTGATGATCGCACAGAATCCCAAACAAAGCTATCAAAATGTATAGGTTCGATAATGTTCATAATGTGAACCTCAAACAAACGTCCGATTTCCACGTAGATCTGTCTCATGTCCACTTAAGCCTATCTCACGTCCAATTTTCGGAGACTGTCTGTCTTAAGTGCCACTGCGGCTCGGGTGATGGTTTCATGTCTCGAAGGCTGGTTCTCATACACCGGCTCCTGCCCAATCCCACCCGGAGCCGTGGCATGGAAATATGGATGAAGTTATACCCATTGTCACCTGTAGGAATCCAAACAATTCCTTGAACTACATGGGGGGAAGCCATTGGACAGCGGACCCCACTTGCAAATTCCACTGGCTCCCTTATTCTGAATCGTATTCTGAACTGTGAATGGTCGAGACTTGCCTATGTTCTGAGTGTCGGTTCAATAGGAGATCAAGAAAGATTGAAGCCCTAGAAAACTCAGCCGAGGGGAAAGGCATGTTCAAAAAGCCAGGACAGTGCTATAACTTTGGACTTTTTCAGAAACCTTGGGTTTAACATACATTAATTCATTGATCATCAATCATTAACGGATCATTCAGGCATGAATGTGGCAAAATGTGGCAAGTACCTCTACTGGACCCACCAGCTGCATCGCCAAGCGTCCGAGACTTCGATCTGCACCTCTTCAATGCGCTCCAGGATCACCTCAATGCCCCGAGTGGCTAAACTGCTAAACAAACCGGGACTAACCGGGACCATTTGGTCGGATACATCGGATACATCGGATACATCCGAGTTCGTCAATTTAGTCCCATTGGTCCCATGAATTAGTCCCATTCTGGTGAGAGGACGTGAGAACAATGGGTGACTTTATATGACTTTATATGACTTTATGGGGTTTGATCGCAACCACCAGCCACGCTCACTTGGATCATCCAGGAAGTGCTACGACATCCTACCGACAACAGCCACATCTGCACCCAGCTACGCGTGCGAGCGGTGAGGACGCAGTGGCCAGGGCTGAGAGGATGTCAACATCTGCACCCTGCGCATCCAGCTTCAATTTGATGGGAGGTCCTGGCCCAGCTGCGGGGCTGCGGGCTGTCACATCCTGTCCCCCAAACCGTGTTTTGATGACTGATAGCCTACGACATCCAAATATGTCCGGCAATTCATGTTCTAAGTTGTTTAATCCATTTCACATATGGGATGGTTGTGGCTCTTCCCCATCTTTGTTAGTCAATATACCCATGTGCTTACTTTCTTCTCTATCGTTGTACACTCGTACATGCTTTGCCCAGGATGGATCTTCTTCATCCTGCCCCTGCAGTTCCACAGGCCGTCCTTCTTTCAGAGCCTCTTGATACTCCAAAAGTGATTCCTTTCGGAAAGACCGTCAAGGCATCAAACCCTCTCAGTGGGTATGGCTTAAATGTAGTGTACCCCAAACGAACCTGGCTAAGGGCGGAAATCCGACATTTATGTTGTCATGAATAGCTGTCCATCATTGTTTGTCCTATAAAAAGAGGCTTTCACCCCCACCTCAGAAGGGGTAGCTGTCCCCAGCATCAGGCCATGTAGGAGCACATCCAGCGAAGTGACCTTGGCATCACTTCCAGAGGCACAGTTGAACCCCTTGCACTTCGTTTAAACCCCGAGAAAACCCAGATGCACCAGCAAAACGAGGGTGACAACCGACAAGACATGGGAACAACCAACAAATCACAGGGGTATGACCAACAAAGCAACTCACCAGGGAAATGATTGAACCATCCAAACACCATCCATTCATTCACTCTTTCTGGCACGTGGCTGGCACTAGAACCTCAGGGCCCTTTGCAGTGCAGGGATGGCCGAAGCTTTCATCAGGCACCAGGAGGCTGTTGCCTCAGTAGAAACGAGGAGATTGGAAAATTTTGGAAGGGTTTCAAGGATGCATGGTGGTTTTTTGATGACAGGGTTGGATTGTGGGTGGGTGTTCCGAGCAAAAATCGTGGTTCAATGATGCTTCAGCAAAAGTGAATGAACTTGGGGATGACCAATAGTAGCGGGATTATCGGTATGGTAAGTAGCAAATGATGTCCTTTTGTGGGAAGTAGGTTTGAGTGGGGGGATAACGGTGTGAAAAAATCGGGGGGTGCCCCTGTAGTCACTCTTGTACAGCCACCCCCAGTCTGAGCCGGGCTGCATTCTCCGCCCAAGAAGTCATTGGTGTGCAGGGCTCGGAAGCCCCACTTCAAACCTGCAGGAAGAGGCCACACGAACCAGTTCAAGCTGAAATTCTGGGAAAACTGATAAAGATACTTCGTCAAAACCAACCTGGAGGCAAACACAATGCCATTTCCAATTCATGTGCAACATTGTACAACACCAAACCTAGATTGAGGGATTTGGTGGAGCAAGGATTGCAATTTGGCAATTTTGCGCAGTAAATCCCCGACCCGTGGTAGGGTGACGGGTTTCAACACGGGTAAAGGATTGATCAGGATGGCATCTCGACTTTTGGGCACCTTCTTCCCAGGTCAAAGCAACAGGTAGGGCCACCACACGGTCCAACACGTCACTGTAGTCCACCTGCCATGAAAATGACATGCCAAGGCCCCGGGGGTTTGGAGGAGCCAAAAATTGATGTGATGCATAAATTAAATGCATATTTACATATAAATATAAATCAATATTGCATCTTTGAAGCAAACTCTGCAGCTAAAATCAAGGTCACGAGCTTTTGGCTGAGATTTGTTTCAGCACCCGGACATAAAAGCGGCAACCCAATTCCACCCGTTTCAGCTGCAGGGGTGCCAACATATAAACTAGTATCAGCCAGTATCAGCCGTGGATCCTGCAAACGTATCCCTGCCTTGAGCCGACGATAGAGTTCCAAGAAAGCCTTGGATCACATCCACCAGCTGTCCAAAAGCCAAGCTTGGAAGTGGATGAGATCAGGTGGCATTTAGGTCGTCAAACCCTTCAAAAGAAAACACATCCCCCTCCCAATTAAACAAAAAAAAGCACCATGTTTAAAGTTTCCAGTGGCTTCACTTCCCCCTTTTTCCATCTCACCATGAAAAGACCCAAAAAATCCATCGCCAGGCCACGCTTCGTCCGGGCTCCACCAGCACCAGCCAGGCTTTGGGGTCGCGCCGCAGCTCCGGCAGGAAGCGGCTCCACTCGTGGGCGCCAACATCCACAATGATCTGCCGGGGATGCCCACACTGCTGGGGATGGGAAAATAGCCAAATTATTAGAATTATAAGCCAACTATGCGGGTAAACCCATGTAAACCCAGCAAAAAAAAAAACATCCCCATTTGGGGTTGATTATTGCGTATACGGTATACCCCTAGAAATGAGATAATGCCCCCAAATGGATAACCTAGCCCAAGGTCACCCGCCTGGGAGACCTCTGCGCCGCCGAGGCTTAAGGCCTTCCAGAGGCCACACTGCCACAGCAGCACAGGCGCCATGCGCGGCCCGGCAGACCTTGAAGGTTTTACTCGTTTCGCTGGTGGAATTTTAGCAAAGTTTGACCTGTTTCGAGGGCAGCAAGGGGTATCTGAGGACTTATATGCAGACTGCTCAAAATCAGCATTGCAGTCTATAATCATCTTTGATCATCTTTGGGCCACGGTTTTTTGGAGACTTCCTTCTGTGTCACAGTAAGGCACAGTGACACCACATCGGATCCGTTGGATCCCAAGCATGGCAGCCGGGCCACACCACCTCATCCAACACGGATCCGGTGTAGCGACCTCCATGCCGTGGGGCGACCAGGGCATCCAGCACCTGGGAGCCAGGACACCGGTACGGCAGTCATTTCCACGATGGCAACAGTACTATATAAAAAGACAACAAAAACCTCGCGATAATGACATGGGCATAATAATGGCAATGTGGTCCTAAGAATATAAAACATCATCGTCGTCGTCGTCGTCGTCATCATCATCATCATCATCCTCCTCAACAACCTCATCATAATCGTAATCGTCATCGTCATGCTGATGACCGCCCCGTGACTCACCCCACAAAAAGCCGCCCGTCCCCCGGAGAGCCTGACCTGTGATCCCACCAAATCCAAGAAGAAATCTGGAACGAAGACCGGATTCAAGAAGGTGTCTACATCCCTGGGCGACAAGTCCAACCGTATTTCATGAACCGAGTGGAGGTGCTGACGGATAAAGCCAATAGGAAGCGGAGTTTGGGGTTCAGTTCACCAAGATGTGATGCGATTTATGCCACCATATAAGTTTGTCCTCCACCAATCTGGACCTATATGGACCTCCTGTGAGGCTTTGGAGTAGGCAGTGTGCCATCAAAGGGCTTGGGGCGAAAATGGAACTGCAAAGTGTATCAAAGTGCAACACAAATCCTTGAAATTCATTGTATTCATGCATATTAATCCACTAAATTCATCAACAAATATCCAACCGGCCCGTTTCCAGCACCTCAGCGGCAGGGGCTCACCACATCCGGGCCACACCAGGGTCAACAGCAAGGCTGTCCGTGCGCAGCCCAGCCTTGGCTGAAGCCGCTGAAGCCCAGGATTTCACAGAAAACCTGCCCTTCCATCTATCTATCCGATCCAATCTTTTAAGCTACCTATCGGTTACCTATCTATTGAAGCTATTCAATTGATCGAATTACGCTCCTGTCGGTCTGTCCATCTCGAGGTTACTAACGTTATGCTCTATTTCATCGAATTCTGACATCTACAGCGTAAATTGCATGTTGCAGTGCCAAGTTTCCACCAGCATAGCTCCATGAATGCCACGCGCCCATGGCAGCGGCGCCAGTACCATGCGGGAAAGGTAGACGGTACTGTTACATTCACTGTTGATGGTGTGAGGAAATTCAGCTTGGTGGTGGCTACGGTACCCGAAGCATCATCTGTGCCCTTGTGAAAAAATGCCCAGGATTGGTTTGAAGGCTACTTTCGTGTAGGTAATTCCCTTGGATCAATCGAGTGACCCTATCCCTGAGGACGTGCCATGGTTCGCTGTTGATGCTAAGCTGAACAGAGCCAACCTCGTAAAGGTTTCACCATCTGAGTCCCAACAAGCAATGTGCATCATATATATATAATTGCGTGTGTGTGTGTGTGCATATATGACTAGAACTATACCATATAGTCAACAAGACTTTGGCTATCAAAAAAAGAATCACTGGGAACAGTGGAGACATGGAGACATTACATATAAGAAGCCACACGACTTAAGGCATCACAAGATTAAGTTGCAAGTTGGCGTACTGTTGAGACACCGATATCGCTGAGCCACAGACCTTCTCTGCCTCCTTCCCTTCTTCTGACACCTGCTAATCTGGCTGTGGATGAGTAAACTTCCGAAATCAGCAGCCAAACCGCGGGCATTCTGTGAGAAGCCCAGGTCCATACAAATAAGATTAAATAAGAGGGGTAATACCCCCCGCTTATCTGTAGTTATCAGTTATTTCCGAGAATTGGTTGAAGGGAAAGTCTGACCGGGTTTCCTGCAGATTTTCCATTATATAAACCAATCAATCCATTGATTAACACCAGCCAATCATCCGGGCAATGATATCCGGCACCTGTGTTTGGAGATTGCTCAGGAGCTTGAGGGCCTGTTGCACCTCAGGCTGGGAAAGTTGAAGTTGATGACGTGCAGCTCATTGGGATCATTGCAGGCACAACGGAAATGGAAAGAAAATGTGCAACCACCAACCAAATCTGACAAATCTGCAGGTTTTGCCCACAAATGCGGCCACACCGACAGAAGCAATTGACCATGGTGACCATAAAAATAGAACCATATTATGTCAGGAGCCACCCAGAACCATGGCACCACGTGCCCTTTTCACAGTGGCTCCGCCCAATTCCCCTTGGGAGACCACAGCAGGAGCTTCAAACTCTCCAGCATTGGCGAGCGCCTCAGAGCTGGACCCAAAAAACCTGTGCAACCCAGCAGCATTTCAGGGTTACAACGGTTACAAGGTCCTGCTCACAGCTGGCTCAGCAACCAAGCAAAACATAGCAAAACTGGAGATTATTATATGCCAATTACAGAATGTAAAGACCCCACAAACACTGCTGGCGGAAACAATCTAGAGGCTAGAGGTTCCTTTATTTCCTCCTCCTTTGCCCAAGAAGCAGTTGGCTCAGACCCTCACACAAGCCGCTGCGAGCAAAACCCACTGCAGGCGCTTCATTGCATCGCCTTGGTAGCAGCGGCAATATTGACAAGCTGACTTCTTTCTCCAAGTCTTCCCCTACAAAACTATTTCAAAAACAGAAAAACATTTTCTCTAGGTGGTTGAATGGAGTTTTTGGTGGTTTGAGTGTTCACCGTGTTGAACTAGAAGAAAGTTTGATCCCTCAGCCGCACAAAAACCAGGCTGGGGACCCAACAGGACCCAACGCGCAGGGCGACGCCCACGCGAAGGCTATGGCACATCCGAGCGAACGGCCAGGCAGTCGAATAGAGGTCCCCGGAAAAGGTTGGATCACGCAGAGTACTTTGGATCTCTTCCAAACTCATGTGGAAACATGACACCCGTTGACACCCCATGTTTGGGCACCCCATGTTTGGGCACCCCTTTGACAACAGTGACTTGACTCCGAATCGACCTTTGCAGCGGCCTTTTGCTGGGGTCAGTCGACAGCAACCCATTCTTTGGGGTAGTCGCGACCGCTGCACTTCGGTTGGTTCGTGTCCTTGGACAATCCGGCGTGGCCGCAAAGGTGCATTCTTTGTCACAGGGATCAGGTCGAGGTAAGTTGCTAGTTAAGCTCCTGAACTGGCAAACAAAAAAAACGAACCCGTGGGTCATGTGGAACTCACCAGTCTGCGTCGTCTCATCCGATGATGCCCTAGGATTTTTTCTCAGAAGAGGTCCCCCTCTGGATGATCTCCTTCCTATGATTCAAGTACAAGAAACATTGAGTCGCCTAACCTTCATCATCATGCAATTGCGAGTCATTTTGACATGCTATGCTGCTCAAGAAACTCCCCAACCATAATAAACTATGGTCAGCAATTCAACCTAGGAATTAAAAATGTAATGTTCATTAATTTTCCCCTATATGGTCAGCAGGTGAGGCATATGCGAATGGTGTATTGGCACTGCCATGTTTGCCGGAAAGTAGGCAGTCAAACAACCTTTCACTGAGTTTGGCACGAGACAATGGCCGGCCACGTGCTGTGATGGACTGCCTTAGGGTGCTGGCAGTGATGTAAAATGTACGAAAGGAACTTGAAATTGACCTCCTCCAAGTTCCGAGAATATGCAGTAGCTGCAAACTTGTGAAAAGACTGCTGAACAAGAGAGGGGGTGATAGAGATAAGTTGGGATTCATCAGGCTCAAACTTTCAACCTACTCCAACATGTTCGAATTCAGCCGGAAGGTTCAGCCAAGCAACCCATAGCCACGGTGGGGACCGTGCGCAGCTGCGGCGTGCGCTTCCGCAGGAAGTAGAGCAATGCCTCGCAGTTGTCACTGGCGCGTTGGAGCTCACCCAGCAGCTCCAGAGGCGGCTGGTCCTGTCTAGCGGAGGGCGTGTGAACAGGGCCACATGTGCCACAAGTTTTTCCCCAACAGCAGAATGCTTTGGGGTCTCAGCCCACATAGCCTTCGGGGTGCTCCGGGGCACTGCTCGACCCTGCCGCCTCGTTTCGCCGGTTCCGGGAACCAGGGTTCCGAGAACCGGTTCCGGGAACCAGGGTTCGGGGCAAGGTTCCGGGAACCCAGGGTTCCGGGAACCAGGGTTCGGGGCAAGGTTCCAGGAACCCAAGGTTCCGCAAACCAGACTTTCAAGCAAGGTTCTGGGAACAATGGGTTCTGGCTACCTTTTGGGTTCCGGGACGTCAAGGTTCCGGGAAGGTTCCGGGCACACTTGGCTTTCGACAAGGTTCCGGGAACCTTACCATGGTTTCGAGCAGCCAGAGCCTGGATTGTGCCAAAGTTCTGGAATCACCGGAACACCAATTTTGAGACATCCTGCAAACCCAGAGTTTGGGGAACCAGGATTCTGGCAAGGTTCCAGCAACACTGGGTTCCGACAAGGTTCCGAGAACCACCACAGATGCGGACCCACAGTTTGGATATACTTCCTGGATTATGCCACAGGTTCCGGACAGGGACAAGGTCAGAGTTCTGGCAAGGTTCCGAGGTCCGGAAACAACCCAGGGGTCGGATATACGCCGTGGGTTGTACCAAGGTTCATGCTACGGACAGGGTCCCAGAAAACCAATTTGCAAGGAAACCAAGGTTCCAGGACCAAAAGGGCCCGGTCAACGAGCAATCGCTGACAGGGGGGGGGACAGCGTGACAATAAATCAGCGCGTCTCGGTTCCGGAAACCCAGGGTTCCAATATACGCTGTGGGTTGCGCCAAGGTTCCGGAAACGAGGGTTCCAGGAAGACAAGGTTCCAGGGACACAAGGTTCCAGGAACACAAGGGATTCCGGAAATCCCCCAGCCAATCTTGGGTGCTTTGTGGCCCCTCACTGAATTCCGAATTCATGTTCGTTTGCTCAGTGGGCGCACAGCGTCGGTCGACTGACCTGTTCTGATGTTGCTGTAAAATCTTCTGTTTGAACTGTTCCGATGTCGCATCTACCAAAGCACATGCCACATCAAGCAATTAAGTTCGATGCCTTGGAACACCTAAATATTGGCAGCAAACCTGTGTGAGGCTTCTCGAAGCCAGGTAGATGATTTTTTGAAGCTAAGTGACCAAACAGCAACACACAATGAAACTTCAGACACAGTTGTGACACAACAACCAAGTATTGACATGAAACTAATTCTGGAATCATGATGGACAATTTGGCCAAAACCAACTGTTTCACCAATCACTTGCGCAAACTGACCGATGTTGTCCAAGCACGACAAGATAATCCCAAACCAACACACACACACACAATTTTGTAAACACTTAATGACACACCGTGGTCTGCAAATACTGCCATTCGTTTGTAACCAAATGTATGTAAATTCAACTATGCGCGCTTTCTTAAAGAACATGTCTCATCCTGCCTTTGGTCCAAAAGGGGAGGGGGCAAGGCGGGCAAAAAATCGCCGAAGAGACTTAGGCTATGGAATCCTGTTCCTGCCATCATTAATCCGTCTTGGGTTGCAAAGTTGGACCACTGTTTGAAACCAACCGCTGCCGGTTCCGGGAACCAGGGTTCCGGGCAAGGTTCCGGAACTCAGGGTTCCGGGAACCAGGGTTCGGGGCAAGGTTCCAGGTTCCGCAAACCAGACTTTCAAGCAAGGTTCTGGGAACAATGGGTTCTGGCTACCTTTTGGGTTCCGGGACGTCAAGGTTCCGGGATCCCCAGGTTCTCGGCGCCAGGAAGGTTCCGGGCACACTTGGCTTTCGACAAGGTTCCGGGAACCTTACCATGGTTTCGAGCGGTTCTGGAATCACCGGAACACCAATTTTGAAACATCCTGGAAACCCAGAGTTTGGGGAACGAGGGTTCCGGCAAGGTTCCAGCAACACTGGGTTCCGACAAGGTTCCGAGAACCACCGCGGATGCGGACCCACAGTTTGGATATACTTCCTGGATTATGCCACAGGTTCCGGACAGGGACAAGGTTGCGGAACAACAATTTTCAAGAAGCCCAGCCCAGGTTCCAGAGAACCAGGGTTCTGGCAAGGTTCCGAGGTTCCGGAAACAACCCAGGGGTCGGATATACGCCGTGGGTTGTACCAAGGTTCATGCTACGGACAGGGTCCCAGAAAACCAATTTTCAAGGAAACCAAGGTTCCAGGACCATATAGGCCCTGTCAACGAGCAATCGCTGACAGGGGGGGGCACAGCGTGACAATAAATCAGCGCGTCTCGGTTCCGCAAACCCAGGGTTCCAATATACGCTGTGGGTTGTGCCAAGGTTCCGGAAACGAGGGTTCCAGGAAGACAAGGTTCCAGGAACACAAGGGATTCCGGAAATCCCCCAGCCAATCTTGGGTGCTTTGTGGCGGGTTCCGCACATGCCGATTCATGTTCGTTTGCTCAGTGGGCGCACAGCGTCGGTCGACTGACCTGTTCTGATGTTGCTGTAAAATCTTCTGTTTGAACTGTTCCGATGTCGCATCTACCAAAGCACATGCCACATCAAGCAATTAAGTTCGATGCCTTGGAACACCTAAATATTGGCAGCAAACCTGTGTGAGGCTTCTCGAAGCCAGGTAGATGATTTTTTTAAAGCTAAGTGACCAAACAGCAACACACAATGAAACTTCAGACACAGTTGTGACACAACAACCAAGTATTGACATGAAACTAATTCTGGAATCATGATGGACAATTTGGCCAAAACCAACTGTTTCACCAATCACTTGCGCAAACTGACCGACGTTGTCCAAGCACGACAAGATAATCCCAAACCAGCACACACACACAATTTTGTAAACACTTAATGACACACCGTGGTCTGCAAATACTGCCATTCGTTTGTAACCAAATGTATGTAAATTCAATTATGCGCGCTTTCTTAAAGAACATGTCTCATCTTGCCTTTGGTCCAAAAGGGGACGGGGCAGGGCGGGCAAAAAATCGCCGAAGAGACTTAGGCTATGGAATCCTGTTCCTGCCATCATTAATCCGTCTTGGGTTGCAAAGTTGGACCACTGTTTGAAACCAACCGCTGTTGGGGATCTACGTCGGCTTATTTTTAAGTCCTTTAGTCCTTTATGGATATTTAGAGAATTAGCCGTCTGAGCTACTTTGAGGTGGGCAGCATTTATCCATGATCATTTCAGCCGATGTCCCATCATCCCATTCTCCAACCCTTCCAAGGTCCTGCGGGTAGAGGGATGGACATTTTTCCCAGTAGATCTGGATCTCCTCTGAACTCGCGCCCTGAAGCCGTTGCGTCAGCTCTGCCAGGGACCTGGCCACACCATCCGAAAAGTCGATGCGCTTCACGTAGCGCGGATCAGACACGTTGTCCACGCAACCTCTGCCGTTTGGGATAAGAGCTCCTTGCCCTGGAGCTGGAAGGTTTTTGCCAAACCTTGCTTTATATTTTGATGAAAAATGGTTATGTTGGGTTTGGGTGTGGTTTTGGGATTACTCCTAGCCAAATAAAACTCCGAATTCTAATCAAAATTTATGTCTCAAATAATGCCTGCCTGAACAAATTTCTTTGCGAGTCTGAATTAGAGGCCTAGGGCTTAGGGTGGAGTTTTGCGGTCCGCCCAAATCAATGGCTAACTGCCACCTGCAAGTTCGCCCAAAGATCGCACACACTCTCAAAGTCCCCAAGGCAATTCTCAAAAATTCAAAACAGTTGAACAAAAATCAAACACATCAAATTGTTCACATCCCAGCAGCGCTTCCGTTCATCCTCAGCAATCTGATGCCGCAGCATGGATCGCCGGTAGTCGCTCTTCGTCTCCTCGGGCCCGGCAGCCAAAAAGACGCCGTCGCCGCGGCTCAGCACTTCGCGGTAGGCTTCCTCTTGGGATGCCAACACGGCCACCTGGGAGATCCCGATCCATGTGAAGTCATGTGAAGTCATGTGAAGTCAATGAAATGATTCAACCTTTGGAAAATTGACGAAAATCCACAGTGGAGCTCTGAAACAAATGCGCAATATCTATTCCAAAAAACACTCCGGATATGGTTGAAGCCACCGAATCTAAATCTAATGACTTGCAGGGGGGCTTTGACAGAGCTGGTTCCACAGTTCCTGAAACAATCTGAACCCTGCCACCTGTCTGCTAAAATGTTGGGCCACCAAATGCTCCAGGTGAGGCAGGGAACTGCTGTCCAGCTCACCTATGGCATGTAGCAAATCCAGGAGTTGTTTCCCAACCTCTTTGACCAACAACGACGTCGACAACCTGGCGTTTTTCACTAGTCGCTGTGCCAGGAACCCCACGGGCAAAGGGGAAAGGAGTCGCCACCAGAGGCGGTCTGACAGGCCATCTTCGGGGCTGGGTGTTTGGCCCAAATTCTGCAACAAGGACTTACGCAGGCCACCCCAGCAGAAGTCGTAGTCAGCCGTGGATAGGCCCAAGGTCAAATGCACCGAAACCTCATCCCCTGTTCCAGCCGTGCCGGTGGCATGGGGAAATCCCATCGGAACAAACAGCACCTGCCCAGGTTGGAGGATCACATCCAGCAGCAGTTCGCCCAGTTCATCCTCCAGCAACCGGTCCTCATTCTTCCCTCTGTACAGGGGATGTGCCGTGTTGACACGCGAGGCCCGGGTAGGTGGTGCATAGACGCGCCAGCGCTTGGCGCCTTGGGTGTGGAAAATCAGCACGTCGTGGTTGTCTGTGTGAACATCTGTAGAGACCTTGCGATTGCGTCCTGGCAAGTGCAGCACGTGCGATCTCTTTTTGTATGTCAAGTTATGATTTGTGACACTGCCTGGCACCCATAGTGGCGGGTTCCGATGGTAACGAAAGATTGGGGCATGACTACCAAATAACTTTGACTGGGAACACGGGCTGATTTATAAGAAGTAAGGCCTGTCCTTGCATGAACTCACTTTTAGGGTTGCATGGTGTCGCAAGCCAGTCCTGTCACATAAACATTGATGTTGCAAGGAAAATGCAAGGTACAGCTGGCCGCCAAGCAAAGCTGAGCAGCAGCCTTCCAGTGAAGCGACGCAGTGTTCAGAAAGATTGTGCCATATTCCCTTGGATGTCCAGGTGGGTTCGCTCATCATTTCTGACCCTTCAAATGGGGTTGTATCCAAAGGATCATGAGACATTGTAGCCGTGGCTCTTGGTGACAACCCAAACAATAAAGATAGGAGAGTACCGGTCGTGCTGAAGATAATCTTGACAGGTCTTGCCTCGGATTTGATATCTCTAATAATCTCCGAACCTCTGAGTGGGTGGCACTAGTGCAGGCCAGCAGCAACACCTCCAACATGTGGGACATCTGGCGGATGGGCGGCAGGCTGATGGGGCATCGGAAATCCACCCCATCCGTCAGAGTCAGAGCAGACTCGCAGGGCTTTCGTCCAGTGGAAGCACCCAGGCCGTGCTGAATCTGATCCAAAGTTAGGAGGTTTCGCACGAAGGGCACTGGTAGGAGAAAGGGACCCCTTCTTTCTCCAGCCCATAGATCTTGAAACACTGGGCTGGCTGCGAGAGATGAGAAAAAGTCTGCCAAACGGGTGTCATGATCAGACGCAGCTCCAATCACCACATCTTGATAGAGCTTCTCGATGTTGGAAATCAATGACTTATCCAACCAGTTGATGTTGAGATCAGTCCACAGGAAGCCTTTCTTCTCTGGCACGCTCTTGGGTGCGATGGCCAGCACCAATCGCTGCAGGTCGGCATACTTCCCATAAATCTCGCAAGGAATAACCTCCTCCTCCTCCCCACTGACGGGCGCTGGCATAGGGCCAAGCACAACACCATCAGCTGGCCCAAAAGATGATGGCAGTACACCGGAGCAGCAAGATGCATCAATCTGTGAGATGTCTGCTGAGTGTAGTGGGTGCAGTGCTTAAGCTTAAATGTGACTAGCGGCTGACTAGCTCATGGCGCTTAGCTAAGCATCACGGAGATTCCAATGGCGTGCTCAGTTCGGTCAATCAGGTAGGAAAGGCCTAATATAGCTAATCGGCATCAAAATGCATCGTCAGCAACCCTTGCATTTCATAGAAAGGGATGTGTTTATGATTTATGATGTTTTGCTCAAAAAGAGCTTGTGGCGAGAAGGAAGCTCTAGGCAAATGCAAATCTGACAAGAAGGAAGCTCTAGGCAAATGCAAATCTCGCACATCTGAAGCCATGCAATTGTTGACAGCTGCTTGGTGTCACTGTACCTCCATGCCTCTTGGCTGATCAAGTCAAGAGAGATATTTGGCCTGTCTGATCAGCTAACAGGGCAGCTTTCAGAGCAAAAATGGCGATCGTGTGACTCAAGGCATCATGAATGAATAGACCAAATCCAAGGCTTCATTGAAGCGGTACTGGGCCGCTTTTTTTTCGGCAAATGTCGGGTCGTTGTGGCTGCTCAACACAACATTTTTGGCTGCCAAATTGGAACGGTCTCTCGGCTGCCCCCTGCGTGCCCAGTGACAAGATGAGGCACACGTGGGAAAGGCAGGGGCGAATGGCTCTAGGGACTTCATTTCAGTCCATCTGTTGCCGGTACTTGCTCGCTGATCGACAACTTGCTACACCATTCTAGGACGGAATACACCAGCGACCCTGGGCTTGTCATAGTTTGTCCCTGCTTTATCTGCGCCGGAGCCAGAGGCGACAATCGAAAGCAACACTTTGCAAGAATAACTGCTTGGCTCGAGGGCTGGAGGCTTCCAATCATCTTCCACCAGACAAAAAATCCACCACTCCAGATATTCCAAAACCTTTCTGTTCTCAATCCAAAGGTTCATACTTCATTGGCACCCCACTTGGCTTCATCTTCTCCATCCCGCTCATGGCCCCACGCTGGAGCCAGTGCATCTGCAGGGGTGTGGCATCCACGAATGCCCAAGCGATGCTCGTCAGGTCATTCGGATGCAGCTGCTGGGCCTTGCTGCTGCCGCTACGCGCCAGGGCCCGCAGCAACGTGCGCCAGTCCACGGCCTCGAAGTCGCTGGAGCCCTGAACTTCGCTGGGGAAATGGGATGCTGATGATGCTGGGGGAAGTGTCACTTTCACAAAGAATCCACAAACCACCCCTGAGCAGTTGAACTTCAACATACTTTGTTACTATTGTATTGGTTGACATTGGGTTGAGGTGACCTGGCGTTCTTCCCAAGAACCAAACACACGAGCTGGGATTTGCATTTGGCTTTGGGAGTTTAGATGCATTTTCCTGTTTGGACCCCACTTGCCTTATACATAGAGAGGGCCCACAAGGTGTTGCTCAAATCCCTCGGGTTGAACGCCTCAGCATAGCTGTGAACGGCCTCCAAGGGTGCCAGCATCATTTTCGACTCCCACATAGCCAAGAAGGCGAAGCTCCACAAAACGTTGGCCAAACTCTGGGGCGTTAGCTCTGACCTGGGTGGGCTATGTGTAACCTCAATATTCTGCCTATGTATGTATATAAAACTGGTAGCATTGCTCCAAGTCATGAAAATTGGCAAAAACAGAAAGATTCGCTATGAGACGAGAGGGGCTCAGACTCGACCCCATCATCCCCATCAACAAAGAGGGCAGATCAATGATGATCAATGCCTATGATACTATATTCGGACATATTTGCAAAAATGAACATCCATTTTCCCTCTATTTTTGGGGACCAGATGGGGCCAGGCCACCCAAATTATCACCAAATTTCTCATATGAAAAGGATCCAGCGACGCTTCGGCCTTCAGCATCACCTCATATGACAAAGTCAGCAGCAGCGGCGCATCGCTGCGCGCCAGGGCGGCCAGGGACCAGCTGACGTTCGCGAGGTGCCGGCCGCTGAATTCGCGCAACTGCTGAGAGGCGCAATGGGACAGGGAGCTCCACAAAAGGTCCTCCTGTCTGCGTTAAAACCTTGGGAAACCTAGGAAAAACCTGTCTATCATAAAGAAGAGGTTGAACCCACTAGATACACATCGTGGTGGTGTGGATATACTGTAGCCGGGCATAGTGTCATCCCACTGACACTGCTGGTTTAAAGTACAGTGTTTCAGCCAGATTAGGGATGTTTATAATTCAGAACGCCCCCGGCTTCTCAGTGATATAATAAAGGGCCGTGCCGAAAAACATACTGTAGGACAAAAGCTGGCAACGACCCGTTGGAAGTAGGGAGAAAAAGTGCCCAGAAGTGGTGGGCCTGTGGGGCTATCAAGATGGGGTACAACTCAAACCACTGGGACTAGCCATGGAGTAGACGAACCCAAGGACCTCATATCAACCAAATTGCATCCGGTTACATACGCTACTGTCCAGCAAGCCATCTGCTACACATAGAGTGATCGCTTCCGACTCAAACAACCTTACAGATTTCAATCTCATCATCCAAACCTACTCCCAGCCTCATGTGCCTGCGGTTTATCATTTGTTGTGTTCGGCATTCCGTTACAACAGCCTGTGCGTTCAACTTCCTCAGCTGTTATCCTGTTCATCTGAAATTCATTGCTTATCTCATATGGTTACAATATGTCCATCCATACATTTATTTCTGTATTTAATTTATTTATATATTTATGTGTTTATTTATATTTGGCAAGTTACATATGGTGGTATATAGTAAATAGTATACATAAACAAGGCCCAAGGCCATAAACAAACATGCATCTTCTTATGGGTTAAATCCCCACGAATTGCAGGAATTTAAACCTTCCAGACCAACTAGTCCCGCGACGCACCTGGCAGCCCAGCTTTGCCAGTGCCCAAATGGTGTTGGCCGTGGCCTGTGCTCCAAACTCCGTGGCAGTGGCCAGAATCGGCGCCTGCCAGCATCAAAGATGGCTGGTCCCAAAGGGTCTGTGGCTGTCTACCTCCTGATGGTGAGTAAAAACCAAAAATACGTGCAATACGCTGCCTATGATTTACAAGATCCTAGAGTGACCAACAATGGGAATCAGCAACATGGCCCAATAGCATTCAATGGCACGAATATTGGCACACAATATATACCCCAGTGGTGTGTGGAGCACATCGGTAGCTTCATATCCCAGATATAGTGAGGAGTCATTGTTACCGTATAGGTTTCTTCAGAGTTGGTGAAGGGTTCGGGGTATTCCTTCTTGAAAGTCCCTGAGGTTGAAAGACACCATGACCTGGGAGATGATTGAGGTTTGGTGAGCCTGCTGCCAGCCTCATCTTGGAAGTCGCACTGAAACAACCATGTCAGCATAGAAGTTCTTTCAAACCCCATGGTTCCCAATCAAAATGTGCCGCAAATATTGAAAAACCCACAAAAAACAGAAAACAAAAACAATCAAAAACATCCACCCTCCAACTCCATCCCATCCCTGCCTGCAACTGCTGCACACTCCTCTCCCTCAGCCCCTTCTTAGCCACCTTGGCCAGGCGATGCGCCGCCGTGGCCACGTTTACCGGGCTCAGCCTGTCCTGCTCCAGGATCCTTAGGATGGTCTCAGCATCCCTGGCAGATGCGGCTGCGAGGATGGAGCGCTGGATGGCCAACTGCTCAGTGGAGATCCACCGGGCCAGCTGGGACACCCGCAGAGGCCGGGGGGCCCGGTGCATCACCACAGCAGCTAGCTGGAGGTTATGTGACCGTGCCAAATGGGTGAAGTTGGAGAAGATTCAATCGAGGTGGAAATGTGTCTTTGCGTTTGTGTGCTCTCAGGACCAGGTTAGACAACACGTCTGAATCGCACGACCTGGTATATAATGTATATATGTTTCTTCATGTTTCTTCTTAAAGTGTGACAAAGCCCGAAGCCAACGGCTACGACTATGAGCTGACCGACATCGACGAACAATTCATGATGCAGTGAGCAAAGGCAAGCTTGAACTTCATTCGCAGGCCAGGTAACTTTCAGACTTTGACTCACTCATCAGGCAGGTCTGCTAATCCTTGATCACCGAATCGGATCAAATCACAGAAAAACGCATTGGTCTTCGACCTCCACCACGTCAGTAAACATCGGAAGTCTCTTGGCTGGAGTGGCAGAGCGCTGCGGCGCCCACTGCAGCAAGCATCATCTTAGATTCTGTTCCTCGGTGGGATCATCAAGTCGGGCCACGCAAATCCAAAGGACCATAAGGACCATATCCAGCCATATCCATGATTGATCATCTTCCACTTCCACATCTTCGACCCTCGAATCGGCAAAGGGGTTCCCAGCTGAATATCCACCTTGAAGCCGTTGGCCGGGCAGGTCGGGCAGGTCGGGCAGGTCCTTCTGCGCTCAGGGCTCGCCTCAAAGGTCCACTATAGACTTTTGCGCCGGCGCTGGTAGAGCCTGGCTGGCTTGGCTTGGGGCCTCACGCATATGGCAAAAGAAATTGGAGACCGGGTCCTGAACTCTTCACCATACAACAATCCTCTATAGTAATTAGACCATATTTATATATATATATATATATTTCACCATATAAGTAACCTTAGAAAATTGCATGTAGGTATTCTCTCTCTCTCTCTCTCTCTGAGTTGTCTATGCAACAGCATGCCAAACAAACCATTAGAAAATGCATTTTGAAACCTCCCACGACCACAAAAAAGACAAATACCACCACTGGCACGCCATTAAAACAGCTGCACACCACCGTCTCCCAGGGCTTCTGATTCCAAGCCTCAGAAGGTTTCACCTGCATTCCAGCCAAGGCCCCAGTGGCTGGCAGGGCATGGTATCGTCCATCCTCCAAAAAAACATGGAAGAGCCGATGGCCTGGCACGGAATTGCAATAGGCGATCCAATCCTGTGATGTGGCTCCATTGTTCTCCATTGTTCTGTGTCAAAATTTCAGGCACCAAAAAAATGCAAAGTTCCGGTTTCAGGAGAAAAAATTGTCAAGAGCAGCTGGGTTGGGAAATGATTCTTTTGTTGGCAAAAAGAATGAAGGCTGAGGTCATTGCAGCATGGGCAGCTGAAGGCAGAGCGCATCTCCATGCCCCCTGATGGTGGCGGAAGCATTGGCTGACGCCGTTGGACAGTACCCGGGTGTACATCGACCAAGCTCCTGGCCAAAGCAAGGCGGAAGGTCTGCGTCAAATCATAGGACATGCTAGTGGTTTAAGCTAAGCTTCAGCTTACAACATCACAAATCAACTAGCAGACCAGTGCTTTCTTTTTGGTTTTTGCCTACGTGAAGCAATTTGAACAACTTGTTTGCACTCAATGTACACATACGCGTTACGCGAGCATGAAATATCTTGGATTCAACAAGGAACTGTACCCTGTACAGAGTGAGTCGTCAACGACGTCTCAGCGCCCTCACCTGTAGAAGGACTCGCTGGCCAGCAGTGGCCCATTCTCATCTCCATGCTCAGCTCCTAGATATTGTCGTTCCGCGGCACCTTCCCGCACTTGATCCGGAGCATCAGGCACCAGCTGCATGACGGCCCAGCGGGCTGGAGCCTCCTTGCCATAGCCGGCCTCACATTCCTTGTGACTCAGGATCTGCCCGGTGGCCGCATCCAGGCGACGTGGACAGCGACCAATCAGGAAATCCAGCTCCGAGCTGCACTGAAAACTTCGGAAGATCTGCTCGGGAGTTGCTGTCTCGCCCACCTGCAGGATGCGGTCACCCAAATGGACCTCCAGCAGTGGATGGGATGCATTCCACAAGGCCAGGGCACCTGCAGGATCGATCCCGATGACTTCCACATCTTCACTCAACTTGAGCCCCAATTTTCTCTCGACTGTCTTGACCAGTTTGATGCCAAAAGTCGACATGGCACCCTGGCGCATAACCGCCAGCCTGATGCACAGACTTTGTTTCAAGCATTGCTGCAGCGCCTTGCTTTCAGTCAAGCCATTGATCATCAGCCGATCCCCTTGAACCACTGCCCTGGAGGGATGCCTCCAATTCCACCGCGCCAGCAGCCCACCATCCACGACACGCGTGAGCCGAGCATCGGGGCCCAGCTCGAAGCCCCAGGGCTGATCCTTCAGCCGCTGGAGCTCCACCTCGAAGCGACCAGCGGTGGCCAGGGCGGCCCCAGCCTAGCAGGCCGTTTCAGCAACGGTAGAATACATGCGGCAACGCATGCCAGGCTGGGTCCAAAACGGGTGTAATTATCAGCCTAAACTTGAAAAAACGGGATGGTTCAATTTGGAGCCGTCCAGTTCTCAACTTTTCGGAGACAGCACCTGCTCACAGAGAAAAAATGACAATCGATTTTCCTGCCTGGGTTTGTCCAGGTCCGCCCATCCGAACCATCCTGCGCCATCGATCTGGATCTTTTGGCCAAGCTGCTTGACACTCCTCCCGGGGTTTCTGGATGCAAAGACTTGGACCCTGGAACTAAGTCATTAGGTCATAATTTTGGCCTCAAAGATCCCTGAGAAGAAGATTCCATAGGATTACAGTACACCTGGCAGCCCTGTATCGTCTATATCCGTTCAATAACTAACGACCAAAATTACGAATATAAGTTTTTTCCCCCAAATCCGCCCAGCATCAGATTATCAAATATTCAAGTATTACATAATGATCATTTATATTCATAATGTCAAATGGTGTTGAACCACGACCTGTGAAGTTGGCAACCCCCCCACAGGATTCCTTCAATGTCAACAGCGATCGATTTTGATCGATCCGCCTCTCCGCACGGGCCACCACCAATTTCAACTCCTTCTGAGCCTTCAACTCGGCCAGGATGGATTTGGGGTCTGCCTTGCCATTCACCTGCACCAGTCGATCCCCCATCCTCAACTTGTTGATGGGATTGGCGGCATTCCATTTCTGTACAGCTCCCGTGGCCTCCACCTTCTCAACTTCCAAAGTGGAGAAACTCACTCCGAAACCCACCGGCTCGGTGTAAGTGGATAAACTCACTCCGAAGGTGCCGTACTTCGCCAGGCTGTTGCCTTTGGATCCCTTGGATCCCGATTCTTGGCCTCGAAGCAACGTCATGTCAATCTGGAAGGATTCCATCAACACCTCATACCGAGCCGAATGCACCTCACCGTTGATCTCAACGATGCGATCTCCCACCACAATGGCACGAAAAGGGTGCCACAAGTTCCATTGAGCCACTTGGCCATCATCCGCCACACTGAGCACTTCCAGTGTCTCGGGGTTCACTTCGAAACCAAAACCCAATGGCCCGTCCCCGGAACGGTGCAACTGGACCGCAAACTTGGAATGTGGCACCAGTGCTCCGGAAAAGCCGCCTTTCTTTTCCACCACGATGCGCAAAGAAAATTCTGCTGACAGCTGTTCCATGACCACCTCGGGATGACAAAGTCCGTTCACGGAGGCCAGGCGGTCACCTGCAGGGGCAAAGAAATTTTCTTCGTTCGCGGGCAAGAAAAATTAAGATTGTTTGCATCTAAATGAAAATACATCAATAAATAAATAAATAAATAACCAAACAAACAAATAAAAATTATAAATATATATATATATATTTGGTCCCTCCCAAAGATCTACGTTTTTTTATGGTTAAATTTGGGCAGTATGTTAGAGAGGGGGTTGAAAAAAATACAGTGTATATATATATATATTAAACTGGATAGACGAAGAGAAAATAATCTATATAATTGGGTATTTAGAATGTTTTCCCAAGTGCGTTTGCAAACGTTTGCAAATGAAAGGAGTTTTTGATTCAAGATTCAAGATTCAAAACTCAAGATTTTTATTTTGGTGTATGTCTTTAGCTGCCCACTGTGCTGTGCTTGATCTGACATGCGCTACTCCAACTCAGTTACCTTGATACCTCAAGCCTTCATGCAACTCTCACCCGCTGCGCCGCACTCATTTTTTTCATGTGGGATTGATGTCGTTTTTGCGACAGAAAGTTTGTAGACTTGAAGCTGATCAGTACGCCCATTTCCCACACCGGCCGGTGAAGACTGGTTCGGCTAATGTGAAAGAGCGCGTCAACACAGCCTTGCAAGTCCCATCCTTGTTTCATGACCAGGAACAATGGTTGCAGAAGATCAGACAGATCAAATTTGACAGCTTTCCTGACCAAACCACTGTTCCGGCACAAGTGGAGATGCTCACTGAGTTGCCTGTATTTCTGGTTGTTCACCTATTTAGCGGGAGACGAAGAGCCACTGATCTCCACGCTTGTTTGGAGAACATGCCTAGGGCCAAAGGCTTCAGAGTTCAGATCCTCTCCTTGGATACTGCAGTCTCAGCCTTTTACGGCAACTTACATCAGGAGCATGGCACATGGCAACATGTCATGAATCTTTACAGTGCGGGACGAGTCGCCGCGACGATGGTTGGCTCACCTTGCGAAACGTTCTCGGCTGCAAGGCATTTTCAGCCTGACGAAGCCGATGGGAATGCAGTTAGAAACTGGCCAAGACCACTGAGAAGTGCCCTTCGCTTCTTAGGGCTTGATGGTCTGACGAGCCGGGAACTTCGACAGGTTTGCCAAGGCTCTGAATTCTTTCTGCAAGGACTCCTAGCAGCAGCATGGACGTTGTGTCATGGTGGGCTCTATTTGAGCGAGCACCCATGGAAAGCTGAGGATCCACCGAAGGTTAGCATCTGGACATCCCCACGGCTGGAGCCACTGTTGCAACTGCCGCAGGTACAGCTGCACAGGCTTTGCCAATGGCGATGGGGCGCTGAGGTGTCTAAACCTACGGGAATTTTGGCAATCAACTGCCCCCGATTTGCAGCCTCTGTGTATCGTAGACAACTTCCGAATGTGACAAAGCCGCAACAACAAGCTACTGGACGCGATGCTACTGGCCAATTTAAGCATTGGCCGGTGCCCTAGCTGACCAGCTGGAGGCTGTCACTAGGCGCAAAGCATTTCGTATCACACCTTTAGCGACTCCTGAGACTGAAGAGTGGGTAAACGAGGCTCTGGAAGCATGCACAGAAATCCGAGCCCATGCACCGTTTTTACCTGACTTCCAGGAGTGATTCACTTTTGTACCTGTCTTTTTCCAATTAAGACGTTTCGAAGGGGGAACGTTGCATGGCAGCAAGGAGCATCCTTTTATGCAGAGAATGAAAAAAAATGATTGATGTCGTTTCGGCCGCGCACTTCCGACGGCAGGGTTAGGCCCTAATCTAACAACTGGAGAAGGAAGGCTGGAAATGGTCACATGTCCAGTCCACTGTAATTGCTCCATTGACGTTGAAGGAGATGAAGAGCTCGGATGAATTGCACCAAGGCCAACAGTTTGGCCAATCGCGGCTGGAAACGTAAATGCTGGAAGTTTCGCATTGACTCTCGAAGCACTGTCAATGCCGCTACGACATGTTGATCTTCGACATCATCAAGCTCTGTCAATGTTTCGAGCGTCACTTGAACGTATGGGATTTGCCGATCGATGAACGGGTTCCAAAATCGAGCAACGTTGGTTCGACTGGATCGGCCATCTCTGCCGGGTGGGACCCCGTGAGGGGGTGGAATGAAAAAAAAATACTGTATTGATTGAACATGGACATGTTTGCAGTCGATTGATTGTTGGGCCATGTTATGAACCTGAAAACATGACACATGCAAAACCTGTCCATGTGACATTGTGGGACTTGCCCTTCTGCTTCACTTGAAGCTGGATATTTAAAGCAGCGGCAAGATGATCAATGAAAGACATGCAACAGTGGTCAGCACACTCACAAGCATCCGTTTGCAAGACATACCCTTCAATAACCTGTTATCATGTCCCATGAGAATCACCTTATTTTGGTGTATGTCTTTAGCTGCCCACTGTGCTTGATCTGACACGCGCTACTCCAACTCAGTTACCTTGATACCTCAAGCCTTCATGCAACTCCCAACCGCTGCGCCGCACTCATTTTTTTCATGTGGGATTGATGCCGTTTTGGCCGCGCACTTACCCCATGGGACAGGGCCGCACTCTGCCACAGCGCCCTCCAGTCCACAAGCTGACGTGTCAGTCCATTCCAAGACAAGACCTTTGTGCGAGATACACTAAAACATCTACTGTGTTTGACTGGCTACTCGTTCTAGCCAGATCTGGCACAAGCAACCATCTTCCACTTGGAAGATTCGTGACAAAAGGTGGCTGCACTGGGCGTTGTTGGACCAAGACTTAAGGAATCTCCCTCTAACAGCTTCGCTGTCTGTGAAAGCCACCACTCGGTGACTGGGATAAAGAGGACACCATAGTTCAACAGCGGCTAACAGCGCCAGCATCTCTAACTCTTGGATGATAGAGACCTGTCCTATAATATTCTTGACTTCCGAGATGAACTCTGCAGTTAACTCTTCCCTGAAGAAGGCTAGAACAGTACCATTGTTATCATAGAGTGCTCCACCAATTCCGGAGCAGGTTCCATCTTCGAAGCATGCATCTACGTAGATGTGGATGTGATCATTCAGGGAACCAACAATCTTTCTGGGCGTGTTGGTGCTGTTTTGATCTCGTACACTTTACACGGCTTCAATGGGGCCACTTGGCAACACACGATTCCCTCTTTGAATGTGCAAAGATAGCAGTCGGATCTGGTTTCGGATGAGCCTACCGAACAGCTGTCCGGATGCAAAGAGAAGACGACCCCTCAGCTTCTCGCCCTCACTGCGGGTCAGTTGACCCTTCTTCCAGGTTGCATCAAGACTTTCGCACAAGTCCATGACTCGTTCGCCGGTGTTGGTGAAAAGAGCTGGGCCGCTAGGCCATCCCCCAAAAGGAGGAGGCCAAACTGAACACCTAAAACTTTACAGATGGTGCTGTATTCAACAAGCTTTTCTGACGACAAACGCCAACCTAGAATGCTGAGCACAGCGGAAATTATCAGATCGGTATGCCGGCTGGCTTCGGTCTCCACCACAGAAAAATAATCGTCGAAATACGACGACCACATCAAGCTCAGGGGCTGAGTGCCAATCTGCAGGCCTAACGCAACTCGCAGGAAAGCTGTCACTGAGGCTACGGATCCGAAAGGCAAAACACTTTGTCTGAAAATCTCGGGGCCCCCTTTGGCGGGACTGAACACTACCAAGAATGCATCAAGGTCATATGCGGAGTTGCTGAGAGGAACCTGTTTATAGGCACCTGGCAAATCCTAAGCCTTGGCTGATAGGGAGACTTTTGTCCTTTTCTCTTCAGGGACTCGAATGATGCAAGACACCATGGCTGCAATGTGATCCACAGTGTGCACTGATGCCGTCTCTGTTTGAGTCACACTGCTGTTTACAAAAGAGGCCTTGTAGTCATCTATAGGTCTGGTTTTGGATTTCTGTTTAACGCCAAACCGTCTTGTGAGAGTGGCTCCAGGTGGGAGTTGATCCGGGGTCAGTGGACCTTGGATGAACCCATTATCCACCTCGCAAAGTGGCTGCATACAGCTGTTCATCTACTTCAGGGTCCCCTGAAGACGCTGTGGTCTCCAACATGCCCGTACGACACATGTCTGCGACCCGCCTGAGCTTCACAGGAAGTGGCTGCCGGTCTCACTTTTCTGGAGAAAGCATTCAACCCCGGAAGGTTCCAGCCAGGTCAAAGCCATCTGCCAGCTGATCCACCAAATTGTATAAATTGTCATCTGTGCGGCGACCTTCGCCGAGCAAGGTCTTGAGCAGGATGAGCTTCTTGTTCGCAAGAACTTCTTGTCTGCGGCTTGACATGCCGTTCTTGAAACCAGCTTCAGCACCTGCCAGGTCAGAAGCTAAGCTGATCCATCGTTTGATTTCTTCGGTTCTGCTCATGGCCATTTGCCTACAACCCTTGTCTAAGCACAAGGGAACAACTCTGGATATATCGTCTGGCGACATGGAGTGCAACCTGGTTGGATGGCCTATGGCCGCTGCTTCTCTGACGAACTCTTCCGGTGATCGGTGAATTCCGATAGTGACCATGTCCATTGCACTCGCGCGTTGCCCCCGGATGGGAGTGCTGAATTTGCGCACATTGGTGAGCAAGAGTGGATCCACTGGGTGTGATTTCATTTCAAGAAAGTCGGACACCATTGGTGGGAGGCCTCTGCGAGGTTGGATGTCTGTAATGGCTCACATAGTTTGGAGAGTGTTTTCTTGAAGAGCAAAAACTAGCTGCAACAGTCAGGTCGGGCCTGCGGAGGGAAACATGGGGCCGGAGTCTGTCGCATCAAGAGGGCAGTCATGGCGACATCAGCTGTGCCAGCCACCCGAAAACCTCAGCTACGCTGGTGCCTGCAGCCTTGGGTGACAAGGCACAGTTCACCAGAAAGAGAGCGGCAGATGAGCCCACTGAGGATGACATGGCAGTCGCGATGAGGGCCGCTGTGAAGAAAGCCCGAGGCGCGGCAGCGCCCAAAACGCCGACTCCGCCTGCTAAGGCGGCCCCAAAGGCAGTACCGGCGGGCAAGCCACAGAGCAAGCCAGCCGCCATGCCCAAGAAGGGCGGTGGAGGCAAAAGGACAGAGGAGCAACTGGACCTGCATCTGGAGCGCTTGGGAGTTGGTTCCGTCACTGCTCAGGGCGACTTGCATCTGGACCTCAAGAAAAGGGGCAAAATCTTTTTGGCAGGGTTCCCAATGAGGCAGACCGTACATAAGTTCCCAGCGACGGCGCTGCAGATCTGCTGCTTTCCCAATGGTCCTGAGAGCCGGGAGGGGGTGACCCTACCAGGTGCTCAGCTCATGCCCCGAGCGCGTGCCAATGGGTACCTTTCTCGAATCAAAAGAGGCTCCTAAGCCAAGGGGCTCATTAGAAGTGAACTTGACGGCCGAGGAAGTGGACGCATTGATCCTGAATTGTGTTGATTCTTTGGCCAGACTGGCATGTGCTTGCTGCCCTCCAGAACGAATGATTAGATAGACACCTTGTTTGCAAGGCGAGTTGTTCCCAACCAGGGGACCTATTCATCCGTCAAGCACCTCATTTTCGAAGCCCAAACTTTGTTGTCGGAACAAAGTCCACAAGACCGAGGAACAGGCGAAGGCGAAACTTGCGCCTGCAGAGAGGGACAATCGCATTCGAGATCAAAAGACTAGACTCGAAGGGCTTCGTCTGAAAGGAGAAGAAGAGTGCAGTCACCAAAGCTATGATCTAGTGCTCAGCACGCTTGAGAAGGATTCACTTGTGCATCCTGGGCCGGAAAAATTCCCGACAAAAAGGCAGGAGTTGATGTAGAAGAAACCTGCCCGTGATATCTCCCTAGCAGATCAGTCGGCACTTGTCATCAAGGACAAGCAGCAAGAACTGTTGTGCAGCGCAGCCACCGAATTGGAGGCAGTGAACGCGCTCCGACGACAGGCGCTAGCTTTCGATTTAGTGAAAGCGTGCGGCTTCCACAGCATGAGCACCTATCATTCCGAGCTCTTCGAGCACATCAGCCGCCGCCGCCTGGATATAGTGCAGTGAGCCTCGCCCAGATCCTTCGAGCTGACCGAGCAGCTTGGAACATGATCGCCGAAAAGATCAGCACTCTCAAACGCAATGCCCAAGGAGACCTTCCGTTGGAACTTGAAATTCAAAGAGTTCTTGCCCATCCATCCGTTTCTTTCCACCTGTTGCCACTGCCCAGCAAACCGGCACCATCCGCACCCATGCGACCGGGCAACAAGAGAGAGAGAGAGAGCACACGGTCACGAACGCTTCAGAGAACTCCATCAGCTCCAGCTCCATCCAAAGGCAAAGAAAGGTTCCAAGAACAGGATCCAGCTCCAAACGTCCCCACAAAACTCATCGGAAAGGCATTGCAAACCCCTGGAGGGGATCGATTGTGCCGGGCTTACAGTTTGGGAAAGGTCTGTCCTGATGCAAAGCCAGGTGAGAAGTGTCCACGAGGCCTTCACTTATGCTCCGAACCAAATTGTCAGAAGCCACACAGCATGCAGGAGCAGAAGTGACAAACACCTGCGGGCATCCCGGTGTTGCCCACTCCAGAAGCAACTTTTCGAAACAAAAGTAATATCTTGGATCAGGGGCGTCCGCTTGAAGAATTTTACTGTATAGAAGTTTGTGCAGGATCAGGCCGCCTGACAGCGGCGTTGAAAGCAGTCGGGCTTAAAAACCGTTTCGGTGTTGACTGCAAGCTGCGCCACAATTCCCTATACTAACTCAATAATTAAATATGATCTCCTCAAACCTGAGCATGTTGCCCTTGTAAAGCATGTGATCGCAGCTCCTCAATGTGTTTTCATCCATTTCGCGCCTCCTTGTGGGACCAGCTCACGAGCCAGACTCATTCAACGTCGGGGACGTTGTAACCCACCAATTTTGGGCACAGACCAGTTCCCTGGCGGAACCCCAGGGCTAGCAGGCACATTGCCCAGCAGAGTACATGCAGTCAACAGCTTGTACCACATAACCTGTGAACTTGTCCGTTGGTGTGTCCAACATGACGCCTACTTTGCAATGGAGAACCTTGTGTCACTCACGAAACAATTTTTGCTGCGAGAAGTGTTTCCACCACTGCGGCAGCACGCGCCAGAAATTAACAAAAATTTCTACAATATCCCTAGTTTTCAGCAGTTAGAAGCCTTCTGAGATAACAATCACCAGCATGAGCCATGGGGTCAAAGCCCAGATGGCAACTGGCGAACCGCCGGGGAGATTGCATATCTTTGGAACTTGTGCAGAACTATCGCTGCCAAACTTGTGGAATTTCGGGCATAGGGCCTTCCCATTCTTCAATGTGGCGGTGAGCACTTTGCCGCCGAGCTGGTCAGGCATCAGCGGCGATGCTGCTGCTTCTGCTTCTTGTGGAGCCTTCTCCGCTGCCTCCATGAACTGCTGCGACAGCTTCAAGCGCTTCCGCACATCTTCAAACTTTTGTGATGAAGCCCATATGGGTTGGCGGTCCTGGCGAAGGAGTCGCTCAGCTTCGGCCAGCCCATGGCTACGAGCCTTGTCCAGCTCCTCTTTTGGGATCGCCTCCCAAGAAAGCTGGTTCGTCAACTTGGATGCGGCTCCCCACACCAAAGACTTGATCTTGATGGAAGCTGCATATTTGGCTGACGAGTAATGGAAGGCCATCTGGCCAACTTCGGGCTGATTTCCTTTGTTTTGCCAGTCCCCCAATGCGGCCATCTCCTCTGGTCGGCACTCCAACAGCTGCGCCAACGTAGGGGCCATGTGCCTCCAGGAGTACGTGGTCATCTCCTCCGGGTTGTCGAGCACCTTCTTCTCGGCAACCCTTCGAAAGGTCAGCTTCCACTCTGCCTTGAGCGTGTCCGTGACGATGCCGGCAGGCCTGTAGGAGCCCATACCCAGGAACATGGACACCAGGCCCTTGATCCTCGCTGATGTTCTTGTCCACATTGATAGTCTCGCGGACAGGTCGCAGGACCACTGAGCTCTTGGGGTTGTCCTCAACAACTTTGGCCCCAGCTGCAAGGAGTTCCTCCTCCACCCACGTTCTTGTCTGGAACCAGTCATCAGCTACGTGGTGACCAGCCAGCCCGACAACCTGATCATTGTCAGTGTAGGCACAGGCGAAGTCATTGTTGTCCAAGACGCCTTCGGACTCCCTCCATTGATGTGCTCTTTGCGCAGCGATCATCCTCAAAGAGTCGGCCGCCTTCCATCCTGCTGCGGGGCCACCCCCTGGCGAGGAGGAGGCTGCTTCCGCTGCGTAGCAGCCCTTGCCGCCTGATGCCATGGCACAGAACCCTAACAGGATTGCTAGGGTGCGGAAACCGGAAACGCGCTGCGGCGAGTGTACAGGATCCTCCTCCTTCATAATTTCATAGTTCCGAAAGCATCTTCCTACGCTCCCCGCATTGCCCACGATGCTGTCTCCCAAGCACTACACAATCCCGCGCAGCATGACCAGCAGACGCGCCTGGTGAAGTCACCGCAGTCGATGCATGCCGTGCCCAACTGCAACGTGCCGGCTGCTTGGCTTTCCAGCCAGCCACAAAAGCGCCCGATGGGCCCGAGCTCCTGCCGGTCCCCAGGCTGGCCAAGGTCGCCCCCTGGGAGCTCTTGGGTAGACACGCGGTTCGACAAACCTCGCCACGTCAATCCACTTCAGGACACTGGTTGCATCCGAGAGGTTTGACCCCACATGAAGTCTTCCGGTCTCATCAGCGGAGTCCAAACTCCGAGCCAAGGAAACTTGAACCCGCCAAAGTGGGCTGTGCAGAGCTGGCAGTTCTCAACGCAACAGGGCATCTTGGGCGACGTAGGGTGAATGACAGACTTGCACCCCGTGCATCCAGCAAGTGTAGGCTGCCAGATCGGACCCTTCCCGTGCCAGCCTCTCGACGTGCTGCTTAAACTCCCGGAGAGCAGCCACATGGAGGATATTCGCCGCAGTGGCCGCCGGGATGTCAATCCCTGGGGGTTTCTGCTGCATGCAAGGCCTCCCCTTGCTACCCACCAGGTCGCCCCTGGAAACAATCAAGGTCTAGGAAGGTCACCCCTTACCAGACCTAGAAAGAAAAAACTATGAATGCTATTTTGGTTCAATTCCACTTATATAAGCCAAAATGATAACATTCATTGAATCACTTAAAGATGGTACAAGGACACCCGGGCCTGCCAAACTCAATGCATGGGTATATAACAGTGTATACTTTTATTTTTTTAATATATATGTTTACATGTGTCTCAAAATATATTTCTACAAATGAATATTTATGTATATATATTGGTTTTGAAAAAATTGCCCCGTGTTGTCAACATCCGCCCAAAAAAAAAATAGAAGCTTTCCATTTGCACATGAGCAATGCCAACGTTAAATCGATCAAGTGACCCGGTTCAATCATGCATCCTGGATGCGCTGCATTCCAAGCAGCCACCAGGCCCTGGGGTTCCACCAGGCAAACCGCCAAAGTCAAAGCGTCCACGTGCCTGGACCACGGACATTCTCAAACACAAACCAGACTGAACAAATCCATTTCTTTTCCAATGTTTGTGATTACTCGTTTTTTAAAGGAGAGGACCCCGTATGCAACCAATAAACAAGGATCAAAATGCGGCCATTAAAATAGTTATAAAAAAATGCCGCCGTGACACATCCCAAGGTCGCCGTGTTGCAGCCTTGCAACTTCCACCACCACAGTTTTCCCACACCATGCCATGGAATGAAAAGGCTCTAATTTGCTAACGGTGACATGTTTATTGCGAACGACTTTGAGGACATCTGCAATGCAAACTGGCACGGCGAAAAAATGTTACACACAAAAATTTGTAGTGTAACCTTCCGGACAAATTTCCAACCAGCAATGTGGAACTCAACCAAAGTTCGGTGTTGGCGCAACCGGTTGGAAATAATGACGTAGGTCAAATTGTGGCGTTTCCAAAGATCAATCCGTTAATCATTGATGGATGTAACATGTTGTGGTGAAGTGCTGCGGGCGCGCTTTACATGTCTTAGCAGTTAGGCAAGGACGGTGATGAATTTGGTCGTCAATATCAATACGGGAACGGATCTGTCAGCAGCAACATTTGAAACATTTTGTTCCCAAAAGAAAATTGACTGGAACAATGGAATGTTTTTTTTTGAAAGCAAACTGCCCACCTGTCAGGTCCGTCCAGGCCTTCAGCACATAAATTATGCAAGGGCAAAACCTGGCGAAAACCTTGATTTTTGTCCACTCATTCCTGTTCGAAAAGAAGCAAACCCATGAAAGTTCATGTGGTGGCACAATAGTGTTGTTTTGATGCAGCCACCATTTTCTGACAGGACCCGACGTGAATCGATTGAACGAACCCAAACGTAGGCAAGGTCGTCCATCAAAACGACGGGACGACAACTTAGAAAATTTTGCGTTTCATTATTCTCGGGTGTCGTGAGCCACACCTGCACGAGTCCGGCCAGAATGGCAAGTTTTGGAACATGTGCACGTACAGTTTTGCAGCAATGTGACCCATGAACGCCTCTATAGCCTTCTAGGGTCGAAGCCACTCGGACGGGCGAAGGAACGAACAAACGAACCAATGAACACCTTCGCTCACATTGTTGCTGTCCTCCACAGTTGCCCCCTGCATGGACCCACGATATCATGCCATTAATCGCGACACAATTTGCAGCCTCGCAGTGGCGAGTTAAAAAAGTGTCCGAGTCTTCCAGCAACGTGGCCAGCAACCGATGCACACACGGGCATTTGAAAAAGAGATGATACACGCTGTCAAGATTTGAACTGCCCGAATACACCCCATTGAAACACCGAGCCTAGCCACTTGACTGACCATCCAACGGGGTCCTGTGGTCTAGTGGAACATGAATTGTCGCACTTGTGTCAGTTGTGGCTAATTTGTAATTTCCCTGTGCTGCCCCGTTTTTCACCACCACCTTCTTCCAACCCTCGTCGTATACTTGAGAGGGGGAGGACGAAAGGTAGGTGGGGGTATCTCTCAACAATTTTTTGCGTTCATTCTGTTTCAATATATATCGAATTTTCCCTTCCCCCTAGGTGCCTCTCAATTTCCTGCATCCATTTCGTTTCATAAATAGACTTCCCCTATTGGCCTCTCCGCCATTTCTTACGTTTTTGCTGCTGCAATATCCGAATTTCCCCGGCATCAACAACTTCCTGCATGCATCTTGTCTCAATATCTAAATTCCACCCACCCCGTGCCATAGTCAGTAATAAGAACCACAAGCAAGATAATGTTAGTCAGTTTGTTGGCAACCTGTGTGAATTAGAGGGGCCAAGGTGCCTCAACCGATCGACGCTCGGTTGAGGCACTTTGCGTGTAGGTCTTTTATGGACGTAACCTTCATGCGGCTAAGTGCGTGAAGATGTCTGCAGCAAAAAAAACAACATCAACAATTGCAGGAAACGAAACCGTCCTTGTTTCGTGGGAACTACTAAAAAGCTTGCGGCTCAGGGATAAGTGTCGCTGCGAAGGGACATACTGCTATTGTTTCCTTTCCTGCATCAAGTTCGTTTCATACGTAGACCTCCCCTATTGGCCTCTCCGCCACTTCTTACGTTTTTTGCTGTTGCAATATCCGAACTTCCCCGGCATCAACAAACTCTTGCATGCATCTTGTCTCAATATCTAAATTCCACCCACCCCGTGCCATAGTCAGTAATAAGAACCACAAGCAATATAATGTGAGTCAGTTTGTTGGGAACCTATGTGAATTAGAGGGGCCAAGGTGCCTCAACCGATCGACGCTCGGTTGAGGCACTTTGCGTGTAGGTCTTTATAGATGTAACCTTCATGCGGCTAAGTGCGTGAAGATGTCTGAAGCAAAAACAACATCAACAATTGCAGGAGACGAAACCGTCCTTGCGTTTCGTGGGAACTATTAAAAGGCTTGCGGCTCAGCGATAAGTGTCGCGGCGAAGGGACATGACATACTGCTATTGTTTTCTTATCTAACATGAGCATTGTCCATGACCTGTGAAGAACATCGACTGGTCTCGTAAAGTATTCCAGTTGGAGCATGGAGCTCAGCTGCGTGTCTGTGATGCGCGTAGAGCACCGAATTGAGAAGAAAGTTAAGGGACCGCATAACCCCACAAGTCAACTTCTTCCAATAATGATCCACAAATTTTGCAGCGGGGACGGGGAAGGAAGGAAAGACAAAGGAGGAGGTGGAGGAAAAATGGTTTGTGACAAAGTTGTGTGTATGAAAGATGGTGTGGTGAAAGATGGTGTGTGTAAGATGGTGTGTCAAAGATTGTGTGTGAAAAATGGTGTGACAAAGTGGTGTGTGAAAGATCATGTGTCAAACATGGTGTGTGACAAAGTGGTGTGTGAAAAATGGTCTGTGACGGTGTGTGAAAGATGGTGTGTGGCGAAGTGGTGTGAAAGATGGTGTGTCAAACATGGTGTGTGAAAGATGGTGTGTGCCAAAGTTGTGTGTAAGATGGTGTGTCAAGATTGTATGACGAAAGCTGGAGATGCGCAGTCTTTTGTTGAACTGTAGGGCCTTGTAAATGGACAACGTGTTTCATGCCCAAAGTGTCAACATGCTTTCATGTGACATCAACTCCCTTCTTTATGTTAACTGTTCCCTATCAACATGCATCAAATCCATTTTTGGGCGCGGACCAGGGGGGAATCGAATGGGGGGGGGGCCCAAGTCTCCGTTCGTGACTCTCAGTTTTCAATTTCCGGGAAAGGGCCAGCCACTTCCCCCAGTACTAAACTAGTACTAAAGTACATAGAACTCAGGTAGCCTAGGCTACCTTTCGTGATGAACTGAAACATTTGGTGTCGCGTTCTTCAATGTTTTGTCGTTAAGCCTGGGGTACCATGCGTGTTGCCATGCTCTCTTTTTGTGGTAGCACATTCCCTCAATTTCCATGATTCCTGTCGGTGAACCGACATATATGTTGTCACCCACGTGAATCCTTTTGCTCCTCCCGACTGGACCCTCATACGGCTAGATAGTCTGATGATGCTGTTCGCTCCTCTTGACACATAAGTTGACAGATTTGCAGCTATGCTCTCCATGGTTCATCAGCATGGGACAGCCACACTTTTTCACCCATTGTCCCATTGTCGTAAATGAATTGAGACGCTTTGTGCTACGTACGCTATTGTTCATATGCCAAGAGTGACACGCGTTGGCACATTCGTAACCTCGTTCTTGATGGTTCATCTACGGGAAGTGACGTAAATGTTGCAACATTTTTTGCGTTTCGTGGCGCGTGAGTTGACAGATTTGTTCCTACGTTCTTCATATTTGGTCATCGGGCGACAAATGTTGCATTACCCTTTCCAATGTTAGTAGCACATGAGTTGCCACCATTCGCTGCTACGTTCCTTGCGTTGCATCTTCTGACCTGACATAACATCCCCGTTGGTATTACACAGGAGGGTCCAGTTAAAGAAAATTATTTTATTAATTTGATGGCTACCAAAATTTTGAAAACTCATATCCCTGCGCCCTGGTTTCCATTTCTAGAGTGGCTTAACACAGCTATGCCCCCTTGATCTATGACCATTTTTTTTGTCCTGTTCCTTGCACTTTGACTCTCACCCCTCCTCTTTTAACATATGGTATGTTAAAATCCTGTACCACAACCTAGTGCATAAATCTGATTTTTGTCCTAAATGAAATTGGTGTGTAGCAATTTTTTTTCCCCCTCGTCAAAACTAATTTGGTTTCCATCAATTTTTATTGATTTTCATGTCCCTCCCCTCGTCCGACTTTTTTTTTGGTCAGCCACCTGTTCTCTCCCAAACATTTTTTTCCCTGACGCTCGCAACGCCGGGCGTTTGTAGCCAACAGTTTGACACTGTTCAACGCATATCAAAAACGTGTTTGCCCATTTTCAACCGACAGAAAATTGAAATATCAAAACATATAGAACGAAAATCCGGAGACTGAAAAAAGTGCCCTACCCGCATGACAGAATAAAAAAATGCATTGTGTCATTTTGCAAGGGCAAATCTATTGTCAGCACAAGCCGGAGCTAAACGTTTGGAATTTGAAATTGTGGTAGTTTTGGAGGGATCAATCCTTTTCAAGAAGGAAAGGGAGGCAAGTGCCGAAAAGAAATTCCTAGGGCAACGGTCTTTTGTCCATTTGTTGATGTTCGGAGGGTGGGCGCGCAGGAAAAGAAAAACATACAGCAAACCAAGTACTGCAGTTGCGTTTGCAGAAAGGAAATATCAAGATAAAAAAAAAAAAATGTTTTCCTCATTGCGCCGGAGCAAAAAAAATCCTTGCAAACAAATTGCGCCAAGAAAAACATGGTTTGCAACATTCTGCCACATCCAAAAAAAAAACAGCATCAAAATTCAGAAAAACCCTTAGAATACCTACTTTGGTACCGACATTTTTTTTGTTCCTTGGCCCCATATTTAAAATTATTGGTGGGTTGCGCGTTTCCCCCCCTCAAAAAATGATTTGGTGTCCTTCAACCTTTTTATAAAATTTATTTTGCACATTTCCTCTCTGGCCAAAATTAAATCGTGTATCAACCTTTTGCTGATTTTAATTTTCCCCCCTCCGCTAAAATCATCCCAATTGTTTTCTGGGACCTGACATTTTGCAGATTATCAAGATAACTTTAAAATAGCGACCATTTTCCTGTCCTATTGTCTTCTTACCCCCCATATTCCCATTTCAAAATTAAAACGGTTGTCCTGACCTTTGCAGCACGGGGGGTTGCTGAGAAAAACCGCTTATAGAAT